CAACCATGTTGGATTCCCAATCTCCTACACAACTTGCCAGCAATGACCCTTCCGTCCAACCATCGAGCTATCCATCAAATCTACCAACCTCTAGCCCTACGAGTGGTCCGACACCATTGCCCACCTCCTCTCCAACTAGAGCAGGTCCAACCTCGACTCCTACCTCTGGGATCATTCCATTTACGTTTCCTCCTCAGACTACCTACAGCAAAAAAGGTGGCAACGCTATAGAAGACTCCTGCTTCTACAGCTCTGGTTGTCACTCGCAATCTTGTCCCAGCTTAGATCCGGCACTCATCACAGACTTTACGTATTACACGAATTCGCGAGCTGTGCCAATTGAAGGGTTTGATATTGATACCAATCCAGTGTGGTACCTGGAGCAAACGCTCGATGGGTCAGATTGTGGCAGCAACTCCGGTTCGACAGCATGCTTCGATGATCCCCTCAAGGGCGGTTTCGCCGTGGATCTGACTTGGAGTAACTTTGTCTTTCACAAGGATACACGATTTTATTCGGAGGGCTTCACAACTAGGTATAGAGTTGCCGTGGATGGTACTGTGGCCTTGCAAGAGACGCTGAGCAACCGTCATAACAGAACATTGGGAAGCGATGGCGGTAAGGTCATGACTGTCAATGCAGGCGGATTTTGTGGCTCGGTAAATGGGTATATCAGATTGACACTTGAGTAGTAAGTGAAAGTTGCGTATTTAGCTCTATTTTAAAATAAGTTGTATATGTGAATGAACAGGTGAAGGCTGTTGCAGAGGCACCAATAGCAAATATTGCGCTCCAATCATACGCAACCGTCAACCCTGCATCCTTGGTGACAGGCCAGTACGATCGGTCATGCAAAATGTGGAGTCTTCTTTGCATGCGTGACTGTTGCAGATACATTATTTCAGTGGCGCGAAGATTATTTGTACTAGACTATATCATAAATCGGATTTATCCATGGGCATCTCATTTTGTTATGATTTTGACTGATTGATTCAAATGACAGAGTCAAGAATTTTGATTCGTTCAGTCCATCGACAATAAGATTAGATCATGATTTTCAAGGCTATCTCATTGTATTCCATATCGGATTTCTCCATTGGTCCATTTTTGCATTATTTCCATTATTGTTTGGATTGTATATTACTATGGATTGTGACCAGTGTAAATGAAAAGTTGCACTTTAAGTTGCAGTCTAAGGTAAAATGATTTGATTAGAAGGGATGTAGATCATTACCATATTCTTGCCATGTTGAGTCCACCGCACCCTAGTCATTTCGATTTTGTTTGCTTTCTGTTGTGCGACATGAAGGGATCGATCTTCTGTACAGAGTTGACACAGTGAGCCACATTAAAATAGATACAATTTTGCCCTACAGCAACCTTCTGTGCCATCTTTTGAGTATAAAATACCATCTGGTCCAGTGTATTGCGTTACGAACTTGGCACTTTTTCAGTGAGAGAAAGTGCGTCAACATATATATATTTTAAAATTATGATGGATGAGGGTCAGGGAACTATGCCTGCAGGCGTGAGGTGTGCTGGCGATTTCCTTGTAGCTGGTATTGTTGGCGTCCAGAAGCGTGCAGTAGATCGTACCATCGTTTTTTTGAATAATGAAGTAGAAAAGGTGGAGAAGCATTTCAGATCAACGCAAGAGGACGCTCCCACGCTATACTTCTGACTTCCAGGAAATGGGCAACGGTCCCAGTATGCTCAAATGGTGGCACAGCAATTCTCTGTAGCCACAATTGTATCAACTTTGTACAGGAGATTGATCCGTTTGTGTCCAGACACAATAAAACAAACGAAATCGAAAGGGCGGGGGTGCCGTGGACTCAAAGTGGCACAAAGATGGTCATGATCTCCGTCACAGCTTCTGATCAAATCTGTTTGATGTAGAAGCCCAAATTTGGAGCCTTGTCTTTCATCTATACTGGTCACAATCCATAATATACAATCCATACAATGAACTGGGGAAATGAACCAATGGAGAAATCCGATATGAAATACAATGTGATAGTCTTGAAACCCTCCTAATTGTAAATGCATTTCTGCATTAAATTTCAAACGCAAAGTCTCAGAACCCTGTTCCCCACGTCTCTTCATTCAGGAACGTCTTCACAATTGGTATGATGAAGGAGGCTCCACATTTGGCACGGCATATGGATCGTTCCACTTCGGATTCTCGATTGTTTGGTGTACACAAAAGAGCCATTTTCCAAAGCCATTGCTCCAGCAAAGATGTGACCTCCAATTCTTTGCAAGTTGCCAAACCATCAAGGGCGCCATTCAGTCGGGCTTCCAAGTGAGACTCAAAGCTTGCGATGTCCCTGCTATTAGTATCCCCAGCACAGCATGCCGAATCCACAACATCCATCATGCGCACCCTCCATGCGTCTAGTCCCCAATTCTGAAGAGGGTCCAGGATGCATTTTTGTAGACATTTCCGCATCATCAATCTTGCATCCAATGTCCAATTGGAAATCAAGTACTCCAAAGCCAACATCTTGGATTCATTTCTCACCAACAGCATAGTCGCTGGATAGGCATTCAATAGCACCTCCAATAGATCAAGTCGTCTGGTCGAAGCGGACAGAAGCATATGAAATGGAGTCATGCCCATCACATCTTGCATGTTCTTCATCTCATTGTGCTTCACGTCCTTACTGAATGGAAAAGACTTTTGTATTTGCTCCTCCAAATGGGCTCTTGTTGTGCTGGATGCATAGTAGCATAGCTCATGAACCGGGTACATTTCAAATCGATGCTCTAGATACTGAGAGATTGGACCACCACCAGTTTGGAGCGATAGCAACATGCAACCTGAAAATAAATTGGCTTCTGGATCGGCAATTACTAGTTTTCCCATGGATGGTGGTATGGCAATGTTGGTAAGCACTTCGCAGCCCTGAAAGCAACGAGGACCGAGTTTTGCCTTTGTTCCCTTTGGAATCTCTACCGAGACCAAGTTCGAACAACCGGATATGGCGTAGGCATGAATCCGTTTGAGTGTTTTCGGGAGTGCCAGGGAACGTAGCGACTTGCAATCACGAAGCGCCGAGTGCCCAATTGCAACCAAGCTATCCGGTAGAATCACTTGGACCATACATCGGCAGTTTGAAAGTGCATCCGAATGAAGCATTTTGTTGGTGAGTGGCAGTGCCATGCGTTGTAACGAAGAACATTCTTGAAAGACCTTTGGATGAATCTCTGCTTGATCGCCTTGAAGGTCCACAGTAATCAGAGCTTCGCAAAAGGAAAATGCCCCCTTTTCAATCGACTTGACAGTCCAGGGAACTTTGATCTCTTCCAAGGAAGAGCAATATGTAAATGCAAAATTTCCAACCGTCTTCAGTCCTTCAGCCAAGGTAACGTCCACCAAAGAGTTGCATCTGAGAAACGAGTAACTTCCGAGAACATCAACAGTCGACGGGATCTGGATGCTTTGAACACTTTTGCAATTTTTAAAAGCACAGGATTGTATCTGGATCAGTGTGCCTGAGGCTGAAAAATTGAGATCCAATAGCCCACGACAATCCTCAAAGGCCCGTTCCTTGATGGATCTCATTGTGGAGGATATTGCAATTATATTTCGTAAAGAAGTACACCCTTTAAAGGCCCGATACTCAATCACGGTACCGGTGCCTATTGATCCATTCATTTTCATCCACGTTTTATACTTCGAAAGGATCAAATTTCCGATTGACTGGGAATGCTGATCTTTAGGCTTCTGCATGTCATCAGCTTCTTTCATCTCTGAATCGCTTTCTAATTGCTGATTCACAGACACAAGAGAGGAACACTCCTCAAAGGCGGATTCGTAAATTGCTTTGATAGAAAAAGGCAAGTTTACTTCTTCTAAAGACACACAGCCAAAGAAGGCACGAACCCCAATGGTCTGAAGGCCCGATGACAATGTGACTTGTCTCAAGCGTTCATGAAAGTAGCACAACTTCCTTGGTATGCCATTTGTCGGCGGAATGACCACTAGCCGTTGCACGTTTGGAGGCACGGGTTGATCGAGGTTTTCTTCAAAGTAGGTGTAGGATAACAAGACGTGATGGTCGCCATTGTCGTGCTTCAGGTCAACAACATTAGTAGAATGATGCTTCGAATCAACATCATCACCAATATTATCGTCCTGTTGCTGTCGTTTCGTGTCTTCTTCGTCCATTTGCCAGTGAACCAAGCTGATGCTTTTACAATTTTAAACAGGGCGAAATAGAATGTTACACAAACCGAAAACCGATGGGTCCAGTTATTGTGCAATGGATGAGACAATATTGGAGGAGTGCGATGATCATATCATATTGCTCGTTTCCGTTGTTCAGTGCGAAATGTGTACACATACCGGTACCTATTGTACCTACTGTATGAGCACGGATATGAGATCGATACTGTATAATTGAGCGTGGAGAAGCGTTTCCGTCGGTCTTCGTTCGAAAGACACTATTTCTGTCCAGGGCTATCTGGCGGGAAATAGAAGCACGGATAGTACCAGGTAACCTGGTACTGGAGATAATAGCAAAAGCGGTCATATGCAGTCATCACGGTTCCATACAGATGGATGCCTACTGTAAAATGCCGGCAATCACGTGAACTGAAAGGCTCTTTTTCCCATTTCCCAGGACAGTCAGAATCATGGCGGAGAATCAAAATGTGAGCTTAGACTTCTCGAAAGAATAAGCCGTGTGTTTACAGTACTGTAAACTAGTACTACGGGGGCAAATCATCTTCTACTAATAGTAGCTACCGGTAGCAAATGGAGTGATGATAGTACCAAACATTGACGTTTCAACCAGTGTAGATTGGTAATCCAAAGCAGATTTCTGATGACTCACCAGATTTCAGAAAGGACTCCGTACTGGCTTGAAGCGACTTTTCCCACTCATTATTATCATGATAAAATGCAATTTCGCCTTCGTGGCTGAAAAGGGTGTCGTCATCTTCATCGTCTGAAACAATTGCACCAACTGGAAAGTCGTCACCTTGGTCTTTGTTCCGGTGGGCCGACGATGATAACAAAGTAGCTTCACTCATTGTGTAGTCGCTTTGAATCACTTGAGGCAGTCTTTTTGCTCTTTGTAGTAACGTTGCAAGATGTCGCCTCATCCTTTCTTCTCTTTTGCGCTGGGCTTTGATAGCATCTCTCAGCGCATGGCTAACCTTCTCTCTGGCTGGTTTGTTTCCCACTGGATACCAACGGTCGGAGCTTGTATCCTTCTTTACGAATCCACCGCAGTGGCTCTTGCTACCTCTTCTCACTAACTCGATTATGGAGTCAACAATCATTGACTTCTCCCACCTGCATTTTGCTTCACTGTACGCTGCAATGTTTTTCGCAATGTATACTCGGTATCGTCTATTTCCAGCTGTAAAGAGTAGCAGTATGAAGAAAGATGATGAGCGGTGGGAACAGAATGATGTAAGAAGCGCTTGTGATTGCAATACGTACCATGGTCGGCGGCCTCTTTACCTCCACAGCAAAGAACGTCCCATTTTCCAGGCTTGAAAGTCTCTGGAAATGGTTCTGACATGGATTCACACCAATGCGTCTCTATTCGAGAAGCTGTGTTGTCAGTGTGCATGGTGTAGTCAAGACAACCTGTTTCTGGTACCATCGCTCTAAGATTTATTTGTGAGGATAAAATTCAATATGTCTATTTACACCTTTTTCTCCGAAATTTTGTTGCGTTTTTAGTGCGTCCGTGGAGTTTTTTAAACAAAATAGTTCGGTTTCGCAAATGTCCCTTCCATCTATGAGCTACTCTTACATTTAATGAAATGGCAAATTCCCTTCATTTGTACGAAGAAATCTACATTCATTGAATTCGGATGATTCTTCGAGTTTCGCGGTCGCACCTCAACAAAAAATTCGGTCTTTCATTTCGGCCAATACACCTATAGTTAAGCACATGATAAAACAGGATACAGTACCACAAGCTCAGCATACCGGTACAAGTACGAAACAAGGAAGAGAACACACTAGTCCGGGCTACCGTATGATTGTCAACGGTCCAAACTATCTCTCTACGAACAGAATAGAGTGTGCGAACGCGATATACCACCGTTTCAATCAGTTAGTTCTCTTCTTGACACTGACCAGAACTGTACTGTATTCCTTATCCTCGCATCTCCGAGTGAATGAAATGAAAATCTGTCATTCTGCATTTCGTCTCAATGTCTAGTTTTTAAAAAACATTTAATGCGGTCTATATACATCTTCTATAGCTGGCTCTGAAAGCATCAGCCCATTAAAAACCTCATTGCTACACCACTCGCAAGTAGCGCACCCAAAAAAGCAGGGACTGGAGTTGCTGCTGTAGCTGCTGAATCATCTGTCGGCACTTGACCATCCGTAGGTGCAGCCACTGGAGCATCCGTGGGCACGGGTACTGCTGTAACAGGCGAATCTATAGGTGCTGCAACCGGAGCATCTGTTGAGGAAGGTACTGGTGAATTTGTGGGCGCAGGTACAGGAGCATCCGTGAGGGCTGGTACTGGTGAATTTATAGGTGGTGCAGCTGGAGCATCTGTCGGGGCAGGTACAGGAGCATCGGTGGGGGCTGGTACAGGGGCGTTTGTTGGAACAGACAGGGGAGCATCCGTAGTAGGTGGTAGAACTGGAACATTAGTGGGAGCAGGTACAGGAATTGGAGCATCCGTAGGCGGTGGAACTGGAGCATTAGTGGGAGCAGGTACGGGAGCATTTGTAGGTGCAGGAATTGGAGCATCCGTAGGCGGTGGAACTGGAGCATTCGTAGGTGGTGGAACTGGAGCATTAGTGGGAGCAGGTACGGGAGCATTAGTGGGAGCAGGTACTGGAGCATTTGTAGGTGCAGGTACTGGAGCATTTGTAGGTGCAGGTACAGGAGCATTTGTAGGTGCAGGTACTGGAGCATTTGTAGGTGCAGGAACTGGAGCATTTGTAGGTGCAGGAACTGGAGCATCTGTGGGAGCAGGTACCTCTGTGGCTGGAATTGCAGGTCCAATTGTGGGAGACGGCACAATTGGAGGCTGTGGAGCCCCCGGCATTCCAATAAAAATGGGAGCTGCAACTGGAGGAGGCTGTGGAGTCCCCGGCATTCCAATAAATATGGGAGCTGCAACTTGAGGAGCTAGAGTAGGGGCGTCCGTAGGTGTCGGGAGTGACAGAGTGATGACTGTAGATCCATACCCTTCATGGAATCCGAACGTATTGCTAGACCCAAAGGCAGCAATGAAATTATTACTGCCGTTGCCATTGATGGTAAGCTCTCCATCCTCCACAAGAAGCTTGGTAAAGGTCAATATTGTGATGCCACCCGATTGCGCAAAGGTTGCGTTGTATAGATTTCGTGATCGCGGTAACTCCGTAATGGCAGAGGTAGACCTGTCGCTTAATCTGTATTTGCGAATGGACCGTTCCTCAGGTTTGGCAATCACCGCTTCGCTATTGATCATGCCTCCATTAGGGCTGACGCCAACAGCAAGCCAACAGCTTTCTGGGACAGTAAAACGAATAGTGATAGAGTCTCGTCCACCGGTAAGCTCATCCTCTGGGTTGAGTCGGTACTCCAAAGTAGTTCCCGCCAATCTTCCTGTGAGACTGACGCTCGCAAACTCAGCCGAAGCAAGCTTGAATTTGAAACAAAGTGCGGCAATAAAGAGCAGCAAGTTGGTGAATCGATGCATGCTAATATTTCCCTGATAACTGCTTCACTGTAGTTTGTGGTGAATCGGAAAGCTCAGTAACGGATTATTGGCGTTGACAAGATCCAAAAAGTACTGTATGAATATCTACTGGTATAGAAACCACCCGAGCAATCGATAATCTGACGCGTTCTTCCAAAGAATTCTCGGGCGGGACCCGTATCGCCAGAAAATGTGTCACTACGACAAAAATCAATTTTCCGATATATTAGGTCCTTATTTTTTTAAAAATAATATAGATGCAACAACAAAACTTGGTCACTATCGAATCTACCGGTATGATGGAGGTTGATGGACGGCTCTTCGTCGTCCGGACTGATTGATATAGTAGAAGAGGTGCGAAATCCAAAACTGGAAAACTTTTAAATCGAAACCTGTTATGTTATGATTATCAGGCACTGTCTATTTTTTATCTTTTGTCAAAGACTCTCCCATGACATTATCAGCCAATCAAACTCTCATGGCTACACCAATCACAATGAGCACTCCCAAAACTCCAATCACTCCATAAAAGGCGTTCAACGTAGATTCCGACTCTCCATTATTGAAGATCTCGTGGTACCAAAAGATACCCAGATTAATCTGATACCAAGCCAATGCAAGTAGCCCTACTCCCAGCAAACGGTGAAGCCCTTCCCACAACTTGCGAGCACAGCTCTTCTCGCCAGCCGGTGGAGGGGTACTTTTGTTGCCTTGTTCGTCATCATTGGGTTCAGGCTTGGGAGGAAGGTGCGGGCGCATGATCCCATTCGCTGCTTGAACAATGCCAAAGATCAATACCAAAAGACCAATCAAACGATGGCCATCAGAAAAGTCACTATTAAAGTGATCGGCGCTCAAGCTTGCCGGAGTCTCCTTGTTTAGAGCCGCAATTGCAACTGACACGCTAGCAATGGTCAATACGATCACCAGGGTCTGCAGAATACGGTGAATCTGAAACCAGATGCCCTCTCCGGGTATGTACTTGCGGAACAAACCGGCCAAAATCGCCAAAGGACACATTACGCCCCAAGCAATGGCAGCCAGCCAGCCGTGAACAACCCACAGCGAATTGTCTCGTGATGCAACTACCTTTCCAGACAAGCTGAAAGATCCACGGACAGAGTGAAAGCCCAATATATTGGAGGATCCGTGTGCGGCAATGAAAATGTTTTCTCCCACGCGATTGATCGGGACCTCGCCATCTTCCACCAGAATCTTAGTATAAGTCAATGTCGTAAATCCGTTGGCTTGCGTAATGGCCGCATTGACCAAGGTCTGCTGGTCGTCTGGCATGGGGGTAACACCCGACAAGTCTCCTGACTTGGAGCTGAGAGAATACTTCTTGACTTCTCCCGTCGCAGGGATTCCAATGACAGCATCGGATCCAATCATGAGTCCAGTTTCACTGGCCCCCACACCGACCCAGGCAGTGACGGGGGCAGTATACGTGACAGTGATACTATCTTTGCCACCAGTGTTTGGATCGTCAAAGGTGAACAAGTAACCAAGGGTAGATCCTTCCAACGCTCCTCGAAGTTCCAATATATCTGCCCCTGGTGGGTTGGTTGGAGCGGCGAAAGGAGCTGCTGCTGTTGGCGCTTCAGTTCTGCCTTCCTCCACAATCACACCAAAGCTTCCGTACAGACGATGAAAGGAAGGCCCGGCAGAAGTACCGCAAGCACCAATGAAATTATTGCTTCGCCCATCGGCATGAACATACAATGCTTCATTTTCCACGTTGGCAGTAGTAGTTGCTCCAGTTGGAAAAATCGGAATGGTATAACGCATAGTCGTCCGATCATTGGCAAAGCTGATTTGCGGGTCGATCAAAGTCTGTTCGGGAAGCGCAGTGACGCCTTCGACGCCACGAGCTTCCAAAAACACTTCAATGGGAGGGCTTGACAATTCTGGAAATCCAGTAACGGCCTTTGCGGGAATCATGACTCCAAATTGACTGACCCCCACACCGACCCAAACGTTGCCTGGGCAACTGTATTCAATGGTAATTGTATCTGCTCCATCCGCCATGACATCGTTGCGATTGAGACGATACTGAAATGTCGCCTCGGCTAGAACCCCAGTCAGCGCAACTTTTCGAAATTCAACTTCTGGTGGTGGGGTAGGGTCTTTGACAGTGACACCAAAACTTCCGTACAGACGATGAAATGATTGACCAGCAGTGGTACCGCAAGCACCAATAAAATTGGTGTTGGTAGTGCCATCGGCACGAATGTCAAATACTTCGTCTTGTGCTGCATTTATTAATGGCAGAGTATACAACAAAGTCGTTCGATCATTGGCAAAACTGATTTGTGGATCGATCAAAGTTTGCTCGTCGTCTGGAAGAGCATTGACGCTTTCGACGTAACGACCTTCCATAAAGTATTGTTGCACTGGTGTGGATTCGTCCGGAAATCCACGGACCGACTTGGAAGGGACCATGGCTCCAAATTGACTGACGCCCACACCTGCCCAAACATTGCCGGGACAAGTGAATTCAATAGTGATGGTGTCTGCTCCATCCGCCATGACATCGTTGCGATTGAGATGGTACCGGAAGGTTGCTTCTGACAGCAAGCCAGCCAATGGAACTTCTTCAAAGTCGAGTGAAACAGGGGTTGGATTTGGTGCTGTAACTACTGGAGCATATGTTGGCGCTTGACCATCCGTAGGTGCAGCCACTGGAGCATCTGTCGGGGCTGGCACTGCCGTAGCTGGTGCATCTATAGGTGTTGCATCCGTAGGGGCAGGTACTGGAGCTTCTGTGGGAGCTAGAGTAGGGGCGTCCGAAGGTATTGGGAGTGACAGAGTGATGACTGTAGATCCATATCCTTGATGGAATTCGAACGTATTGCTAGACCCAAAGGCTGCAATGAAAATATTACTGCCGTTGCCATTGATGGTAAGCTCTCCGTCCTCCACAAGAAGCTTGGTGTAAGTCAGTATTGTAATACCGCCCGATTGTGAAAAGGTTGCGTTGTACAGAGTTCGTGATTGCGGCAACTCCGTAATGGCAGAGGTAGACCTGTCACTTAATTTGTATTTGCGAATGGACCGTTCCTCAGGTTTGGCAATCACCGCTTCGCTATTGATCATGCTCCCAGTGAGGCTGACGCCAACAGCAAGCCAGCAGCGTCGTGGGACAGTGTATCGAATAGTGATAGAGTCTCGTCCACCGGTAAGCTCATCCTCTGGGTTGAGTCGGTACTCTAACGTAGATCCTGCCAATCTTCCTGTGAGACTGACGCTCTCAAACTCAGCCGAGGCAAGCTTTACGTTGAAAGAAACTGCGGCAATCAAAATCAGCAAGTTGGTTATTCGATGCATTCTATATTTCCCTGATAACTTCTTCACTGGGTGGTGTGTGGTGAATTGGAAAGCTCAGCATAGTAGCGGATTGGCGTTGACAAGATCGAAAAGCATCATCATGCATTTTCGATACCCTATTATAAAAAATATGCTGACGCGTTCTTCATATACGAGTAAAAGAAACCGACCTGGCGACAACTAAGGTGTCACTGCGACATATCTAGAATTTTTCCAAAATGAGGTATTATTAAAAAAATACAGTTTGTTATATTTGAAAATGAGACGCTACTGTACAGGTACCAAGCGTAATACCATACTACTGATACTATTGTAGGATACTATGATATGTATTGATCTTTTCCTTTCACTCGCACTCTTTGGACAGTTGAAGAATCAATTCAACCATGATAAGTTGAAGAACGACTGACTGACAAAAATCCACCAATGATGATGTCCTTCTAATGACTCCTATACTACTATCATCTTGAGTCCTTCTTGCAGATCGAGGATGACTCCAATGAATGGCCTGGGCATGGGCCATCTCCTTACACAAACTCCGAAAGTGTGCGATGGAACTACGAGGGACGTGGAAACTATTTGTTCCAATCAGTCCATCTGACACAAAGGAAATAAATCTGTTACTTTGCATTATCGTGGTAACAACTGCCAGGCACTTTACATACTTGATCTTTTGTTAAAAGCTCTCTGAAATTATCATCCCATCAAAACTCTCATGGCTACACCAATCACAATGAGCACTCCCAAAACTCCAATCACTCCATAAAAGGCGTTCAATGTAGATTCCGACTCTCCATTATTGAAGATCTCGTGGTACCAAAAGATACCCAGCTTAATCTGATACCAGGTCAATGCAAGTAGCCCTACTCCCAGCAAGCGGTGAAGCACTTCCCAGAACTTGCGAGTACCGCTCTTCTCGCCAGCCGGTGGAGGGGTACTTTTGTTGCCTTGTTCGTCATCATTGGGTTCAGGCTTGGGAGGAAGGTGCGGGCGCATGATCCCATTCGCTGCTTGAACAATGCCAAAGATCAATACCAAAAGACCAATCAAACGATGGCCATCAGAAAAGTCACTATTAAAGTGATCGGCGCTCAAGCTTGCCGGAGTCTCCTTGTTTAGAGCCGCAATTGCAACTGACACGCTAGCAATGGTCAATACGATCACCAGGGTCTGTAGAACGCGGTGAATCTGAAACCAGATGCCCTCTCCGGGTATGTACTTGCGGAACAAACCGGCCAAAATCGCCAAAGGACACATTACGCCCCAAGCAATGGCAGCCAGCCAGCCATGAACCACCCATAGCGAGTTGTCTCGTTCAATCACCTTGCCAGATAAGCTAAACGATCCGCGGACAGAGTGATAGCCAAGAGTATTGGAGCTTCCGTGTGCGGCAACGAAGATATTGTCTCCCACGCGATTGATCGGGACCTCGCCATCTTCAACCAAAATCTTGGTATAAGTCAATGTCGTAAATCCATTGGCTTGTGTAATGCCCACATTGACCAGGGTTTGCTGGTCATCTGGCATGACACTCACGCCGGGTGTGGTCTTGGCATTGAGCGAATACTTCTTCACTTCACCCGTGGAAGGAAGGCCAATGATGGCAGTGGATCCCAGCATGAAACCGGATTCACTGGCCCCCACACCGACCCAGGCAGTGACGGGGGCAGTATACGTGACAGTGATACTATCTTTGTCACCAGTGTTGGGATCGCCAAAGGTGAACTGGTAACTCAAGCTAGAACCCTGCAAGTCTCCCGTAAGCTCCAAAACATCTGCTCCTGGTGGGTTCGTGGGAGCTTCAAAGGGAGCCGCCGTGGTGGGAGGATTGGTGGGAACAGGGGCTGCTGTGGTGGGCGGCGGTGTGGGACTGGCATCGGGTCCAGGATTAGATCCATCATCCAAGGTAACAGCTTGAGATCCAAAGCCTTGATGGTATGAAAACGTGTTGCTAGATCCAAAGGCGGCAATAAAGGTGTTGCTGGCAGCTGCCGTAATGGTGAATTCTCCATCTTCCACGAGTAGCTTGGTAAATGTCAAGACAGTATTGCCGCCAGTCTGTTGTAAACTTGGATTGATGAGGGTTTGGTTGGGTTGCTCACTAATAGCACCAGCACCCCTGGCGGTTATTTTGTATTTGCGCACCGAATTGTTGTCGTCAGGCTTGCCAATCACCACTTCGCCGTTGGGCATGGTTCCAGCAGGATTGACGCCCACAGCAAGCCAGCTAGTTTGCGGGACGGTGTAACGAACAGTAATAGTGTCTTGGCCACTGGCATTTGGATCGGCAAGGTTGATTTGGGTTTCCAAGGTTGCTCCTGTCAAAGATCCTGCGAGACTGACACTTGTAAAGGCAGCTGAAGCAAGCTTAACGTTCAAACAAAAGGCGGCAACAATGAGGAGCAGCCATCCTCTTTTCAGCAAGTTGGTGAATGGATGCATGATGCAATCTCGCTATTAGCTTCTTAACTGGATTTGGTGGTGAATTGGAAAGCTCAATAGCGATGTGTTGTGGACAAGATCGAAAAGTATGAAAGAACGTCAAGAAACCACCCGAGCAGTGTTTCGACATCCAGATGACAATAAGACACATATTTTCGAATTCTTGGGCAGAAACCTTGACCTGGCGCCAACTCTTTTATTGTGTCAGTGCGACAAAAAAGAATTTTTCAAAAATGAGGAGGTGACCATTTGCATAAAATATATTGTCACATCAAACTGTTGCAGCAGGTGCAGGCATAGCAAGCATAATTCGAGTTTGTATCCAACAAAAAAACGAGGTATTATTCTATTACTATTATTGGATCCTATGATTTGAAACCATTTCACTCGCATTCTTTGGACAGTTGAAGAATCGATCCAACGATTGAAAGTTGAGGAACGGCTCACGACAATCCAGCACCACCGATGAGGGATGACATGATGAGGACTCCTATGTATTCTCTTGAGTCCTTCTTGAAGAACGACGGTGACTACAATATATGGCTTCGACATCTCGTTCTAATTGCAATTTTGTTTCGATACGAGTATCCTCAGAATGTACAGGAACTACGGGGGATGTAAAAAATCTGGTTTTGCTCGTTCGTAGTATTATCTACTGTTTAGACTCGAACTGCCCCGACACTGTTAGCATCTCTAAAAGTGTCACTTCAGAGCTTAACCCATGAAGTGCCTGCTCGTCTAAACGATTTGGTTCACCGCTGAAGCATTGTCACCGATGGCGGATTGTTCCCCATTGAAAATGGACCACAAATGCAAACCAGCCGTATGCACTCCATCGTCATGTCCTCTCCCATAGCAGCAAGGCTGCTTTCAAACATTATAGTTTCAATCAGTCCGTTTGACACCTAAGGAAATATATCTGTTACTTTGCATTATCATGGTAACAACTGCCAGGCACTTTCTATTTTTATCCTTAGTAACGGACTCTCCACTGGACTCTCCTCTGGCATCATCAGCCCATCAAAACTCTCATGGCTACACCAATCACAATGAGCGCTCCCAAAACTCCAATCACTCCGTAAAAGGCGTTCAACGTAGATTCCGAATCCCCATTATTGAAGATCTCGTGGTACCAGACGATACCCAGATCAACCTGATACCAGGCCAATGCAAGTAGCCCTACTCCCAGCAAACGGTGAAGCACTTCCCACAACTTTCGCGCAACACTCTTCTCGCCGGCCGGTGGAGGTGTACTTTGGTTGCCTTCTTCGTCATCATCGGGTTCAGGCTTGGAAGGAAGGTGCGGGCGTATGCTTCCGTTGGCTGCTTGTCCAATGCCAAAGATCAATACCAAAAGGCCAATCAAACGATGACCATCAGAAAAATCGCTGCTAAAGTGATTGGCGCTCAAGCTTGCTGGAGTCTCTTTGTTGAGAGCCGCAATCGCGACAGCCACGCTAGCAATGGTCAATACAATCACCAGGGTCTGCAGAATGCGGTGAATCTGATACCAGGTGCCCTGTCCTGGAATGTACTTGCGGAATAAGCCGGCCAAAATCGCCAAAGGGCACATCACTCCCCAAGCAATCGCAGCCAGCCAGCCGTGAACTACCCACAATGAGTCGTCTCGTTCAATTACCTTTCCAGACAAGCTAAAGGATCCGCGGGCGGAGTGATAACCCAGTGTGCTGGACGGTCCGTGAGCGGCAATGAAAATGTTTTCTCCCACGCGATTGATTGGTATCTCGCCATCTTCGACCAGAATCTTGGTATAGGTTAGAGTTGTAAACCCGTTGGCTTGCGTAATGGCCGCATTGACCAAGGTCTGCTTGTCGTCTGGCATGGGTTTAACATCCGACAAGGCCAAGGAAGTGAGAGAATACTTCTTGACTTCTCCAGTATCAGGGATTCCAATGACAGCATCGGATCCAATCATGAGTCCAGTTTCACTAGTACCCACACTGACCCATCCAGTGACGGGGGTAGTGTAGGTAACAGTAATACTATCTTTGCCACCAGTGTTAGGATCGTCAAAAGTGAACAAGTAAGCAAGGGTGGATCCTTTCAAACCTCCGGTAAGTTCCAAGATACTACTATCCGCTCCTGGTGGGTTTGTGGGAGCGGCGAAAGGAGCGGCGGCAATTACAAGCCATCCTAACATCATCAAATTGGTGACTCGAGGATACATGATACAAACTCAGTTACTTTACTGAACTATGCGGTGAGGTGAGCCTTGGCAAAATATTTGGCAAGCCAAAAAATGGGAGAAACTACCTGCTGGTCAGGGATAGAAACAAATGCGAATCATATATATCTGATTGACAGACTCACTCCTTGTCTATATGAAAATAAATCGACATCGCTACCAAAACACCAGGTACGATATCATTGTTATTATTGTTGTACAGCTTTCACTGGTCATGGATGGAAAATGCGAATCCGCTTGCGTCTATTTTGTCGTTGACTTTTGTGAAATCATATGACGACAGGAGCTTTTATATGTGTCACTGCGACAAAAGAGAATTTCTCCAACAAAATGAGATGGTATGATACTTTGCAATACCGGTGCACGGTAATAATATACGGGACTTGTAGATCGGTCTGCATCCAAACTGTAGGTATTAGGTACACGTAGGTAGAGGGTAGGTAGGTATTCTAATAATACTATTGTACTATGATATGTGTTTATCTTTCTATTTCACTATTTGAACGGTTGAAGAATGAATCCATCCATCCATAGACCCATCAATAAATATATTATATTGCTTCAATCACCACCACACATTATTTTCAATGAAATGGCCATCAAAATGATAAATGCAAAAATCCCCATCACTGCGTAAAAGACAGATGCAGTAGGTTCCTGGTTTCCATTGTCAAAGATCTCGTGATACCAAAAGATTCCCAAATCAATCTGATACCAAGCCAACAAAAGGAGCGCTGTCCCCAACAACCGGTGCAGTACTTCCCACACCTTGCGTTTTGTGCTCATTTTTTCGTCGTCGCTCTCGGGAAGGTGCGGCCGTAAGACTCCACCCGTCACTTGGAATATGGCCACAATCAATACCGCCAAACCAATCGTCCGATGACTATCGCTAAAATCTGGTTGGAAATGACCGGCACTCGAATTGTCTGGTGTGTCTTGGTTCAAGGCGACAATGGCAATGATGATTGCTATTAGCGTGAGCAACACTACTAAGGATTGCAAGGTGCGATGAATCTCATACCACATGCTTGGTCCACCAGGAATCCATTTTCGGAGGAGGCCTGCCAAAATGGCTAGAGGACAAATGACACCCCACGCGACATAGGCCAAGCAACCGTGAGCAATCCACAAGGAGTTGTCTCTTCCCACTGCCTTTCCAGATAAGCTAAACGATCCGCGGACAGAGTGATAGCCAAGAGTATTGGAGCTTCCGTGTGCGGCAACGAAGATATTGTCTCCCACGCGATTGATCGGGACCTCGCCATCTTCAACCAAAATCTTGGTATAAGTCAATGTCGTAAATCCATTGGCTTGTGTAATGCCCACATTGACCAGGGTTTGCTGGTCATCTGGCATGACACTCACGCCGGGTGTGGTCTTGGCATTGAGCGAATACTTCTTCACTTCACCCGTGGAAGGAAGGCCAATGATGGCAGTGGATCCCAGCATGAAACCGGATTCACTGGCCCCCACACCGACCCAGGCAGTGACGGGGGCAGTATACGTGACAGTGATACTATCTTTGTCACCAGTGTTGGGATCGCCAAAGGTGAACTGGTAACTCAAGCTAGAACCCTGCAAGTCTCCCGTAAGCTCCAAAACATCTGCTCCTGGTGGGTTCGTGGGAGCTTCAAAGGGAGCCGCCGTGGTGGGAGGATTGGTGGGAACAGGGGCTGCTGTGGTGGGCGGCGGTGTGGGACTGGCATCGGGTCCAGGATTAGATCCATCATCCAAGGTAACAGCTTGAGATCCAAAGCCTTGATGGTATGAAAACGTGTTGCTAGATCCAAAGGCGGCAATAAAGGTGTTGCTGGCAGCTGCCGTAATGGTGAATTCTCCATCTTCCACGAGTAGCTTGGTAAATGTCAAGACAGTATTGCCGCCAGTCTGTTGTAAACTTGGATTGATGAGGGTTTGGTTGGGTTGCTCACTAATAGCACCAGCACCCCTGGCGGTTATTTTGTATTTGCGCACCGAATTGTTGTCGTCAGGCTTGCCAATCACCACTTCGCCGTTGGGCATGGTTCCAGCAGGATTGACGCCCACAGCAAGCCAGCTAGTTTGCGGGACGGTGTAACGAACAGTAATAGTGTCTTGGCCACTGGCATTTGGATCGGCAAGGTTGATTTGGGTTTCCAAGGTTGCTCCTGTCAAAGATCCTGCGAGACTGACACTTGTAAAGGCAGCTGAAGCAAGCTTAACGTTCAAACAAAAGGCGGCAACAATGAGGAGCAGCCATCCTCTTTTCAGCAAGTTGGTGAATGGATGCATGATGTTTCGATCCTCTCTCTCTCTCGCTCTTTCTATGGCGTCAATTGCAAAGAGGTCAGCTGTTTCATGAGGTGTTTCACATATACGCTGAACGATGAAAGCAGTCTTGCCGAGTGAGTCGTTTTTTTTTTTTAATACGTCGTGTACGGTATTTAAAAAATTGTCCAATCTTTTTGCCTTTTACGAGTATGCATAGAGAAGAATGGATGCGACATGCGACCATTAAATGCTTGTTTCATGCTGGAACAAAGTCGAAAAGAAGGATTGGGAAGCACTACTGGCGTGTGTCAGATGGGACAGATGGGCTGGCGTGCGTCTGAGCTTTTGGACAAGTTGTACACGCACGTCAACAGACTTCGGCATTTTTCTACCGGAAGAATTGTTTGTCATCTTACAATAACCTCGTGGACAGTATACCGGTAGGTACCATAGGCCCAACATTTTTGATCTGTCACTTGGTGTACTACCCAAGGGTTGTTGGATAGACATTCCCTCGTCGAGTCTGATAGGTGGTACAGGAGAAGTGGATTCCTGATTTTGTAACTGAAGTTTCTATCGGAATTTTACAGAATTGCTCCAAACAGTTTGAAATTTGAAATTATTCTTCCAGCATCATGACAAAATTGATGGAACTCGGCTCGACGCTTCGATGGAAACCTGGAAGCTGGCAAGAGTTTGTATGGGATGTCTGTATCGGTTTGGTCACGGGGGCTGGCCACTTTTTGTACTTTTTGAGGAATTGGTTCATCGAACGACCTCTAACATATGTACTGGGAATGGACCACAACATCTTTCAGACCAACCAGAAACTTCGCAAGGGAGAAGGGAAATTAAAGGTTGTGGGGGTTGGGTTTGGTCGAACGGGAACGGTGAGTGAATTGTTCTTTCATGTAGATTCTGGCGGTACGCATCATTGTTGTGGGAGGAATGTAGTATGGACGTTCTGGTAGATGAAGCAAGTGGAATGTATCATTGAAAATAATGATTGTGTTGACAAATTAACGACGTCGAATCTCTTACATTTGCAAGTTGTCCATATTATTCTCTAACAAACAATCCAATGAATCAATGAATGAATGAATCCAGTATTCACTGACTTTGGCATTAGACGAATTGGAATACCCTACGTTACATACACAGCACTTGTACGAGAATGAGGATATCTTTCGCATGTGGATGAACAATGTCTTTCAGCCATCATTGGACAGCGGTCATGCCACAGTTGGGCAACCTGATTTTGACATTATTGCGCAACATGGTTACCAAGCCACCATGGACTTTCCGACCGCTCTGTATTACGAACAAATACTCAAGGAGTATCCGGATTGCAAGTTCATTTTGACGACGAGACAAGATTCCGAAACTTGGTTCCGGTCCTGGGAAGGGTTGGCCAAATCCATTACTAGTGCCGCCAATGTTGGAGGATCGCTGGTATCAGCAGTCAAACAATATACAATTTACCTCAGGTGGCTCTATGCCATGGTGAATGAAGATGATTCCTATTTGACTTCCCCGGAACCCCGCGACGATCAGAACCACTATGTTGCCATTCGATCGTATGAGAGACACAATGCTCGGGTGAAACAGATTATTCCTCCCAATCAACTCCTGGAGTACAATGTAAAGGACGAATGGAAGCCACTATGTGAATTCTTGAATGTCCCTGTTGACAAGTGTCCCAACAAGCCATTTCCCAAAACCAACAGTGCACGGAGCGTTCAGATTCAATCCATTTCAAGTTATGTGTTCCCCTTACTGATTGTATCCTGGATAAGTATGAAATTTTTTCGCAAGGCTACCGGCAAGACTGTCGTGGAATGGGTGCGTGTCCAAACGGACTTGGTGCACCATCGATTGCAAAAGACCATGTTGAGTTATAAAAGTTGTACTCCAGGAAAAGACTTGGAGGAAGATGGTGATGGAATTGCCGCTGCAGTGTACAAACACTCGTGACACAAAACATGATGAAAGTGTGATGTTCATGACGATGATGATGTGGATGATGTGAAAGTGATAGAAAATGTCGAATCATGATGGTGCATTCTCGAAATCCGTGTTTGTTTTTTGACAGAGTCAGGCTTCGTTTGAGATAAGCATGAGGAAAAATATATCCAGTATATATATAGATGTAATTTGTTGTTGGAAGGTATAATTTGCTGTCACCCAATAGAATGAGTACATATAAGATGTAGCTAAATCAAATTGTACATTGTCGAACGAATACCGTTGTAACTGGGTTTTCGTCCTGCTTTTGGTGGGGAGGGATCAAAAGTTCCAATGATAAGCAATGCAAAGTTCCAATAAGCAATGCAATCTGCACCATGACGGTACTAATAATTATTATCATTCCGTTATAGTGCAGCTACTACTGCAGGTCCTACTGAGCTTTCATTGTGATGATTTTAGATATTCTAGTATAATACTCGGTTGTTATTCTGTCTAGATCGTCCCTTCATCATTCTGTGGATATTTTTAAGGCTTCTTTACGACTCCAACTTCAGCAGGTCGCAAGACTCGGTTGTTCAACATGAATCCAGACTTGATGACTTGTCCAACGGTGCCTGGTTCCCTGGATTCATCAGGGTATTCCATAAGAGCATTCATTGTTTCAGGATCAAAGCCATCACCTGGTTCTTCGCAGAACTTTGTCACACCATTGGATTGGAAGGCTTTGATCAATCCATCGTTGGTCATTTGAATACCTTGATACAAGGAGGACAAATGTGTGTTGGTTTCCAATTCCGACTCATCGACGGATTCCAAGGCGCGATTCAAATTGTCCGAGACTTCCAATAACGATTTGGCAAAAGACTTGATGGCAAAGTTGCGAGCAGAATCAACATCCTTACGAGCAATGTTTCGGGTATTCTCTTGTTCTGCGAGACTTCGCAACAATTGGTCTTTCAATTCCTTGACTTCGGCTTGTAGCTTTTGTTCAGGACTCTCTTCAGCAGCAGCAGCAGCAGCAGCAGGTTCTTCTTCTTTTGGAGGCTCTTCAGTTGCTGTCTCTGCTGCTGCTGCTTCTTCCTTTTTGGTTTCGTCACTGAACCAGCGGTATTGTGGTTGAAAGTTTTGTTCTTGAGATTGTACAGTAACCGATGCAGGGTTGGTGGCTCCCGCAACGATACGATGAGAGGATGTGGCTCGAGCAGCCGCAGTCGAAAGACTTCGAAGGGCTGCTGAAGATCTAGAGCTCTTGGCGGCGATTGTACGAAGTCCGTTGATCATTTTTGTTGTTGTTGTTGTTGTTGTTCAATTCAAGCGTAGAGGCGCAAGTTATATATATATATATCTTTGTTGCAAGATGAATGAATGAATGAATGAGAATCTAAATAACAGCTGACGACGATGATGTGTTTCATTCTTGTTCCTGTGGCGGTCCTTTCTTCTGTCCACTTTTGAGGCTGTAAAAGATTGACGTCAGCTACACCGAACGGGAGAAGGACGAGCAGCATGTTTGTCGAGCTAGTCGACTATCTTCAATCTATCGAGTGCTTCCACAATTCACAACAATAACTGATGACCATATTGGCAGATCCATCAGGTCTGATTGTTGGAGATGCGGAAACAGTCGGAATACGATACTTTCCTGGAGAGGAAGACAAATGTCCTCCATTTCGCGTCTTGTATCCTGCATCCTTCAACGTTCGTCATTCCTCCTCTTTAGGTGAAGAAAACGAACAAGAAGGATCCACAACAACAACAAGGGCATCAAACCAAACAAGTCGAAGGCGGGTCAGCTGGTTTCACGAACATGGAGTCGCGTTCTTTTGGAATGGGTATCTTCATGTTGCCGGAATTAAGAAAGGATCTTGGTTATTCGCATTTCTATCCACCGCAATTGGTGCGATTGCCTCCATTGCAACCTTTTCGTGTTCCGTGCTCGGATGGAATGGTTTGCATTTCCCAAGAGGGCTTCTATCAGTGGATGCACCACCAGCAATTGTCATCGAGACAAAGAAGAAAGACAAGAAACCTTTGATTGTGTTCTCACATGGTCTGACGGGGACGGGTGAAGAAAATTTACTTCTCATGTCAGCCTGGGCCAAAATGGGATTCGTTGTGGTTTCTGTTCATCACACAGATGGGAGCTCCTGCCGGGTGCGAATCCAAAATGCAGCATCAGTAGCAGCAGCTGCAGCAGCAGATGGTTTTTACAAACATGGCCCGCCATTTGCCAACTACGACGCTACCTTTCGTCCCAAACAAATATTGCATCGAACCAGGGACATTCAGCAGGCTTTGGAGTTTGTGGCGACCAGTCCAGATTTGGCAAAGATTCGCTCCATCTGCAATATTCAAGAAATCATCTCGGCTGGGTTTTCCTACGGCGCTGCAACAGCTGTCTTGGTAGCACATACCATTCCACAACGAATCAAAGGTTTGATTCTATTGGATGGATGGTTCTACATTGATGTTTCCCAAGCAGCAGGTATTGAATTCGAGTTTCCACCGCAGGCATTTCTACCAGAAGACGGCAGCGATTTATCGACGATAGTTCCTAGTGTCTTTATCAATTCAGAAGCTTTTGAGAGCTACACTAAAATTTACCAAGCCACTCGTCGGTTGGCAAGACAGTTCAGTGGGAGTGGATCGGTTCCACGACAAAACGAAACACCGTTATCATTCGACAACATGCATGTCCTCAAGGGTACCCAACACAACAACTTTTGCGACGTGATTTTTTGGTTCCCCACTAGATTGCTCCGATATTTGGGCGTCATTGGACAAGGGTGTGATCCCAGAGACCGATATCGCGAGATCATTCGAATATCATCAGACTTTTTGAAGACCAACTTCCATGAAACATCATGACCTTGAATGGAAAATCATTCAAATTCCAAAAGAGAACCGCCCATACAGACTGATAGACAGGAACATGAGAGATCTGAGAGTTCAAGTCCACTCACTCGTTTGCAACTACATCGTCCATGGCGATCTTATTCTTCAACTATACCCCATGTGGGCCCATTTACGACATTGGATTCAAATAGTAGTCCTACCAGAAGACAAGCTGTAACAGACTTTCTTACCAGCGACTAGTGATTCATTTGGAAGAGTGTGCTTTGGACACCACAAGAAAACAGAAATATGACCAGCAGGACGTCTTTCACACCTACTATATATTTTTTAAATGAATCTTCTTCTCCTTCTTGGAGTTGCTCTTGTTGATAGGATCCTTCATTCGTCTGATGCCTTTTTAAAAGATTTCAAAATGATCTTTGTCAGAGTCGCAGCGCAGATAACTCGATCGATGGGGCAAAACCAGTCCGAAGGGTCATCATCAATCACAACAGCACCTGCGCCCAGCTGACAACAGCATCGCATGCAATGAAGGACGTGCTTCTGATCATGCGCAAGTTTGCGTCACACCTAGTGTATTACAAACAATACCCACGAAACGGTTCTTATTTCTCTTCGCTTCACATACGCAAGTGAGGGGTCATTGCTTAAGTGAGATTTCGAGCTCGTACGAAACAGTTTTGAACGTCATTTGCCACTAAAAGAGTTAAGGCCCACCACGTGGCACGCCGGCTTCAAACGGTTTCAGCCCCATTAGGTCCTATGCGTTGCCTGGAGTTTTTTTGTTTTGCTTGTCGATCAAAGTCGATGTTCTATTTCACGATACATCATCATTCGAAACTTGCATGGACATCAAACACAATCATACATTTTGAGTCACACAACAAAGCTGACGATGTATAAAGGCGAGAGTGATTCTCTCATTGAATCAGATACCATGGCTCCACAGCACAGTGACGATAACAATAAGGAGGGAGACAACCGGCAGCCAAGCGTTGCACCTCCTCTTGAAACGGTATTCCAGCGATCCAACATGAATGAAAACGATAGTGCTGCAGAATGGAAGGACACACTATCTGCAGGTACGAAACGACGAAGGGGTGAAGAACTAGCGAAATGGGAACTGGCAAGCAAACGAGAGGCAAGTCGATTGAGCTCGATGCGTTGCCAAGAACGGAAACGGAAACGAATGGACTATTTGAAGGATGAAGAAGATAGATTGAAGGTTCAGAATCAGAATATGCTACAGCAAAACAATTCTCTTCGATTACTGATATCTGTGATAAGGCAAAGTTTAAGTGTGATTCCACCGCAGAACGTGCAAACCAACCCGATTGGAATGGCACAAGGTGGAGGACCCGCTCTCTATAACCAAGGAGTATTCGGTGCAGTGCAGCAAGTTCAGCAACAGCCCCACTTCGTTGGCATTCCACAGATACCAGCACCTAATAATCTCAACCTATCAATCGCATGGATGGCTTCGATGAATCAACAAATGCCTGGGCTACCTAACCAAACGCTACCCTCCTTGGCGAATCCTCCTCCTGTTGCTCAGTTTCAGCAGCCATTTATTGTGGCCCCGAATACGATCAACCCGCAGATGCAAATCAATCTTTTCCAGAATGCTTTGCCTGCGCAAAATAATCTTCCTGCTCTACAGAACCTTTTCGCCATGGCACAGCAGGCAGGACTACAACAACAACAACAACAACAACCGCAACATCAACTTCAACATCAACATCAACATCAACAACAGCAACAACAACAACAACAACAACCGCAATATCAACAACAACCGCAATATCAACAACAACTACAACTACAACAACTACAACAACTACAACAACTAGGGAACATGATGATGCCACAACAAGCAAATCCAGTTCAACAACAACAGCAGCAGCAACAGCAACAGCAACAACAGGTAATTTTGCAACCGATTCCTCATAGAATGGCCATCAGCATAGACATGGTGAATGGCGAAGAAGAACATAATAATTTGAAGAATTCATGATGATAATCTCATCAGCACGATTGGCTGGAAACAGGACATCAGACAGCCACGATTGCTTTACTATAATGTGCGGATGAACAATAAACACGGGTCCCAGAATGCGAAGAAACTATTCGGACTAATGTTACAGATAAATGTTACAGAAACCTAAAAAAGGAGATGCGAGATTAATCGTGCTGCTGGAACTATCTTTGCCTGAAGAGAGTGTTGAGACCCTTTGATTCACCAGCTTGGACGAAAACTTCACGACTCTTATTATTGTTATCGGAACTTCAGAAATACTATGTATTCTAGCGAAGTGAAAGTCTCCGTAAAGTTTCACGCGTGCCAATTAGTCGGAAGTGTATGACAACAGCATTACTTAGGCCACACCATGTGTCCGATCCAATGTCATTCACAATTGGTTGGTCGACGAACCGTGGTGCTGTACGCGACTGTTGGCAATATATATGATACTCTCCAATGTTCAACAGCTTTAGCTTAAACTAGCTTTCTACTCGTCGATCCTAATAGGCGCCAAAGACTAGATTGCATTCGAAATCAAGAATGGACGGTAATGCAGACTGATTTTTGGTAGTCTCAGTAGTTGTTCAAGTCCAAATATTGTTTCATTAGGACCACTTCCTCATTGTCGGAGCGGACTCCTCTCGGGCTGTTTGACCTATCGAGAAAAAGGTCCTGATCTTCAGACAGGTCGTTGCATGTTTCATTTCAAACTGAAAGTGCTTCCTTCCTTCGAGGAACGAGGTGTGGACGGAACCCCATCAAACGGTACAGTTCAGATCTTGCCTGCACACAACGAGATAATGAAGTTTGTTGACCGAAGCGATTGATGCCGTCCTTACTTCGAGCAAGCGTTCTTGCTCTTACTGTCCAAATTTGTGGAAACGGAATTTCAATCCGACTCCCACTTTATGCAGCTTCCTTATCTTAATTTGTTTGTACTCAAACGCGCACTGTGCACAGTAAATCAAGGTGAGTCCATGTGTGAGAAAGGAATTCACAGGTTCCAGCGACAGAGAACCACCATTATTCATACACAGCGAAACTTACATATCTGCAACTTGTCGTCGTATCCTATTGAAATCCAGTCTGGTTGGCTGGTACTCCACTGAAGATTGTTAATGGCTCCATTCGCATTGTACGCCAAAATGGGTTCTTCCACAGGTCTCTTTTGCATAGTACTCAAGTCCCATATCAGTGCTTGTGAATCGTCAGCTGCCGTACAAATGTGACAAGATGAATGCGGTGCCCATGCCACAGAATTAACGCAAGCAAAGTGTCCACCGAGCTCTGCTACAGCAATACTTGGAACCCGAACATCCAGAATGACAGTCTTTTTCGATTCCAAACAGAACGTAGCCAAATAATTGGGATCTTGCTTGTTCCATTCAATTCTTAAGAGAGGGTCCAAACCAGGGGATTCATAGATGATCGTTGAGTGCTCCAGACTTCGCAAATCGAACATCCGTACAGACCCATCAGCACCCACAGAAGCAAAGACATCTTTCCCTCGGGAAAAGGCTAGATCAAAGACTTCCCTATCATGTGCAATCAGTTGAGTCTTGGGCGACTGAGTCGTAACATCCCAAATCGTACACGTTGTATCAATCGAACAAGTCCCCAGTACCGTCGGATCTGCTTCATTCCAATCAAAAGATGTCAGAGGTGCACAGTATTCACTCGTCTTGTTATTGTTCAACACGGCTTCCTTCTTGACTTCGGATCTTCCAGAAGCATCTGTTTCCCGTGATACACTCCACAGCCTCAGGTAATCTCCAGTCGTGGCAAGTAGATCGGGGGCTCCGGGTGCTAAATCTGGAGACCAGCCTAATTTGGTGCAAGGATATGGATGATCAAACTCTGCAGCCTTGTACAGCGATGTGCTGGGATCATCCGAATTGGGATTCTTGTGAATGATGGAAACCACATTTGAATACTGTTCGACATAAGAACCAATCGCTAGACGAAACGGTGAAGCTGCATGTTGCCTGAAACCAATTGGAAATGAGGACAACTTTAGAATCGCAAGAGAATCATACAACGATTCTGCGCTCGCAACCCTCTGCTGCACGACAATCGAAAGAAAAAGTTCACCTAATTTCAAAATGGTATTTTCGTACCTTCTACTCCACCCCATTGCAAATACACTCCATGGTGCTTTGTATGTGTAAATCTCCTTCCGTGGTCCTTGTGCTGCTACTGCATTGGCGGCAGCGTCGTGTTCCGCCATGGTTTTTCAAGCTAGTGGAGGTACGATAGTTGAAGTTGATAGGTGTAGACAGATGTCGATGATCGAAGCATCATCATCCTTCCACCGTTTTTCCAAATAATTTCAATACGCGCGTGACGGCTTTGTCGTTGACAAAACGAAGCGCGCCAGCCGATAACGATTTGAAGTCAAACACAAAAATGAAACCATCAGTCTACCACAGAGATGAAGAGTGGTATCCGCATACTTGCAAAAGCCCGGAAACAGAATGATCGAAATCTTGTCCTACTCTTTTTTCTGTTCTGGTTGTCGCTGGTTGACAGGTCTACGTCGTTGATTGCAGGACATCACTCGAAACACAGAAAACTACTGCAACTGTCGACGAGAACGAGGAGTAGGACGATATCCAACAGCAGTTCCAAGAATAATCCTCATCATGATGAACATGATTCTAGTCGAAGACTATTGCTTGCGTTCATTGCACCAATTTGGTCGGCAACTTTTACTCCAATATCATGCAGAGCGACAGGAGAAGGCGAAGAGCGAATGGTGCTAACGAAGAAACCAACAGCACCACGGGGAGCACTGATTCCAGCATTACAACAGCGCATTTTGTTGGAAGAATGTATTTCATCATCCAGATCCCTCGTGCAGCCTAACCAAGAAGTCAACGATAAAAATCAAATATTGGAAAAACTAAAGACCATTGTGGCACCTCTGCCTGACGGAACCTCGACATTATTCCGACAGCAGCCCATCAAGCTAGGCCTTGAAGCGGAGCCTTTTGCCAACCAACAATATCTTCAAGGCAACGTGGTTCGAGTCGCAATGAACCTCTACACCTCCAACTTGAGACTCGAAAACGATCTACCGAGTTATACTGTGACGGATCCCGCTTGGAAAAAATCTTACATACGACAAAACGATGGATTGCCCGACATTGCCAAAGTCTTGCAAGCAGATATGGATTTGCGAGACCTGTACCGAAATTCCATCGTGACGTACTTGGATGATGCTTCCGCCGAGTTGTACTCCAATGACGTTGATTTCGTCGAACTGAATCAACTGCTCGTGCAAGCCGCAGAACAGTTTGATCTCTGGTTGGGACGCATCGATGATGCCGAAGTAAAGGTAGAACTTCAATCCGTCCTAGAAGGCAAGACACCAAAGATCTACAAATCATATTATGCAGGATTTGTACCACCAAAGTAGTAAAATAGTAATGGCAACATCTATGCTAATCATTTCAGTAGCAATAATCTTCTACTGTTTCTTCTATGTATTCCTCTTTCCTGAAGAGGTTCTTGATGTTCACATTTCAGTAAGTACACAATTTGATAACTAATTCAATTACTGACCGAGGACTTGCGCCGTAGTTTCAAATGATTCCTTCTCGACATGAACCAAATTGGTTGTAATAGCGACTATGCAGTGAAGAGCAATGTCTGAATCCTTGACGAGGTGCATCTTCATCTGATGACGATTGCGAGTATTCTCCCATACCCACCAACCGCAGAGCGCTGGATGAACTAGCGCGTTATCATGCAATGCTGCTTGCGGGATATATGACTGAAACTGTGCCGTCATAGACTTGATTTCTTCTACCTTGAGCAAGCTCTTGTCCGACGCTACTCCTTTGAAATCACTGTCGTGCTCCCAATCTTGAATGTAAGGGAAAACTTCCCCGTGGGATTTTCCATAGGCAATGTCAATTCGAGCCCTGCGGTAGATTTTTTCCTTGTCCGATATGCCCTCATCTGCTTGTTGGTCTTCCCATACAGGCTTGTACGCGAAGATTGTCCACTTTTCATGAAGGGCGTCAGTGTGGACGCAGAACAGCTTTTCACCGCTAGCGGAGCACAGATCGAACCACTTTGTACTGCCAACAATGGGTTTGGACACGTAGAGAAGTTCGTCTACATCATTTCGGATTTCAAAACTTCTCTGATCGACAATAGAGTTGTTCTTTCTCAGCGTCAGAATGGACAGGTCTTCCGATGGCATGGAACCATCGATGGTTTCCTTGACTCCTGCTGAAGCGCTCTCCCAATCAGTTTCTGCGAATCTTGATGTTGCTCCTCCCATTTTCAAATTGTCTTGTTATAATACGTTGTTCTGAATTTTAAAATTATTTGTGTTATCACTCTCAAGGGATTCTTTTCTTTGGCAAAACATATACCATACTGTACGTTGATGTCAATATTCCATCTCGTCGTGTGACGGCTTCTCGTTTTCAGAATTCGGATCCGATTTTGTGAGACTGTCTCACGAACACCAGTCGTCCGAATAGAGTCATCCGGTCATCGGACGGTGTTCGAAGTGTGATCGGACTCAGAATTTCTGCACGCACGCGACGCCCAATATTTTACTGGTATACCGATATATATGCATCTCATCGTCGTCGGAAGCAAACTCGGACATCAGAAACAGCAACCAATCCATCAATCCATCCGTCATTGCCCTCTTGCGCTAGTAAACGAATCACAATTTATCTTCAATGGCTGTGAGTTCCATGTTTGTTGCCGTGGGAAATCTGCTGATGGCACACAATATTCTGACATTCATTCATTCATTCGTTCGTTCGTTTCATTTGTTCAGGCACAATTTGGCGGAAATAATAATAATAACAATAATAATAACGGTGATGATGATTCGATTGAATTGGAATCGATTAATTTCGAACAAATGGAAAAAGGGAACAGGAATAAGGCATACGAAGCCTTGAGCAAAAGTGCCGACACCCTTTTGGCGGAGGACCGCTACGAAGTTGGACAAGACGTATATGGTTTGATCTTTGTCAGTCCTGTGACCTCTCCGTCATTCATTTTTGCCTTCATTGTTGTGGGTGTAAAGTTTTCGCTCTTTGGCTTTTTGATTTTGGACTTGTACAACAAAGCAACAGAAGTAAATGCCCTATTTTCGAAGAAAGGCACACTCATCCGCGCAACACAATTCCTGCTTCTGCCGATTGCCATCGCCCTTCAGGAAGATTTGATCTATGTATACACAAGAATTGCAAACATCAAATACTCTAGCGAAATCTTGGAGGAAACGCCATCCGCTACAAAGTCAAAGTTTGCGCTGAGTTTTCTTCTTCGCCTGATGGACGGAATCGCTAGTTTGACAATCAACTTCATTCTGATTCTGACTACAGATGAAGTGCTGGATCTCTTCTTGAACTTTGCTGCTCTACACTTCTTGCAAGGAATTGACGATGTTGCCTTTCAGATGGCCCACGAAGGGTTTCTGGGCGATCGAATGGAGGACCGATGTAGAGTGGTTGAGGAAACTACCATGTCTAGGCGTATCGGTGATTCATTCACCAACGCGTTGGACTCTATACTATTCATGTTGACTTATGCTTGCATGATTGGAGTTTGGACATATGTGTTCATATACGAGCAGGAAATCGGAGACGAGCTGTAGACATACTCAAGAGATGGATGATGCTAATTTTAAAAAATACCAGCACTGCAATACGAGTATACGAGTATGTATTAAAATAGTTCCACAGTTTAATCGAACTAATCGATCGTTCGATTGACGTCATTCATTCATTTCATCTGTCATTCTGCATTGCAAAGAGAGAAACCTGGGAATTATTTTCCGATGTCATCAGTCTCATCTTTTGTCAGGATGTCAGTCAACGTCACAGTATCCTCACTCAAAAGTGCATTGGTGTCGACACAGCGACAAAGGTCTTCTCAAAGCCACAAAAAGGCAAGGTTTCTTCCTGACTAATTCCATCGCCGATCGACCTCTCGACCTCTCGACGTACCCGTCAGCAGATCCATCCTCGTCGCCGCCTGCAATCATACTTTTATAATGGGAGTTATAGATCATGATCCAGAAAAAGGAGAAAAGTCCTTTGGTTACGGACGTCCAGCGACTACCTCAGTTGCTAGGAGTGAATCACCTTCAGATGACGACAAGGAGTTGGAGACTTACCACGTTGGAGAAGATGTCTATGGGCTGATCTTTGTGTGTCCTGTATTCTCGCAGGCTTTCTTTTTTGCATTTCTCGTGGTCATGGTCAAGTTTTCGCTGTTTCTTTTTTTACTGGTCGATCTTTATCGCCAAAGTCAAGGCGGAGAGGCATTCTTCGCTCCCAAAGATACGCTAATCCGCGCCACAGAATTCTTGCTGCTTCCCATTGCGATCGCTCTTCAAGAGGATCTCATATATGTTTACATACGCGTTGCAAACATTATCTATGATCCCAAATTGATGAACGAGTCACCGAGTGCAACGAAATGCAAATTTGTTATGAGCTTTGTTTTGAGGTTGATGGATGGACTTTTCAGTTTGACCATTAACTTTGTTCTGATTATGACAACCGAGACTGTTCTTGGAATTTTCTTGAACTTTGCAGCCTTGCATTTTTTGCAGGGAATTGACGATGTGGCCTTCCAAATGGCTCATGAGGGCTTCTTGGGCGATCGAATGGAGTATCGATGCCAAGAGGTTCAACAAACCAAGATGAAACGACGTGTTGGTGACGCCTTCACCAACGCTCTGGACTCAGTCCTCTTCCTACTGACTTACTTTTGCATGCTTGGAGTATGGACATATGTATATCTCTTTGAAGAACAGCTACAAAGTGAGCTATAACATGATACACTATTAGACTTTTAGAATTAGAATCCATTATGCATACGGAATATTATTCATTGGATTTTTTATATTGTTTCGATCGTCCTCTAACAAATTCGTGACTCAGAGCAGCACATGGACCATGATCCGGTCACGAGACAAGTACCTGTCCATCCGCCGCCCCTACCCGATAGTCACCCTCCTTGTTGACCGCACTCTTGACACTGCTAATGCCCGTACGACTCCCATAGTGCTGCGGGTCAAATGCAGAGGGCCTATCCAATGACAGTAACAAAGCGCCTTCGTACTAACATTTAGCATAATGTGAAGTAGCATAATGTCCGAACCTGCATTGGTGTGCTCTTTTTTCTACGGTACCTGGTACTGTTGTGCTTTTCCTGAACACACTGTGTACCAAACGCCAACGGACACATTGTAACCGTTCTTTGAAAAACAACGGACATTTATAGAACGGTGGCAGAAATTATAACGGGGGCCTGCATTATGTCCTGCGTAAAATAAATGCTCAATTCATTCGTACCAGTTTCAGTTAAGTTTGGGTTCACATGAAAACCTGAGATGATGACTCTTGAGTGCGGCCGAGAGCTGCCCAAACAAGCTAAAAAGTTGAGATGAAGATTCAGGGTTGGATTTTGACTGGCGCCTTTGTGTCAAACAGTAGATTGAAATCAAGTCTGGTGCGAACAGAAGCTACTAGTAGCTTCCAGGAGCAACTGGAACATTTGGACAAGCAGGTTGAAGACTTGCAAAAGCAGCGCGACGCTCTCGTTGCCAAACGCCGCACCTTGGTGGAGGCCATGTCCAAGGAAACAAACACCGTGGGATGCCTTTGGGTCTCGGTTGGAACAGTTGCACATGGAAAATCCGTGCTGGGTGTCGTTCGGACCAGAGTGGCACGACGGTGAAGAATATAATGGAGACATGGAGTACAACTTGCAAATTGAAAATTGTCCAGCTTTGTCGCGCGATCTTGATTTCTTGAAGGACCCCAATGACCGCTATTATGTTGCTTTCGATTGTGGTGAAAGTGAAGTTCATTTCGACCGTGGAGCAATGGCCGCGTATATGTGTGAAGGTATTTTTCGAGTACCCATTGAAAAAGCGAACAAGGAAGAAAGCACATAGAAATTCCGGTGATACTGGTATACCTCCAGCTTCACAGGCTTGTTAGGTTACTTTTAAAATGATAGAGGACAAGAATCGATTGAAGTGCATCTAATTGCGTAATTGCTGCTTATGTTGTTGTAACGATGGTCCTAGATGCTACGAAATGGGATCCAAACGGAGCATTCTTGGATTCAGCAAAGTTCGACACATTCAGAGTTGCCCCTCATTTTTTGCATGGAATCAATCGATCGATGATGGGCCCGCCTTTGCAATAATGGCCCATCAATGGAATGTCATTTGATTCATTGATTCGATTGGTTGGCATGCGATGCATCGCAATGACGAGGATCAAGGATAATATAGAGCGACTTTTGAAGAGTGTAGAGTATCTACTAGATTGGCATCTGCAGGCGAAATATTACCTACAGTATGGGTTCAAGTTCCCTCGAACATTATGCACCGTACCGGTACACGTACCAGGTACATAGTACGGATACACTCCATACTGTATGATACGAGATACAATACTGTACGTTTGCAGTCACGTTCTCCCCTCTTGTTTTCCCCCCTGCTAGCCCTCCGGCGATTTTTATTCAGTATTATTGTACGTGCGCGTGTGCGTGTGCGTGTACCAGGGCAGGTACGGAGATAGGGGGATCCTGTGCATGGTTGAAAATTGTTGAACTTTTCAGGTACCGGTAAAAACCTCACGGGAGAAAAAGACTATATGCCCGCTTTGGAAGAGATATGTGAAGCCAGATGTATGTCAATTCACTCCAGTCACTTTCTCTGACAGATGCACCACGCATTATTGAGAATCATCCTACTACAGTATAGCGAAGGTGCAGAATTTTTTGTGCAAGCAATGATAATGCCCGAAGTTTGCGAATGCCAAAAATCCGAAGGGAAAAAGATCTCCTACCACTTCATTCCACAAGATGGGAAATACGCAATGAAAGATGATGACTTTGCAGCGCGCGGCAGATTGTTCTCACCTGTGCTCGCGATGAAGACCCGAGATGGGATTTTGACAACGGGGTATCGATTTGACTTTTTTTTCTAAAGCTCGAAGTGATGTAGACGACGACAAGAAGGTGGTTGTCCACATTGCGGGTCCATGTTGGTCCATGAAACAAAGAAACGATTGTGTCACTGCGCCCTTCGACGAGGTGAGGGCAAGGAATAAGTGAAGACGGCGTACTACACCCATATATATGACCTTGATGCTTGGACAACAAATACAGTATTGGCGAGTATCCCTTCATCTTGGTGGGTTTATTTCGCTTCTTCTTTTTTGCTGCATCTGGTCTGGAAGATTGCCGTCCGTGACGGACGGGAAACAAATAAGTCAACGTGCCAACGATGGTGATCACGGGGACGATGCTACTTCTCGCTCCATAATCGGGAAGCAACGCCCCCCGATCGTACAAGGAAGTGATGGTACGACAATTTACGAGCGAAGAATCAAGCAAACAAACGACAGCCAAGCGTAGTTGAGGAATAGGAAGAACTTTGAAAAAGTAAAGTCGGTCTGTTCTCGTTCACCAGTGATGAGTAGCGAGAAGCATTCCTTGAAATGATGAGAGACGACCACCAATGCGATTGGTCAGAAGCCGACACCATTTTGATTGTCAATGAGGAGGAGTGGTGGGAAATCGTCATGGAAACCAGCACTGTCTGCTAGCAAGCAATTGCTGACCTAAAAGTTGTGCATAAAGCAGGCGTCGCTCGTGGTGATTGGCATTTCGGCAATCTCGTCTTTGACGGTGAGAAGATCAAGAAGTTCATTGATTTTGGCAATACATGGCACAGCAATGAGTATATGGATAAGGCATTGAGTTGTTCGAGAAGGACAAGGATAAAGCTCTCGAACAGTCGAAATCCGCGTTGAGTTGGCAGGAAGAAACGGAAGAGGTTAAGAAGAGAAGGAACATCCAAGAGAGTACGACACGCCAATAAGTAGTCCTACGGAGGATGATATATAGAAGCAGCAGTATGAAACGATGTATATTTTTTTGAAACAACGTTCACACAAAAGTATAGGTTCACGCTCTCCATTCTCATAATACGAGTATCGTATAGCTTCTACCATACCGGTACAGGGTACGCCCCATTCGTGACTTGCTGGCCACACAACCTCACTCGGGACACATCTCCAGACCATTTATTCGTAAATTGAATTTTGTGGCAATAAAAATACAGGACCATACATTTGTTTCAACATCATGGCTTCCAATCAAGATAGTACTTCCGTCTACAAGGACTTGATTCAGTTCTTGCAAGCCCCAAGAATGGATCTGAAAATGGAAGCAACAAAAGCAGTTCTCCAAGTGGTTTCCGATCGGTGAGCATGGTCTGAGATTGATTGATTGATTCTGAGTTGAAACAATCTGCATATTATTGCCAAACACGTTTCAAGTCGTTCTCACGCTACGCTTCGAATGCGATCTATTCTTTTTACAGCGATGAAGTGCTTCGGCTCGTTGAACATGGGGCTTTATTACCTCTACTGAGAATTGCGTCAGATGCTTCTGATCCTACCTGTGCTGAGAATGCTCTTCAAGCTCTCTTGTATCTGAGTTCTTCCACAGACCAAGCCACAAATCAGTGCATCGACGAGCTTCTTCAAAACAAGGCGGTCCCTCGATTGGTGGAACTAGTGCTTGGAAGTACCAGAAGTCAGCACAAGCAAGTTAACTTCGCGTTGGGGCTCTTGGCAAATCTTACACGGACCGAGCAGGGGGCACTTGAGCTAGTTGGGAAAACATTGCCGGATTACGCCGTGAAGGAAGTAGACGAGAAGGAAATGGAGAACAGAAGTAGACCGACAATGGAACTGTTATTGGATCGCTATTTCAATCTACAATACATCATAGATGTAGTCGACTATGCGGCGCTTGAACCATACGAGTGGGATACTCTGGACAAGGATCCATACCAACATTTTGCAGCAATTCTGATGAATGCTACTCAGGTGAAGGCAGGAAGACAATTTGTAATGAGAATACCAAAGCAAAAAGACGACGAACCTGCACAATCTGTTCTAGAGAGGCTGCTGCCGCAACTTCAAACGAGTAACCCCATTCGACGACGAGGAATTTCTGGCATGGTCAGAAATGTCTGCTTGGAAATTGATGCCGCTTGGTGGTTGCTGAATCAACTGAAGCTCACATCTCATATACTTTATCCATTGGCTGGCCCAGAAGAACTTGACTTGGATGAAAAAACAGGAATGGATCCAGATTTGTGGTTGCAAGGACCAGACAAGGCCCGTGAGGTAGATACGACAACCAGGTTGCATTTGGTGGAGGCAATTTTGCTACTGTGCGCTACAGGCCGCAGGTCTCGAGAAACACTCCGATTGGCTCGAACATATGTCATTCTAAAGTACTGCGACATGACAGAAGAAGATGAGCCTGTGAGCGAACGCATCAATGAATGTGTGCAATACCTGCGACGTGATGAAGAGGGAACCGAAGAAGGCAGCAGTGATAATATGGTGGAAGAGGCAACGCGAAAGCGATTGCAGCTTACAATGGCTTCCACTCAAGTTGGATCGAAAAGTGCTGCGGATTACGACGACGTAGATTAATTTTAAAAAAAGTACTCTTGTAGTAGTGGGTTCCAGTTTCTGATTCGTGTTGATAAACTTTCCATCCCCAAATAAATTTCCCCCGTAGTTCACGAGATAGGATAGGTAGTATTCGAAACATCGATCATCGATGTTCGCAGTATCGATCAAACGAGAATAGTAAAGGCACAGATAGATTGATCTTTACCTATTTGTTATTCTGATGAAGTGGTGCCTACGGTATGAATCCTACGAAAAAGTCTTCACTTAGGCTAAAAAAAGGGTCTATGTTCACGGTCATTTCGCTGTCACTACTAACCGTTAGACAATGAATGCTCAGCACCTTGAGATCATCCACCACCAGCTGCGTCTCGAGTTACTTCACTTCTTTGTATTTCGCGTGGTTTCAATTTTTGGACATTTGCACATTTTTTTTCTGCAACCATCAAAACATATCATTCAAACTTATTTCGACTCTTCGTCGTCACTTTTTCCAACCGCCACAGATTTCATTTTCTTGTTGCTCGCTCTCTGGTGGCAAGTGAACTAAGACAAAAGGCAATTTATTAATAGACGCTGCGGTATAATGAAAACAAACAAGTGACTTTTTTTCAAATCATCAATCTAGATTATCTATTTTTAGTTTTTCAAATAACAGAAGTACATAACATTGGACATCTGGCCACGCTGCCAGGAAACCATACTAGTCGATATTGTAAAACTTGCAAAATCGTTCAATACCATCCAAAGAGTTGTTTAGGCACCAGGTCCGTGGGTGTGGGAATCCAAGAACAACAATTCTTTGTAGGTAGCAAGAGTCCACAAGTGGGAAGGAACGACGGCCTCGGCGGCGTCGCAAAGCTTACGGAGCTCCACCATGGTCTCAAGACGAAGGACACGGGCGAGCTTTGCTTGTGCTTCTTGTTCTTCACATTCTTCGATTTCTTCGAGGGCGTGCTTGAGGGTCTCGACGGCCTTTGGAAGAGCTTCGTCCTCACCACCGGCGGCGTGAAGAGAAGGAATGACATGTTGGTTGATCATATCGATCATGGTGGCAGCTTCCATGACGACAGTTCCGGTGTAGTGCTCGTGCATGACATCTTGACGGGCCTTACATTCGACAGCGGTCATGACACCCAACTTCTCGAAAAGAGCAACGTTCTTGTCAGCAGTGATGACGGACATGGCTTCAACTCCAGAATCGATACGCCAGCAACCCTTGTCGGTCAACATTTGTTGGTTTCCGAGGTCGTATCCGTTTCCGTTAAAGATGACCTTCCAGTGCTCCTTCAAGGCGGCACGGGCAACGGCAACTGGTTCTTCTCCAGCTTCAATCTTGTCGGCGAATTCTCCAAACTTCTCAGCGCACATGGCGTTCAACACGGTGTTGACCATGGAGACATTCTGGGAAGATCCGACGGCACGGAATTCGAAACGGGCTCCTCCATATGGGAATGGAGAAGTACGGTTACGATCCTCAGCAGGGACAGTGAAGGCTTCGACTCCGCTGATACCAACGTCGATGGTTCGGGTGTTGGGAGTGTATTCCTTGTCTTCACCGTTCATGAAGGCTTCCAAGTAGTTGGTCATATCGTCACCAAGGTAGGTGGTGATGATGGCAGGTGGCGCCTCACAGGCTCCAAGACGGAAGTCATTTCCTGGGGATGCAATGGCCATTCTCATCAAATCACCATGGGTATCGACGGCAGCAACGACCGCAGCCATGATAACGGGGAAGGCACTGTGGCTACCGCAGGCAGCGTTGATGGCCTTGGGAACGAAAAGTTGAACTTCTTCGAGGGTGGAGATGGACCAGTTGTTGTGCTTTCCGGATCCGTTGATTCCGTCGAAAGGCTTTTCTTGAAGGAGGGCAGCAAGTCCGTGCTTGGCGGCAATTTCTTCAATGACCTGCATGACAATCAAGTTCTGGTCGATTTGTCCAGTGTTGGTTCCGAAAAGGGGAGCGAACTCATACTGGTTAGGAGCTACCTCACGGTGACGAGTCTTCAGAGGAATTCCCATCTTCCAGCATTCCTTTTGGATTTCCTTCATACAGTTGAGGGCAGGACTGGCGTTAGATAGAGGGGCCATGTAGTGATCGCACATTTCTTGGTCACGAGGCGCGTATTTTCCCATGATGGTACGTCCAGTGAATTGAAGATCGGGACGACGGTAGTATTGGTCACGGGGGATAAGGAAGATCTCTTGTTCCAAACCAATGTTGGCCTTAAGACCAGTTGTTTCAAGACCAAGCTTGGAAAGAAGACGCTTTCCTTGGTTGGAAAGGGCATCGTTGGCACGAAGAACAGGTGTCTTCTCATCAAGGGCCATACCGTAGTAGGAGACAAAGATGGAAGGGATGAAGATGGTATCTCCACGAAGGAAGATGGGAGAAGAGCAGTCAATGGCGAGGTATCCTCCAGCAGTGTGGGTGGCACGAAGTCCACCGTTGGGGTAAGAAGAACCATCGGTTTCTCCCTTGACAAGGTCACCTCCATCAAAGTCGTACTTCAATTCGTAAGTCTTGGAGTCAAACTTGAGCATTTGGTCGTACACTTGACCGGTTTGTCCGTGACGGACACCAGCAGATCCCATAGGTTGGAACCAATGGCAATAGGTGATGGCACCATGAGCGACGGCCCTGAAGGTCGAGGAAAGGCATCGTTAGTTCAGCGCCCAAAGTTAAAGGATGCATCATGCACATAAGCATGACAGCAACATGCAAACAGGTAAAGCGAACCCATCAAAAGTGCCGAATCTAAGATGATCATTTCTATCCACGATCTGAAGACTTACCAATCCAAGATGGCGGCGGCGATGATATCGGCCTTGGTTCTGTCCTTGACCCAAGTGGAGTCTTCGAACATGGCAAGGCTACCTCCATTCTTCTTAAGGAAGTACTCGGCAAGCTTGCCTGTGAAGATGTGCTTTCCGTATGACTTGAAAACCTCAGAAGCAGGTTTCAAGGGAGCGCCATCGTAGACAACTTCGGGCGTAGTGTCGATTCCTGGAGCAGCAACTGGCATAGGAGCTGGCTTGGAAGCAGGGACGGGATTAGCCCCACGGTTAGTCCATTTCAATACCATTTTTGATTAGCTTTTAAGATCTTTCTTTTTCGACGATCCGACAAATTGTGGGAATGTGCCCAAAAACGATGGAGAAGAAGAAAGATCCAAAAATCGTCGCTGTGTGGCGAGTACGAGTCTTTTACACGAGAAAGCCCGCAAAATAACATGTAATTCAGATGACGTTGTATCGGTACTGAAACATACGATTAACCACATGACGGTAATTCTGACATTAGGACCGCTCGATTAACACGCACACTAAACTTCCGCCTTTCTCGAACAACATCCCCACCGTATTTAACACATTGCAATTCTGACATCCAAACTTCCTCGGTTTAAAAGGGAAGTTACGTTGTCGGTAGCCACTCAATTGTTTTTTTCAACTAATTTTAGTCGACCGAGTCGCTCACCGTGATTTGATGTCCGTACGGCGCCACCTTTCCTCATCGCAGTAGTAACTACAGAGTTTTGAAAATGCGGTATCTTAGACCTAATTGAGTTATCTTAGACCTCTTGACACAAATGCATCTTTTCAGGAAGCACACCAGTTACCGTACCTGGTATTTCTACCGGGTATTCTTTGGGAGCTTCGATAGTGTCGACAAATACGACCCATCAAATGGACAAATCAGAAATCAGTTGCATCATTACACATGCAACCTATGAGAACATTGTCATCGCAAGTGTCAGAACAATGAAATCCGGAAAAAGTACGTAAGAGGCCAAAGGTACCCACGACATGACGATGGAGGGACACAACTTCACGCCTTCTAAAATTGATGCGCTATAATGACACGGACGACGACTTTTCAAGATTAGAGGACTCGTGCGGTGTGATGCACTTTCAATTTTAGACTGGTGCACTTTCGAGATTAAAATGATGCCGGTGGATCGTGGATCATGTTCATTGGAGGACTGAAGGCCTCCGCCTGGAATATGCACTATAATACTTCATGGTGCTGAAAGGACCGAAGAATCAATCAGTCGATACATCCAGTTCAGCATCATAGGTAACTTCGATTCGTCGACAAATCCGACCTGTCAAGTGATGGATAAATCAGAAATCCGTTCTGTTCGATGGTTCACTGCACAAAGAACGCTGTCATCGCAAGTTGTCAGAACAACACAGAAAATCCGGAAAAAATACGTAAAAGGCCAAAAGACACACACGATTGATAGATAGTTGCCAATGACGGTGGAGGGACACAACTTCAACTTCACGTCTTCTAAATGATGTGGTACGACGACATGACGACTGTTTCAAGATTAGACTGATGTTAGTGGATCACGGAATATTATGCATCGAAGGACTGAATACCTAAAATGTTGCTGAAAGGATAAATTGAGTCTCGATATGCAGTTTCAAGTTGGTAGCTTCGAACTGTCGACAAATTCGACCTGTCATGTAGTTGACAAATCAGAAATCAGATCCATCCAGTACTGTAGGAATACTGCAGTACGTATGCCCATGGTGGGACTGATGTCAATAAAGGTGTCAGAATAACACAATTTCGGAACAAGTACGTAAGAGGCAAAAGGAACCCACGATTGATCGTTGGTTGTCGTCGGTGAGTAAGTGAGGTGGTTTATTTCAAGACTACATTATCGTAGACTGCTGGTGGATTGTATATGACGTACGTCAAAAGTTTGATGCAACGTCGACATTTCGCTAAAGATAATTAGCTCGAATGACTTATTCCTCAAGGAAGGATGGCTCCAGGTTCCAACACGGCACAAATGGCGAGGTAGATAGTGAGATAGATCGTGTATGGATATTGATCCAGAAGCAATAAGACCGCACACGCCATTTATCGAATATAGCCACAACCTTCGATTTGCTGCCATGCATGCCTTAGTACCTGACTATGTACACAGTACCAGCGTCTTACATCATGCAATGTTATGATATTATTTTACAAACTAGCGACGATGCCCATCATCAATTAACTGCAGTCTAAAAGTTAGCAGCTTCTTTCCCCTCTACTGTCTTGTCGGGTCACATTCTTGGCGTGCCGTTGTTCCAGTTGTCTTTGTTCTCGTTCTTTCATCCAATACCTTAAATGTTCAATTGTCGTTTTCGATGACATTGTGTCGGGATGATTCTCTCCTTTGGTCCTTCGGTAGATACTCAGTGCATGACGGTATTCTCGTTCGGCATCGGCCAAATTTCCCAGTTTGTAGTGCACATTGCCAAGACTCTTGTAGGCACTGGCTACTTCTGGGTGGCTCGTCCCATGAACCGTGCACTTGATGCTCAAAACGTCTCGGAAAATGGTGTAGGCCTCTTCCAAGTCCCCCTTTTTCGTAAGGATGGTACCAATGCTCTTCATAATTGGGGCGACGTCTGGATGGTGAAGGCCGTAGGCATCTCGATTCAGTCGAAGTCCTTCGCGGTAGAACATCATAGCGTTATCTAGATTTCGTCGCTTGTAGTGAATGCTTCCAACCATTACAAGAGTGCCTGCAACGGTAGGATTCTCGGGACCGAGTGTAGAGTGGTAGATGCGAATGGCTTCTTGATAGCAAGCCATGGCCTCATCAAAGTCTGACCGCTTGTGGTAGATCCCTCCAATGTAGTGAAGGATACTGGCAACCTCATGGTGATTGGTTGTGCCTCGATTGCTGACTGTCAAGTCGTATGCTTCGCGGTAGTGCGTCATCGCCAGATCAAAGTCCCCTCGTTTCATGTGAATGCTGGCGATTCTCGTCAACACAGAAGCGGTGGTTTCTCTTCCGATGAGTGTATTGCTTTCCTCGCCTGAGGTTCGCAGAAGAGTCATGGCTTCTTGAAAGAACGTCATGGCCTTTTCCGAGTCACCAGTCTTGGCATGAACCATTCCAATCACCTTTAGTGTTGACGTGACATCGCGAAGGGAGTCATCTCGATGGCAGCTCTTGGATGGCTCCGTCTTGATGGAAGTAGTATTCTGCTCATGAATGGCCTTGTAGATGCGGAGGGCTTCCATGTACTCTGTCAGAGCGGCATCCAATTCACCGAGTCGATTTTTTACATTGCCCATACAGGAAATGGCACTTGCGACATCTCGATTCAGGTCGTCGCCATTGTTGACACTACGATATATCTTCATGGCAGCTTCAAACTCAGCTAGAGCATCCTTATATTCGCCCCGTTCTGCAAGGACCATGCCGATATTCTTTCTTGTTCCAGCAACATATGGATGGGTTTCTCCAAATGCTTGCAGATAGATATCCTTGGCTTCCAAGTAGGTACGAAGCTCTTCCATTCGGTTCCCAAGCTTGTAGTATACGCTCCCCATGCATATCAGTGTCGATGCGACATTCGAAGCAAGCTCTTGTTCTTCGCTTTCCTTTAAATTTCCCTTCTCTTTTCGCTTCTTTGCTGCCTTTTGCCGTTCTTCCTGTAAGGATAGAATCTCGCGATAGATTTCAACGGCGAGGTCTAGATCACTCGATTTGGACATGTCAGGATGGCTGAATCCAGCGGCCGCTCCTTTTGGGTGACTTCCCGTCAGTAGATCAGCACGAAGTGTCAAAGAGTTCATCATTTCTTTATGACGATTCAAGTTTTCACCCTCGTAGGTCTCCAGCAGACTTCGATACATATCCATTGCTTCGTTCGATTCACTTCCACCGATTGGAACCGTATTGTGGGGCATATCCAAGGACGATATTGATCTCTTGAATGGCTCATTCTCTATTATGCCACCAACGCCAGATGACGAGCTCTTTCTCTTCCTAGTTGTTGGACTTGACATGCTTCGCCTCATTGGGATGGGTGGCTTGAGTGCACGACCTTCATCTAGTAGGCCCCCGCCGTCACTGTTGCCGCGGAAGGTTATGCTTCGGAACAAGTCATCCAAAGCTTTGACATCTTCATTGATCTCTGCCATCATTGAAGATCCGTCGTCATTCAACCCAGACAGAAAAGATGCAGAATCACCACGAGGGGATGATGCATCGCCAGGTGCGGACTTTTGTGCTCGCAAACTTGTAACTTCTCTGAAATAGCGCATTGCTTCGTCCTGTTCACCTCGTAAGGAATGGACATTTCCAATATTGCGCAGTGTGCCAATCATCTCGTCAATTGCCTTGTCATGGTTCTCAGCCTCTTCATTACGTTCCGTTTCTGACTCGAAGTTGAAAACAGAGTCTATCCGACTCGTACCACCTGGGGTATCACTTGGTGATAGCTGCCAGAAGACACTGCGCTTTTCTCGAAGGGCTTCCGTGAAAGCATCCATTGCCTCGTTGTACTCCCTTTGTCGCACGTGATGCTCTCCCAGTTGATCCAAGGAGGCAGCCAAAGAGACTCTAGCGGATTGAACGGAAGTGCGCTCTTTCTCAACATGTTGTCGAAGGACTTGGTAGTCACCGTTCATTCGAGGCGATGCCACTCCCTCACCAACACTACGTCGTTTTGGGTTGGGAGATATCCCTCGTGTAGCTTGGCGACGCGACCGATTCCTCATTCTTTGGACTGGCGTTATATGAGATGAGTACATTGCTTATTTCATTGATGGATTGTGTGGTATAGAGAAAGAATACGATAGGCTGGATTGACTGGGCTGGTTGGTTGGTTGGTTGGTTGGTTAAGTGAGTGATGGGGTGAGGGGATGTTTGGTTTCCTGGATGATGTGATGTCTCTTCGTCGGTTGAAAATGTGGGAGCGATTTGTTGTTAAATGGAGAATGTCGCAAGCGACAAAAACGGTTTATCAGCGATAAATCCAGTCTGTTGAGCGATCTTTCGCGCACACGAAGTTTCGACATTGAGTCGAACAAGTCGAATTGGTAGTATGGATTCTGCAGTCCAGGTGCCAACAGCTTTGAGCTCTGTCTTGTTGGGGCCATACACAAAAGCAGTTGTTGAATCTGGATTGATAACACTTGTACCTGGAGGCAGTACACGGTATCTCATGTAGAGGATGCAAGTTTTGAGCGACACTGGTGGAGGTTTTGCAGGGCAATGTGACTGGCGGAGAATGATTCCAGACGTGTAGTCGCCAATAAGAATGCAAAAATCAAGCATTCCTTTCCAGACTGACCTGTAGCGGTCAAGTGTTGTGTCACCACATTTAACAGACCCCTGACCCGAGTCTCTACCTCCTAAAATGGGAAGAGGGTCAGGTGAGGTGTGGCGTTCCTTGCAAAAAGCTTCTAGCCGAGAGGCAATTTGGGCAAGGCCCGCAATGCGTTCTTCTTCACTGATAATTTTGGCTCGTTTTGTAGTTGAGCTTCGGGATTTGGACTTCTTCCTTGTTAGAATAGAACCTAGTCCTTTTGGTGCCCTTGGTTTCTTTGGTGCCATCTCTCACGTGTGATGTTTGTCCCAAGTGCTTGTGGACCTTCGTGTGAGTGGTATCCTATATTTCTGGAGGGAAGAAAAAAACAATGACGATGTTTCTCGAGGGGAAAGCAAAACAGTGACGGGAAAAAGGGATGGGGGTGATCTTTTTTCTGTGAAATTTCACGAGGGCTCGGTGAAAATTACACGGAGGGGCCCCCCTGGGATTCTACGCAGATGCCTGGTACTTGACGAAAATGTTTTTGTTTATATACCAAAAGATGATGCAATGCGATGCAATCAATGAAGAAAAAAATGTGCTGTGCAAGGTACCTACTGTACTTAACTTGCATTCCTATAAAAATGAAACATGAAAGATATCGTGTGTCATATCGTCTGTATGATGGTGAGCTGAGAAGCACAAACGTAAGCCACCGAAATATGGTGAAACGGATGAATGAGCAATGTATGGGCGGGAGAATTAAACTATAATTAGCTCTGACAGGGAATGTCATCTGTACCACAAAGGTAGAGATGTGGGTGACTACCGGTACCGGTACGTGTACCTGGTACCGATACGATACTACGATATAATATTCCTAATGACATTAGGGATGACTCCAAAGTCTCTTTTAGGGATGGAAGTTTGCATCCTAGTCCCCCCTATATGGTGTCCGGTGTGCAAAGATCACCTCCTTTCTGCGTATGATTTGACAGTACAGTAGAGTAGTATCAGGTAGAAACGATCTTTCCCGCGTTATTTTGACCAATCAGAGTGTTTCTATTGATGTCAGCTGACAAAAGTACTGTACTGAACTTTGTTGTACGGTACGAACACTGGAGCGGCCTGTAACTGGACCTAAACGCGCCGAGTCAGCTTTTCGGGGTTGTCGTTCGGACAAAATGAGGGGAGTAGTATAGTCTTAAATTGTTTACCCAAGTTAGGCTGACTGGCGCGTCTTTCTTTTCAAAACTACTCGGCGTGCGTGCCCTTTTGATCTGGTTCCGAACCGTTGAACCTTCGTCCAAATGGACGAAAATAGTCGAACCTTCGTCAAGTCCGACTATTCTCGTCGGAGTCCGACTATTTTCGTCGGAGTCCGACTATTCTCGTCGGAGTCCGACTATTCTTCGTCGAAATGGACGAAATGGATGAAATGGACGAAACTGATTTCAGAGCTCGCAAGAATCTTGCGTGACGAAAACTTCAAATTTGCACTATCGGGCTGGTAGTGGCAAGCTGGTCCAAGGAGGATGACATGCAAAAACGGCAAAAAACGGTACACTAGAAAACAAGAAACGGTAACTAAATAAAAAAGGGCAGGTTCTATCTCTCCACAGCAATGTGCCGAAGTTGCCAGAGATGTTTACAGACATTTTGCATGTTTTCAGAAATTCAAACGTCAACAACGAATTATACTAACAGATGAGAGATGAGTGATAGATTTAGGATTCATCCGATCAAGAGGTTTAAAAAATAATCTGTCCTATTCCTAATGCGACCATGTTTCGTCGGGTCCGACGAAGTTTCGTCGGGTCCGACGAAGTTTCGTCGGGTTCGACGAAGTTTCGTCGGGTCCGACGAAGTTTCGTCGGTTCCGACGAAGTTTCGTCGGTCCGACGAAGTGTCCGACGAAGTTCATCCATTTCAACGGAACGTCCACGAATGAAATGAATCTTTAGGCAGGCTCGTTTTCAGCGAAGCCCAAGCTCTGCATTGCGCAGAATCTGTCACCGGCACGTCAGTTTCCGTCATCCTTGCAGGGAATCTATGACATATCTGAGGACATTCCCAGCAAGTCTGCCATTTCAGGCCGCTCCTGGGCTGAACGATACGGGAACACACTCGCACGAAAGGAAAGAGCACAAAATCTATTTTTTTAAGAAAAAGGTCTCAACGAAGATACTACCACCGATAGGTTTTCAACGACTTTTTAAAGCCGTACCGGTACCATTTCGGTGCAAATGCCACGTTCGACCCTTAAGTGAAAGGATTTATTTAACCACGAAAAGAAGTCTAAGTCTGAAATTTTACGACGTTGGCCAATACCATAGTCTCTATTTGGAAAATGTCTGTGTAATTAGGAGACACATAAAAAGACATCTGCTACAATCTGATCTTTCAAGTTTTGATACATCATTCGTGGAAAAGCTGCCTGCTGCTAAAGTGCCGTAGCCACTTAAGGGGAACCTCCAGCAGATCAGAAGTCACGAAGAAAAGATAGAAGTTACCTCATTCCATTTTCCATTTCGTTTTTCCATCCGAAAAATTTTCCATCCGAAAAAGCAAAATGGACTCTGCATCACGCTCCTTTAGATGTAATGGCTCTCCCATTAGTGAGTGTCGTCCCAGCAAAGTGAGAAAGACCTCCAGAAATAGCTCGAGTAGTAGTAGTAGTAGTAGTGAAAAGCCCAGAGCTGTGGTTCCCTCAACGTACTTTCCGAGCACCAAACTAGGCTTCTGGGCCAACGAGTTCCTCCCAATGGCACTGCATGAACCAAAGGTGACTAAGAAGTCTTGTCCTGTTGGCATCACGATGCTTTCTGACGACATCCTCGGAAAGTGTTTCTTCAATGGTTACCTGGATACGTTTGAAACTCTGAAACTAACCTCACTGAACAAGCGAACCCGAAGGGTAGGCCTTACACAAATTCAACATTTGGATTTGAGAAAGTGCAAGAATCTTACAGTGGACCAAGTTACAATAACCGCTTTGGTGTACCAAAACTTAAGGGTAAGTGCTTTCCGATGTTGCGGATGACTCCGTACACTACAAACAACCACAGTATCCTGACGCACCTATTTTTTCTACCCTCCGATCCTTGACAGAGTCTAGATTTCGCTTACAACCCAAAGTTTGGAAGAGACCACCTCTCGGCACTGGTGGAGACCTCCAAGAATCTTCGACACCTCGTCCTCAAGGGCACTGCTGTCGATGATCATGCTCTCATTGAGTATCTCAAAGAAGTGCATAGCCGCTTTGGAGAGTGTAAGCTTTTGTCATTGGATCTTTGCGCTGTCTCGAAAGATACATGCCTAAAGATTGGGGACAAAGCAGTCGAAGCCATTTCACAATACTGTCCCAAGCTGAAGTGCCTGAAGCTCGGCTGGTGCAAGAATGTGACTGATAATGGCATTGGATCCATCTCCAAGCTGAAGCGCTTGACAGAGCTTGACTTGTCCTTGACTAGCATTACTATCAAATCTTGCTACAACCTCCTAGAGATACTTGGACCTAACCTTGAGGTTCTAGACTTGAGTGCTACTTCCATCTTTCAACTTGATGAGTCCAGAGACAGTGCTGAATGGATCACCTTTTCCAAGGTGCAAAATCTCTCTACCCTCAAGCTTCAATTTTGTGAACAGCTTTCCGCTGCACTCATTGAACACATTGTTCAAAATGCAGCATCGTTGAAGTCATTTGACGTCAAGCACAGTGGAGCAGAGGGAACTATCCGTCTCACCGAAGAGCAGGCGTACAAACTTTGTGCTCGTAACATTCGAGTTACTGGAGTTACCATGATCAAGAGGTGATAGTGAAACCTTTCACTACACTGATGATTTGAACGTTTCACACGAAGTATATTTTGAACTTCATGCATCACCCACACCCACAAGTGCCTCGGACCATTGATATACTACTACGCTTCATCGACACACAATACCACTTTTACAAAGCACAACAACGAAGAAGCGTCGGATAGAATGCCCACCTCTTCAACACTGAGGAAAAGGAGATTTTATCTCATACATACAAATTATATATATTAGATTCATAAACTGTACCTATTAACATACATATTTAGCAAGACACCATTGATTACTCTTTGCATCTTGCTATCAGGACCTAAACCGATTCTAACGAACACCGGCACCAGTAACTGGTATTCTATGTTCCAAATACCCCACACGCACGTGCGATAAAAATGATTGGTTTACCGTAAAACTCGCGATCAACAGTGCATTTTCCAGTGATTGATTTTTGGAGGAGAAGGTGTCAACGCATTGGACGGGTGAGAAACCCGTTGACAGAAATTCTATCATGCATCCAAAAATTCTGAGAACAAGCGCGACAAATGCTCATACTGTACTTGTAAAACTGCACATGGTAGAGTACCACGTACCGGTAGCTCGTTTCAGGGTTCGTCTGAAAAGCAACCTACCTACCGGTACCCAAAGATTGCATCATTGGCTCCTCATTTGAGAAAACGAATCGTTGCGCCTTGACATTCTTCGCTAGAGGCAGTGTAGGACCTAAAATCCATCACCATGAATGTCAGTGGGAGAAGAGAAGTCTTAGGCACTGTGCTTTCAAGAACATCCCTACCGTACTGTACACAGGGTACCTCCTGTCTTATTTTAATTTAGCGCCCCTACCTCTGCTGGCCGTAGAATCGGATGTTGGATAGCGGTCAGAATCACGTGGCTCTAGAGAAGCTGCGGGGAACCTGGTTCGCAATATTTCAGTTTCACTTTGCTTGCGGTGTCCATCGGAACTTCAAATAGCGACTTTTGAGAATGATCACATGCAGTAACTGACTACAACGGAAAAGGCCTCTCTAACTAAATTGAAAATTGTGACTCATTCTTCACTGACGAAGCCGAGGAGTGTATGTCTCGTCAAGGTTTCGCGCGCATTTTTTAGAAATCTATTTCGTGAGTTCTTGCACCGTTGGCTGTGGGATACAATGATATTTTTAAAAAAATACAACTCCCTCACAAAATTGCGAAGGCTTCTGATCTCGCTTCTATCTGTTCATTTTTGTTCCGAATATGTACCGGTATCTGATCATATGAGCATGTTATGTTGTCATTTTGGCATCGGGTGACGATGTTTGTGTTGGCCATGGAATAGTACGACTGTAGTTGTCGAAAGCTTTCAACTTACTCCTACCCAAGAGGGAGTGGATTCCGATCAACAATGCAGGCGGCCCCACCCCACAGAAGTCATACTTCAACAACCTATCCAACGCCAATCATACAGGAATGCATTCCGATCGACAACATGTATCTGATCATGTCATGTTGGCCTCGGGTGACGCAGGTTCTGTTGGCCGTGCAGTAATAATAATTGTAGAAAGCTTTAGGAGACGGAGCTTTTAAAAACTTCTTCCTAACAAGACTCGAAGTGGATCCCAATAGACACTACCTAGTACAGATGTAATGGTCCCACAGAAGTCATAATAATGTACGTACAGTGATATTGCGGTGATGCTTTCCATCTCTATCAGGTTTCTTCCGATCATGCACTACCGGTATCTGATCACGTCCTGTTGGCATTGGGTCACGTAGCTTTTGTGTGCCTTCAAGTACTAATTGTAAAAAGCATTGCAATACAGCCAGTAGCTTGGGTTTCTCCTTCCAGTGCTTTTTGCAAGGCGAAGAGGATTCTGATCGGACCATGTCAACACAGGTGGTCCCACCAAAGTCCTAATAGTCTACGTATCCCTACAATAATGAGGTAATTCTACTCAAATCCGTGTGGCATGCATACAAGCATGTTTGATTGTTTCTTCCGATCATGTACCTAGTACCCCGGTATCTGATCATGTCCTGTTGGCATTGCGCGACGCAACTTTTGTTGGCCGTGCACTAGCAATGCGAAAGGCGAAGTGGATTCCGATCGACACTCAACATTACAGGTGGTCCCACAAAAAGTCATAATAATGTACGTATACCTACAATGTTAAAAATTCTGTATAACCTATCGGTAGTATTGCGGTAATGCTTTCTGCGTTCCATTTGTTCAAATCCAAATCACGCACGCTACTGTAGCTAGCATGTTTGATTTGTTTGATCGATTCGATTTACCATAGGAACCACGACACAGCCGTCGTCAACATCATGGCAAACATTGTTACCATGAGATTTCTGGAATCGGCACTGTTGCAAAACCTTCCACGGCATTCTCCTTCTCCATACTTTTGCCACCAGTTGTGAGGCTCCATTCCTTCAACGAAATCATCGTCGGGCCTTGGTACATACAAGGGCGGACGGATTTGGCGTTCGTCAAAGGGAATGCCCGGAATGACAGATCCTTCTCCCACCCTCAGAACACATTCCACCTCAATGGGCACTGGAATGTAGGACTCGTCGGGACTCAAAAAGGGCTTGCGGTGGGGAATGTTGTTTTTGCTGATGCGGGCGACGGGTTCTTGTGGATCCATATCACGATCAAGTGCAGTGTAGGATTGTCCAGCATCTGTACCCGCATCCCAGACGTAGGACTGCACCACAATTCTATTGAAGTAAGTCTCGGTTTCGTAACTGATGATACGCATGTCGGAGAATCCACCAAACCAATCGGGGCTTGGAGTGAACTTGGTCATCATGGAAAGAAAGGGATGTTCGTAGGTCACATTGATGGGAGGCAAATGTTGACTTTCGGTAGTGTTGAACATGCGGTCTCCCTGGACCATCATCAAGGTTTCGAAACCAGCATTGTTGAATTCTCGAGTCATGACCGTATTGAACCCTTCCTGTGAGGTGAGTAGAAAGAAATTAGATATTAGTTAGTATCAAAAGAATAAGAAATATGCATGTTGGATTTTCGATTTCAGATGGATTGATTGGGACATGACCCTTCCACCCAATATCGTTCCATTCATTCCTCAGCATTCTTCCTTGATAATCGCATATAATAACCGTACCTCTGCAATTGCTTCCACTCCCAAAGTAGCAGCTTCGGTTCCCGTCCACATACGGTATCCATTGGAATGGGCAATCATAATGGGTGCACTAAAGGATGGAGACTTGGGGAAATCCCGCGGATGGCGCTCCTCGCTCCACTTTCCCCGAAAGGTACAGTAATAGCGAAGAGTTCCCTTGAAGCGCTGATTGATGGTACCATCTTCATATTCCAAGACACGATAAGTCTGCTGACGACGTTGACCAGGAGGCTCGTTAAAAGTGCCTCCAGATTGTGCTTGGACCGTAACAAGAGCTACCAACGCCAGCACCAAGGCCAGAAATAGCGAATTGTTCATCTTGAAAGGATTCTAAATTCGGAGGCAGCAATCCCGTTTGGATTGGTGATTTCAAGGAGGAATTATTGGGCTGAAGCAAAGATCCTTCTGTAGAAACTATTGCTGTGCTGTCAGAGGGGCGATTCTTGGTTTAAGGGAAAGAATCGTTCCAACCAAGCTTGAGCTTTTTGACGGGGAAAGCTTTTGTTAGTTGGTAGTGTTGCTGCTGTTGCCGCTACTTTCTTGCTGGGATCTTGAATGCCTTTACGACTAACACGAAACCTCTGTCTTCGAATTTCTTTTGGGGGGTCATAATGACCGAATGCGCACATATATCGAGCGGTCACAAAAATGGCGGGAAATAATCATCAATCGTCACGCAGATTTTGCAAATCTTCCAAAACTAGCTAGCCACAAGCAAATCACAACGTGATGTCGCATCATCATGATCCGTAAATATCATTACACGGGCCCCATCCCGCCTGAGCTGACACATCTTTCTGTGGATGAGACAGTCTCAGAAATTGGACCAGGAACCTTCAAGGGATGTTCCAGTTTGTTGTCGGCCCAGCTCCCGGAAGGCGTCAAGATTATTGACAAGAGTGCCTTTGAAGATTGTACGGCATTGAGTCAATTGATTTTGCCACCAAACTCATTACAAGAGATCCGAGACAAGGCGTTTATGAAATGTCAACGACTTGTGTCGGTCCAGTTACCACAAGGAATGCGTGTAATTGGCAGTGAGGCCTTTGCCGAGTGCTCCCAGTTGAAAAAGGTCGAGATTGTGGCGAGAGGACCTGCGCATTTGCAACTCATTGGGACCTTTGCCTTTCGGGGATGCAAGGCATTGAAGGAAATTTCACTACTCAGGACGATTGTAACCACCATTCGCGGTGGTGCCTTTGCTAGATCTGGACTAGAGTCAGTCGAACTGCCGCCACAGTTGCAAGTGTTGGAAGAAAAGTTGTTTTTCCAATGCACAGATTTGACATTGGTGAAGCTGCCGTCACACTTGAAAGAGATTGGACTCCAAGTCTTTTGGGGATGTCACAATGTCATGTCCCTCGAGTTTCCGAAATCACTTCAGTACATTCACAGGGGAGCCTTTCAAGGGTGTTCCTCATTGACCACTATTTCTCTGCTGCACAATACGCTATTGCAGTTCTTGCCAGAACACGTCTTTGAGAACTGTGGGGGGTTGACAGAAGTGTTGTTGCCTTCCAGCTTGATCAAAATTGGATCGTCGGCCTTTCGGGACTGTGTTTCGCTGAAAGATATCAAACTGCCGGTATCGGAAATTGACGACTATGCGTTTGCAGGGTGCCACTCCTTGGCCTTGGTCTTCTTTTCCGAGGGTTTCACGGATGACAAGGGTAATAAGCAAGCGTCACCCCCTCTGAAGTCTATTGAAGAAGGGGCCTTTTTGGACTGTCGATCGTTGACCTTTTTGAAAATCCCATCTTCCCTCAAGTATTTGGGACCGCGGGCATTGGAGGGATGCGAGAACCTGCAAACGATTCATTTGCCAGAAGGTATTGCATTGCTTGAAGCCAATACCTTCAAGGGATGCTCCTCCTTGCAAATGGTGAAGATGAAATTGACTGTCACCGAGTTTCGTACCGGCGCCTTTGAAGGTTGTTCCAAGTTGGAAGAAGCCAACATGCCAGAAGGTATCCAGAGCATTGGACCTAGGGTGTTCTTTGGATGTGAGTCGCTAGTCAAGATTTCCGTTCCGTCTACTATTCATGAGGTTCCGGACGAAGCCTTTATGAACTGTATAGCTTTGACGGATGTGACAATTCCAGACACTTTGGAACGTATCGGTCACAAGGCATTTGCCAACTGTGTAGATTTGAATGCTGTCGATTTGACGGGCAAGGCAACTAGAAAAGAATTGGATTCTTTTGATGGGTGCAAGAAAATGTGGCCCGGTTTGGTTGCACCAAACGCACCCACCATTTTTGACATCAAGTAAAGATCATGTTCTGAAATAAGGCTCCTGGAAGATAATCATAAATTTCATGTAGAATATAAGAGTTATGAATAGCAATACTAAAAGTTGAGACCCAGATATTTTAAAACACAACCTAACGGTCTACATTACGGCTAGAGCGATACTGGCAATGGTCCAGAGCAAGATTGCCAAAGAAGAGCGGGTCAAATTTGCATCGGACCACTTGTCGTCTCCCCCTTGAATGGCTGCCGTCTTGATCTCAACTTCACACTTGTCGCCTTCCCATCCATCCAAACAGGAACACTTCTTGTCGGCCCCACAGGTCGATCCGTTCGTACAGAATGTGTCCTGTTCAGAATCACCGCAATCGTCCGTCGCTTGATACTGGCAGTACAATCCAGCACTTTCTGTACCCATGCAATCGCAAGTCCACTCGCCACCGGTTTGTTCACAAGTAGAACCGTGGAAGCAAATATGTTCCCCATTGCCGCAAAGCTCGTACTGCATTTCACACTCCACGCCAAAGAAACCGCTTGGACAATAACAATATTCAAAGTTGGCGGATGGGGCGAAGTCAAAGAGCTCGGACTTCTTTGTTGGCTCCAAGAATCTAGTAAACATGCTCGCAATGGGCTTGACCACTCCCTTCAGACAACTGCCACCATTCTGGCACGCTAGATTGCACTGACTCCAGGCAATGTCTTTTGTATCTGTGGAATTAACTTCACATCGAGGTCCTTGCCAGTTCCAGTCACAGCGGCATTGAGGACCCGACGAGCCGTAAAAACAACGTCCGTCGTTAGCGCACTGCCAATTTTCGTTTGGGTTCGTTGCATCATTGAAGCATTCATGATGAACAGCACTTTCGCACTGACGACCAATATAGATAGTGTCATCAAAACCAGCACCCAGTGAAGCAACAGTACAGTCGCATACGTAGTCATCTCCAGCATAAGTGGTCTGGCCGGCCGGAAGCTCAATGCACGCCGCTCCATTAGCACAAAAGCCAGAACCACAAGCCTTGCGCTCACAGTACTCCCCAGAGTACCCATCGTCGCATTGGCAAAAGGCTCCAAAGCGTCCAGGGCCAAAGTCATGACCTTCCTCTTCTGGAGTCAGATAAGACTGCAACGCTCGGCCGCCAAACCGCTGCGTGCTGGTTGTGGGAGAACTACAAACACCACCATTTTGACACATGTTGTAGCATTCATCCAAGACTTCCCCACAGGTTGGTCCAGTGAAATTACCAGGACAGATACATCGTTCGACACTGATTCGATCAGATCCATTTACCATGTCGTTGTCGTCGTCATCGTGATTTGGATTATTCGAGCCATCGGGATTAGTAGAATTGCCGAAAATGAAATTTCTTTCACAATATCCGTTGTTCAAGCACTGCAGAGAACAGTCACTATCACCATATTGAAACTGGCATTGATTGCCATAGAATCCGAATGGACATGAACAGTAGCTGTCTTGATTGCCGTCTTCGTCAAAGTTATAATCCGGAGGCCACTCCGGGTCGCCATCCGTCCAATTGGAGCCTTGCAAGTCTCGTTGCAATTCTCGTCGCCATCTCGAACAAGTCCCACCATTTTGACACGGGCACGGCGAGCTACAGTCTGCACCTACCCAGCCTAAAAGACAAAAAAGTAAATGTCAGATTTTGCTGCCTCTTCGTCATCGTGTACCAAGAAGGTGCATGTTTTGCTTACCTGGAGGACAATCACATTGTTCCAACGAATGGCAATTTCCATTGTTTTCATCAAGACACCATGCAAGGTACTCGTCATTGTATCTGTTGCCATCGGCAAAGATACAAGTGCCTCCATTGGCGCAGGACTTGGAACATGATTTTTCTGTTTGGCAACGATTGCCCTCCCAGAAAGGAGTGCACTGACAATATTCCGAGGTCCCATCGGCAACACATCTGCCATTGTTTTCGCATCGAGTGTTGCATTCGAATTGACAACGTTCTCCAGAGAATCCAGGACGGCATCTACAGTTCTTGTCACTGCTGCTTCCAGTGTAACGAGTAAAGGTACAGTTCCCATTTGTACCGCTGCAATCCAAATCGCAAGCGGTTTCGCATTGTGATCCCCAAACATTAGGAGGGCATTGACAATATTCTCTTCCCGTCAGTCCCATGCAACGCTCACGGCTAGACTGATCCATGAATATGTTTTCGCGTAGACACTCGGAACTCAGCTCATCCAAAATCTCTTCGATAAAGTCCATATCATTGAGAAACCAAGCATCTTCCATGATGCATCTTCCGCCATTGAAGCACTCATTTTGACACTCGCGTGGTTCCGTACACAGGTCACCAGTAAATTTGGAGGGACACAAGCAATGTTTTTCCTTGATCGTATCATTGTTCGAGTCATAGGCAACACAGCGTCCACCATTACTGCACGAAAGATCGCAGGCTTCTTCGCATAGTTCACCAAAGAAACCTTGTTGGCAGCGGCATTGTGCCTCGTTGCCCAGGACCTGACAAGCACCTCCGTTTTGGCACTGAATGTCGCAGGTGACTTGGCAAAACTCTCCAAAGGTATCTGGAGGACACTCGCAGTATTCTCTCGCATACAATTCCATGCAGTCTGACAAACCACCAAAAGTACCATTTTGATTGTAACTACAGTCTTCATAGATTCGATCAAAGATGTCATCAAAGAATTCTGCTTCTTCCAGCCACCAGTTTTGCTCCTGTTGACATCTGCCTCCATTCGTGCATTCTTTGGAGCATGGTTTCTCCGTCTCGCAAAAGGCTCCTGTCGAGTTGGATGGACACAAACACATTTGCTCTTTAATGGTATCATTGTTCGTGTCATAGGCTAGGCACCGGCCACCATTTTGACACTCCAAGGAACACGTCTCCTCGCACAAGTCCCCAAAATAGGGGTAGTCACAATTGCATCGGGGTTGATTTCCCCGCCATATTTCGCAAGTACCATCGTTTTGGCACTGCAGATCGCAAGCAATTTCGCAATTATTGCCAAAAACATCGGGTGGGCATTGACAATATTGCGACCTTTGCTCCAAGACTGTGCAATTCTCAACACTTTGACCAGAAAAAGTGCACCTTTCCAAGACTTCGCGTAGAAAAGATTCATCTGAAAGCCACCAACTTTCACCAAATTGACAGGAGCCACCATTGAGGCACGTTGTATCACAGAGTGCGGGTATCTCGCACAGAGGACCAGTAAAATTGAAAGGACAGATGCATTGAGTATCCACGATTGCATCATTCCTATCATAAAAGGCATAACATTCTCCACGATTGGCACACGCCAGGGAGTCGCACTTCTCAGGTGATGGCGGTCGCTGCTGCTGCTGCTGTGCCTTGATCGTCACAAGACACAGAAGAGCAAGGTACAAGAAACGAATCATAATCTCAAACAGTACTGTAGGTGCTCTAGATGATTTGCATCGCATCGGGACGAGATATTCATGATGCGCGTTATATTATTGACACCCCCGCCATATTTTTTAGTTTCTGTCTCGAAAACAACGCGCATGGTTCGTGGTTCGAATTTACTGGACGACCGGCCTGCGCCAACGAATGAACGTAACAAGATACCAAAAATAGGTTGACTAGTTGGACTTCACATTCACTGGAAATAGTAGTAGAACGCGGCGGAGTATAGATCATGATGATTCCAGAAAGCTCTGTCGAACGATGTACGATGGCCACCCTACCAACCTGCTGCTACAGATCTATCATCATCCTGAAAAAAGCGTTCACCATACTAGGAAAGTGATTTGTCATAGTCTCACAATTCGAGCCGGTTTATGGCTAGCATCAACGATGGTATGCATTACAAAAAAAAAGGCCTATCGATTATTTTATTACATAGCACACACTATTAGAATTAGAAGTCTGTTCAGTCGGGTCCCCTTGGCTCCTTATAATGCCGCTTGTAGCGACATGTTGGCACCAATCATTGCAATGGCCCCGCCCAGTGAAGCGATCACAGAGCATAGTCGATTCTCCCATTTCTTCGTGGGATCTCCTCGCATGGCACCTCGGAACATTAGGGTGGGAAAGATGAAAATCAACGACGTTCCCAACAAGGCACCCGACATACTAAGCACAAAGGTCAAGTCTGTGACTTGCGAGGCAACATAGGTAATTGCCGCCACCAAAACCAAGGTCAACTTGTTCAAGAGTCCGTTCGTTCGTTTTTCTTCGGGGACCCGTACCAAGTCCAAAAGACCGTCCCGACTGCCTTGAAACATGAGCGGATACGAAAAGATCAAGGATACTGCCACAGCAAATCGACCAGCCAGCAACAATGAATCCTTGCTCGAGTAAGAGTCCAAGACCATGGACGCACAATTCGATCCAAAGGTCAAAAACGCCAAACTGGAGACGATGCAATAAAAGGCGATTGATATTCCAAACGAGGCTGACGTGACCATGTTGAATCTCTCCAAGGTATTGTTCTTCAACTCTTTAAAGAACTTGGGTGCGTTGAAATGAGCAATGTATGCGGTCGACAACATGCTGATCAAAATGAGTGCCTTGGCCGACAACGCTCCCTTGGCTCCAATCGCTCCAAAAGCTGGTTTCACAGTCAAGTCATTTACAAACTTGCCTCCTTTCGCATAACTGCCCCCAAAGAATCGAATGGCAATGGCCACTCCTGTATAGGCCGATCCTATCACTCCGACAATCGAAAAGGGTGCCAACGACGACAAATTCTTGATCAAAGACAGTGGGAAGAGAATCGTGCACGTCAAGACTCCCATTACCATATTCCGACTCGCAGTGACACCAATCGTACCCAACAAAGCTCGCAAGGTATCGGCCAAAATCATGGAATACGCCAAATTCAGAGCCATGCAACTAAAAGCAGAGGAGGCCGCAATGACCCAACTCGATTGACGGCCGCAGGTCAAATCCCAGGCTTCGGCATACGACGAGGCACCCGTTTTCTGACACACTTGGGCCACGAGTGAAAAGGTATAGGCCGAAATGACGCCCATGAGCGTCACAAACAAACAAGCCGGCAGTAGTGCCCCCGGGTTATTCCCAAAGGCGGCAATTCCAGCGGGCAAGGAAAAGACACCAGCACCAATGATGTTTTTGACGAGGTTAAAAATTTCATTGGGAATGGTGGCGGTGCCTGTGCCTATCAGTACTTGGTCTCCTCCTCCCCTAGGAACCTCAGCGGCAATCACATTCGAAGCATGGAGTTTGGTGTATTCGTTAATCACACCATCAGTAGAATCCATCACTGCGATGTCATTCATAAGAATATGAATGCGGTTTTTTGGTTTGATTAGTTTGACCAATCCAAATTTGCGAATTTATTGGATATTCGTTTTCTCATGCCACATATTCAATATAGAATATAGGAGAATAAAAGCGTTGTGGCTTTTATGATGACAATACTCGTGAATGGCAATCAGCCAAACAAACACAAACAAACAATAGACAATACTGTATAAGTACTATTACAATAATACACTCACTATTAGATTTAGAAGTCTGGCCAGTCAGTCTCAGCGTATATACAGTCAGTCCCCTTGGCTCCATCCTCACAATGCCTGTAGCGACATTCTGGTACCAATCATTGCAATGGCACCACCCAGTGACGCAATCAATGAGCATAGTCGATTCTCCCATTTCTTGGTGGGATCTCCTCGCATGGCACCTCGGAACATTAGGGTGGGAAAGATGAAAATCAACGACGTTCCCAACAATGCACCCGAGATGCTAACCACAAAGGTCAAGTCTGTGACTTGCGAGGCAACATAGGTAATGGCTGCCACCAAACCCAAGGTCAACTTGTTCAAGAGTCCGTTGGTTCGTTTTTCTTCGGGTACCCGTACCAAGTCCAAAAGACCATCCCGACTGCCTTGAAACAAGAGTGGATACGAAAAGATCAAGGAGACTACCACGGCAAATCGACCGGCCAAAAGCAACAGATCCTTGCTCGAGTAACTGTTCAAGACCATGGACGCACAACTCGAACCAAACGTCAAGAACGCCAAACTGGAGACAATGCAATAAAAGGCGATGGAAATTCCAAAGGAGGCTGACGTGACAATGTTGAATCTCTCCAGGGTATTGTTCTTCAGCTCTTTAAAGAACTTGGGTGCGTTGAAATGAGCGATGTAGGAGGTTGACAGCATGCTGATCAAAATGAGTGCCTTGGCCGACAGCGCTCCCTTGGCCCCAATCGCTCCAAAAGCTGGTTTCACTGCCAAATCACCAACAAACTTGCCTCCTTTGGCATAACTTCCGCCAAAATATCGAATGGCAATGGCCAATCCCGTATAGGCCGAACCTAGTAATCCCACAATCGAAAAGGGTGCCAACGACGACAGATTCTTGATCAAACATAATGGCAAGAGAATGGTCGACGTCAATACTCCCATGACCATATTTCGACTGACTGCAATGCCAAGAGTGCCCATCAAAGCTTGTAACGTGTCGGCCAAAATCATGGAATAGGCCAAATTTCCCGCCATGCAATCCAAAGCCGAAGAGGCCGCGATGATCCAGCTCGTTTGACGGCCTCTTGTAAGATCCCAAGCTTCGGCGTAACTCGATGCTCCTGTTTTCTGACAAACTTGGGCCACGAGTGAAAAGGTATAGGCCGAAATGGCGCCCATGAGCGTCACAAACAAACAAGCTGGAAGCAAGGCGGTTGGCGAGTTCCCAAAGGCGGCAATTCCAGCGGGCAAGGAAAAGACACCGGCACCAATAATGCTCTTGACCAAATTGAATATTTCATTGGGAATGGTGGCGGTACCACCAGTACCACTTGCTCCAGCAGATGGCTCGTCCGGAGTGGCAGCAGCAGCAGCTGAGGAGGAAGCATGCAGTTTGTTGGTATATTTGTTATTGTTGCTGTTCTGTTGGAAGCGACGAAGGACCTTGTTCGTTTGGAATTGGATGTTGTTGTTGTTCCTCACCTGTCGGTTGTTGCTACTGCTGAATTGTGTTGCAAAGGCCGTGGTGGTGATGGTGGTGGTGAAACAAAGGACTGCCAAGAGCAGAAAGGAACGAGTTGATCTATTGTGCATCGTCATTATCATCATTTTCATATTGGTATAGATAACGCTATTTGGAGAATGATTTACAGTCACTTTTATACTATCGTGTTGGAAGAAGGATGTGAAAGAATTCATACATCACAGAAAGATCGCACCAACAGACAATCCACTGATGTCAGACAAAATGGGTGACCCTGGAAACGCCGTCTGTCGGCTGACACACACACCACTCGGCACCATTCCGCGGCGATATATTTTTTAATAATCTCGGACGGAACTTTTTTAGCGTGCTACAGTAGTATTCGAAGGTTTCGAACAGAATGAACGCATTTCGCATATATAAATATATAGTGCGAAACCAACCAAGAAACAAAGAGGCCCAACCGGCCGGTCTAAAACGTTGCACATTAACACCCAAATGTCCACTTACACATACAAAACCGCAATCGTTAAGTTTTCGGTACCCATTAGCCATGCTCGCTCGCTAGAAACATAATGGCGTGTCGCAGTCATGCCCGAACAAGAATCCCAGTGAGCAAAGAGCAAAAAGAACATTCACCCCAAAACACAAGAGGGCAAAACATACACACAGTAGCGCAGGAGCGTCTGTGTCATAATTTGTGTGTATCGTGTAGCAAACAATATAAGTTCTCATAGCTGACACTACAAACGCTGTTGAAGCACTGAAGCAACATAATACACACACAAACAAACAAGCAAGCTAGCTACACGTTGTTGCAGAGTAATTTTGGCATTTTGCTAAGCATTTGAACAATTAATAATTCCAATATTTCCGACAGTCCCACGTTTTTGCCCAACGGATCTTTCTCGAAAAAACTTGAAACGCCCCGCTTCAAATCTAAAAGACAAGCATACCGTACATAAGACAACCACAAGATGCCTCCTGCAATCCTCACGAGACTTTCCAAGAGCTTGCGACAAAAGCAAAAGAACATCACTTGCCATTCTGATGCGAAGCGGCAATCTGAAGGTGAGACTTGTCCCATTTGCTGGAAGAATCTGCCCAAGAAGCCCCAATGTTTGCCGTGCAATCATGAATTCTGCAAGGGCTGCATTGTGGATTTGAGAGAGCATGCCAATAGCGTGCATACAATCCCCAAGTGTCCCATTTGTCGGGGTCCTTTGGAACAAGCCAACTTTAAGCGAGTCTACAAGCGGGCTTGTCATCACGAAAACATTGCTTCCACTCTGATTGGACTGGGTGCAGCACCCGTGGAAGCCAACACGGGACAAACAACTACATCATCATTAATGACGACACAGGAAAACTCGCTTACCTTTTTGAATCATGAAGTCATTCGTGAGTATGGATTGGCAGCCAAGAAATTTGAAGAATGTTTGAATATTCTAGACGATGAGGCTTCAAGAACCCTCACGCCCAAGGAAGAGTCCAAACACAAGCAATTCAAGGTGGCCACCCTGATGAAATTGCAACACTGTCTGCGATATTCCGAGGTTGCACACGATCGCCGGATCTCGTTACTCAAAGAAGCCATCTTGCTCAGTTCCAAACCCATTCCGGAAGCCCACTTGCAACTGGGCAAGATTTTTCTCCAAGACGAAGAAGATTCTACAGACTTGGCGATTGGTGAGTTTCAATCCATTTTGAAATTGGCCGAACAATCACGATTGGTCAGTGGTTCCAAAAAAGCCAAGAAGCTACGAGGCAGGACTCATTTTCAAATGGCCATGGCCTATCAAGACGAAAACATGATTGCGGAAGCTGCCAATCACTACGACTTGGCCCACAAGTACAAGAGCTGTTGGGATTATTACATGGCCTCCAAATGCTTTTCCTTGGTTGGCAATCTCCCCAAAGCGATTGAATTTTGCAAATTGGCCTTGGAGAGGGAAGAAGATCTCGGCGACGCCAGGTGCGATACCCATTTGCTCTTGATTTCCATTTACGAAAAATTGTTCTTGGTGGAACAGTTGGAGGGTTCCCTGCAAGAATCCAAGCATTACAAATATCATCAGGATATCGAACAATATTGTTCCTCTCTCATCAAGGCCAAGAAGTTGGCCTCGAATTCGCAAGAACGCTCCGAATTGTATCTCAGATTGGATACCTTGCAAGGATTGATTCCTTGGAAATTGGACACCATTCAAGAACACTTTCCTCCCAAGACGTGGTTGGCTACCACCAACACTGCCAGTACTTCTTGTAGAACGGGACGATCGGCAGCCTTTACGGAAGATAGCGAAAATACCTTTGAAATGGGGGAAATGGAAGACAATAATAGCATGTATTCCAATTCGTTGTACAGTACGAGCTTTGACCATGATTGCAAGGATCATGATGGTGAAAATCATCATGGCAGTGACCATGATGATGATAATAATGATGGCAGTGAGGATGAAGATAGCGATTACTATGATGAGGAGGACGATGACGAGGGTGATGTACTATCCAAGGATGTGCATTCAGATGACGATACTGGTGATGAATGGACCGAAGATAGTCATGATATTGTCTCTGTGGATCCAGTTATGGAAGACGACGTTTCCTTGCATGATGATGATGATGAGGAAAAAGACGGCGATGATGATCAGGATGATGATAGTCATGAAGATGCCATGGATGATTCTGATGATAATCACGATAACGACGACGAGGAAGAGGATTTCGAACCAGAAACGAATGACCATGTAGAAGTAGAAAATGGTGGCAATGTACTAGAAGCTACACAATGTATTATGCAAGAGCCAGAAACAGACGACGAGGAACATTCCGAAGCCAACGAACTAATGGAAGACAGTCATGATGATGCTACTCCAGATGGTGATGACCAAGAAGACCAGCCTCTGGAGACAGCGAAGGATGATGAGCAAAATGGCCATTCAAAATTGGGAGCAGCCAATGATGATAATGATGAAAAGAAAGATCCTATTCCAGATCTAGTTGCTGACTCTGGTGTGGACGAGGATGCTTCTGCTGTGAAGATGGAAGAGGAATCCGATGAAGCTAGTCTATAATTGAAAGAGAAAGAAGAAGAACGGAAACAGTGAAAGTACTCTTTTGCAATTTTGGACAAGCAGCGGACTGTTTGCATGTTCTGTAACTATTATTTGTCGTCTTGCGACAGCAACATCATGTTGTTGGTAATGACCAAGATGATGTCGGCTGCGCACTAGACTCACTCTACATGATATATCATATAAGACCACAATGTACTATTTACCCAAAGGAAAGGCTCTTTCATAGAAGGAAGACTTTAGAATGAATCATGCATAGCAAAATGCATCGGCATTATTCATTCTTAGTTACCACGGTTACCGGGGTGCTGGTATACCAGTGATACCGGTACACGTACTGGTATAGTTCACTCAAACTTGCCGTGGGACTGACTGCCTTGTAGCCTTGACACCGGTATTCGCATATCTGAATATATCCGGGTTCCGTTTTCAAAGAATACAGGCGATATATGAATATACCGTATGAATATTCGATTCATTCACGAATACGCAGTCTCAAAAACACCAATGATGATGACTCTCTCCGACTCCCCAAATTAAATTTCGGCCACAGAGAGAAGAAGAATAAACCACAGAGGCAACTCGAAGTTGAAAGTGATCAAACATAACGTAACGTCAAGCCTTACGTTTACTTTCCCACTGCCTGATACCAGCTCAAACGGCATCAAAGAGTACCCAGACAGATGCAACGCCCCGAAGTGGAAATCCTGCAAAGTTCAGCCGAAGGCACTCGTGAAACCGCACCCAAAGCTGGAATCTCCGTGACGGCCTCTCGGTCCCTCTCGATGGCTTCCACACCGGCCGAAACCTATCCGCAAAAGGATGTGCCCAGAGTGAAACCCGTCAGTCCCACCAATCTGACCCACGCGTCGACGGGAGGCGGCAATGGTCCCACCATTGGAACGGCGAGTTGCTGGAACGCGCTCCAGCAAATTCAAGACTCCATTGTCGAAACCTCCCAAGCCGCTCGAGCGTCTCGCCTGAGTTCCGAATACTCGGGACAATCTGCAATGCGAGCAAAGGTCAATGACACCCTGGGGGTCGCCAAGGTGGCATCGGTCACCTGTTGGTCCAAAATGTCCCAATTTGCCTGGGATTTGGCCTTGCCCGAAGTGGATTCCAACAAGCATTCCGATGGTGGTACTAAATCGAACAAAGTTCCAGCGGGGATGCAAAATGTGACGGGGGTGACCAATGCCGAACGATTGAAACAAAAGGCGGCCCAATCCGTCACGGCACCGGAATTGCCACCGGAAGGAGAATCATCGTTGCCAGAAGAATCATTGACGGTCGACGAAGACGGATTGGCAGTGGAGGTGATTGAGAATGTGGATAGTTTGTGATGAAAATGCTTGATTCAATTCATTCCTATACCTTCATTCATTCACAACAAAAAAGTCCAAACATCTGGCATTGCTACTGTAAATTCTCATTCATTCATTCATCCACATTATCATGCTTTTAAAATGCAATAGACATCCTATATATATATATATATATATATATAGATGTATATGTATTCTTAATCTTTCCAACACTGATGATTCGAGGCGCCATGTAATTGGGAGAATGAAAGAATGAATATTTATAGTTATATATATATATATATATATATACTGCTTCATTGATTGTTGTTTCCATGCATTCATGATTGGCGGCAAAATGTCGCTACAATCGACAATGCAGAGCAGCAAAAAGGGGAACGGCAGTAACTGACTATACAGTACATATACCGAGACTGACTGACTGACTGACTACATGTACCGTCTGACTAACTCGGCAGACCTATTGCAAGTGTATTTTGTGTTGTGTAGAAAATTTAAAAAAAACCCAACCAGGATATTATCGCCATGTAGGTGTGTATACTTTCGTTATCTATAATTGTTGTTGTTGTTGTTGTTGTTTGCCATTGCATTGTTTTAGGGATGAGAGTGGTAGGCTTCTGCGTTTGGCCCCTTCGGTTCTTCCTCCCTCAGGCATGCATGCATGCATGCATCAAGGCAATTCTCATCTTGCATGCCAAAGCCACGATTCACGAGCCATGGCTTCTTCTTCCTTTCTTGCTTGGGCAGCCTTGGAAAAAATGAGGCTTGGAAATGTGTAGTAGTGTATGCATTTTTTTTACGTGTAAGTACAGTATGATGATAAAACTCTGTACATGTTCTTCAAAATAGTAGGTAGTAGTTGTTCGTTCCCCGCCTCCCTCCTTTAGCTAGCTAGCAAGGCTAGCTAGGCCGCAGGAACCAGTGTCATGGTAGTCATCATCATTTCATCATGCTGCTGTTGCCATTCGGCCAGTTCCATTTGCAAGGTATCATACAATAGAAACCTGGCAATGATGAGAACTTTTACCATCATGGTTATTCGAGAAGCGTCCATCAACATTTTGATTGAATTGAATTGAATTGGATTGGATTGTGTGTGAGATGTTTTTTGTGAAGAAGACGAAGAGACGAGACTGTTCTGATATTATATATATATGAGATCAGTAGATCAGATGTGATTTGATTTGATTTTGATGTTCTTGAGGTTGTATTTCAGCGAGTTCTTTTGCATCAAATATTTTTTATATTGTGTGCACCTGCTACTATTCTCTTTTCTGGCCAAAAAGAGGAGAAAGATACCTGCTGATAAGACAAATTCCTACCGGAAGCCTGCGTACCGGCACTTTCTGCTTTCGACGACATCACTTAATTGACACTACTGTGACCGAACCTTTTGCCGAAATTCGACCTCGAAGATTCGAGATTCATTCGATTCCTTCGACCTTCAAAAGATTCTCGGAGTTGAGAGTTGCTGGCGACTGACTGACTGACTCACTCACTCACTCGCTCAGCGAGCACATCATTATTGGCGGTATACTACCGGTACACGTGTAGACGTGTACAGTCAACGGACTCACTCGCCGAACGGATAAGCTTCGGTAAACAAGGGTACCGGTATATCCCGCTTCCCGTGAAATCGGTAATTCCCTTTTATTGGGAGCCATCCACGCTCTGACAATTTATAAAAAAGATGATGATAATATTGGCAAGATTGATTCATTGATTCATTGATTGATTGATTCAGATCATTCTCGACGAATCTAATAATAATGCAATGCTACATCGCACCAATCGTGAATACATTCTTATTCTCTCTCACCTTACAACTGATTGTGGGCAGTCATTATCATCCTCCTCATGCTGCTGCGTTGGCATTTACCCCAGCGACAATCAGCACGACGACTAGGAAATCGTCATCTTGCCGAAAATCGTTCATGGTGCGGCATTATTCCTCATCTACGGTGACTGCCAATGAACATAATAATAATGAACATAATAATAATAATAATAATCATGATGATGATGATCCTAAGGACGACAGCAACAACAACAATGCAATCACGACCCCCACACGCCGCTTGCTGATTGTGGGATATGGACGGGTGGGTCAACAAGTGGCGGCTCATGCAGCAGCAGCAGCAACATCATCATTGGCATCCGATGATACTAATACCATACCATGGTCGTTTGACCAGATTGTGGGTACCACTCGGAACAACAATAATGATGATGATGATGATAATGATAGTACAAGCGCAACTACCGTCTACGAAGATGATGATGACGACTGTAACATTTCTTCTTGCACTGTGACGACGATTCCAATCTCTGACCTGTTGAATCCACCAGGTACAAGTACTACTACCAGGGTACTATTGCAAGACGACTATTATTCCCATGTCTTGATTGCCATGCCTCCCGTAGAGGAAATTTATCAAGCGATTTTGGATTCCTTTTTCTTGTGCAATAATATAACAAATTATGACGACGGCGCGGACAGCAATCATGATAAGAATAATACAACAACAACAAAAAATAATAATAATGATACTAAATGGCTGGGCATGGTGTCCACGACGGGTGTTTATGGCAATCACCATGGAGAATGGGTGACGGAAGAATCGGAATTGAGGTGTAACAGTGCGGCTGGCGGGTCTACTGCTAAGAAGAATTATGTCCAATGGGAACAAGCCTTTCAAAAGAAGGCAACTCTTGGCAAACAACAACAACAACATCGAGTGCGAGTGCGAGTCTTTCGATGTGCGGGTATTTACGATTCCACAAAGTCGGCTCTGCACACCTTGTGGAAGAAACAGCAGAAACTGCCACGAGATAATGAAGCAGCAACAACAGCATTTCAACTGCTACAGGACAACCAACCATCAACCCAAAAAGGGAAACAGGAGGACAGTACGACGTCCACGACAATAGTAGAATCGAAAACGAATCGAATCCATGTTGCCGATATTGCCCAAGCAATTGTCAATAGCATGATGATGATGATGGAGGGTGAAGATGAAGAACAACGATCAAATTCATCACCATTTGAGATTTACAATCTTTCCGACGACTTGCCGGAACGTCGATCCAAAGTGATGGAGTATGCTTCCAATTTATTGACGAATCGCTTGGGTGAAACATGGACAACAAGAGCAGCCGATAGTGAGGAGCTTGGACTGAGTAATGATGACGACGACAGCAGCAGTGGCAGTAGTGGAATTAGTAGCAGAAAGAAGGATCCTAAAATGCCCAAAAAGGAATCTGCTGGAGAAACCAAATCCATTCGTCGGACTCGACGGGAACAAGAACCCAAACTCATCGACAATCAAAAGCTCAAAAGAACATTGTTGCCAGAACTTGCATATCCAACCTACAAGGAGGGTCTGGATGCCATTTTATTGGATCCACAGGCGCCTTGGAACCAGAACAAGAATAGCGAACAACGTTGACAATATTGTGCTATTGTGCCCTCTCTTTCTCTCAAGTGCCCATCTGCGATTGCTGAATTCAATGGCATTGAGTGACCCAATCCATCTCCTTCTTATATCGTGACATACAAAATGTTCGCGCAAAAAGAGATGATATTTTCATCAGTGTAAGTGTACAGTATTGTAACAGTCTGCTTCACACTGTAACAGCTGCACTTATTGCAACAGAAATAATACCATTCCATGTTCCATGAATGAAACATTGGGTTACGCCACCCGTTGTCACTTTATCCAATCGTTGCCCTGCTTTCTATTTAGATACTTTAAAATTGACAGGGAGGGGCGCACTCTTTATTTGTGCATGCTCCCTATCTTCTACGAGCCAAGCCTCGCCGATTATAACCAACTCAGCACCAATCTCAACTGTTTGAGATCCCTCTCCTTATTGTCCTTCTCGAACGACTTCGTGTCGGATCCGTACTAACTTTCGAGCCGGGCATTTCCAAAGTCAATAAACCTAATCTTCTGACCGTCAAATAAGACAAGATTGCGCATTTCCAAATCTCCGTGGGCGACACCTGCTTCGTGCACTGCTGCTTTTAGATCAGCTATAGTAATGCTTGGTTGTATGTAGACACCGACTCCCCGTCGAAAGCCTTGTGCGTGTCGAGGTGGGCCCATTTTTATATACAACAGTAGTAGTAGAAAAAAGGCAACCGCATCGCCACACGTTCAGGAATGAATCACCCAAGACGATGCATTGACTATATTATCGAGCCGCAACATGCAAAAATTGTGGGATCGCGCCGTCCCTTGTGGATGACACAAGATGTGGTAGACTTGTGTTTCATGCTTCAGCTCACCAATACGAGTGTTGTACTATCACCATGCAATGTGATGTGAGTGAGAGTATTATGGTAGTGCGGCGTGGCGTGGCGTGGGTTTTCGAGCACTCTTCACGACTACGACGACTAACGTACAAGTACCCTGGTGCACGTGTGCTGGTACCGGCACTGGTGCTAGCACTCACTACCGGGGATGGCCAGGAAAATCAACATTTACTCCCAAGAATTGAGTGCTAAATTTCTATTTCCCGGCCGTTCCGGTACCAGGTAGTCGTCCTCGTCCGATGCGAAGTCCGACGTGGAAGTCAAACGAGTCGATTGACAAGAACCGAACTCACCAATTGAAGAAGCACGTGCGTGACTTGTTGAAGGTTGATGGATGGATTGATGTGACGAATCTATTAGTACTTTGATTGATTAAAATATGTGTGTAAAGTATATCATAGCATACTACAATATATTGTTCTTTTGTGTTGGATATGTTCTTGCTTTTAGCTTTTTACAGTACTGTTTGGATGCTTATTTCAATTCTATTTTTTTTTTCAGTCAGCCCATCACCAGCAATCTGATGATAAGAAGGAGAACGATCATGATATTGATAATCACTCTATGGTGCGAGTGCACTCATGGCTGCTTCTTGCCGAACGGCGGTAATACTATCCTCATCATTCTCGTTTTCATTGTATTGTACATTGCAAGATCCCTGCAAGTATTCCTTGAGAGTCTTTTGAAAGTCATTCCACAATTTGCGATTTAGCTTGAGTTCTTCCACCAAGCCTTCTTCTGGATGGTACAGGTGCACAAATGGAAAGGACTTGACTCCCAAGCCTTCAAACAGGGCGGCAGATTCTTTATCCAATAACGGAATTTGAACCACCTTGACATTTTGCATCGAATGCAGTCCGGCGGCCATGGCCTTCATTTTGGGTTTCAACCGCAAACAGGTCCGGCACCAGGGAGCTGTGAAAAAGACCACCACGAGGGCATCGGTGACATCCGCAACATGAGTCTTGTATTCTTGCAAACTATGTACTTGGGTGATCATTTCATTCGTCTTAATGACCATGGGCGAGTCGGATTGTTTGTTTTGCCGCCTCAAAATGTTGGACATTCGAAATTTCTTTTTGTTTTTGTTGTCTTGTTCTTCATCTTCTTTTTCCCGGGAGGGCATGTCGAAGATGGAAGACTGCATTCTAGTTTTTGTTGGTGTTGCTGTTGTTGATGTTGTCAATGTTGACAATCTGTGTCGTTGGTTATTTTGTGGTGTCATGAGAAATGCCAACGTGGAACCATAGCGATAGGGTCGGAATACGAACAAGCAAATCAAGCAACTGAATAGAGGAAGGGTGTGTGTTCGGAAGATCATTTTGATTATTGTGGTACTTGATAGTCGTGATGTATATATATATATATAGAGTCAGTCGTTTGTTGTTGGTAGTGACTAAGCAAGACTGAGTTAGAATGAACGATGATTCAGTCTTGAGACCTCAGATGTGTGTTTGTGATGTTTGATGTTTCTTCGTTTGTTCTAAAGATTTGTGGGCGAACGCACTACAGTACAGAGAGGTCGCAGATTTACTTACACACGTCACTTTTTTGGAAGTTTGATTGGCCCATAATGTCAACGGAGGTGGACAGAACGCTTCGTAGCTTGTTCGTAAGTTCGTACCAGCCAGGTAGTGTCATTCGTGAAAGAAGGGAGTTCGCAATAGACGTAAGGGGGTTCTGTTCGGCATTTCCTCAAAATCCAAATCGTCACGACACCAAAGATACCTCTTTCTTCTCTTGCTCGTTCGGAACAATGCTAAGTCACCCGGAAGAACACCCTTCATCATTTTGAATTTGTTCTGGTTGATGATGGCGAAGAAAATCACTTCTTTGGCAGTAGCGATAGAACAATGACTGTGACGAAGGATCAACCACCGTTGCTCTTGCGCCTAGAGCGTGGCATGAGTGAGACTTTCATGTTGGAACAAATTGCTTCATTACTACTACATGATCAGGATGATCATCCTCCTTGTTCTGTCGTCGTCGTCGTCGTCGTCAAACTGCAAGTCGTTTCCCATTTTTCTTCGGCACCCTTTGTATTTTCCAAGAAGATTGCGGATGCTTTGATCCTTGCACTTGGGCATCATTCTCATTGTCAAGTGGATTTGGAGTTTGATTTTCTGAAAGATACGCCGGAACTATCCAGGCTCCTCTGTGGTTTGGAAAAATCCATCACAACCCTTAAATTGATTGGCATTGTGGTTGGGACAGCAGACACAAAGAAGACAAACTCAATGGCGACCTTGTGGAACTACATTAGCAAAAAGGGTACGTCTTTGAAAAATATACATGTGACGATACGAGCCTCCGAGTCTTCCATTCAACCTTTTTGTCAGGCACTGCAAACCAATGATTCATTGGAATTGGTTTCCATCTGCTGCTATGACAAACAGCATGTATTGGATGAATCCTTATGGAACGCAATACAATATCACCCATCAGTTACTAAACTACATATTGTAGCCTTGGAGCAAACCATGACTTCATTCGTGTCGAGCATTGGCCTAGATCTTGTTGTTGACCATGCTGAAAAAAGCATCCAGCTTCCAAGGAAATTAAAAGAGTTGCGACTTTCGTCATTGCTGGGTGGTGCCTTATCTCGGAATCATATTGCTACTACTACAGAAAAGGACGAGTCATCAGCATCATCATTAATGTGGACCAACTTTATGCTTTCACTCCAAACACAAACACCACACCTACAACGACTCAGTTTGAACAGTATACCAAGTCTGACCACCGACATTGTCGACGAAATGTTGTGCAACATCCATCCAAAGCTACAATTTCTAGACTTGCAAGGGAACTATTCCATTCAATCGATTTTCTTTCCAAAGTGGTATAAAACGATCAAACAACATGCTGGTCCTCAACATGCAGCCTCTCAAATTCGACAAGTCAACATTCTTGGGCCGCTATGGTGGGACATGAACAGCAACAATGCTATAGGTTTCCATCCACATAGTGACTGTAACAATGGCCACGATGTCGTGACATACCTGATGACACTTTTTGCCAAGCACCTTTGGTTGTATCAACTTGGTGGAAAATTGGAGCATCTCTTGGAAAAGTTGGACACCCAGCTGCAGCTGGATGGCGGGGTCCTTCAAGAACAAGAACAACAAGAACAACAACAACGCAACAAGAAGAAGGAACATCTCTTGACACTAGCCGACTGGAATCGATCAGGATCTCGACACTATGCCAGTCAAATATTTGCGTCCAAATCATTTTCACCGGCACTTTTGCCATTGGTGCTGCAACGATCATGCCATCAATCGGAAGCAACCATGACAATCCAGCGACAAGCAAGCGTTGTCAACAGGACACTCCAAGAAACTTTACCGATTTTGCTTCATTGACTTCTACTGTACAATAGTGTGGACATAATAAACGTCCTAGAATACATATCCTATGAAACATGCATTTTACTAAAACATAAAATTACAATTACACATACCGTACACGGACATGACACAAAAGTTAGTCCTAGGACACATTCTCTTCTCTTTTTTCTTTATATGTAATACGAAACATCTATACAGCGAGTACAATGAGTGGCAGCAGGTAGCCGTTTGGTGTTTTGCTTGTGTCGTGGCTTATTCTCGAAAACGCTGGCACTCGTCGCGAATGATTTCATTGGTCATGTCCGATGTCAACGGTCGATCCGTGTTGGATTGGGCCGCCAAGACACACCATCGAGCTTGTTCGTATGCCAAGTTGTAGCTTCGACGGTCACTCAAGTATTCTCTGGTACCAACGTCCAAAACGAGGGCAATTTCGTCTGGCTTTAAAGCATACAAGGGTGGCATTTCGGACAAGATTGTATCCTTGAGTTGCTGACGCTCGGCTTCTCTCTTTTGTAGCTTGGATGTCTGTCGAGTGGTGTTGATTGGAGAGAGCATTGCGCTGCTGGGTTGCTCGACGGTGGGCGAGTCCACATTCCCATTGTCTCGTAAAACCTGGCTTGCATTGTCATCAACAGGCGAGGAGTCGTCACGCGTTTCTTGTGCGGGTTCTTCTACCAAGACGATTGGACAGGCTTGGTTGGAACCAGGGGTTGACTCGGTCTTTGTTGTCGTCGCCTTGGTTGATTCTGGCGTTGGATATGCTCGGGCCGTCTTAGACTGCATCGTCGCTTTCTTGTTGTTTGCTATCTGGGCTACTTCTGGTGTTGGCTTGGCTCGTCGCGCCTTTGATATTGCTGTAGTTTCCTTGGTCATGGTTGCCTTCGAATCGGTCAAATTCGTTTTCGGCTTGGTCATCTTTTTCACAGCAGACTTTGACTTGGATTCAGTTGGATCCTTTTTCAATTTTTTCATTGGTTTCTTCGCTTGCGTTGGCTTGGATGAGTTTGGCTTAGATTCAGTTGGGTCCATCTTCTTCGACTTCGCCACAGTGTTCTTCTTGGCTTGTTCTTGTCTGTTTTTTTCTTTTGACTTTGTTGTATTGTTCTTGGGTGGTTTTGTCTTGGGCCTGCTTGCTTCGAATGACTCGGGATCTGGTTTTCTTGCTCTTCGTCTTTGTTCTGCTTCTCGCATCGCTTTTTGGGCTAGTTGTCTCGCCTTGTGGGCTGTGGACATCTCCATATCGGCAGTCGCCTGCTGAGTGGGCTTCGGCGAAGTCGGTGGGTCCATTCGTTTCCGGATGGTCGGACTTGAGCTCTCTTCTTCATTTTCTGAGATCGATTCATTCGCGGAAGAGGACGCATTCTTCTCGACAGTAGAACTCGGATCGGAAGGTTCTTCTCGACGACATGAGACTTCCTCTTGGTTTTTCGATATTGATTCTTTTGGAGCAGAGGGAGCATCCTGAATTGGTGAACAACCTGAGGGTTCTTCTCGCTCGCGTTTCTGATCAGCATCCGTAGGCGTATCAGTAGGAGCGTCTGCAGGATTTTCAGAGCGACAATCAGTGGGAGCATCAGTGGGAGCATCGATAGGAGGATCGGAAATGGCAGAGTGTTCAAAATCATCGTAAACATTCGAAGTTTGTGAGGTATTTTCAGACCCAATTGTGTCTTCATCGTCCGAGTCAACCCCGTCGATCATGGAAAGATACGCTTTTGTGCCGTTCACGTGTTCATTTGCCATTAGGATACTTCTTGAAATCGATTCATTTTGCTGTTCAGAGTCTGTCCAATGGAGCATGGACTCGTTTGTGATGGGAATATCGTTCATAGCTTGGAGCGCAATCATTCCAGGGAGTTTCATTGTTGGGCCACACATGTCCTTTGTCTCCGGCGTGACGCATTTTAGGTTTCCGCAGTTCCAACTGTTGAAAAAACTCTTCTTTTCTTGTTCCGTCGCTTCAGTTGATTCAGTTTCCTTTTCCCGCTCTTCTGCGAAGGCAGTTTCCGCAATGCTGTTTTCAGCGACGCTTTCCGACATACTGGTCACACTCATGTCAGCCAATGCTGAGAGTCCCATTCTCCTCTCCTCTTCAGTCAGACTTTGATTGTCGCAACCAGGAATGTCAAATGACGGTTCAGCGCATTCTGGAATTGACGGTAGCCTGTTTGGATAGCGCTGGGATGCCGCAATCAATCTGTCAATTTGTTTGAAGTCAACCACAGGAAATTGGTTTGCAAGGCGACCAGAGGACTCGGAATTTTGGCTTGCTGCCGACGAAGCAACGAGAGGCCCACTTTCGACCTCCTTGGCCATGTCATCCATTAGCGCTTTTCGATTGACCTTGGGTCTGGATGGCTTTTCTTCTTTGCACGAACGATCCAGGATCCCCAGGTCTGTATTGACAAGCAAATTATCAAGGAGGTCCCATAATGATTTTGGTTCTGGCTCTGTCGGTTGCGGAGCGGGCTCCTCAACAGATGACATGTCAAATTGAACTCGTCTTTCTGGGTTCTTCTTTTTCTTCTCGTCGCTATTGGACTTGACCAGAATGGATGGTATCCATGCTGAAGAAGATGTCTCCCCGCTTGATGGCTCTTGATTCAAAGATACCGAGTCCCCTGTCGCAGATTTAGAGATTTCGAGTTCTCCATCGTAGGCAGAGTCCATGGTGGGTGCAGGGCTTGTCATTTCATTAATTGCATCAAGGACACTTTCGGGATGGGAAGAATCACTTTCTTCGCTTGCAGAGGCAGAGACCTGAGATTCTGTGAGACCCAATTGCTCTTTCAATTCTTCGATCCTTGATCGTCTCTTGACTATTTTTGCTTCATCTGCTTCTGCCGCTATTTCGATGACATTATCACAGTCATCTTCATCTTCGACCGAGTCATTATCTGAATCATCATCAAACATGGAAGCTGCGCTTCTGGCTGATTCTCTGGTTGCAGAAGAATTTTCCGATTCGTTGGTTTCGACTGTTGACGTCGCCTTGACGACAGAAGCCATGTGATCCGATTCCTCTGTTAAGACAGTTTCCATCCTCGTTTCACTGAGCTTTTGCTCCAAATGATTTTCACTAGATGATACACTCAAACTGAGGCTTGATGCACCTTCGCGCTCACCACAGGATGGCTTGGCGTCGTTGAGGTATTGCTCGTTCTCTTCCGAGGGTGCATTCACAATGGAATCAAAGCTATTCGAAATGGATGCCCCCAACACATCTCGAGAATTAGAAGACTCGCTACTGCTTGCCAATGTTCCGTCTAGTGCATCTTCTCGGCATTCGGCTTCGGGTTCATCGTCCGAGTCCGAAAACCCCTCGACTTTGGCATCTTGCCCGAAGTAAGTACCAAACGGTGACTGCCAATATGATTTTTGCTCTTGCCCAGTAGATGCTTGGGCTACTTCTGTAGCTTGCAGTTGACTGCTGCTGTCAACCTTCATGGTGTCGTCAAACCAAGTGAAACAGAGCTGATAATAGAATGTTGTTGTTGGAAGCAGGTCACTACTTGCAATGAATACACTCGCTAATTTGGTGGCGATGAAAAAAAACCTCGCGAAAATTTTAGTAGCGATCGCCAAATGAACTGTGAAGTCGGACGTGTCAAGTCAAGCGTAAAAGTTAGATTCGCCAAACGCGCGGTGCGCAATGATTTTTTTATTTTATGATACGACCAAGAGTATTCTTGTGATACGACGAATTTTTTTTACAACTAGACTGAGCATTCCACAATCTATCGAACCTTCCGTACATGGATCGTATCAGCTAAGTAACACCTACTCGATAAAATAAACGGATCGGATAAATGATTGTATACTTTAGGAACGTGATTCTTCGTCTAATCCTCAATCTAAATAAATATTATTCAACAGATAGAATTGCACTCATACTGCTTCCATCCACACTGGCATTGTCAATGTTAGACAGCAGGGAGCCCAGACTGTTTTCACCTTCAAGAATGATGCTAGTGCTACCCTCACTGCTGCCATCAACAGTTACAAGTGCATCCATACTGTGCTCGTCTGCACTATATACCATGCTGTCCTCGTCCTCATTACCATAGGTCCTCGTTCGTTCGGGATATCTCGCAATGCTAGTACTACCGTCACTGTCATTGACGGTTAGAAGTGCGTCCATGCTGTTGTCGTCCTCACTATCATTGCCATTATTGTAGTTCTTCATTTGTTCAAAATCTCTAGAAATGGCGTCACTGCCATCAGTGGCTAGAAGTGTGTCCATGCTGCCCTCACCCTCAGTATCATTTTTATTATTTCCTTTCTTCATTTGTTCAGGATCGGTAGCTAGCTCTAGAGCTCTTCCCAAATGTGGGCACACAAAGTTTTCTGTCCAACCGGATTCTGTATCGCACCGAAGGCGCTGCCGCAAAAATTCTGGGCAATCACAGGAAACCGAAAATCCCCACCACTGAGGTCCATCGACCTTTTCCAGCTGTTTGATATTTCCGGATGCTCGTAGATTATAACACTCGTCCTCGTCGTCATCGCCGATTTCTCCAGCAGCTTGCCAATGGACTTCGAATTCTCCACACTTTTGGTCAATATCAGCCGCTTTTAGAATAGGAGCTCGTCTACATTTGCAACGAGTAGAATCATCGATGAAGTGCAGCCTGGTCAATCCTGGGATTATAATTTGTGCATCGTATTCGTTGTCTTTGGTTGGTGACTCTCTCTGTGTTACAGGCACGATCGTTTCTTCCATACTCGGAGGTGCTGGAAGAGAGAGAGTCCTCTCGTCCACTTCCGTAGTTGGTCGTTCGACGACAGAAGTAGGCGACGGCGGTTCTTTGTTCGCCATGAGATCAACACAAAGCTCCAACGCTATTTGCAAATGATGGCAGACATGGTGCTCCATGTAATTAGAATCGATTGTCTTTTGCTCCTGCTCGGCATATCCTGGGCAGGAGCACCTGCATTCAAATCCCCACCATTTGGGTCCATTGTTCTTCCATTGGTCACCTTTGGCAATGTTGCCAGTGGCTTGTAGATAGTATTTCTGCCTTCGTCCATAGCTCGCCGTCCATGAAAAGTAGAAACTCTGTCCGTCAGAGTAAATCTTCGATTTGGTCATTGTTGGTATGCAAAGTTGATGTTCATCGTCTTCTTCGAAATCACAGGTAAAGTGTTCTCGTTTCAGGCCTGGAATAGAGCCATTGTAGCTACTACTAGTTGTGGCCATTGGATTGTTTGTGTATGTAAGTATTCTATTGGAATATGGGTTGTCTTTTTTTTGGTTGATAAGATGGAGAGATTGACAAGAATGTTTCGCCAAAGTGTTCGTGTTAGGGTGCACCGTAGAATTGAATTTTGTGACCATTTGAAGCTCAAAAGACCAGAAATAGTCCCATTTCACCATGTGCCGAAGACGCCAGCGCCCACCTTGTGCGCCAAGGTACATCTCCGAACATTCAGAACATATATGTTTAAATAGAAAGGTGCACCTGGAAAGGTTCGTAAGCTTCCTCACCTTCTGATCTATTATCCCAGTGACGGAGTCGTCAAGTACGTGTAATCCATTATTCACTGTCAACATGTACGACTGCGACAAATACTATACTACAGTATTATTGGCCTGAAAGTGCATGGTAGGTTTTCTTCCTTCTAATTTATCGCAGTGAAAGTGCAAAATGATCACTAGTATAGCATCCACTATATTACTAATTTCTATTCTATTATTTGGACCGACTTTATAGCTTGACTGACTCCAATGCATTGCAACTGTGCCATCACGCTGCTGTACTCTCTTCCGTGTTGGTTTTTGTGGTATTTACAAAATCCTTTTGATTTATAATTTCATGAATTGCCTGAGCCGCTTTGTCTTGTATCGTAGTATCCTTGTACTCTGCAAAACTAGGGATTGCTTGGGCTTGGTCGGCTACAGGACCACTCGAACCCTTTTTGCTAGCATAAAATCCACCCGTTGGGAAGGTTTCGTCGTCCATCAATGCATCAATGTACCTCTTGGCACCCTCTTCGACTCCATGCGCTCGTCCAAACATGGCAAAGACCTTGAACACACCCTTGACTACTAGCTTTCCCGCCATGGGCATGTCATCAAAGAACTTGGTCCCGCTGCTTGCCCCAGGACTGATAGAGACAAACCTAATGTTGTGGTGCTGTCGAGCCATGTAGGACGTCCAAAGGGTTCCCATATACTTGACGACCCCATAGGTCTCCCCACGTGCAGGTGCCATGGATTTTCGAGAGGCGATAAATCTGCCATCAGCAACCCTCTTGAATTCTTCCACGGAATGTTCGTCGAGTTGGACTCGTTTGGCTGACAATTCGGGAATGTCTCGGACGGCCTCGCTGGAGGAGTACACCACCGTACTACCACTTTTCAGCTTTCCAGCTTGAAAGAGTTCTTGCGTCAGCACCACGTGACCGAGAACGTTTCCAGCAAAACTGATGGTGACTCCATCCGCTGTCAAGTCCAATCCCAGCATTCCCCCAGCATTCAACACGAGACCATCAATGGACGAATCCTCCAAAGATGCAACAGCGTTTCGGACAGAATCAAGGTCACAAACATCCATTACCAGAACTTGAAAGATTTGCTTGCTGGTGATCCTTTCGAGATCTTCCTTTGCAGCCTCTGCCTTGGCTGGATTGCGACAGGCAAGAATGATTTTCTCCACTCCCTCGACTTCTGAAGCAAGTTGTCTGGCGCACTCCTTGCCCAAACCAACATTGGAACCAGTCACCATTACGGTCTTCATCTTTGATTCTTTATTTGTGTGTTTGTGTGCTTGTGTGTGTGTGGTTTGTGCGCAATACGGGGTTATCGTGGATTATTGGACACTGCGATGTACACACCTCATGGTAATATATATAATTCAGCCCCGCACATCTCTCATCTCACCATCGTGTGCGTATTTTTATTGTCGCATTTTGGGAGAATATGAGGAAGGGGGATGCGTATAATAGGAGAAATATGCACATTGGGGGGAATGACTACTTTGACATCAAAATGACTGACTAGGTTGAATAAATAGTCACCGCATCTTATACCGCGGTATGACGAGAGATGTGCTTGCTCGATGTCGCAATGTAATGATGATGACGCACATATATACTGGATCAGTGAGGTTGATAGCATAATATACTATCCCTATCCCTATCCCTATCCACATTGCTGCTTTGACAAAAAGGCACAATAGTATGACAGAAGAGAATTACAGTAATCCCGCAAGAAAGAAACTCATCAAGATTCTAAAGGAATGCGCCGCCAAGGCTATTTCCGACGAAGATCCTTGGGGCAAACATGAGATTGAAAAGATTCCAGCCGAACTTGTAATCAGACATCTGTTTCAACCATTGACCAAAACCTGGACTATGGAAGAGACCATTGTCAAGCAGGAGAATGTACCTTTCACTAATGGGGCCATGCGATTTTGCTATCGAATGAAAAAGCTGGCAACACCACCGGCATCCGCATCCAATCATCGGTTTCATGATCACGGCTGGAAGAAGGCTCTCAATTATGTCAGCAAAGCCTATCAAGTGGACGGAAAGATTGATACTTCGGAAGATGCCAAGAATGCTGTTCGAAATGATATTCTACTGCAGTATGAAGCATCTCATTGGGCCAAACTATTCAACGAGAAGGATCCTCCAAAGAAGATTAATTTTATTCGAGCCTATGCCTTGGAATTCCCGAACAGAGAGGGCAAACCTTGGTTTGCAGTGGAGCGATACATTGCCGGAACGGATGACTATGGTGTTGGGTTCTTCAAGCATAATACAAACTCTGGCTTTGTCGATGAAGACTTGCACCGAGTGACACCTCAGGTCTTTTCGGCGTACAGCTTTTACGAATCGTCGGGGACACGACTTGTGGCAGACATTCAAGGTGTCGGCGATCTCTATACTGATCCCCAGGTGCTTTCCAACGATTATAGATTTGGTGATGGCGATCTTGGGCCAAGAGGTATGGCCCTCTTCTTCGCTACCTTTCGACACAATACTCTTGGTAGGTTTCCTGTGAATGAACTATTATACAATTTCGAATTGAGCACAGGGAAAGCTCACCTTTTTGTCGGATTTATTAGCTGAAAGTCTAGGTATTCCTGTATTTCCTCTGTCAAAGAACGAGTTGGAACATCAAGCTAAGTATGAGGATGATGTCTATTCCTTGTCAGGCGATGGCTCGTCGTTTCAGGAAATGCTTAAAGGACTGGACAAGTTTGCTGCCATGGATGCCAATCGAAACCGGCGGCAATCCGTGTTCATGATACCACCCGTTCAAATTAATCAACAAGAAGAAGATGCTAATACAGAGACCCGCTCCAACATGACCAAGCGAGACCAGATCCGAAAGTCGCTCACTGTTACAAGGATATCTAAACCAGTATTTGCTAGAAAAGGAAAAGAAATGGACGAAGTCAAGTATTGCTTGGATCTGGCCAAGAAAGATTTCAAATTTGATAGCAAGGCCTATCACCGAAAGGCATCGGGTGAAATGATCAAGCGCAAGGCAACTCCGGCTCGCCCAAGTCTCATGATCCGACATGTGTCCGATATGATGGAGGTAGATGACGAAACCAAATTGAATTTAGGAAAAGTGCACTATCAGCTGGCGGTTCTTCACGGAATGAACCGCTTCCCCGATGTAGTCCCCGTTGGTCCAGATGAAACCAAAGCTGATGTCGCTCCACACGATGCCTTTTCTGTCTTGTTTCATTTGGCGCATGCCGCCAGTTTGGGATCGGTCGCTGCATGCCTTTCTCTTGGTCGCTTGCATGCTGGTTTGGGAACTTCGGTCTCCGAACTTTTAGACACGGTGGTCCCAATTGATTTTGATGCGGCCAAGGACTTGTTTCGCAGATGCATGGCGTCCAAATTTCCACCCGCGTCTCCCAAGGCAGCTGCAGGTTGCCTACTCTATCAAATGTACTTGGACGATCGCGAGTCACAGGACTATGTCGACGGGGAAGACACCTTTGGAGTTGAAGTCGTTTCCGATATCACATTGGCGCAGCTATTGGAAGACATTCTCTCTTTGATCGAAGAGACTGACAAGGAGTCAGCGGAAGCAGCAAAACACACCAACGTCAGGGAAGAAGCCGCTCGCCAATTCAAGGTGGGAGATAGAGTGGAAGGAAATTATTTTTTGGAAGGATCGTTCTACCCAGGCGATGTGACAGCTATTTCAGAAGACGGAAAGGTGGTAGAAATCTGCTACGACGATGACGGCTCCAAGGAGTCATTGACACTCGAAAATGTGCGGCTCATCATCCCACCCACAGCGACCCAAACGGTGATGGGCGGACCACTTTCGGACGAAGAAGCACTTGGTTCGGAAAATACTGATGAAAAATGTGTTGTGGAAACCTACGAACTCAAGGGAGAACTGGCTGCTCTCAAACTCAAATTGGGATCCAAAGACGCAGCCGCAGCACTTTATGAAGACGCGTCGAATGATGCCATGAATGCTGGCAAAATGAAGAAAGCCAGTGAATGGAGTCTGAAAGCAGCCGAACTAATGGAGTAATATGCTGGTCTCCGCCATACAGCCAACTCATGTGGTAATGTAAAGTGAAAATATTGTTCCAAGGGTTGCATATGGTAGGATATATATATACGCGGCTGAATACACAACACACAACACTGTATTATATATACATCACGTTTCGCATTTTGGAGTCACAGCAGTCAAACCGAGAAGCGTTTTTTCTTGTACATTTTTATATATGCGACTGGAATACCAGGTATATAACTGCAACACCGGTATGACTCTCATAATTTGCAGAATCGCAAAAACAAACTCAAGAGCACCGAACAGCTCCAATCACTGTTCAATTTCTACTACATGTGTAAAAACTGGCCGTTACCAGTGCTTTTCTTTCCTTCTTCGGCCCTCTTCTGCGCTTTCTGCTCAATACTTTTTGACAACTGTGGATTGCGAAGAAGCTTGTGATTCATTCTCTCTAGGCTCCCCCATTGGTTGCGACGCCAACTGTTGTCCATACAAAAAGGACCTTAACCTCGTCCTACACGTCCTATCGGAAAATACAAAAGCGAAAGCGATCTGGTTAGCAATTCAAGTTGTATTGCTGACTGCAATTGTGGTACTCTGCTGTTGTTACTGCCAATCTAGACGAACTTAAAACGATACCGAGCGTTGGAATGTATATGGCGACTGTTAAATTGTGTTGGGCGGGATTTTTGCGGGTACCTTTGTGTGCGCGTATAATAGGTCCCACTGGCATTGTGCCACCGGTGGGGTTGGAGACATTTATAGGCGTCCTAACTGGGAATGACTTTGGGTCCGCCTATATTGACCCAAATGGAATTCAAGAGCTGCGCAACCTTCAGCAGTGCCATTGGTGTTTCCGAGATTGGCACTATTGGACCGCAAGATGGTATTACTCCTCTTGCCGTTTGTACACACAGAACTACCAGCACTTCTAATTTTGTGACCGCTAGCTGTCCTTCCGATACTGTGTTGGTGGTCACTGAGCGAGGAGGCAAAGAGTGGGCGCCAACGGCGCAGGAAGGTCGGCCTTTGACTGGTTTTGGTCTACCGCAGCCATTGGCATACTTTGATGTCACGAGTACATGGCCCGATACCATTGATGTCCTTCTCCCAAGCGATGTTGGTTGCGTCTTGGGCGATGGTAGCGCCTGCTGCTGTTGCAGTGATGTGCCTGAAGACTGCGTCCGAGAAGATGGCAGCTGTCGGAATACCCGGGGAGTGATTGAGGAGGTTTGCAATGGTGCTCAAACAGACCGCTGTTTCTTCAACTCGCCTGTGAGGTCTAGCTCTCCACCAGGTAATAGGGGCTCTAGTCCTGGATCTGGTGGCGATCTTGTCTGTGAAGCTAAAACTCCGAAGAGTGCCCCATGGAGTGCCGACTGGCTTTTGGCGTGGATTGTGACATCCGGCATGAGTCTCATGGCATTGGTGGGTGCTTTCAAAAAGACAGCCTTTGATCGACTCTTGGAAGCCATTGGAATCAGATTGGATCACAAACTGGATCAAATTACAGATTCCATGGCGATTGATGTTCCAGCAGAAGCAGCAATGGCACAGGCAACGGCGATTCCGGAAGCAAGAGCCGAAGTGGAAATGCAACGGGTTTCAAAGTGAAGGAAAGTTGGAAGGCGGCATACTTCAACACATGTAAGCCCCCATGAGTGATGGGGGCAAAAATAGTCATTAAAATAACATTGTGTAGCAAATGAATGTGTACATACATGTCTTTGCATTCTTTGTTTATTACAACTCATTACATTTTACGTCTGTTCTACTGCAATCGATATGGAAGCGCGTCTCCAAACGAATACATGCACCATGAACAACGGAGGCAAAGTCGTATAATATATATTGAATAGCAATATGTTTTTTTTTGGGTACATATCCCCATGCTATTCTAATTGCTTTCTACCTGAAACTGATGTTATCGATATAGTCCTAATATGTGTCTCCCCGTCCCCGCCCCATATTATTGCCCGACGAGCAAGTATTATACCATATATATATATATACAAATACTAGGCAATCGTCGTGTCATTAGAAGATTTGGAATGATGATGAAGTACCAATTCGTTCTGCAGTTTTTCAGTGGTCGACTTGATTTGAAAAAGTTCTTGCTGCAGACTGAAAATGTCGTCGTGAAGAGTCGCAATGGTGTTGAGATAGTTGTTCATTTCTTGATAGTCTTGCATCATAGTATTTGTGACGGCTCGTTCTTCTTCCTCGTCATCCAAGACAACGTTGGTAGAAGTATCATGACTAGCAGTAGTCGTAGTAGTAGTCGTAGTCGTAGTAGTAAAGTTGGCAATCAATCGAGCAAGTTCCAAATCATGGTCATTGAGTTCCTCGTCCTCGTCCTCCGTGCACTGCTGCTGTACTAAAAATGATTCGTCCACAGCAGGGTGAATCTTCTTCTTTTGGAGTTGAGTGATGCTGCTGCGAGTCTGGCAGCGAGCCTTTCGCCTGCGCGTTGTTTGGTTGCAAGTCTTTTGCTTCTTATTCTTTTTGGGTGCGACAAAAAGCTTGTGCGGAATGGCTTGTCGTTTGTTCATTGCCTTCGTTTTTTCTGGTGTTTTCCCCTCCATCATCAGTTGAGCCAAAATCTTGTCGCGATTCCGTCCGACAAACCAAATGAAATCAATGTCGTTGAGTTGCTGAATCTTCCAATCATTCAGTTGAGGAACGTGGCGTCCCTTTTGCAACAATCGATACAGCTTGCGTTGGGCCGAGACCCAGGTTCCGAGCTGTTGGTGGCGCTGCGGAACGAGCGTGTTGCCATGTTCCTTGCGGTAGTCCAAGAGTTCTTGGAATCGGAATTTCCAGGTTTTGTCAGCGGTTTCTCGTTCGTCTTGCATTGATGGTGAATTTGTTGATTTTGATGATGATGATGCCATTGCTATTGTTGCTTTGTTGAATTGGATACGTAATTGCTTCAGCAGTTGATGTTGGCAATGAAAGGAAATCAAAATTTGAGGATCGATGATTTCTGATTTTATGTTTCACAAACGTTGTGTGTGTTTCCATTTTATGTGTCGTCCAAAACCTCAGATTTTTTTCTAGCGCGCCAGGATTTTATTTTAGGTGAAGGTTCTCATCCACGTATAATGTTTACGCAAAAAAGCTAGTACATCATTCCATTGAAACTACATCAGTGCCACGTTTCCGCGCCAGAAAATTTCCAAATTCCAAAACATCGCAAAAATCGTTCATCGCAGCCGCTTCTTTCTTCTTGCTATTATTGCACCAATCAATACAAACTCCATACAAGACTGCTATCCATATCAGGGCATTCTCTCAAATCAGGAATCATCATGGCGTGCAAGAAATCTAGTAGTATTTTAATACTCCTAGTACTACTCCTAGCGCCCTTTCCAGCAAACTCGCCGTCCTGGATTTCGACGACCCCGAATCATTGGCTTTTCACTATCCACTTTTGCCTCATGAGATTCGATTGCCGTGGACAGGCGGTACTGTCGACCGGAACTGTGACAACAACAACAATGATGATCTTCACAATAGGGCTGAGGAACCCCAGTTTACTATAGTGACACGAAACGCAAACGACATGACGCCATTGCTGCATGCCATTGTCGCGTGTTGCGCAGAGAAAGATGGTCCAGGTCTGCAGGATTACAACTTTCGACCCATTGTAGAAAACAAGCATGGATATGTAACCCCCAAAGTCAAAAAACGAATCAAAATGGACCAACTCAATCGAGATGGCCCAAGCATGCAACCACGACCACTCAAAGATGTTCTTGGTAGTCGTCCTAGCAGCGGTTTTCCGAAGCGTGCATAATTAGTAAACTATATTCAAATATTCAATATCCATGTAGGTATAGATAGGACTTGTGTAAATATTCTTCAATGAATGCGACCGGCAGTCAACTCCCAATTGCTCGTGTCTCCGTCGGCACTAGAATATTATAGTTTCCCGAAATCCTTCGATAATGATTGATGAAGTTACCATTCAAATTCAAAGTTTCCCTTTTCTATTCGAACCCATGAGCTCAAACGCATGGAGACTATATGATATATAGATAGGACTGGTGTGTTGCTAGCACAACTTAAGTATTGGAAGCAATCAATGATGCATAGAGTTCTTTTCAAATTTATTGTACATTTGACTATTCTAATTTCTCATTCCCTTCTATGCCTATACTATTAGCCCGACTTTTCTTCTTCTTGGTGTTGGTATTTCAACAACTGCTTCAGCCGGTCGGCATATCCTTGGACGATCTCTTCCCCTTTGTTTTTCCATTCGGCCCGATTCGCCTTGGCGTACAGCAAATATTCGTCGCTCGACACTCCAAATACTTGACACTCTTCCAGTTTCTTAGCCAATGGAATTACATAGTTGTCAAAGAACCAAAGCTCTCCCTTGTACCATCCACCAGTGGGATCAGTTTCCGATCGGCCCTCCACAAATGCCTTGTACATTTCATTGAACAATCGTTGATTCCACTTTTGGTAGACATGCCAATGTTGCATGGTATGGCTCACATCGGACGCTTGAATGATGTGTTCAATAACAATGGTGGCTTTGCGGTTGCTTTGGACTCGTAAATCTTCTTCGTCACTCGTCAAATGAAAGGCCTTGTGCCAACGATTCTCGCGCATGGCCTTCAAGTCCTTGTCAAATATGTCCGTGGCCAATAGACAATTGACTACCAAATTGCGAAACCGCTGTTGCTCGATGCCATCCATGTAGATGGTATGCCTTAGAGCGGCAAATCGAGGTTCCATCAAGAGTTCCCATGCAAGCTCGACACTGTTTTGTTCGGCAATGGCCTGGTGCTGAAAATGCACTGCCATACTTGGGTCTTCCTTGGCCAGAATAAAGTTGGGCACTCCTCGATGGTCGACATCATGAATCATGGACGAAAATATCACTGCAAATTGAGTCAGGGGATCCGCCGCCAGTCCAAAGGTCTCACTGTCGCGGATCGAAACGATCCGAGACAATAACTTGGCACTGCTTTGAGTCACGTGACTTGCATGTTCAAAGTTGTGGAATGGGTTGTCTTCCTTGTACATAGAGGCAATCTTTCGGCAGTATTCTTGGAGTTGGTCCTTCACCTTGTTTGGTATTTCGACGGCAGCGTTTTCCCATTCCTCAATCGGTTGGTCTCCATCCCCGGGGAGTTCAATGAATTCCACCACTTCGTCCAGGCAAGATGCAGCAATGGCATTCCCAGAAGTAGGAGCATCGCCTTGCCAGATTCCTGAAAGAGTCCGTGTCAGCCTTTTCGAGGCAGACTTCTTGGACATGTTTCGTTTGGCGACGATTGCCTTTAGACTCTTTAGCAAAATATCATAATTAAAGTCCGCATAAAGATCAATGTGGGGAGTCGCCGGGGTTTCAGCTTCCTCATCTTCTTCGTCTCTTCCAGACTCTCGTAAGGACGAGTCCAGCATGTACTTGGCTGCATTCATTTCCTTCATCCCCTCCTCCATTCCGTCAAGGCTTGTGTCCATCCAAACGGTTGACGCAGATCCTGAACGCACCGTGGCAGCGCCTTTGGGCATGATCCAATAGGTTTGCATTTCTCCTTTTCCCTTGGCCTGAATCTTATCTTCGCGCTTTCGAAGCCAGCTTCCCTTGCCCCATGCTCGAAGTTGTTCCGAACACTCTTCCGAGCACTGGATACAGCCTGCCTTTCCGGTACTATACCGATATCGCAAAATATGTGAGTGAATGAATCATTGACTGAGGCACGCCACTTTCGAACATTCCACTACAATGGCTGGCTTCAACAACATACCTTTCAATTCTAGAACATGTGTTCACAGTGTCCCCAAAGAGCTGAAAGCGGGCCCGATCTCCTCTCAATACTCCAGCCGTGATCGGGCCACTATGGATCCCAATTCGAACGGTCAATTCACCAGTCTCGGGTCCCAGCGTGGGAATGAGCTGGTGGGCCAGAACGCTTGTCTTCTCCAGGCAGTCTCGAGCAAAGGCACTGTGCAAAAAAGATCGAGCAAACGAAAAAATGCAGCGGTTTGAGCAGTGATTAATATGCATCAATCCAGCAACGATCCAGGAACAGCACAGAAGACTAGACTTACACCATATTCAAAGCACTGTGAATCAAGACGAAAAAGCGGAGGTACAAGAAGTGATGAGTACGTCAGTCAATCCAACAATTGCAAATAATCAATCCATTGAAGCAAACTCTTACTGTTTTTCACAAGGCTCTGGCAATCCACATACTGCCAGATAGCAATCTCCAATGGTTTCTACCTTGAAGACACGACGGCGAAGCGCTAGCTTGTCAAAGGTTGAAAACATCGTCTCGAGCAAGATAAATACTTGGCTAGGTTCTCTGGATGAGCTCCAAGCAGTAAAACCTGCAATGTCCATAAAGAGAACTGTTGCCGACGGGAAAAAATCGGCAATAGGCGCCGCCTTTCGTTCACCGTTATTGCCTGGTGATGATTGTTCTGGAAATTCCAGACTCCGCGCAGACCCGGGCTTACCAGTTCTTCGGAATGCATCCTTCTTGCTGTTCGTGGGCGTATCATTGTCTCCATAAAGTTTGTCCTTGACTTGTTTTGGAAAAAGAGAGCTAACTATTGCATTGCTTTGGAGTGCCACCGTCCTGACCTTCCTCTGTCGCATTTCAACGTACCAATCGTATACGCCGAAAACCAATACCGCGACAAGCATCACACCAGCTACAACGATTGCATATACGACGGGCTCGTCTGTCAAAAACAGATCGGCCATCTGACGACGAGGAACAACATCATTAGACAATTTGTGCAATGCCAACGAGAAGGAAAGTCATATACCTGTACTCACCTCTTGGCTAGGGTACACTCGAATCCTGTAATTCAGTCGACTTTCATCGACCGGGACGCCAGTATAGATGCGATTGAAGGTGGAATCTTCCCCACCGTCAGAATCCTGAAACGCTTTGTATTCTGCGGCAATTTCAAATTCATCATATCGCGGATCGTGCAGATCTGCATTCCCCATGAAAGTCGCATCATTACCATCAATCTTGTAGGTAAACTGTTGGTCTTCGTTCTCGACCACACAAATGATACCTTGAGCTGTTTCGGGTAAAATATTCTGAAAGTACGACTTCCAATAAACAGTCGCGGTGAGGATGGCTACCACCTTGTCTCGAGATGACGAGCTCTGAAACACGGGATAGTGGAGGAATCCGATTGGTTCCCCCGCCTCGTAGGTGCCATACCCACCAATGCGCAATACTTCTTGAGTGAATTCCAGATCACGAGTGGATTGAAAGTCCAACCCTTGTTGATAGGACTCGGCCCTGGCAATGACTGCGTTCTTCTTCTCTGTCAGGATTGGAAAATCCAGTTGGAATTGTTCGTCCACCAGTTGATTGAAATTGATGTAGTAGTTGTTGTCGACCACCACCGGCGAGTATTGCCAAACGGGTGTCCAGACTCCTGGTGATGTGTCGACTCCCACATGGCTCTTGATGTAGGGCGAAATTCGAATCGTCTCGTCAAGCTCAAAGTACTGAGTTCTTCGTCTCCTGTTTGTGTTGTTATCAGTCGTAGGGAGAAGATCTGATGTTGGTTTTGGTTCTCCTGATGGTGGCAGGGACGAGTTGGTCATTGATGTCGGTTCAGTCGAAGTGCTGGTCGTCGGCTGAGAGGATGTGGCGATACTCGGAAGAGAGGATGGTGCATCCGTCGGTGTAGCTGTTGGCGAGCGATCTTCCACAACTGCATCTTGAATCCAATGTTGTTGATTCAATACATGCTCTTCCCATTGCAATCGTTGACGATCACCCACAATTGGAAGAAATCTTATGGATGCGGCGCTGGACAAGGCCAGAAACGGTCGGAAGAAATTGGCGCTATCCGGGATAGTGACAAACGGCCAGGTCTCGTCGCGAAAGAGATAGGTGACAGAAGATGATAGACTCTCCATGGCTTGCAGTTTCTGAAAGGAGTCTTCATAGAATCCGCTGACCAATTTGGTGCCATGCGATTGGAAAGTATTGTAGAATTCCTCTTCCTGCACATCCGCCGCATATTTATGGGCGTAGACTGCGACTGCAACGGCCACACTTATCAAGACAAAGAGCAGAACGATCTTTAAGCGAAAAATTGCTCGACTTTCACTTCGTGCCAAAGCCTTTTCATATTCTCTGTCTACTTTCTGAGGAGCCTCCTCGGTACCACTGCTGGCATCGAACTTACTGCTCTCCTCCTCGACTGATTCCGAGGTTGAGTCTTCTCCATCCAGCAATCGGCCTGACATTGTTGTTTTGGGTTTGGTGATGAAGGTTTAAAGAAATAATTGATTCGCTTCTGTTTATCATCACTTTTGTGTTTTCACCAGTCCCCTTTGCTGTGCATTTGGCACACAAGTACCTTGTTCTTCATCCGCAGCCACTATATGTTTGATATGGTATTTCCATTGGTATTTATTTGTGTTCTGCTGCGGAAGGCCATTTTACATTTCTCCGCAATGGAAAAAGTGTCATTTCGGAGAACCCTAAACCAGCCCAAACAAAACTCCCTCTATGTAAGCACGATGCGGATATTCGAATCCTCAATGTTTGAAGAACTTCAAATCGTCTGTGCGAGCATTTTTGTGCCGCTGACATTACTGCGAAACGCAAAGACACTGCGCTCCCGGTCACGCTCACTATTACTCCCTCATCCCGATTGCACATCCCGATTGCGCAAGTGAAATATCGGTTACACTATAAAATCGTCACAGATCAACCATTTCGATAATAAGCTCAAAATAAACAAGTCTTCCAATATAGTAACATGGCTTCCACCTCGCTAGTCCTCCCCATATTGATTGCTTATTTGGCCGCGATATTACTCTTGCCCAGCAACAATCAGGTAGATGCCATTCAGGTAAAATTCGAACGGGAAAATGCCATGCCAAAGGGCAACATTAAAAGCTTTGATTTCAAGAGTCGGATTATCTTACCATATGGGCCAGATCTGTATGGAAGCGAGGTTCCGCAATCACCAAATGACCAGCCGTATCGAGGATACGGGCCAGGAATGGGCGCTTCCGAAACTGTTCAGTACGATCATCTGAATCACTTTTTTTACAGTGCGAGTGATCAAGGTTACATTCTTGTCGCTGATTATGCCGACCCCTCCTCTCCTAAGATCTCCAACTATAGTTTCAAAGCGGAGTCCAAGTTGTTGGGAAGTATCTCGATTTGTCCGAACCAAGGCGTCATGCTCTTGTCGTTATCCAAAGTCGGACGTATTGATGTCTACGATTTGGTGTCCCGCGACGACCCAAAAGTGCCACAGCTCCTCAAGTCGGTCGACTGTGGGCCTAACGCCAAATATGTTTTAGCAAGCAGCGATTGCAGTGTCGCGGCGATTGCCAACTTGAATGTTGGGGAGGGCTTGGCACAAGGGAGTGTCACTATCATTCAAGGGGTTCTGTCGGAGGAACCCAAGCGAACTACCATTCCATTAGATTACAATGCCTGGGATGACGCCTACCTGTTGCGCCGAGGACTGAACATGCCCATGACCAAGAAGGCCTTGGAGTACTGGGATGATTACTCGCATCTAGCGGACGACCTGGACTTTACTGATCTGCGGAACAATTACAAGTCTTCCATCTTTTTGGAACCACAGAGTTTGACCTGGGGGCCGGAAGAGAAGGAACTCCTTGTCAATATGCAGCAAAACAATGGTTTGCTGCGAATCAACATGACTGACCTTTCTCCAGTCGCAGTTGCTGGCTATGGGATGAAGGACCACTCCTTTATTCCCGTGGACATTAATGCCAACGATGGAGATTGCAATCTAAAGACCTATCCAAGCTTGTTTGCCATGAGAAATCCCGACCAAATTGCATCTCTCAAGTACAACGACAAACACTATGTGATCACTGCAAATGAAGACGGCGGGAAAGAGTATGAGGACTGGGAAGAAGCAATCAAATCCAATGACCTATTTCAGGTAAGAAATTGTTGGTTCTGGGTCGTTGCTATCTTTCATTGACTCACACAGTATCACAATTATGCCCACTTTCTTCAGGGCTCCAACTTCAGACTGCAGAACGTTGTTGTACCAAAAGCTATCTTTGATGAAAACAATACAGCAGCAGGCCATTCCGCATTGTTCAATAACGAGTGCCAAGACAGTAATGATCCTGGTGCCGAACAGCTTTGCTTGAAGAAAGTCGAACTCAGCGTTGGTTCCAATTCCATTGACTTTGAGTCCGATCCTATGAATCCGATCTTTTATCGAATGGTTCTATTTGGAGGAAGAGGTTGGTCCATATACGAGTTGCCAGAGAATCCTCGTAGTCAGCTCAAATTGGTCTTTGATAGTGGCGATGTCATGGAACGAGAAGGCTGCAGTAGCTTTCCATGGTCACACAACGCTCTCATGGACGAAGAACTGGCACCTTTCACTGGCCCGAACAATACCTTTGTCAAGGCCATGGAGGCTGAGGGTGACTGGGATGTCGTTCAAGCTATCAAGGAACTCAATGATCCAGCGCAAGACGGATGTTTGGATCAGGGTGATGGGACTCCTGGAAGTTGCCCACTCTCGGAAATGGTGGACAGCCGATCTGGCAAAGATGGTGCTGGCGTAGAGAACGTAATCATGGGAGAAGCTTGTGGTCGATTGGTGGCGGCCATGGCCACGGAAAAGAGCTCCATTGCCATGCTCTTTGATATCACGGACATTACCACTCCGGAATTGCTGAAAGTCTTCCACTTGTCCCCAGCAGCTCAGAACAAAAGTTTTGGGTTGGCCTACAATGATGGAGAAATTGGAGAAATCGATGCGGAAAGTGGTGTCTTTCTTTCGGCAGAAGAATCACCTTCTGGTAAGGCTGGAATATTATTTGCCGGTGCCCTGAGTGGAACTGTATCCTGGTGGGAGTTTGATTGTAAAGAAGAATCACCATCGTCATCAAAGAGAAAGAGTAGTAAACAGGCAGAATCAGCTGCTTCTTCTGTCAAATTCAGAATGTCGTCGTCATGGGCAACGATGATAGTGATTCTGATGGCTGGATCATTCGGAATATCTGACGACGTTTTGCTGTGATCTCAACAGCTGCTGTAGATTGAATGAATTGAGAATGGTGGTGCTCTGTCGATAGACGGGAGCAAAAATGCGTATAATAATATTAGAAGATAGATGTTGTTTGGTTTCACATTGCAAGAGAGACGATATGAAAATAGGTTGCATATAGCGACACGAGAATCAGGTACAGCAGGGGTAAATATAGTGCCGAGATTCTTTTTCATCGGAGAGTCGACGACATCTCATTCACAAAATGATGAGCACGCAATGATGAAAGGACTGGGATACGGACGCAGACGGACGCCAATTGTATCTTTTGATATATTATCCCATAGTCATAACACAACCATAGTGACCAGCAGTGACCAGTAGTGACCAGCTCAAGTATACTCGTATATTATTGAAGACAAGCAATAGTCGGAAACCTTTGGGCGTTGGAAGATGCCCTCAATGCCCAAAATGAAATATGGTCACGTGTCGTCCCATATATATCCGCATCCTTATTGTTTTTCACAAAGTTGGACAATAACTCAATCGTATGCAACCATGATCCAAAAACGATAGCATTGGATCTACTTTTATTAATATGCATAATCATTAGTCTGTATGCATGCTATCAATCAAATTCATAGAGTTATGTTATGGTCTATTTGACATCAGCTCGACTATTATACTTTCTCATTCCCTTCTATGCCTATACTATTAGCCCGACTTTTCTTCTTCTTGGTGTTGGTATTTCAACAACTGCTTCAGCCGGTCGGCATATCCTTGGACGATCTCTTCCCCTTTGTTTTTCCATTCGGCCCGATTCGCCTTGGCGTACAGCAAATATTCGTCGCTCGACACTCCAAATACTTGACACTCTTCCAGTTTCTTAGCCAATGGAATTACATAGTTGTCAAAGAACCAAAGCTCTCCCTTGTACCATCCACCAGTGGGATCAGTTTCCGATCGGCCCTCCACAAATGCCTTGTACATTTCATTGAACAATCGTTGATTCCACTTTTGGTAGACATGCCAATGTTGCATGGTATGGCTCACATCGGACGCTTGAATGATGTGTTCAATAACAATGGTGGCTTTGCGGTTGCTTTGGACTCGTAAATCTTCTTCGTCACTCGTCAAATGAAAGGCCTTGTGCCAACGATTCTCGCGCATGGCCTTCAAGTCCTTGTCAAATATGTCCGTGGCCAATAGACAATTGACTACCAAATTGCGAAACCGCTGTTGCTCGATGCCATCCATGTAGATGGTATGCCTTAGAGCGGCAAATCGAGGTTCCATCAAGAGTTCCCATGCAAGCTCGACACTGTTTTGTTCGGCAATGGCCTGGTGCTGAAAATGCACTGCCATACTTGGGTCTTCCTTGGCCAGAATAAAGTTGGGCACTCCTCGATGGTCGACATCATGAATCATGGACGAAAATATCACTGCAAATTGAGTCAGGGGATCCGCCGCCAGTCCAAAGGTCTCACTGTCGCGGATCGAAACGATCCGAGACAATAACTTGGCACTGCTTTGAGTCACGTGACTTGCATGTTCAAAGTTGTGGAATGGGTTGTCTTCCTTGTACATAGAGGCAATCTTTCGGCAGTATTCTTGGAGTTGGTCCTTCACCTTGTTTGGTATTTCGACGGCAGCGTTTTCCCATTCCTCAATCGGTTGGTCTCCATCCCCGGGGAGTTCAATGAATTCCACCACTTCGTCCAGGCAAGATGCAGCAATGGCATTCCCAGAAGTAGGAGCATCGCCTTGCCAGATTCCTGAAAGAGTCCGTGTCAGCCTTTTCGAGGCAGACTTCTTGGACATGTTTCGTTTGGCGACGATTGCCTTTAGACTCTTTAGCAAAATATCATAATTAAAGTCCGCATAAAGATCAATGTGGGGAGTCGCCGGGGTTTCAGCTTCCTCATCTTCTTCGTCTCTTCCAGACTCTCGTAAGGACGAGTCCAGCATGTACTTGGCTGCATTCATTTCCTTCATCCCCTCCTCCATTCCGTCAAGGCTTGTGTCCATCCAAACGGTTGACGCAGATCCTGAACGCACCGTGGCAGCGCCTTTGGGCATGATCCAATAGGTTTGCATTTCTCCTTTTCCCTTGGCCTGAATCTTATCTTCGCGCTTTCGAAGCCAGCTTCCCTTGCCCCATGCTCGAAGTTGTTCCGAACACTCTTCCGAGCACTGGATACAGCCTGCCTTTCCGGTACTATACCGATATCGCAAAATATGTGAGTGAATGAATCATTGACTGAGGCACGCCACTTTCGAACATTCCACTACAATGGCTGGCTTCAACAACATACCTTTCAATTCTAGAACATGTGTTCACAGTGTCCCCAAAGAGCTGAAAGCGGGCCCGATCTCCTCTCAATACTCCAGCCGTGATCGGGCCACTATGGATCCCAATTCGAACGGTCAATTCACCAGTCTCGGGTCCCAGCGTGGGAATGAGCTGGTGGGCCAGAACGCTTGTCTTCTCCAGGCAGTCTCGAGCAAAGGCACTGTGCAAAAAAGATCGAGCAAACGAAAAAATGCAGCGGTTTGAGCAGTGATTAATATGCATCAATCGAGCAACGATCCAGGAACAGCACAGAAGACTAGACTTACACCATATTCAAAGCACTGTGAATCAAGACGAAAAAGCGGAGGTACAAGAAGTGATGAGTACGTCGGTCAATCCAACAATTGCAAATAATCAATCCATTGAAGCAAACTCTTACTGTTTTTCACAAGGCTCTGGCAATCCACATACTGCCAAATAGCAATCACCAATAGTTTCTACCTTGAAGACACGACGGCGAAGCGCTAGCTTGTCAAAGGTTGAAAACATCGTCTCGAGCAAGATAAATACTTGGCTAGGTTCTCTGGATGAGCTCCAGGCAGTAAAACCTGCAATGTCCATAAAGAGAACTGTTGCCGACGGGAAAAAATCGGCAATAGGCGCCGCCTTTCGTTCACCGTTATTGCCTGGTGATGATTGTTCTGGAATCTCAAGACTCCGCACAGATCCTCCCCTACCAGTTCTTCGGAATGCATCCTTCTTGCTGTTCGTGGGCGGATCATTGTCTCCATAAAGTTTGTCCTTGACCTGTTTTGGAAAAAGAGAGCTCACTATTGCATTGCTTTGGAGTGCCACCGTCCTGACCTTCCTCTGTCGCATTTCGACGTACCAATCGTATACGCCGAAAACCAATACTGCGACAAGCATCACACCAGCTACAACGATTGCATATATGACGGGCTCGTCTGTCAAAAAAAGATCGGCCATCTGACGACGAGGAACATCATCATTAGACAATTTGTGCAATAACAACGAGAAGGAAAGTCATATACCTGTACTCACCTCTTGGCTAGGGTACACTCGAATCCTGTAATTCAGTCGACTTTCATCGACCGGGACGCCAGTATAGATGCGATTGAAGGTGGAATCTTCCCCACCGTCAGAATCCTGAAACGCTTTGTATTCTGCGGCAATTTCAAATTCATCATATCGCGGATCGTGCAGATCTGCATTCCCCATGAAAGTCGCATCATTACCATCAATCTTGTAGGTAAACTGTTGGTCTTCGTTCTCGACCACACAAATGATACCTTGAGCTGTTTCGGGTAAAATATTCTGAAAGTACGACTTCCAATAAACAGTCGCGGTGAGGATGGCTACCACCTTGTCTCGAGATGACGAGCTCTGAAACACGGGATAGTGGAGGAATCCGATTGGTTCCCCCGCCTCGTAGGTGCCATACCCACCAATGCGCAATACTTCTTGAGTGAATTCCAGATCACGAGTGGATTGAAAGTCCAACCCTTGTTGATAGGACTCGGCCCTGGCAATGACTGCGTTCTTCTTCTCTGTCAGGATTGGAAAATCCAGTTGGAATTGTTCGTCCACCAGTTGATTGAAATTGATGTAGTAGTTGTTGTCGACCACCACCGGCGAGTATTGCCAAACGGGTGTCCAGACTCCTGGTGATGTGTCGACTCCCACATGGCTCTTGATGTAGGGCGAAATTCGAATCGTCTCGTCAAGCTCAAAGTACTGAGTTCTTCGTCTCCTGTTTGTGTTGTTATCAGTCGTAGGGAGAAGATCTGATGTTGGTTTTGGTTCTCCTGATGGTGGCAGGGACGAGTTGGTCATTGATGTCGGTTCAGTCGAAGTGCTGGTCGTCGGCTGAGAGGATGTGGCGATACTCGGAAGAGAGGATGGTGCATCCGTCGGTGTAGCTGTTGGCGAGCGATCTTCCACAACTGCATCTTGAATCCAATGTTGTTGATTCAATACATGCTCTTCCCATTGCAATCGTTGACGATCACCCACAATTGGAAGAAATCTTATGGATGCGGCGCTGGACAAGGCCAGAAACGGTCGGAAGAAATTGGCGCTATCCGGGATAGTGACAAACGGCCAGGTCTCGTCGCGAAAGAGATAGGTGACAGAAGATGATAGACTCTCCATGGCTTGCAGTTTCTGAAAGGAGTCTTCATAGAATCCGCTGACCAATTTGGTGCCATGCGATTGGAAAGTATTGTAGAATTCCTCTTCCTGCACATCCGCCGCATATTTATGGGCGTAGACTGCGACTGCAACGGCCACACTTATCAAGACAAAGAGCAGAACGATCTTTAAGCGAAAAATTGCTCGACTGTCACTTCTTGCTAAAGCCTTTTCATATTCTCTGTCCAATTTCTGAGGAGCCTCCTCGGTACCACTGCTGGCATCGAACTTACTGCTCTCCTCCTCGACTGATTCCGAGGTTGAGTCTTCTCCATCCAGCAATCGGCCTGACATTATATTGTTGATTATGTTATTATTGTTATCGGATTTTGGTGCAGTAGTAAATGAAGTGAAGCGCTCTGCAGACGTCTACTACCGGTAATATATTCTTCGACGATGTCACTTTCAAAAAAACTGGGTGTTGGCGTCTATTCCTGATTTGGGTCAGTTTCGCGTCACCAGTAGACATTTCCAGATTGATTTCTTTGCATTACGGCTCCAACACTTAACGAAGAGTGTTCTCCGTTTCTTTTTTCGATTTGGCGGGAAGGCTATTTTCCATTTCCATTAGTGTTCCAGTGATGTAGGAAATTATACACCACATTGCATTGTGCAAGAGAATAATATTCAATATATCAGCATATCAGCATATCATCATATCAACATATCAACATCCATAACCATAAACACCAAATCCGCAAGTCCAATATAACATGGCTTCCACCTCGCTAGTCCTCCCCATATTGATTGCTTATTTGGCCGCGATATTACTCTTGCCCAGCAACAATCAGGTAGATGCCATTCAGGTGAAATTCGAACGAGAAAATGCCATGCCAAAGGGCAACATTAAAAGCTTTGATTTCAAGAGTCGGATTATCTTACCATATGGGCCAGATCTGTATGGAAGCGAGGTTCCGCAATCACCAAACGAGCAGCCGTATCGAGGATACGGGCCAGGAATGGGCGCTTCCGAAACTGTTCAGTACGATCATCTGAATCACTTTTTTTACAGTGCGAGTGATCAAGGTTACATCCTTGTCGCTGATTATGCCGACCCCTCCTCTCCTAAGATCTCCAACTATAGTTTCAAAGCGGAATCCAAGTTGTTGGGAAGTATCTCGATTTGTCCGAACCAAGGCGTCATGCTCTTGTCGTTGTCTGACAAAGGACGAATTGATGTCTACGATTTGGTATCCCGCGACGACCCAAAAGTGCCACAGCTCCTCAAGTCGATCGATTGTGGGTCCAACGCCAAAAATGTCCTGGCCAGCAGCGATTGCGGCGTCGCAGCGATTGCCAACTTGAATGCTGGTGAGGGCTTGGCACAAGGGAGTGTCACTATCATTCAAGGGGTTCTGTCGGAGGAACCCAAGCGAACTACCATTCCATTAGATTACAATGCCTGGGATGACGATTACCTGTTGCGCCGAGGACTGAACATGCCCATGACCAAAAAGGCCTTGGAGTACTGGGATGATTACTCGCATCTAGCGGACGACCTGGACTTTACTGATCTGCGGAACAATTACAAGTCTTCCATCTTTTTGGAACCTGAGAGTTTGGCTTGGGGGCCAGACGAAAAAGAACTCCTTGTCAATATGCAACAAAACAATGGTTTGCTGCGAATCAACATGACTGACCTTTCTCCAGTCGCAGTTGCTGGCTATGGGATGAAGGACCACTCCTTTATTCCCGTGGACATTAATGCCAACGATGGAGATTGCAATCTAAAGACCTATCCAAGCTTGTTTGCCATGAGAAATCCCGACCAAATTGCATCTCTCAAGTACAACGACAAACACTATGTGATCACTGCAAATGAAGACGGCGGGAAAGAGTATGAGGACTGGGAAGAAGCAATCAAATCCAATGACCTATTTCAGGTAAGAAATTGTTGGTTCTGGGTCGTTGCTATCTTTCATTGACTCACACAGTATCACAATTATGCCCACTTTCTTCAGGGCTCCAACTTCAGACTGCAGAACGTTGTTGTACCAAAAGCTATCTTTGATGAAAACAATACAGCAGCAGGCCATTCCGCATTGTTCAATAACGAGTGCCAAGACAGTAATGATCCTGGTGCCGAACAGCTTTGCTTGAAGAAAGTCGAACTCAGCGTTGGTTCCAATTCCATTGACTTTGAGTCCGATCCTATGAATCCGATCTTTTATCGAATGGTTCTATTTGGAGGAAGAGGTTGGTCCATATACGAGTTGCCAGAGAATCCTCGTAGTCAGCTCAAATTGGTCTTTGATAGTGGCGATGTCATGGAACGAGAAGGCTGCAGTAGCTTTCCATGGTCACACAACGCTCTCATGGATGAAGAACTGGCACCTTTCACTGGCCCGAATAATACCTTTGTCAAGGCCATGGAGGCTGAGGGTGACTTGGATGTCGTTCAAGCTACCAAGGAACTCAATGATCCAGCGCAAGACGGATGTTTCGATCAGGGTGATGGGACTCCTGGAAGTTGCCCACTCTCGCAAATGGTGGACAGCCGATCTGGCAAAGATGGTGCTGGCGTAGAGAACGTAGTCATGGGAGAAGCTTGCGGACGATTGGTCGCGGCCATGGCCACGGAAAAGAGCTCCATTGCCATGCTCTTTGATATCACGGACATTACCACTCCGGAATTGCTGAAAGTCTTCCACTTGTCCCCAGCAGCTCAGAACAAAAGTTTTGGGCTGGCCTACAATGATGGAGAAATTGGAGAAATCGATGCGGAAAGTGGTGTCTTTCTTTCGGCAGAAGAATCGCCTTCTGGTAAGGCTGGAATATTATTTGCGGGTGCCCTGAGTGGAACCGTATCCTGGTGGGAGTTTGATTGTAAAGAAGAATCACCATCGTCATCAAAGAGAAAGAGTAGTAAACAGGCCGAATCAGCTGCTTCTTCTGTCAAATTCAGAATGCCGTCGTCATGGGCAACGATGCTGGTGATTCTGATGGCTGGATCATTCGGAATATCTGACGTTTTGCTGTGATCTCAACAGCTGCTGTAGATTGGTGGTGCTCTGTCGATAGATGGGAGCAAAAATGCGTATAATAATATTAGAAGATAGATGTTGTTTGGTTCCACTTATTTGCAAAAGATGCGATATGAAATACTATCCTATGATACATACGATGCATAGTAACATACTGTACCATATATTATTATGATATCCGATTGCATGTACCATTTGTTTCGGGGATATATATAAGGGGTGCCCTCATAAATAAGTTCGGAGAGGAACTATAAAGTGACACCAAAAATGTGAGTCTTTACAGGACTGGTATACGGACGCAGACGGACGCACAACATATTTAGTTATCTTCAGCCATGAAGACAAGTAATACTCGGAAGCCGTTGGGCGTGGAAGATTCCGGTCTTGACGACGAGACATCTGAAATTATCTGGTACTGGTGGTACCTCTGCACCTGTGTGGAAGAATAGAAACAACAACAGAAGATATCTCTATCTTTTTGAATACAGCAGTTCAGTGCCGACAAACCCTCTACAAGTCCCTGAGTTCTGACGAGAGTTCAAGCTTCAACGAACTTGAGAATAAATCCAAATCCCCTGAGAAATAAATATCAATAATGTCACAAGAAGTCAGTATCGTCGCTCCAAGCGACATGGAAGAAGGCTACCAATTTGATGCTCAAGTAGATGGCAAGACGGTAAGTCATTTCTTCAGTGAATGCTGCTGCTATGTCGTACATGCGGCAGTATCACAATCATAATATTACTGTGTGCTCATCCTATTGTCTCTTTTTCTATTGAATCATGTCCCTTATTATATCGTCTGAATTCACAAATCACGCATCCTTTTGGAATCAACCTATCCTCTGAAAATTGTATCTGTTCTATAGTTCACCGTTACAGTACCACGAGGTGGCGTCCGTGCCGGACAGGAGTTCACTACCATCGCTCCCTTTGCCTCTGACGATGAGCCCAACCGATTCCGATTCGGACTCTTTCAATGCTGGACGGGGGATGCACAATGTCTGATGGGATTCTTTTGCAGCGGCTGCTTATTAGGTCAGTTGTTGCAACGGCTGAAATTGAGTTTCTATGGCGTCAAAACGAACGATGATCAATACGAGAATTCTTGTATCATTATGACTGTCGCCTATGGAATTGCTCTATTGTTGGGATTGATTTTGGTCATTGCCACGGGAGCTGGTTTCATGATCATGTACATTTATTTGCTTTACTTGGTGGTCGTCTTGACTTTGACGCGGTTGCATATGCGCAATCTGTACAGTATTCCGGGACAAATGTTTGGGGATACTCCTCTGGATGACTTTTGCTATTCCTTCTGGTGCACCTGCTGTACGCTTATTCAATTGACGCGTCATACACATGATGAGAAGATTTACAAATATCGGTATGAGTCCAAGACTGGATTGCCTGAAGGAGCTCCAGAAGTTGTATAGAGTGGGCAGAAGTTGTGATTGCAGCCAGTTATAATATTCATTGGATTGTTTTGTATCAACGACTACCCCCACTTGTCTCTATCCTCTATCCTCTACTTCTTTTGCCAGGACGACCGAAGTCATCAAATAATTATAAGGTGCTATATTCATATGTCAATAATTTGGCTCACAATTCATCTTAGCCACTACTTGACTGTGTGAGGTATGATGGCTGAATAACAAAACGACATTCAGGCAACCATCTGGAGTTGAGTATGCATCTGCAAGTGCACAGAATCTGCCGCCATCAGACGTATTCTGCAACATAGTAGCAAGCGAGATGATTTTCAAAATGGACACATGCCTTCTAACATCATGAGTATCGTACAGTACGTGTACTTTTATTAATAGGCTGGAAGCACTCAAAACAAATTTTAAAAACGAAGACCTGCCACTCAATCCGACTGGTACGACTAAACCAAGCTTTGGGTCATCTTTGTCGTTCGATTCAAATCAAACCGCAGCATTGATGAATAGGGTTCAGTATCGCATTTTGTCATCAGAATAGTATACTGTCGACAACAACATACAATCTTACTAACAAAAGCATAAGGCACAAATAGCATTTACAATGGGAGCTGCTGCATCTACCTACTCTCTCTTTTCCTCCGTATTCGATCGTCTCCTGGGTGGAAACAAGGAATACCGCATTCTCATGCTTGGTCTGGATGCCGCCGGCAAGACCACATTGCTCTACCGACTCAAGCTCGGTGAGGTGGAACATACGGTGCCTACCATTGGTTTCAACGTAGAACAAGTGCAGTACAACAACAAGATCTCATTCGTGGTCTGGGATGTCGGTGGTCAAGACAGATTAAGAATGCTTTGGAGACATTACTATGAAAATGTTCAGGCATTGATTTTTGTAGTGGACAGCGCGGATATCGATCGATTAGATGTCGCCAAGAGCGAGCTGCAGAAACTTGTAGCGGCCGAAGAGTTGAAGGATGCCATCATTCTGATATTCGCGAACAAGCAAGATTTGCCTGGTTGCGTCAAGGCATCGGAAATGGCTCCCAAATTGAATTTGCCTGCCATGAAGAATCAGTGGTTCATTCAACCCTGTGTGGCCACTGATGGACAAGGATTGTGCGAAGGACTCGATTGGCTGTCTGATGCTTTGAGCAAAACGAAATAAATCAATGAATGAATGAACAATGAGGGAGTGATCAAGTGAACTGAAGTGTTGTTTATAACTAGTATATAATCGATTAGTTTTTTTCAAATACATACTGTACAGTATTGTTGGTTCTGAAATGAAACCATCGTGATGATGATGGAATTGCATGGCATTGCCTTATTTGACTCGCTAGACGTGGCGGCTTTATAGATAAGTACTGTAGCTCATTGTATTGCTTTCACAAATACGCCGACTGCAGGAGCTAACACAGTTGGTGTCATTGCCAACGAACAGAATGTCCAATTCGATTTCTCTCAAGCATTCTCAAAAGCAAAGAGTATGCAAAAAGAACACGATTGGATGCAAAATGAAATGAACATTACGGGAATATAATAAATGTCTCTAAGCAATAGTGGCCATGGCTATACTTTCTGCCCACTGACACCTCTATATATTACAAGGCTCGTTCCTTCTTGGCGCATTTCATCCATTCATTTTCTCTGTGCCTCCATTTTTTTCATTCTGTTCCATTTTTTCCATCATGTTCCGAAGCTGCTTTTCTAACTCATTCAACTTTTCATCGGTAATATCGGCAGCCGATAGCAGTGGTTCGTGGAGGATATTATGGACGTACGTTTCTGTGAATTTATAAGACCAGCTCTGGGATTGCCAGGTACGATGGCAAAGGTCATTGGCATATCTCAGTCCCTCTAGTCTCGTCTGCAAGGTTTTCAAGATTTCCTCGGTTTGCTCTTTGCGCATCACAATCTTCTTGGCTCGAGCCGCCAATGGCGGGATATCGTTGGCAGGGTCAAGAGACTTTGGATCCTCCAATGGGTCTTCCAAGATCTCACTAATGCACTTATTGTGAAAGTAATAGCAACGTCTCCAATTGACCCATCGGTATTGAATCACTTCAGCAGCATCTTTGTGATCCACAAGAGTCATAATCTGCTGAATATAATGGAGGCCGAGCCTTTTGTTTTCGTTCAATCCATAAATTGCATCCGATACTTCCTGGAGTTTCTTCTGGCTGTTCAGTTTGCTCGGTGCTCTCAAGGCTTTGCCCAGAATCTTTTCAAGCCTTGGATCACGAAATTCATATGAGTTGACCCTTAGGCTCCACTGTCGCGCCTCCATCTTGGCAATCAAATCCTGGTCATCGTTCAGCTTTACCACTAGTTTCTGGATAATCTCGTCGCATTTTTGTCTCTTGGCAATGAGTTTCTTTCCAGTGATTTTCTTCTTTTCTTGCTTTAAAGCGGCCAAAGCTGCCTGACGATTCTTAACATCTCGACGGTTGTCGCCAGGTGCCTTCAGTATTGCTTGCCTTGCCGTTTCGGCATTCGGTTGTTGATCATTGCACTCTTCGACAAATGCTGCCACTTCCTCAGTAGCAGAGGTATCATCCGAATAAGCATCACCCCCTTTTCGATGTTCCATGGCCTCAATATCCTCCGATGTCACTAGTGGGCCAATCCTATTGCCACATTTATCCTCGAAGGGCTTCGAGATGAGGAAAGAATGTGGACTTCGGTTTCCTTTGCGAGGTCCCAACATGACGCCAGGGGCCTCAAGATACGGCCTCCATTGCTTGTTTCTTCGAAGGAGCTTTGTGGACTTTGTCAAGCAATTTTCGCAGAGAAAGAGGGCAAAAGCCTTGCAGACGTATCGGGTCGGAACGTTGCAAACTTCACATTTCTTGCCACATACCACTCGCAGTAATCTCAATGGCGATGGTACCCAAATCTTTCGCTCCCGAACGGGTCCTAGCATTCTCTCTAGAGATGTCTGCGGGTATCCTCCCGAGAGCATGGTCGCACGAACCACATGTCCATACTCAAGAGTCGCCTCAACGCCTCTGCTGGTACAGGCTAATAGCAGCAACTGCCGGAGATCCAAAAAGGAGAAGAGTATGGCAACGACATCTGCACATCCAAAGAGTTTGTCCGCAATCAGATTTAGATTTTGTGGGGTAGCATCGTCTACTTTCGAACGCTTGACAATAGTGGCTTTGTCAGCGGCTTTGCGTTTGGGTGGCATCTTGGGGCTAAAATAAGAACGACAGAATCAATCAATCATCACGATTCCGCAATTATTATGGGTGCGCCGGTCCACTACATTGGTTCTGTCTTTTCAAAAACAAAAAAAGGGGTGCATGAAAACCTGAAAACATGCAAAAGTCGCAGCATATGTACTGTACTGTACTGTACAGTAGTACCGCTACCTGGTACTGGTACAAAGGGCCGGCCGCCGCACCGACCAATCGAACTTTAGGCCGAGTACTTCGACTACTTTTTTATGGGTCATATGTTCATTCATTCTTCAAAAATGGCGGTTAGGACCTACAACTATACTGTACCGTATATTACTCTTGGTTACACATCAGGCAACAAATCTAATGTTCATGAGAACTGATGTTTATTATCACCGGTAATATTGAACCATCATATAACAGCCAAGCAAAGCATCGGATGATGCATGTAGTATAGATAGATGATATTGCCATTCGTCGGCGGTGCTGTCGTCTTTGATGAAGAAGAAGCCGCCATAGTATCCTCGAACGGATAATAAGGTTCTCTAGCTAGCGACACGACCTTCAACCGTTTTCCACGAGAGGGAGTGAGTAGGAACAAAAGCAATTTCAGCAATTTCAAAAAGGAGAAGAAACGCGATCCTCTCATCTTACAACTCAACTTGTTGTTATGTATGAAAAAATGTGCTAGCTTTTCCTACATTGCTCCAGCTACTGCTATGATATACATTGAGAATAGTATTCCTTTTCCCTAGAATCGGAAGCCCGAGGCTTCTCTCTCTTGAATTTCGGCAATCAGTAGGTTGGACATTTTGTTAACTTCCGAATCACTCAACTGCTCGACATTTTGAAGCTTGTTGCTCAGGGCCTTTTTCCCTACCGAGTTCCAGAAAGTGCAAGTATTGGTTTTCGCATTCCATGTCCATCTCTCCAGTCTGGTCTTCCATGTTGGATATGGCTCGGCGATTGGCTCCAACAAAAGCTCCATTCGGTTCTTGATTAGCTTTTTCTTTTCCATGACCGGCCGCAATTGTCCTTCCAAGCTATCCAATTTCGCATCACTAATATCGTGGGGCTTGGAAATTGGCTCATATAAAATGTCTTGTATGTAGCCTTCCTTGAACATCCAAGACCAATTCCAGGTATTCCAACTGCGTGCGCCTAGGTCATCGGCACACGAAAGGTCTTTTAGTCTCTCTTTTAGCTTTTCTACTACTTCTTCCCCTGGTTCTTTACGGCACACAATATATTTCACTTGGACGGCCAATTCCTGAACGTCATCATCAGTCAAATCCCGTGGTTTCGACAAGGGTTCCTTGAGAATGTCCCTTATGGCGGGATTCGAAAAGCCAAAGCACAGACCATACGTTCGATAGGTACGTCGCAGGACTCGATGGTCTGCTTCTGGATGATCGCAATAGTCGATAATTTGTTGCATATACCGTTCCATGAGTCTCCTTTCCCCCGTCGCCAGTCGGAGTTCGTCGGCGACTTGTTGCAACTTTTTCTTCGAAGCGTATTTGCTGGGTGCCCGCAGAACTGGTACCACGAGTTTTCGGACGATCGAATCTTCGTTAAACGTATATTGGTTTTGACGACCGTTCCATTGGCGGGCATTTATCTGGGCAATGATTTGGGGTTCGTCTGGCTCTTCCAGCAGCTTGATGAGTTCCACCATGAGCTCGTCCGACTTGATGCGTCGAGCTTCGCCATAGCGATCTCTGGCTTCTTCCTTTTCTTCTTGAACAGCGACTCGTCGATCCACCGCATCTTGGCGATTATCGTTGATTGCCTTTACAATGGATTGGACAGCAGCTTCCGCTTGTGGTTGCTGTTCATCACAGGTGTGGATCAACGCTGCTACTTTTTTGGCGGGTGTCGCTGTTGACTCACACTCTTTCGTCATTGCGGACATGCGTTCTATATCTTGAAGAGTAACGAGTGGGCCAATTGGGTCACCGTTTATGTCTTTTCGTGGCGCCGTCATGAGGTAGGAAGAGGAAAATCGTGTGGACCCCTTGCGGGGTCCCAAACAGACACGATTTGCTTGCAAATAAGGTGTCCATCGTTTGGACCGTCGCAACAGTTTGGTGGACTTTTCCAAGCATTTGTTGCAAAGGAAGACGCCAAAGGACTCGCAGACAAACCGCGTCTTCTCACCACACTCTTCGCACCGTTTGCCGCAGACCATTCTCAACAGTCGAACAGGAGAAGGTATCCAAATGCTGCGATTCTTAATCGGAGGAATAATTCTGTCAAGAGAAGTCAATGGAAAGCCCCCTGAAAGCATGGTAGCTCTCAACACATGATCATAGGTCAAGAGAGACTTGAACTCCTTGCTGACACAGACAAACCGGAGCAACTGTCTGACATCCAAGAACGAAAAGATGTCCGAAACAACGTCAGTTCCAAAGAGTTTTTCGGCAATGAAACACCCCTGAGTCTTTTCTTCAGTCTTCCTTTCATTGGGATCTGTCTTGAGCCGCTTGGATACTTTCGCTTCGCAGTTGCGAGGAGATCTTCGTTTCGGTGCCATGCTATTGATAGTGATGAGCAACTAGATGAATGAATCAATCAATCAATCAATCAATCAATCACAAGCTGCGTATCTGTTCTGATTTCGTTTTCTTTATAATATTTCAATCGTGCTGTCAGTTTTTGACTCATCCGACTGAAGCACGAACTGACAGCGGATCGCTACATGTACCCGAACCGGTAGAACACCGTAATACAATATAAAAGCAAACCAAACGAGACCAAAAGTAAAGTATAAGAATGATTTTATGAGGTTTGTTACTTGGTCGGCCACCTACGCAGCTCCGCGTTCCTCAAACAACGCTTTCCAAGAAATGAACATCATGAAAATCACATGGTTGCCTTCAGAGACATGGGGTATGAGGGTGTCCCACATTTAATAAAATGTCAACAAAGTCAATGCAACCACCTTATGTTTCATCACAACTCCTAATTTAGGCAATTTGCTTCTTGGAAAGGAAGTCAGTGTGTTCTTGGTATGGGTGATCAATAAGGGCGTTCTCCTTCCACAATTCAGGAGATAGGTACCCATAGGTGGCACGAAGGGCGTAAAAGATGGCCTTGATGAAGTTACCCATGGTACGGGTGTGACCAGTAGAACTGCAGTAGCAATCATCAATTCCAGCCATGTGCAACAACTTCTTTCCGGCGGGAGAAGAAACAAGACCGGTACCACGAGGGGCAGGGATCAGACGAACACGGACGGAACCACACTTTCCAGTAACCTTGCATGGGACAGTGTGTGGAAGACCGTTGGCACGTCCCCAGAATCCGCGACGGACTGGGGCAATGTTCAACTTGGCAGCAGTGATGGCTCCACGGATAGCGGTGGCAACCTCAGAAGAACACTTGACTCCAAGACCAATGTGTCCATTCTCGTCTCCAATAGCAACAAAGGCCTTGAAACGAGTTCTTTGACCAGCAGAAGATTGCTTTTGGACAGGCATGATCTTCATGACCTCATCCTTTAGCTTATCCTTAAGGAAGAAATCGATAATTTCGGCTTCCTTGACAGGGATGGAAAAGAGAAAGATTTCCTCAATGGAGCCAATCTTTCCTTCCTTGACCAAACGTCCGAGCTTGGTGACGGGAACCCAAACGTTCTCATCTCCTCCACGGCCTCCTCCACGTCCGCGTCCACGTCCACGACCGCGGCCTCCACGTCCACCGCGTCCTCGGCCGCCATCTCCACGGCCGAATCCTCCTCGTCCTCCTCTTCCAGCAGGTGCTTCTTCACTCATTGTTGTTTGTAGCTGATAATGTTTGGAAAGGAGAGAATTGTGTAAGACCCATACCTTGCTACTATTGAAACACTATTGACACTGCTTGATGCAACAAAGCTTTGACTGTTCATCGTGAAAAGTTGCCATGGCTCCACTTACTTTTTTCTTGGTTTATATAGAGTGAGATGTTGAAATCAAAACCTTCGTTCACCGACAGACCATCACCAGTTTTTTCAAAGTTTGGGGTAAGGAGTAAAATCGCGGACGAAGGATGGAAGTTTGACTCGATCGACTAAAAAGAGATCCTAACTTCAAACTTGCAACATTCCAATCCCCAATACGATCATGGCGGGATATGAATGCAGCAATACAATATGATATTCGTTGTAGCATTATGGTACAGTATTTTATAATTAAAAGTTTAGCTTTCTAGTCCAGTATAGCATTGCATCCTTGGGTGTCTCCATCCATTGCAATTCACAATCTTCCTCCTCCAACAAGCTCAGCTTTTCCATCAACCGCAAGTACGACCAATAGGCAGCTTCAAAGTCTTGGAACTGTATTATGCAGTTGCTGGTGCTGTTTTCATTTTTTCGGTTGTGCCGTCGGGAACTGGCCCGCTGATCACCATCAATGTCGAGACACACGTAAAGTTCGGGATGCAAAATCTGTGACAATTCGTATTCAATGGCACCAATGTCGTGGACTCCAGCAATATCCTCCAAATAGAGTTTGGTCAAATCTTTGGAGGGATACGATCGAATCAAATGCCGATCGAGGACCATTCCAAAGATTCGGAGCGGATCCGAGGCTGCGGTTTGGGCGCTGGCCACGTCCGCAAACAAAATCATGGCGTAGAGGGCCGTGCGGGGCCGCCGCCAGGGCTCTCGTTGGGAGGAAGGATTCCGAATTTTCTTTTTCGAGTCGACCGATCGACGGCCGGGATCCAAATGAGGCTTTTTGTTAAAGACGGCAATGGATTCAATGGGACCGCACCGAGAGTAAGCATCCATGAGCAAGTTTTCATTCGCATCAATGGGCAAGTTGTCAATGATAACGAGTCGCTCGTTGGGTGCATTGGAGGGAAAGTCTGGAAACGCCGGAGCAGTGGATGGGAGAATTGGAGTCCGTGGCGACGTGATGGGTGGAAAGTCTTGCAGATTGATGGCTTCAAAGAGAACATAACTGCGGGGTTTCCGTTTTGCGGCTGCCTTCTTCTTCTTGGACTTGGACACTGCAGCTTCCGCTCCGGTGGACACGACATCTTGGAAACTTTCCAAGACAGCTTCTTCCAATTCTTCGTTCAATTCGCTTTCAATTTCGTCATCGTCGGACTCCTTGTTGTCATCGTTATTCTCTTCCAGTTTCCGATTGTTGGTTTGATATTCTTTTAACAAGAGTTCATGAATGGTTGCAAACGAGTCCACAAAGTTGTCCAGCAGTCCATCAAACGCCTTGGAAGACTCAGTAATCCGTGGATCCGACATAATGTCACCCCGACTGTTGGTGCCGTCGTCTTCGGCAGTGACGTATAAGAAATCTCCCAAATCGGCCGCCACCAAGTGAATGTACCGTTTCAAAGGTTCTCGAATTTTATTGTACAAGACTTGGATCCGCTTTTTTCGTTTCGGATTGTCTGGTGATACTGCTGTCGGCAATGTCCTATCCTGTTCGCAGGCCTCAATGTGATCCTGGAGTACGGCCAAGAGTCGGTCGTATCTTGCTTTGGGCATGGATTCTTGCAAGCGTTCCGCCAGCTCCCGGGCTTCCTTCTCTTGCTGGTCTTGCGATTTGGCATTGTGAATGGCCGCCAATCGGTCGGAGCGTTCCGCCAGGTATCGTTTCCATGGATAGGGCTTGCCATCTTTCTTATTATTATTATTTTCTTGATTTTGCAAATTCATTTTTCGTTTGCGTGTGACACTCCATAGAATTGGAAATTCGACTGCCGATTGACGAACCTTTTGCAACAATGCCACGTGTTCTTTAGTTGGCTGCTTTGTCTGCTTTCGTGGTTGTTGTGGTTTGGGCTTGTTGGCTGCTGCTCCTCCTCCTCCATTACTGTTATTATTATTATTATTATTCTCATTGGAGACCAGAATCAAATCCCAAAAGGCAGCCTTGATATCCTTGGATTGTTTTGGTAGATAGCTTTGCGTATGGGTCATGTAAATGTTATTGGAAGCAGGATTTTTTCGATTGATCTTTTTGTTTTTCAACTGATTCTTGAGCGTGCTGATCCACTTGAGCCGTGAAACATCATGTCGTTGGAGGACAGGGGCAAAACGATTGCGAATGGTTTCTTTGGAATGCAAGTCCTGAAGCTGGACCAATTGTATCCGCGATGAATTATCCCTGTTTTTCTTGGATTCACCTTTTGATTTGTTGTGTTTGGTGTTGGATTTGTCCTTTTTTGACGCCGACGAAGGAGGATCTCCAGCATGAGCGTCATCTGGAAGATTCTTATTATTCTTTTTTGCTAGTCGTGGTGGTGTCGATTTGTTGGTAGGACTATCTTTAGTATCCTCGACTTTTTGTATAGAAGCAAACCCTCGCCGTTGTTGTTGAAAGATGAACGATTGAATAGGAAGTGATGCAGTGAATGATATGGAAGAAGATAATGGTGATCGAATCCGGGGCGGACACGTGGTTGAATCATCGTAATAATAGTCTTGACAATACAATGTGTGTACCCCGGCCCCGGCTTGTGTAGAATTCCGACTGACGACAAAGGATCCATGTACATTTCTTCTTCTCCTTCTTCCTATTATTCTACCACTTGTCGCTATCGTTCTTCTGGTGATCATGCTGCTTTGATGGAGGCAGAGTTGTGGTGGACAATACAGTTATATATTTGCATCCGCTGAAAATGCGACGAAAAAATATGATGGGTGGCGATTGATGAGTGCGCGATTGATCGCGCGAATTTTCTGGCGGGAGATGGAGACATGTTCAATATACCATATGGAAGTATGTCATCCGTGGCATGGATACTGTAGCATTACGGTACAGACATTCAGCATTTCTAGGGCAAGATTATCCTAGGACGTCTTATAAAACCAAACTTCAAAATGCCACTTTCGAGGAAGGAGACTTTTATGCAACAGTCCCAATAAAACTGAAAGAATTCTGATTCGATTTGGAAAGCACCGAGTTTTGTGGAATATAAATCGTCAAGAACTCGATGAAGAAAAAACACTTTTCCTCTGAGTGATTGTTGTTGGACCACTTAGTCTCGCCTGAATAACAATGAATCAATCACTTTGATTCTTCTATATAGCAGGCATTTTTCATACCGGTATATTTCATATGAACTTGGCCACATATTCAGGTGCTCGTTCTTTCAATAGTTCCCAACAGGCAGGATCATAAACTGTTTCGTTGTAGTTGATTTCCTCTAAAATGGTTTGATTTGGTTTGCACGCCAATACCATATTCCATTCCGACTTTTTCTTCGCCACATCACCTCTTCCACATCGCTCCTTGAACTCGCCAAAGGAATAGGTATGAATGTGATACAGAGCCGCCACATCGTTCGGAAGGTCCTCATTGCGTGCCCCCCCGACTATTTTGCCATTGGTGTCCCTGGTTCGCATTGTTTCTGACGCGTTGTACTTGACAAAGTGTGCGCTTCGAACATTGGGTGTTATTTGGGCTCGTACAATGGTTTTCACCAACGGATTTGTGGCGTTGGCGTCCCGTTTTTGGAACCGCAAGGTAACTGGTTTTGGTTCGTAGGTAGTTTGTCCATTGAATCCAAACATGACCCAATTCACCGCCAATCCACCATACTCTAATGACAGACTGTCCAGCAAATCCATGAGCTGAGGATACTTTGTTCGATCCTTAATCACCAAGAACTCATCCAAATCAAAAAAGGCAATCCAGGAATGAGCCTTTCGGTTCCTGATGTCTTCCCAACAAAGTGTGTAGGCAGGCCGTTGCGCCCGAAAGGAAGGAAAATGTCTGATCACCACCCTCTCTTTCGTAGATTGTGGTAGTTGATCGTGCCACGGCGCGAGCTCATTGTGCTCGGAATTGTCATAGAGGTATATCGTTTCAAATCCGATGGCCAGATTGTAAATGACCCACTCGTCAATGTACCGGAGGCCGTCCTTTTGAATCGCGCAGAGTGCAGCCGAATGGCCATAGGCATTTTCCAAATCCATGTCCGTATTTTGAATGGCGTTGGCATAGGGCAATATCATGCGCTTGTCAAAAATGCGGAAACTACAAACTAAGACGACCACGGAAAAGAGGCCGAGTGTGGAGGTCAAACTCGGAACTTGGTAATGACTTGCTGATGTTGCTGCTGATGCTGCTGATGCTGTCGGAGAGGCCATTTCGTTGGCCCTCGTTTCGTCCTCGTTAGTAGTAGTGCTGCGCTTGGATCGCATTGCTGCATGGAGGATGATTGCATATATATATATTTATACGGTATGTTGTTTGTAATCCCCTGTGTATCGTCCCGCCTTAACATCAGCATTTTGAAGAATGACGCTGACCTGAAACTCGACAACACCGACTAAAACGTGGACTGCTCGATCGAAGATATATATGGTACTGGGAGAGGGGAGAGTTGGAGACAAAAGATGAGAAGCTTCCGATCAAACACTCATATTCATTTTGGTGTAACACGTGTTAGTCTTGGTATGATCTTTTTAACCCATCCACGTTTTTGGACTCGGCCCTGATCAGGGCCGACTTCATTTAAAGTTTTTTTCTCGTACGACAAATTATGTACCGCGCTTGCGTGGAACCACAAAACCAAAATCACAAAGTTTTCTAAAAACATGTATTGATGTAGTTACAAACGTATTCACGAGACCACGAAGATGTCAATGCGATAAGCTGCTAGTATACGAATCCATCAATTAAACCACTCCAAATCTGATCAAAAACTCAGAATTAGTGTAGCGCCATTTTTTGTCAAGATTTTTATATGTAAGCCGAGACAGGCATCACTTGAATCACTCATTTTCGCCGCTTTTTTGTGGCAGGAGGCCCTAGTCTGCCCAGAAATGATGCTTGGCCCGCTTCATATATCTCTACAACACGTTCCCGCTGGGCCAGTGGCATCTGGTGGAAGAGTCTCCAGCAATTTCTGTCCACTTCCACACAAAATGGCAGACAACAGCCGTTACCCAATTCACACCCAGCACATACTGAGCCGGCTTTGCTGTACTTCCCATTAGCCAAACAAAGTGTACACTTTCTTCTACTGTCGCGTCCTTTCTTCTGTGCATATCTTTTCTCAATGTGATGAGCAGGAAGTATGGAATTCTCATCCGCCGGTGGGAGACCATGTTCAACTGCAAAAATCCGGCTCCCCATAAAGTGATACACCAGTTGTTTCTTCAGCTCCAAAAGGTTCGGCCACTCCTTCCTCGGTATCTTTTTTGCAGCACAGTATAGGATCCCAGCATTCTCAATGCCAACATCCACATAGTAAAAGAAGATTCGGATCCACCAACGACGCAGCCCATGAAGTCGGGTTTCAGCGTGGAGACGTCTCTGGTCAGCAAAGTCCACGCCACCCATGTACTCATTGTATCTCCGTACTATTTCTGGCCTATTCAGGTCAATGATACCTCTTTCAGCTTTGCTCCGCCTTTTGCAGCTACCAGTTGGCCTGCAGTCCCCATCTGAGGTAAGGACAATGACAGGCTTGCGGTCTTTCCAGATCGTGAGACCAATAACAATGGTCTGACCCTTTGAATCCTCGAAAGTGTACACATGACACTCGTGGTACCCACGCGGCTTGTCTCTGGCATATTTGTTGGTCCATCGAAGATGCTTTGGGATCCGGTTGGCCATCACAGTGCCGGTGACAAACAAGTCACTTTCGTGAAGTTCCTTGATTACCTCGATTGAAGTATAGAACCGATCCACATAGACAGTTCTGTAGGAGCCATTGTATGGGTTACAAAGTCGTTTCACAACCTGCGTAGTCTTCTTCAACTCTTCAGATTGAATGTGTCCAGCACCACCAGTATACATTTCCACATTCAAGACATATCCAGAAGTGGATTCTGTCAAGACATACAACTTGATTCCATATCGCGCCGCCTTGGTGACAACTCGGACCTTAAATCCAATTCGTCCAAAGGCTCGGATTAGTGACTCGTCAAGGCTTAGTTGTTGCTCGGGCTCATAGAGATCTCTAAATCTTTCCAACAGTGCCCCAGAGAACTCTTGAAGTTTCTGGTTGGGATCTGCCGGGTCTGCATCCACGGGAGCAATATGGAGGCCACGCATGATCCTGGCAAATTTTCTTCCCGTCATGATTCTTCTGATTGGAGGACAGTTGATCAGTGGATCCTCAGAGAACCAAGCAGAAGGTCCATCCCGCCTTCTTTGGCATGAGGCAATCCAAAGAACAGAGAGAGTATCCATGAGATCGTCACGTGTGACGTCCTTCCAATCAGCGCCCTTTAATGCGGATCCATATTCGTTTGTTCTCTTCACTACATTAGACATAATTCTCTGTGTGAAAACGGAATTAAAAGCCTTAGGAACACTATTGAGGCTTCCAGGTGCATGTTGTATGCCCTTCCTTCCAAAAGGGATTGAAGGTTCGTCCTGATCTTTGGTCCGAGTGGCTGGCGGGCTTTGAATAATAGTTCGGCGCTTCTCTTCAAACTTTGTTGGAGAATCAACACCCTCAAACGTTGTTGATGTGATCCAGCCTTCTTTTGGTGGAAGAGTCTGTTGAGGAATTCCTTCTTCATCATCTTTGTCAGTAGGATCCGGCTCCGCAAGTTGGTAGCGCTCGTCAGCTTCCATGAAAGAGCCAGCTGACTCCGCAAGTGCTTCTTCAGGCGCCCAACAGGTTTCGTCTTCCGCCACAACCGTCAGAGCTTCTTCTTGGGAAACAGGACTCTCTTTGGACCATTCGAGACGAGTCAATAGGGTTTTTCTCTTTGACCAAATGGGTGGATGCTTAAAAATGTTGACTAATGCTTCAACATCAGCCATTGCTTGATGAGCGCCATCGAGGTCCTTTCCTGTGATATACTTGTACATAGTCGCAAGCTTGAAGTTGTGTGGGCGAATAATTCCATAAGGATAGTCCTGGTGCTTTACCCATAGATATGGATCAATCTGAAATGTAATGTTGGGACAGATCTCCACTCTGTGAATTTGGCATTGCTCCAATAGAAATGGATTGTCGAAACTTTTTCCGTTGTATGCGACTAGGCATACCTTTGTGCAGGGATCATTCCCAATATTCTTCTTGATCCAGGTCATAAATGCATTTCCAACAGTCTTGAAGTCGCTTTCATTCCTCAGCTTGGCATCTGTGATGCCATGGATTGCAACAGAGTCGCTAACACCCTGTCTTGGTTTGACTAGTGAATAAAATGGTCCAGTCCCGGCAAGTTCATCTCCTTTGTTATCCAATCCAATGGCATACAATTCAATGATTTCATTCAATATTTTGGAGAATCCCGTTGTTTCAATATCATAGATGATGTAGATGACCTTGATGATGGTTGCTACGCTTGCTAGTACTTGATTTCCCCTTGGTGGATTCGGAACATCAGTTGGTGTCAAATTTTGATGTTTGCATGGGCAATCCAATGAATTCTTTCTGTGACCAACCAAGCCACAGGCACTGCACTTTGATGGCTTCCTTGGTTTGGTCTTGGCTGCAGCCTCTGCAACTTTGGGGCTTCCAGAGGGTGTCATTGGTGAGGAATGGATGATTGATTGATTTGCATTGATTCGACTGAATCCAAGCCAAAAACACAATTTCGGTGAAAAAGAAAATGACCTGTCATTGCTCGAGAACATCACCTTGGAACCTAAGTTTTTGAGGCATGCTTCTACTGTATTACAATAATATAGGTGTAAAATCGTATTGTCTAGTTCCATCATTAACCTATTCAACGGATGTGATTTGTGCTGAATTTTAGGGACTCGGCCCTGATCAGGGCCGTCTGACCCCCGATGGGTTAAGGAGTTTACTAGCCACTGCAATCTGAAGCAAAAGTTTTACTGCAAGTTTGATGATGGGCTGGAGACGTTCACGAGGTACTACTTACTAGTTCTAAGGACTAGCACTACAGTAGCATTTTGAACCAGAGAACAAGAGTCATCGTTGCGGAACCACCTTGCATCATCATGTACTAGTTGAGCCTTGAACAAGCTTGTGAAGGCATGCCTATTTCCGTAGATGTATAATGTTCTAGTGTTTTTTTATCATTCTATTCATTGTGTGTTCAGTTTTATTTAAAACATGCAGATAAGCAGCGGCCCTGAATCAATCAATCAATCGATCCTACAAGAATCCCTCCAACAGGAATACCATAACCGTGGCAATCAGAGGGTATTCTGTAGTAAAGCCGAAAAAGTAGAGCATGAGGCTCGCAGCCATGACCATTTTCAAATAGACCTTGGGTTCTGGGACCATGCTGCTATCAGCTTCTCGTTCTTCCAACAGCATCTGGACCGCCTCCTCCATATCCTTGTGACTTGACATGACGTTCATGGCCTCTTCTCGTGTTTTGGTGAGGGTTTGGTGAAGGGAATCGATCAAGTGTTCGTTGGATCGAATCGTATCGCGATACGAGTGAATCAATGCTTGCGCATGATCCAAACGATCTTCCAAGGAAGATCTACTTGAGGATGATTCTTCGGAACTCCCATCCTCTTGCGATGATTCATCAAAGTCTGGGAGTAGAACGATATTGGAAGGAATGCAATTCGGGACAATCAGTCGCTGCTCACGATCAGCAGTGATGACTTCTCCTTCGTCTTGTTGTTGTTGTTGATTCAGAACTGCGGACCAGTGGTCGTCGCTGGTTTCGTTGTTGTTGTTGTTGTTGTTGTTGTTGTTGTTGTAAGACTTGTTTTCATCTTGTTGGATGCAGGGAATCTCCTGAGAAGTTTCATCATCTTGTTCTTGTGGTCGTTGCCTCTGCTCGGAAACACCCTTTTCAATGCTCAGCGTTGCTTCTTGGGCAACAGACGATGGTTGCACCAATGACTTCTTGTTGTTGCTGTCTTGATCCGAAGCACAGGACGAACTGGCTAGATCAGGAACATCATCATCTGAAGTCTTGCTATTCTTGGAGTACCGAAAGGGACCTTTGAGCAAGCTTGGCTTGGTAAAGCTGAAGTGAAGTGCCTTTCCCATGATATCTGTATGGTATTTTTGGGTTGTCGTATCTTTTTGCTGTGTGTCCTGTTGTTGTGGAGGGAGGCCGAATTCTGTCAGATCAGAGATCGGGATTGCAAATTTGTCAGTGATGGTTGTGAACGCTTTCTCTGTTTCTGAGTCAAGCGCATCTGAATCAGCGAAAGTTTTCTACGCGTGTCGATCAAAGAATATACCTCCGATGACGCCATAAATAAGAGTTCAGAGCGGCGGAAGCCTCACGGAACTTCCTCCCTCAAACCAGAATTTTTTCGATATGTAGCTCCCTTAAATGGAATAGGATCATATGACGTCATCGTGACGCGGCGCCATTTTTCATGCCACACATTTAGAGTTTGACAAGATATCGAACACCTTCCTGTGTCCGGTCGAAGTGTTATTGCTATAGTTGTTGTTGTTGCAACTGTTGGATACAGCTTCAACAAACGAGAAGATCTTGACACATTTGTTGTGCATAGGTTGTGTATGACAGTCAAAGTTGCTGAAAGTATCCTATCAACCAATTCATGTGAAATTCATTCATTTCTAGTAGCTGCAGTTGACGAGAGTACTAGAACGTGTTCGCCATATTCCATATAAAACTCTATATTCTTGCATTCGCTCGCTGTATCTAGCATTTCCTTTGTATTTTAATACTATTCCTCCTAACGAGTTTGACATTGTAAGGCACTCCTCAGTTCAAGCTTGTTCTCGAGGAGAGAAGGAAAGGCAACACATTCTCAACGACAATTGAAATACCAGAGTGGACTCGACAGCTCTGTCGATGGGTGCTGATACATGATTCCTCTTCACCACCATCACGAACATCATTGTCACCCGCATTATTGCCATCATTCGTTGTTGTTTTCAGCAATTTTGTTTTCCAAAGGACCATTTCCAACAAGGAAAGTATCTCTCGGATTTCGCACTGAATCAATTTGCGCAACACCCTTTCAACTTGTCGACTCGAAGTCTCGGCATCATCTGATACTAATAATGTGACTCCTTTTTCCTGTTCTGTCAATACTTCTTGCCTCCATTGTTCCAGTCCAATATATTGGAGTCGCTGTTGGAGAAGAGTTGGTAGCCAAGTTCGAATGGCTTGCCTCCCAGCAGCATTCTTGCAACGATAATCTAACGGGGTCGATCCAAACGAATCCTTGGCTTGTATCATGGTCTCAATAATAGAAGTTGGTAGCTCTTGTACCAATTCCATGACTGGGGTTTCCGCCAGCATTAAAATGTGCATGGGAGTCATTCCAAAAGTGTCCACTTGTTCCGCGGCTGCGTGAGCACCGATTGGATGTGCCTCGAGAATATCTCGCATCTTGAGAATCGTGTCTTGTGTAGAGTACTGGTAGGTCTGAAAGTAGCATAGTTTATGCAACGGTCGATCTACGAATCGGCGCTGTAGTTTGGGGATAAGATCTCTCCAGGCCACTGCGAGTCTTCCCAGTTGAAAGTCAGGGGGAAAGGGCAAGGAATCCATGCTTCGTACAACCCACTGCTCGGGAGGTGTAAACAAATTTACCAAGGAAGAACAAGATTGTATGCCATCCGAGCCGCCAGTGATATTAGGCACCACATCGAGCCTCCACAATCCTTCTGGAACTTCCAAAGATACCAAGGACGAACAGCCTTCCACTGCAGAGGGAGAAATGTCAGTGACACCAGGCGGGAATCGGAGATGCGTCAAAGCGGAGCAGTCACAGAATACTTCCATGGGAAACAATCCCTTGATGTTGGGTGGAAGACGGGCCACTGACAATTCAGAACAACCCTGGAAGGCGCACTTATCAATATTTGTACACCGAGTGTGCTGTGACAAATCCAAATGCTGCAACGAGGAGCAGTTTTCAAAAGCCCCAATTCCAATGATTTCGATGCTCAATGGCAGCTCAACGGAAGATAGGCTATGACAGTCGTAGAAGGCGTAGTCTAGAATAGTCCGCAGAGTCGATGGAAACCTTACTGTTGTCAGCATGGCACAACCCAAGAAGGTACGTCGTCCCAATCCTTCGACGCCCTCCTCCAGCATTACTTCCTCAAGCTCTTGACAGTCCTCGAAAGCGCTCTCAAAAAGTCTGTCAACGGATCCAGGAACGCGGGTAATCCTGACATTGCGAGGAACCAGCAGCGTTTGATTTTGAAGATAATTGTTGGAAGCAGCAGAGGCGGAATAGACAAAGACACCGTTCGCGTCAAAACCCAAGCGGGCTTTCTTCCGTGTACGCATACATGTACAGGATCAGAACCAATGGATGGTGATACTCGTTGTATCAATGTATCAAGAGACAATCTCTTCCTTTGTCCTCCAGGCTTATACAATGATGAGAAATGGATCGATCGGATGCGATGATATTATATTATGATCACGATACGAGACGACGAGACGATGTGATTGTGATACCACGATATAATGCGAGAGATGCTTTCGAATTTTGCGGATGACGATGATGATCGGGACATTGGAAGGAGATTGAAGCTAAAGTAGCCCCTCATACTATTGACCTCCGAAAATAATATAAGAACTACTAGCTGGGTACAACCCTCCTATCTTAGTTCATACGGTACTATGCCATCGATAATTTTATAAAAGAGTGATACTGTTGGTGGAGATACTAGACATATTCAAATCATGGTCAGCTTCTAGAGTGAGTCAGTCAGCCAGCAGTCGTCAATCATAAGGAGGAGGAAAGTCAACAACAAAGGAATTCATCAGGATGATGATTCATTCCTTTGTCCGGGGTGGATTGAAGGTCGACTATGCTTGTCAGAAACACACCATTCGATGCCAAAGGGAACGGGATGCGCTAGAGAAGTTTGCACTGCCACAGAGCAATGAACAATGATGTCTTCTGGTCGTGAACAATGTCGTGAAACGTAGCCGTGTCCATGCCCTGGTCCATGCCCCTCCCGCGTCATATAATGCAACGGAATATTGTACAATATCATCACCCTTCTGCTAAAGAAAGGTTCTTCCAATAGTCCGCCTGTCGCTGCAATTCTTCCAAAGATATGGCGCCATCCAAAGGGATTGACGATTCATTGCATCTGTCGATGGCATCGAGTAATCCCATATACTTTTCAAAGGGAGACATGCTGGCCCAAGTCCCAACTTCAAATCCTTCTCGAAAACATCCAATGCATACCTGTCCTCCAAAGAAGTCAGCGTTGTATCGACAAATTCGAGTACATGGAGTCACAGGTACCTTCGTCTGATCAGAATCGTCATGATAATCATCTTTAGGTCTTGTTGTTGCTGTTGCCGTTGGTTCGTGTATATTGTGGCTAGGGGTCCCTTTCTCTTCTTTTTGATTTTCATCGTTTGACTGCTTCTCCATAGCCGGGCCCTTTAGTTCGACTGTGTTTCCTTCTGGATCTTGGATGTAGATGGATGGACCTACTCCTTCCGCCCCTTTGCGCATGCCCGAAGACTGAATCTCGATTCCTTTGCTTTGTAGATAATCTTCTAGTTCGCCTTGATCGTACGGATCAATCCGTAAACAGAAGTGGTCGACGGCTGCTGCTGATGACGATGATGGTGATGATCGATGACCTTCATCATCATTATCAGTTGCGTCATCAGAATCTTCATCATCATCTCTCTTCATGAGGTCAATCATGGTATTGGGACCGGCTCGCAAATGTGTCAATCTTCCATTCAATCGACCAATGTCCTCTGGTGAATCAATGGTGCATCCAAGAATCTCGGTATAAAATTCCATCATTGGGTTGATGTCCTCTGGAAACGTCAGAACAATGTGATCCAAATGCTGTAGTTGAAAAGGTCGTCGAGCAGAAAAGGCTAAAGCATAATGCTTATGCGAATGGAAGAAGCATATCAGACTCAATGCAGAGCAGCAGAAACTGATACCTCTTCGGTTTCTGGGAGACCTGCTTTGTTTGCTGACGGTCATTGTCATGTTCACATGCGATGAGAAAGATTATAATATATGATGTTTCAGCATTTTTACATGTGCGTCATCGAAATGAAGTTGTTGTGTGCGACATTGACTGCGACGCAAAGATACGGTCATTTGGCCGCTCGCCATCATAATATATATACAGCGGTAAAGATCCACTGTAAAATTAATCACTTGACGATTCTTTTGTTTTCTATTTTCTATTTTACATTGTCTACGTTATCATCTTTGTATATTATAAATATAAAAGACACCGCGCTTCACAATCATTTGATATAGTCATCATTACAATGAAGATTGTTCAAATAGCCTCTGCTCTTACAATTGCAGCTTCACAAATTTCGGTAGACGCTGCTGCGGTCCGTCGCCGTCGACAAGAAGAAGCACGACCCCGTGGAAAGCCTCATTATATATCATATGATACTACGGAACGTAAAGAGGAATCATCCTCCAGGCCTCGTGTAGAAAATGTCAAGGACGTTCGACAAGAGGCTAATCCTCGTAATACGCCTACTGTTGTCGAGGAAACACATGAGCGTCGGCATAATACTATGCCTCGTACCAAGTCTAATATAATCGATGAGGAAACACAAGAACGGCAGCATTCCAAAAGGCCTCGTACCGAGCCTGCTGCGAAGGAAACGCAGGATCGGCAGCATTCCAATGATCCTCGAACCGAACCTGATATCAAGGAAACACACGAACGGCAACATGATACAAAGCCTCGTACAGATCCTGATGTCACGGAAACTCTCGAGCGCCAGCATAATTATACAAAGCCTCGTACTAAGGATGGCGGTGATGGCACACGTCCAAAAGAAGGCGACCCCAATCACATTGTCAATGGCCAAAATGCAGACGTTGGAGAATATCCATATTTCGTGGATCTCCATGGTTGTGGCGGGAGTCTGATTGCTCCCCAAGTGGTCCTTTCCGCAGCGCACTGCGCTCCCACCATTTCGCCTGGTCAAACGGTGATTGTCAATGGCTACGAACGAGGACAAGTCACCAGCGAAGCCATTGAAATGGGCGTATTGAGTTTCGAAACCCATCCCATGTACAATGAGGATATAAGTCTCGCGAACGACATCATGTAAGTTGTTGTGGTTGTTGTTGTTGTTGTTGTCGTTGTCGAGGGGTTGAGGATTATCATGCTTGATTATCATGTATGAGCTATATGTACTCTGACCGTTTCCATAATATAGGTTGATTCAATTGCAAGAACCTATCACTGTGGTCACACCAGTGACACTGTCACTCAATGAGAATTCTACTGTACCAGCTCGCGGACAATTGCTAACTGTAATTGGAGTTGGTAACACGGAGGAAGATGGAGAGCAATCGAATATTCTCCAAGAGTTGACGGTTCCAGCTGTCAGTCTTGAAGCGTGCAACGATGAGGAATCTTACAATGGAGATATCATTGATGAAGTCATGTTCTGTGCAGGTGTGATTGAGGGAGGTCAAGATAGCTGCCAAGGTGACTCAGGCGGTCCAATTGTGGCAGTTGATGGCGACACGCATGTTCAAGTCGGTGTTGTTAGTTGGGGGTAAGTGAGACTATGCATGTCGGGATCAGAAACTCTATCCATTGAATAACTTTCGTCACCGCCATTGCTTTCTTGTTGCCACACATCATAGATATGGCTGCGCACAGGCCGATTTTCCAGGTGTTTATGCTCGCACAAGCAGTGCCATGGATTGGATCAACTTCCTGGTTTGCGATTGCTGGGGCTACGCGGATGCTAGCTTCTGCACTGGCGATGACGGCACTGGAGGATTTGAGGTAAGTCGAGAGTCTTTGAAGTATGGCTCTCGTTCTGCTTTTGCTTTTGCTAATCATTTTGTTTCACATTGTCCCTTCGTAAACGACAGTGTCCCGATTCTTCAGCATCGGCAGGATGTGAACTCATTCCCGGGTGGGCCGATGCCGATGGATATAGATGGTAGGGTTTTCATTGTACTTTTGATTTGCTTCTGATCGCAATTGATTCATTCATTCTTACCGTTCCTTTCATATCTTTACGATTCCTTCAGCGCATGGGTAAGGCTTCTAGTGCACCGGCTTGTTTGTCTTGGATTGATCAAATCATGATTCTGATTTTTTCGCTGGTGCATTTCATTCCTTCAGTACGAAGACTACGACTCCGTTGGTTGCCCAGATCATGGTGGTAGCTTTGTGGGAAGTGACGGAATCACGGCATGGGGAGCATGCTGCCATTGTCAAGGTTGCGAGCTCATTGAAGGGTGGACTGATGCTGATGGATTTGGCTGGTACGACTCTTATTGTGCTGTCGGTTTGGTTCTGTGTATTTGATTCGTTCATTCTAACTCTTCCGTCTATAATATTGCGATTCGAATAGCACATGGGTAAGCTTCTTATGCACTGTCTTGTTTGCTTCAGGTTGCGATGATGGATTGCTCTAATTCACTCTTATTTTTTTCGATCCATCAGTATGAAGAGAACGACCTTGTTGGTTGCCCAAGTAACGGTGATAGTTTTCCGGCAGCCGACGGAACCACGGCAATGGACGCATGCTGCATTTGCCAAGCAGGCGACGATTCTTCAGGCAACGATTCCTCAGGCAACCAACAAGTTATTAGTGATGACACTGCTGGAGCCGGTTGTAGTTTGGTAGAAGGATGGAGTAAGTTCATATTGCTGGCTGCCTCGATTGCTACTAAGGAAGGATGCTAATGACCCCTACAACTTAGCTGATTCATATGGAGATTCTTGTGAATGGTACGTCATGAACGTCGTCGGTCTTTCGTTGTTTGATTGTTTTGCTCACATTTTGCGCCACATCGTAATATCAGGTACGAGCGAAACGATCACAAGGGCTGCCCTTTGTATGGTTCTGAAGTGGGCATCGACGGGTTCACTGTTGGCGAAGTATGTTGCATTTGCAGGGGAAACGGTTGCGAGCTCATTGAAGGATGGACGGATTCGTTTGGCGACAATTGCTTGTGGGTAAGCTATTCGATTTATCTCTGGATTTGTTGATTTGCTCCAGTGGTCAAGCTGGTTGATCCTGAAGTCGAAGCACGTCATTTGTAAACTCACGAGTTGCCTTGTTTGTTGCTGCTCATATTCTTCTTTCATTGCAGTATGAGGTATGTCTCTCTCGGCTTAACACTGATTCGCGTTGCTGTTTTGTCTTTCTTTCAACGTACTCATGTCAATTTCCTTTAAAATGTATACAGTTGCAAGACAATGCAGGATGTCCTTTGCATGGAAATACCACTAGTACTGACGGTATCTCGGCTAACGATGCGTGCTGCCACTGTACTGCTGCCACTGATGTTGTTGCTACTGAGGCCACCAATGCTACGGACGGTGGGCGGAAGTGATTCATTCAATGGAATCTTGTACCGCGATATCGGTGCCGTTACAGTTTAAACCTTCGTTATTTGGATGAAGCGTATCATCATGATTTTGAAAATTAAACTTCAAAAATAAACGATCTATCTCGCCCAGTTTGGGTATGCATATGTTTTCAAGACTAATTTTCGGTATTGCAGTGACAGCATGCATCCCATGCTCGAATGCCATCCGTACCTTTTACCATTCCCTCATTCCGACATCCCTTGGTGTCATTTTCCTCGTACCTATGAAGATTTCGAACGGGTATTATAAGCAACGCGGAGTACGTTTTAACGACTACAAAACAAAACATCAGTACATCAAGATGGGAACAAACTCACCATGCACAATTGTCAGTATACCTATCCCGCCAGCCGGAGACTAGTTCACAACCGGTGGAAGTGCCAGAACTTCCGCTGGATGCAATATTATCTTCTTCTTCGTCCGACGATGTAAGGATCCAGCCATCTTCATCGACTATCCAATTATCTTCGTCTTCGTCCGAGGATGCAAGAACCCCTTCGCTCTCGTCTACCGAATTATCTTCTTCTTCGTCCGAAGCACACGTATTATCAAAACAAATGTCAAACACCATATTTTCCCCATCGCTTCGAATATTTTTTATTATGATTCCAGTCTCCAACAGTGTACCATTCTGATACGATGCAGTATTTGGAAAGTTGTCGACGGATGAATCAAGACTGGTGACGCCTCCTTCGTGAAAGACATCCCCAGCATCGCCAGGGTTCAAGCCCTTTTCCAAATGGTATGTTCCATCAGCACCTAGTAAGGCAACCATATAGTGCTTGTTGTTCTTGGGCCAGCCCGGTTGCCCAGGATATCCTTCTTCACGGTTATTATCCTTGAGAGTGTCAATGTGCCAAATCAATAATCCAGTCTATACGATTGAAAGTGCACCCATTATGTGAGTGAGTTGGATTTGGAAGCGGAAGCAGCAGCGCAAATCCGCACAGCAGTGCACTCTAGGAAAATCTTACCTCACTTATCAATTTATCATACCCCTCTCTTTGACGATTTTCAATGATCAAATATTCGCCAACCGGAAATCCCTTAAGGATCGTGTAATAGTCGTGAGTTCCATATGAAGGTGTCACGACCACTCCATTTTGTGGTTCCATCAATTCCGTAAAGGTCGCCCAACCAAGCTGACCTTTGGAAAATGGATCGAGAAATGGTGGGTCTATTTGGCAGCATTTTCATGTACGAGTAGCGCAATTGTGTTAGTGAATGGAGAATGATTCATTCAATAGAACAAAAAATCAAAGGCTTCATTTTGGAAAGCCTTACATTTTTGAGACCTGTCAAATCCCCACGCATTGGCCATCAGACTCCAGTATCCGATGCCAGCTCCAATCTCATTGTCGTAAAGATCGACCAGCCCCTGCGTCGATCCAACAAAATATGTAATGAGTGCATTTCAGCAAACCGGAGCAAGATTCCAATAGTGTTTTTGAACTTACCAAAAAGTGTGCCGTTTCGTGTGCAATCACTCCAACACGGCCAATCTCGTTACCGTAGTAGCCCCAGAGTGCTGGTGAAATATGAAACGCGTGAACCTTGATTCCTTCTCCACTAGTCCATTCCATCTTGACCCGTTCACCATTCTCTTTCTTGTATAATTTCCATTTGTGTGACCAGATCCAGTTCATATTGTCGGTATGCTCGGCACCGTATCCCGAGTGCAAAAAGGCAATGGAGTCAATGTAGCCATCACCGTTGGGATCGAAGTCGGTAAAGTTAACGGTTGGATCCACTTTGGAAAGAGCATTGTGCAAGCATTCATGTAAGACATAACCCAAACCACCAACGTTATCGGCGCAGTAAGCTTCGGTATATTTGTCATCGAGAGTCACCCAATTTGTAACAGTAGAATGAATTTCAAACTGGCCGTTCCTAATATATATATATATATATAGAGAGAGAGAGAGAGAGACAAGAGACAAGAGATAGTGAGTTTGATATCCAATCATGAAATTGGTGAATCCATAATTCCTCGCGAAAGCTTACGAGTTGTCCAGGAACACTTGCTTGACTCCCTTGGTTGGAGCAATGCCCGGCAGAGCTTTTCTTGTATTCATCAAAGCCTCTAAATGTTTCGTTGTCGGCAATTTCCTCATTCCATGATCGGCAAAGCGAAAAGTCACCACTAGATTGGGTAAATATCCGGTGGTTGCGATTGGAGAAGCTTCCAGTCTTCGTTTGGATCCAGCTCCTTTGGTCACTTCATCTTTACAAAAGTCACCACATTCTTCTACAGCCTTGGCTTCTGTTCGATGAATATGCGGCGGAAGCGTATGATTCGAAATTTGGTTTGGGTCCGTAAAGATCACAGGGAAGTCCGTATTGGGAACCACATTGCCATCTTCGGTTTGGGCACAATAGTAAAAATGAGTATCATTGCTTCCAGTGCCGGTGGTGTTATGGCTCGATCGAACTACTTTTTCTCCGTGGTGGACTCGCGCATGCTCCCGGCGTCCCTCTTTTGGTTGTGCTGTAATCAAGTGGCGGTCATTAACATGTGTGGTTCCATCGACGCCACACAGTGAATATCCATCTTTATCTTCGACCCAATGATTCACATCTCCTCCCCGAACAGTCATATAACCAAGAAAGGTGCCATCGTCATCGAACAATTCAAAGGGATTGGGACTAGCAACAATGGAATTTGCCACCTGAAGGCAAGCGCTGCCAAGTATTATTAGTGTTGGCAGCAGCATGGAATTTCTTATTGTGAAACTGTTTCTTGCGCTTCGTCTAAAGGATACATCCGGTTTTGGATTTTCAACCATCCCAAAGCAACAGTGCGGGGTTACCGGTATACCGTATCTTGTCCTGAAACGTAGGATTCTACACAAGAGCTCAGTACATTTGGATCCGAGCCTAAATATATCGAAAATGACTATGGATTATATTGAAGATGCCTTTTTTTTAAAAATGACTTCGTGTCACCGCATACCTCAGAGAAGATTTTGTCGCGGTTGAAAGGTCATATTGTTGACAGAGATTCTGGTTTTTTAAAACCTCGTATTGATGCTACCCAAAGTAACGATACGTGAAAAGAGAAAGACTGCAAGCCACTCGCTTGGCGGAGAGGATCAAGTAGAGACGGAAGACTAGATTTTGGATCCAAAGTCCCAAATGACTGCATACAAGCTTAGAATAGTGATCAAGACACCGGAGAATACGCGGCAAAAATCATTTTGCTGCATATTTTCAAATTGTCGTGTTCTTGGTTAACCAAGTTTTACGCGATATATATATATATATACCGACCAGTATATATGTAAACATACGCGAAGAAGCTACGTTAAGTAATGTATTTTAAAAAAAGATATGTTTCAATAAATCCAAAAATTAAAACCCAAACAAAAGATCGGGTCATTCTATATAGAGAATCTTCAGCAATCGATATCACCGCACGCTGGGTTTTTATTGTGGACGACGATCAAAACTGCATACATGGCAGGATCCAATCTTGAGATTGCAGCATATATCATAGCATAGTATACCCGCACACGATAAGACCGATTATCGAAAGTTTGGCTTTATAAAAAATGAAGTTCTTGTCCTTGGCAGCTGTTGCTCTCGCCACATCGCACCTTGCTGAGGCCCACGATGTCCGTACTCAACCCGGCGAACGCACGAGTCATACCAAGGAGAGAGTTGGTATTCCAAAGACCAAGACAGTAGGTGCGTTGTTCTTCACAGTTTAAGTTTTTCTGTGGTGCATTCTGAGACTCAACATCATTCAGGCGCCATTGAAGATCGAGGCGAAGCTAATACGCGTGAGCATACCACGACAAGGGTTGGAACTCCAAAGACTAAGACCAAGACCGGTAAGTTATGTATGCAGCTTGATGGCTGTTCGTTTGTTTGGCCTCAATGAATCACCCATCGCTCTTTGCTATATTTGCCATCATCCTTTATTACAGCCGAACGTATTGATGACAGCCCTTCATTGATTGTGGGTGGCTCTTCAACAACTGTTGGTGAATTTCCCTACTACGGTATGTGAATGATTTTTTGATGACTCAAAAGCAAATATATTATTGTGTTGCTGATCGACAATTGATTCAACCGCGTTGCAAATTTCAGTGGACCTCGACGGTTGTGGAGGCTCGTTGATTGCTCCTGGTGTCGTTCTTACCGCGGCCCACTGTGAACCTGATCGATTCTCTTATGTCGGTAAAACTGTCATCGTCGGAGGACACAAGCGTCAGCAAGTCACTGACAGCGCTGTATCTGCTACTGTCACCAAGAGTATCTCGCACCCACTGTATAATCCAAATGACGAATCCCTTGATATAATGTAAGATTTTTTCTGATTCAGTACTTGAATTGGGAGGTTCAATCTCGTCATGCTCACTTTTTTCTTTATTTGAACAGGTTAATTCAACTTGATATCCCAGTAGTGGCAACCGGGTCCATCAGCCTTGCTTTGAATGCAAATAGCTCGTCTCCTGTAGATGGACAAATGTTGACTGTTGTTGGTAACGGGGATACTCGAGAGGACGGCAATCAGTCGGATGAACTCTTGCAAGTAGACGTCCCGGCAGTCAATACTGATGTTTGCAATGGGCCTTACGAAGGAGATATTGTAGATGAAGTCATGTTTTGTGCCGGTGGTGGAAGCCAAGATTCATGTCAAGGTAAATTCGGTTGCACTGAACAAATGGCAATGTTTGCATAAGAGATCTATTGTCCTAATGCTATGTATTATCTCTGAATGCAATAGGTGATTCTGGAGGTCCCATTGTCGTCCAGAGCGGATCTACCCACACTCAAGTCGGTGTTGTATCTTGGGTAAGTACATCACCTTCTCCAATTTTAAACAATGACGCTTATTCTGACTAATTTTTGGTGGTCCGATAGGGTATAGGGTGTGCTCCGAAAGACTTCCCAGGTGTCTATGCCCGTGTCAGCAGCGCCATGAATTTTATTGCCTACGTCACATGCAATTGTTTTGGCGTGAACGATCCAAGCATTTGTAGTTCTTTGGATCGTAATGATAACTTCTCGGTAAGGTCTTGGTCCGAATTGGACTGTTATTTCAACAAGCATTTTGCTCATTTTTGATGTTGTTGTCACCATAGTGCGATCAAAATACTGGAGGCAGCTTTTCTGGCGGCAATTTCACTGAACCTGATTGCGAGCTCATCCCTGGATGGGCCGACGAGTAAGATTCTCAGTAAAATTCCGGAAATTCTTGTTTGCTACTCGTCGTTCGCTAACTTGTCGTATTGTCTCTCCCTTGTCAATAGGGATAATTATGGTTGTGCCTGGTACGAGGAGCAGGAACTTGATGAAAATGTAAGGGCTTGCGAACAGTATGCCAACATAACAGATAGCAATGGCGATACACCCGTCGATGCTTGCTGTGTGTGCAACTACATGCAAAGCTCTGGGTCGTCTAATGGTACCAATGGCTCTGGCGCTGAACCTCCTTGCGAGCTCATCCCTGGATGGGCCGACGAGTAAGATTCTTAGTGTAATTCCGAAATTCTTGTTTGCTACTCGTCGTTCGCTAACTTGTCGTATTGTCTCTCCCATTGTCAAAAGGGATAATTATGGTTGTGCCTGGTACGAGGAGCAGGAACTTGATGAAAATGTAAGGGTTTGCGAACAGTATGCCAACATAACAGATAGCAATGGCGATACACCCGTCGATGCTTGCTGTGTATGCGACTACCTGCAAAGCTCTGGGTCGTCTGGTGGTACCAATGGCACTGGCGCTGAACCTCCTTGCGAGCTCATCGCTGGATGGGCCGACGAGTAAGATTCTTAGTGTAATTCCGAAATTCTTGTTTGCTATTCGTCGATCGCTAACTTGAGTATTGTCTCTCCCACTGTCAAAAGGGATAATTATGGTTGTGCCTGGTACGAGGAGCAGGAACTTGATGAAAATGTAAGGGCTTGCGAACAGTATGCCAACATAACAGATAGCAATGGCGATACACCCGTCGATGCTTGCTGTGTGTGCAACTACATGCAAAGCTCTGGGTCGTCTGGTGGTACCAATGGCTCTGGCGCTGAACCTCCTTGCGAGCTCATCCCTGGATGGGCCGACGAGTAAGATTCTTAGTGTAATTCCGAAATTCTTGTTTGCTACTCGTCGATCGCTAACTTGTCGTATTGTCTCTCCCATTGTCAATAGGGATAATTATGGTTGTGCCTGGTACGAGGAGCAGGAACTTGATGAAAATGTAAGGGCTTGCGAACAGTATGCCAACATAACAGATAGCAATGGCGATACACCCGTCGATGCTTGCTGTGTGTGCAACTACATGCAAAGCTCTGGGTCGTCTGGTGGTACCAATGGCACTGGCGCTGAACCTCCTTGCGAGCTCATCGCTGGATGGGCCGACGAGTAAGATTCTCAGTATAATTCCGAAATTCTTGTTTGCTACTCGTCGATCGCTAACTTGTCGTATTGTCTCTCCCATTGTCAAAAGGGATAATTATGGTTGTGCCTGGTACGAGGAGCAGGAACTTGATGAGAATGTAAGGGCTTGCGAACAGTATGCCAACATAACAGATAGCAATGGCAATACACCTTTCGATGCTTGCTGTGTGTGCGACTACCTGCAAAGCTCTGGGTCGTCTGGTGGTACCAATGGCACTGGCGCTGAACCTCCTTGTGAAAACATTCCTGGATGGACCGATGTGTAAGTTACACAACCCCCTTGGGATACAGTTTCTTTCCATTTTGGTTTGCTAACTTGGCGCACTTCCCTCCAATCGTCTCAAGTACTGGTGATGGTTGCGAATGGTATGAATACTGGGAATTGGAAGAAAATGAACCGGTTTGTGAGGATTATTCTGATGGCACAGATGCTAATGGCATATCACCCATCGATGCCTGCTGCGTTTGCGACTATATGGTCAGCTAAGTCACTCAATACAATCAATGGAATGCATAGCTTTATAGTATTTACTGCAGTAGTAATCCAAATCCAGAAAACAAACTTGATGTCGAGCATAAAACAACATAAAAGCGCTAATTCTGGACTTGTTTAGACATTTTCTGGATATAGAATATGCGATCTTTTTTTGTAGATATACCGCGTACCGATACCGGTACGTAATATAATAATGATGACTGCATGCGGAGTGGAAAAAACCATCTTACATTGAATCAATCTTCCTCATAGCCTTTGAATATAGTCTTGATCATCATTTTCACTGTTGTTACCCAGGCAAGCGATGAAGCTGCAGTTTGCCTTAGCAGTAATTGTCGCTGTTGTGTCAGAAAATCTCTCAGATGCCCATGACGTTGGCGAACACCACAATGCTGCTGAACAAAATCAGCAACCCAACAAGCCACAACAACCCCGTGAGCATCATCCGGAAACAAATATGCATCCCAAAAAGTGTAGGTCCTGAGGATACTATTTCTGTGTACTCAAAACGGAACTCTCTGAACATTATTTCCTCATCCATAACAGTCTACACTGACACTCGAGGCAAGCCTGATAAACGGGAACACACCAAGACCCGCACTAGCGCGACAAATACAAGAGCTGATCCAGATACCAATGAAATTCGAGGCAAACGCGATGACACCAAGACAAGAACAGGAACCAAGACGGGTAAGTTGAGTGCTACTATGATATTTCTATCAGTGGCCTGATGGAAAACCAATCCTTCATGTTCATTCATCACAGCGGAACATCAGAGCAAGGCACGTGCGCATGCTGCCCGAGTTGATGATGGGCCTTCTATGATTGTTGGTGGAAACCAAGCTGATGTCGCAGAATATCCGTATTATGGTGAGTTTTTTACGAGAAGCCATTAAACAAAAGGCTAAGATACAAATGGGATGTTCTCAAAAGTCCTTTAATTATTCGATAGTTGATATGGATGGATGTGGAGCTAGTTTGATTGCTCCTGGAGTTGTTCTCAGCGCTGCTCATTGCGATCCGGATGACTTCACGCATGTTGGCCAGACAGTGATTGTTGGAGGGTACGATCGTCAACAAGTCACGAATGGTGCTGTTAGAGCCACTGTCACAGAGACGCTGATGCACCCTTCTTGGGATCCTTGGGGTGGAATGTCATATGATTTCATGTGAGTTGTCAAATTCGATTGGAACGTTCTGGTGTATTGACTGAACTGACATAGATTGCTCGAAATCAATCCAGGTTATTGAAACTAGACAGCCCAGTGACGACATCGGGATCCGTCAAGCTCTCTTTGAACTCGGAAAGCACGGTTCCATCCAGTGGACAACCATTGACCGTAGTGGGGAACGGCGACACAGAAGAGGATGGGATTCAATCCGATGTTCTTCTGGAAGCTGAAGTACCTGCCATCAGCACTGTTACATGCAACGGTCCATATGATGGGGAGATCGTGGACGAGGTAATGTTTTGCGCTGGTGGCAATGGTAAAGATACTTGCCAAGGAGACTCTGGCGGTCCAATTGTGGTCAGAAATGGCAATATCCACACCCAAGTTGGAGTGACCTCTTGGGGCCATGGCTGCAATAGACCTGGAATCCCAGCCGTCTATGCTCGTGTTAGCAGCGTGATGAACTGGATTGCACATGTCACCTGCACATGCTGGGGCGTCAATGATGAAACCATTTGTAGTTTCTTGGATTCTAATGACGACTTTACGGTAAGTCTTTCCCGAAACATGAAGTGCAAATGACTGCAATGTGCAACTGCATTGGTTCTCAATATGACATTTGTGTTTGGCAGTGCGAAGATGTCGAAAGTGCTGGTGGTGGAATTGGAGGAGGCAGCGGTCCTGGCGGCTGTGAAGTCATTTCTGGATGGACCGACGACTACGGCGACGGCTGTCATTGTGAGTAGTCTACATTAGCTGGCTTCGGCATCGCAAAAACTTAAATTCTCTCACACATTTTATTTCTTCTTCAGGGTATGAGGTGGGTGAAGCATTTGGTCCGGTCTAGAAGTACATTCCTCGGCACTGTTGATGAAACGATTAGTTGTACTGACATGCTTTCTTTCGTTCTGTTTTGTTGACAGGCCAATGATGTAGAAGGGTGTCCCGAAACTGGAAACTTGATTGGAATTGGAGATAAAACTGCTTGGGACGCCTGCTGTCATTGTGAGGGTGGGGGGCCTAGCGGGGGCAGTGGTGGAAGTGACACCGCGGGCTGTCAGCTTATTTCTGGATGGGTCGACAGCGCTGACGATTCTTGCGGGTGTGCGTATCCTATCTTCGAGACTGTCTAGTAGGAATGAAATGCTCGTTTTCTCATCATTTACTTCTCTTTCTTCAGGGTACGAGGCAAACGACGGAACTGGTACGTTACAGCGACTCTTTCACCACTTTGCTTTTCATGCATGAACAACCTCTAACAAAAGTTCGTTTCCTTTTTTGCGTACAGGTTGTCCAAACTTTGGCTATATTGCTGGAACCGGCGGCCATACGGCATGGCAGGCATGTTGTCACTGTGAGGGTGGTGTAAGCGATGTCAACCCAGGTTGTCAACTTGTTGCTGATTGGACTGATGCAGCAGGCGACTCGTGTGGTTGTGAGTCTTCCTGTTTCTGATTGCCTGCTGTCCAAACTATTCCTATTCTCACAAAGCACATATACATTATTTTCATTCTCTATTAGGGTACGAGGAAAATGACAGTGAGGGCTGCCCGCTTTACGGTAACACTATGGGCACTGATGGAGTCTTGGCGTGGAGTGCATGCTGCCACTGCGAGGGCGGCGGCGCCGACTTCTTTGGATGCCAGCTAATTTCGGGATGGATCGATGAATACCAGACATCTTGTGGTTGGGTAAGCTATTCATCGTTGACTTACGAAGCTATTGCTTGAATAAGTGGCTCACACCCTGCTGGTGCCTTGCTTGCTTGATTGCAGTATGAGACGAATGAAACTGCGGGCTGTCCATTCGAGGGGGATGTCGTGGGTACAGGTGGAGCGACCGCCAACGAAGCGTGTTGTTTTTGCGCTGGAACGGATGGCGATGGCCAAGGCAACGATGGTGTCGTGAATGTCATTTCCGACCCGGTTACTAGTGGAAATAACAACAGCACTACTAGCAGCGGCAATGCATTAGTTGTTTCCATTGCAACTGGATTAGCATCTCTGCTGTTGCTTCTTGGCAGCATTGCAGGATAAGGCGCCAACCTTTCATGTCTACATACAAATGAAACATCTCATGAATGAGTTGTTATAAAAAAATCATCGGACAAAGCCACGAGGACATATAGTTGCATTGCGTATCGCATTAAAATATTATACTATGTATTTAATATTTCGTTAGTACTTGGGAACTTTAGCGACTTTTTTGTCACCAGACCTACGGTGGCGACGACGACGACAGGTAATTGTTGATGTATTCCAAAGACGCTTGAGGCGGCATTACTTGAAATCCAGGAACTCCCTTGATCTGGGTTGCCAATTGTTCAATGGCCGCTGTCAAAGAGAGTGATGCGACTTCAAAATCATCGGATGTCCCACCATCCATCTCGACGGCTTGATCGACGGCGGCGTTGCACTCTTCCAATACCATGAAAAGTGGCAAGACTGGCGCCATTTTGATATTGCCTTCCGCATCCTTCACTTCGGTTTCTTGCATGATTTCCATGCAGCAAAATAGAGGAACCGCTTGACCAATCGGGTTGGTTCCTGGTGGAGCCCCCGCTTGTTGGACGGCCTTGCCCGAGGGAATAATCACTGCTTGATCGTTGGACCACATTTCAAAGGCGGAACCTAGTGGAAAGGGAATCAAATCCATTTCCTCAGCCTTTTCCTTGTTGCTGTCCCTGACTTTTTTCAATTCCGTCTTGGCATCTTCGACGTCGACATAGAAAAAGGGAACTTGAAAGGTAATGGGTTCGGCGTCTTCGTCTTCGTCTTGCGTCTTTTTGACCGTAATCGAATAGGCAACGGGTTTGCCTTCCTTGTTGGCCACACAGAAAATGGGAACCGCGTCCAAATCCTTTTTGATAATCTTCCAACTTTCGGAATCAAAGAGTTCCACTGCCGTCTCTGGTGGTTTGCTACTGTCGCTATCGGAAGCTTGATGCAACGAAGTAGAAGACTTTTGGAATAGTAATGATGATGATGATTTTGATGATGATGGTGGCGTCACAAGAGCAGAGGTTTCTTCTAAGAAAAGGCACAAGGCAATTGTGGATAGAATAATGGATAGTAATGTTCTTGACCGATTCATCATCGCAATCTTCTAATCTTGAATTGTATTGTTTTTTTTTATATTGGAGGAGATGGTTTGATGAACATCAGTACCTGGTACTGTACTGTCGATTTTTTATTTTTCGTTGATGTCACTTTCTGTTTGATGGCTTTCTGTTTCTGATCTCCACGTGGAATACGGGTATGATACATACAGTACCTTCCCGTGATGAGGGGGAAATACCAGTACTTGATACTTGCACCCAAATAGATCGGAGGACAGACACTCAAAATATTTCGCCGATATGCCATTTTTATAGCAGAGCGGTGTTTTTTAGTTAACGCATGAGAATTCCTTATTTCTGGAATTAGCAGGCAAAACCGAAGCACACAGGACTGCTTCATTGCAGCAACACCACAATATATTCAGGAAATTATCAGACAAAAAGCAATAACATTTCAGTGTGTATGTGTGAGAATGATTGATCATAGTCACTCTTACAGCAACGAAGAGAATAGTGATCAACAAGTAGAAAAGCAAACACAACAACAAACGCATCAGCAGCAACATAAACAACATAAACAACAACACGAACAGAATATAATTGAAAACATGACCGAGACCTTCAAACAAGCCACTCGCATCAGTGGAATCACGGCTCCAATCACAATAGTAGGAGAAGAAGATGAACAATCCTTTACGGGTGGGACTGCTGTCAAAGTTTCATCATCAGTTAGTGTGGATGGTGATAATGATGATGACAATGGTGACCTGATAAGAAACCACAGAAGCGATGCCAGCAGTAATTCCAGCAGCAGCAGCAGCAGCAGCAGTGGTGTTGACAGTCAATTAGATAGTGATGACGAGGAATCGTACAATTCGGAATCGACACGATCCTGTACATTTTCCATCTATTGTTTAATGCATGAAGACGGAGCCTTTGAGGATGGTTCTACCGGGGACGATGATTGCTCTTCTATATCGACTGTGTCCAATTTTGTGCGAGAAAAGGAAGACGAAGAGGCTTATTACAACAACTTGGACGATTCCTTTACCTACGCTAGCTGCAGTGATAGTGATGCTGATGATGAGGACAGTGAGAATGACTGTGACGTTGTGGAAGTTTTGAAATCCCAAACAGAGAAATCAAAAGCTGCAGCTAAAGATGGCGAACGAGCAGTCTTTGACGATGAAAATGTTAGCAAGGATAACAGCGATTTCACTTCCGACGACGACGATAATGATGATGATGATGATGATGATGATGACGACTACTATGATGAATCCTATGATGAGGATTTGGACGAGGATGAGGACAAGGAGGGCGATCAAGAATTATACGATGATGAATACGGAGATGAATATGGGAATGATCAGGAGGAAGTAGTAGAGGAATTACTGGAAGAATCAGATCGATCACAATTGTCGCATTCCTCTTCTGGGCCCGCCTCGGACATTGTTTTTGAAAAGAACAAGAGAATATTTTCCAATGCCAATAGCCGGCAATCGCACAGCAACCAAATGGCTTTGTTTCTGAAAAATATTGCCGAAACAAAAGCAGCCGTGGGAATTGTTGATGATGAAGAACCCGAAATTGAAGTGATTGAAGAAGAAGTTGTCGACGAAGAAGAAGACGAAACAGAAGTGGAATATGTAGACGAAACTGAAGTGGACGAGGACGACGAAGAAGACTTTGTGTATGAGGTTCTCCTGTCACCAAAAGCAAAGAATAAGGAAACCAGGCGCAATCGACTTTCCTTCCTTTCTGTCTAGAGGGGAATAATTATAGAGCTAATATAATTATACTATACAAACTGGGTATCATGTTGTAAAAAACAACACATTGCAACCTGCATTTCAGTTGCAGATATAATGACCGTCACCTCTTTGCGATGGTCTCTGTCAAAGTGCCGTGACCCATTGGGAGGTTTTTGACTCCCGGTTTAAAAAAGTGTTTCTCTTAGAGCTGATGGAAAGAAAATGTCCGACAACCAATGGAATTTCTCTTTTTCAGCAGAATTTACTTATGAGTATTCAAACATTATTGCCCCATCAACAACAGACCAAGATCACGATTACCAAACCTTCTCCTGGACGCGCGTCCCACAGACGAAGATGACTGACTGAAAGCAATAGCGGCTCTCAAGATCGTATATCACAATGTATAGAGTATTATTATTATAATAGCCTACCACCTTTTATTACAGGCCTTTGCACCAAAATCATTCACGACAACCAAGACGACGACAAGGCAAAGAAGTCTCCTCGTTCATTAGCAAGCAATAAAAATATGGCAGGTATGGACATTGTGAATGACGGCAAAGGTGATTTCATAGTTCCAACCAAGACGGGTGATGATGGAATCGGTTCCAGTTCGCGTTCGGGTGGTTCCATCTCCATGAATTCGTTTGATGAAGATGAGGAGGTCCTCCTTTCGACGAGTCAACGAAGCGGTGGCATCTTTCGCAGCAGCAATCACTCCATCAGCAGAAGCAAACGGAGTAATCGGTCGACTAGCATCACGAATCAGACGGGAAACAAAATGAGAGATTCCTTTCATTCTATGAAAGTCATGCTCACACCCAAAAAGAAGCGCCCCGCAAAGACGCATGTGATTGTATTGGACGATGATGCCTCCATGAATTCTTCCTTAAACTCGTCCGACGACGACGCCGACGACGATGAGGACGACGAAGAAGGTGATAATGACAAAGATGAATTTGCAAACGATGATGACGGAATGATGATGATGATGATGAGTGATCATGGACCGCAACCATTTAGCAACATATTTGGCCGACGAGGATCCTTGGACCCAGCTTCATTGGCACAACCACCACAGCAACCAGACTTTGGCTGTATGCAATTTGAAGCCGCCTTGGAAATGTCCATACGATCCAACGACTATTATAATGAATCCTTTTCCAATCAATCAGGCCTTACGACGGAAACGAATTCCCAAACGACGAATACTACCGCCAATACACTCTCTCAAACACCTAGTATATTATTGGAAGCGGCCCTAGGACAAATTGAAGGTACTTCCATCATTCAGAGCAAATCTGAGGAATCGAAATCGATATCCATGCATTCCGAACCAAATCACCGATGGTCTGCGGATGGTCAAGACGAAGACGGAATTAAGTCAGTGCAAACATCACGTAGACGACCAAGGCCGGGAGCCAAAAAGAAAAAGTCCTCCAGGAACATTAATGGGAGCACGCACACGAGCAGTTCGTCGAGAAAGTCCAAACCCAAGAAATCCCTTTCGGCGGCAGCGGCATCATCATCATCATCTGCTGCTGCTGGTGCTGCTGCTACCAAAAGTAGCAAGTCCACCAATGGCAAACCAAAGAAATCAGTCTCCAATGCGTCAGTCAGCACCAAAAAGAGCAAAAGTAGCTTGTCCTTCAAGGCACCCAAGAAATCGAATTCGGCTCCTTTGCAAAAGGTGGATGGTGATGATCATGACAATCGCGAAAAGGCAGCACCAGCACCAGCCCCAGTAGTGAAGATGAAAAAGGCAAAATCCAAAAAAAAGCTCATTGTGGAAGTAGGTGATGGTGATAACGCATCCACCAAGACCAAAAAGAAGAAAAAGAAAAAGAAATTGGAGGGTACTAGTACCACGAATGATGATGATAATGATGATGATGATGCCACATCCAAGGCATCGACGAAAAAGAAAAAGCGAGCCACCAGTAAGATGGATAAAAAGGACAAGAAGTCTAAAAGCAAAAGGTCATTGGTCAAACAAGGAGACAAAGAAGAGGAAACGACCGAACCAACAGTAAAGGAGGAAGGCGGGGGTGATTAAGAATGAATGGATTTGGATAGTATCGAAAGATATGCCAGAGTAGGATGATGGTGTGGACCCAATGGTCCCAGCAACACACAAGACGATTCATTCACCCGACGATCGAATTATTTTGCTGTATGGAGATTATTGTGCAACAGGCCGAAGTGGCTGCTGAAACCTATAGGCTATAAGGCTTCCCAGTCTTGCCACTCGCAAACCCTTTTGCCTCCCCGCCGAAACCAAGCGAGTCTACAAGAACTCAATTGCCACGGAGCAGATGGTTTCTGACTATGCGCTCCAACACTACGGTTACATCATGTTGAGGCTTGTGGAATGTGTGTTGTGATGGTGGATTGCTGAATGATGATGAAAGACGTGGTACTGGAGCTTGATTTCAATCCTGACAAGAATGGAAATATTCCAATATATTGCAAGAGGACCCTCCTCAATTCAACATTGTTTCCAATGCCCCATGGCTTGCATCCAATCTTGCGGCTGGGTACGGTACCAGTACATATGAGACGAAGAAATGAATGCGGAAAGGCTGAACGACCGTTCGTCTTCCGATTTGCTCTGGTTTGTTCTCTATTCTTGGGGAAACAAGACTTGTTTCTTATTCAATTAGTGAGTTATATACTGATGTGAGATTGGCCTGCGGAACCGAAGCACAAGTGTTCTAACTTTTCGTTCTAGCTTTTTTCTTCTTCTTTTTTTTTCAATATTATAATCATGATACTACTATAGCTTTGACCCAAAATCCAAGGAAGCCCTGTACACACGGAAAAAGCATTGGTAGCCGTTCGAAGTGCATGGCGTGACAATAACTACGGTTATCTTGCGCACATGTTCCAGCATCAACAAGACCATTGGAAAGATTTTGCAAAGAAAATGGAACGCCTTCGCTCGCAACGATCAGCATTCGCATCTTCATCACCATCATCAATATCTTGAATGAATCAGTTTTCGAAATTGCCTACCATGTCCTAGTATAGAGTATGATCAATAACTTCTTGTTGATTGCTGCCTGAAGGAATCATGGATATTCTGAGCAGTGATCTAGTACTATAGAAACTGCTACAGTACAGTAGCTTGCTTGCGATAGATGCCCACAGTGGTCATGTATAGATATATTACTACAGTAGTAGCTATTAATAGAGCGACTGTACCGTGGTACTATTAATAATATCATCTACCATTATATTCTGCTGCAGTAGTGCTTCTGTAAGATCTTGTTCAACCTTGGTTCAACGCCGTAAAGCTACAGTAGGCCCTTCTGTCGTCCATCCTTCATCCGTTTGACGAAGAAGCAGAATTCTCATAGTGTACGAACTGCAGGCGTGGAACCTACCAATGGGACCTGCTCCCTACTTTTATGTACCTAAACAACGTACCGGTACCGGTACTACAGTCATTGGGATATGTGTACTGGCTAGTCGGTACAGTTCGTGCGTTTTTCAGGACCACATATTCTGATCTGGGATCTTGGAGTGTACTGGAACTGTCTTGCAATATGTGCTGTTCTGTCTTGCGTTTTCCAAATATATCGCATGTCTTGAGTTCTTTATGTGCAATTGTGTATTAAACTGCCAAAAATGTCGTACCCATATGTAATTGGATCAGACTTTCCGGGGCTGCGCCATAATCACACACAAGGAGTCATTCCGATCAGCATCCCTTTCGAAAAAAGCATTCCGTTCAGAAAGGCGAAATTCGTAGTATTCCCACAATTCCCACGTTTCATTGGTTTGATGGTTGATCGGACACTATTGTCAACCACTGATCAGACAACAATACAAAGAAGACGTATACGATGAAGCATCCAACAACCTCACACAAACGAAAAACGCTGTACAAGCTATTGAATATGGGAAGCATGCAACAGCAACATCAACACCGGGGAATGAAACACTATGAATACCAAGTCTTTGGCGGGGGATCGCGAAGGATTGGCGAGGAATACGAAGAGGAAGAAACATCACAGTTTCACCATTCTTCTTCTTCTCCATCTTCTCCCGCGTCCTTTGACCGACATTCCCATATTCATTCCCACACTCATTCCCATATTCACACCACTCACACCACTCACAGTAATAGTTACAATACTTCCACCAAGACACCAGAGCTAAGCTCCACACCTAAAATGATCTCACAGATTGGTGGCCTTGGTGTCTTTGAGTTTATTGCTAGTTACTTCTCCAGATGTATTCTCGAAGATCCTCATTTGCACGAGGTTTACGGGGGAATCTCCAAAGAACAAGCCTTCTTACTCCATGTGGGATTGTTGCTGTTTTGCGTCAATGATAACTTTATCCAATGCCTCAGCGATAACTACGAAGAGGACGAAGAGGCGCTGCTCATGATTGCACGAGCACGGGAGAATCCAGGCTTGCAAGAGCAAGTTCGCTTGGGGTTGATGAACGAACCCATGTACTTCAATCGCGTATTTCATCATTTGATGGAGGCTCTGTCCGTCTGTCTCTGCCGCAAGAGCGTCCTCTTGTTGCTTTCCCGATTGGCCATGGTGCGAAACATTCTCCAAGTCTTGCACAGGGATCAAATGAATTACAATTTGGCCACCATTCGGGAACACGAAATCTTGAGCGAACGCAGTGAATCTTCTTCCTCTTCTTCATCCACTTGGTCTTTTGCGTACCAGAGATCCAAGGGTGCCACCAATGAATAGAGGAGGTCGGGTTGCTTTGTTTGTTTTGCTTTGCTTTTTAACTTGACTTGCTTGGATTGAAACACATATATTTTTTGAATGGAATGGAATGCGCAGGATGGGAGAAGCCATATAATACTACTTACTTTACTACACATACTACGATTATACAATAGAATGAATCAATCAATCAATATAATAATAATAATAATAATTCAATGTAACATCTTGAATACCGTATAGGACTAAGAAACACTGTTTAGAAAGTGAAAATACCTACTTATTAATATCTAATGTATTACTAACGCTAGATTTTACTGGTAGATGAATTGTTGTGCTGCAAGACTAAATAGGCCTAAACACTACAATACGCTTGCTTTTATACATCATTGTTGTGCTGCAATAATGCCCTCTATTTTAAAAATAGGCTTTTCAAAAGTTTTTAAAAAATACACTCACTAGAGGACATTCAGTAAAGTCTCGTCAAGAAGGAAGAATGCTCCCATGCATCCCATCCCAGCCAACAGTATAGCAGCAACAAATATACTACTCTATATAACTAACTCTACTGGAAAAAAAATTTCTTGAGAAACTGAATCGGTTTCAAAATCAGCTTGGAGGTCCAATGATAGAGATAGCGGTAAATGATCATTGTCATTCTCTTCAATTCTTCATTCCATGCCTTGTTCCACAAGAGATGTGATGGTTTCGGCTTTGCATCGTCACCGCCCTGGTTTGGAACTTCCACAGTATTACGATCAGTACTAGCAGTACTGTGAAGTGACGGAAATAGGTTAGCGGGTGTCAGCGTGTCCGGCAGCACAGGTTTGCTGCCACTTGGACGACTCTTATTCGTCAGTGATGATGTCTTGGCAGTAAAGGATACCGTGGGTTTTGCATTTGCATTTGCAATGGTGGTAGTGGTAGTGGTGGTAGTGGTAGTAGTGGTAGTAGTAGCAGCAGTGCTGCTGCGACTTTGGCGTTGTGCTTCCACCACCTCGCCCAATGGCTTGGTTTCTACCGATTGGTGAACAGCGTCTGTTGCTGTCTCTGGAACCCTCCTCCTCCTTTCGACCAAGGACGTTACCTCGTTTGGTAAAACAGCGTCCAACAATTCCACCTTGGTAGCAGTAGTTTCCACTGATACCATCCCAGTCTCCTCAGCACTACTAGTAGTAGTAGTAGTAGTAGTAGTAGTAAAATACTGCTGACGAAGAACCCCAATGCAAATGGCGGACAATCCAACGACGACTGCCCCCCTCATGACCAATCTCAATCGTTTCTGATACAATTCTTGCTCCTTGGCACCATAGGGTCCACGACCCGAGGCCACGACGGCCATGGTTCGTTTGTGTATTTGCAAATATTCTTCCACTGACAATACCTTGTTATTTGGTCGAAACAACTTTATTTCCCATTGCATTTGTTGTTGTTGTTGTTGTTGTTGTTGATCGGCCACGATATTGTTACGCTTTCGTCGTCGATCCTTTCGTGATGTCTTGGCCAAACCCATTTGCTGTCGAATCCGTTGCTTGTCGACCCAATCGGCTGTAATAGATGTTTCAATCGCCCAAGTTGGTGACGGTTGTAGCATGCGGATATTATGAGCCGATGGCGCAGCAGCATCGAATAGTTCCTGTTGGTAATACCAAGATGCCAATTCCATTAAACAGGTTGGCGGATAATGTTGCATGTATCCCAATGCCGTTTCAATCAATACTTGAAATGGTACTCGTTCTTGAGAAGAGTGTGTCGTCGTCCCATGCTTGTCCCCCACGACCAGTGCCCCATCATTGGCGGCAGCAGCAGGAGCAGTTGTAGAGCTAGCAACGGACGGCGTTGGTGTCAAAGATGTCGAAGTGGTAGCAGTGGTATGCGAGTGCCCCAGTGCATCGTCCGATGCTGCCACACTGCCATCCCATTGTTCGGAAACAAGTTCGTCGTCGTCGTCATCATCATCATCCTCTTCTTCTTCGTCGTCGTCGTCGTCGTCGTCTTCACTTTCTTCAATAACGTCGGCACTAATGTACCCTCCCCCTTGACGAGCCTTTTTCCAACCCACCGTGGAGGAATGTCGTGGCAACATGCTCAGCGTATGATGCAAGGCGGCAAAATCACAATCCGTTTCGAGTAGAATTTGTCGATTGAACGGATGAATCATCATGGCCAGACTCAGATAGACGACCAACAGTGGATGACTGACCAAAAAGGCATCAAAGAGACGCTTGACCAGATTGGTGTCCCGAATGTCATGGGAAAACCAGGTAATGATCCACGACAAACAAAAAAAGGGTTCCATGTCACAATCTTTCAAATGATTGTGCAATTGTGGATCCAGTTTGGCCAAGAGTGGAAATATCGTCCAATGGAGACATTGTTGCAAACCTTGAAAGGACGACGAACAGGAATCTTTCAAATGAAAGAGACTGACTTGTTGCAAGACCCGTGCTGGCAAGTCGACACCCAAGGGATCTTGATCATTCCCATCATTCCCCAGTGCGTGTAAAAAGATGCAAGCAACATCGTGATATCCCTGATAATACCTCAGTTCGGAATAATCCTGCTGCTGCTGCTGCTGTTGTTGACCACTGAGTGTCAAATTGATGAGATTGGCCAGTCGTTTTTGTTTCTTTTTGAGCAAGGAGGCCACCTTTTTGCGATGCTTGTTTTCATGTTGGAGTCGACGACTTCGTTGGGTTCCCGTCAATAAATGCCACGTACATCGTGCAACGTCTCGTTCAATTTGTTCTTGATCCATGCAAGCGGGAACATGGAGTGGAAACAAGACTTGGGGAGTATTATCATTGTTATTATTATCGTCATCATGATTGGCACGCTGATGATCTGTTGTAGTCTCGCCTTCCTTTTGTTGTGCTTGTTGTTGTTCTTGTTCCAAGACCGAGGCATCAATTTCAAATTGAGGAGCATTGCCTGCCATTGCCGTTGCTGATTTGGTAGTACTTGATGGCGGTGACAAAATCGATTCATCCTCGACGGAATTCTCGTCAATGGTTTCCGACCGAGACACCCCTCCTGTCTGAGGAGATGTCTTGTTGTTGTGCTGGTTTCGTTTTGGACTCTTTGTATTACTTGCTTCAATCTCCAGTTTGGAATAAACAGAAAGTCCTACTAGTTTGGGCCACGCTCGTTTGCGCAGCGTATCATTGACCAATCCACCTTCGGACAAGCAAAGTTCACGGAGTTTCCACAGATCAACCTGTGGTTGAAGCAAGAGTAAATTGATCGTCTCGGCCTTTTTGTTCAAATCTATAGACTTGGTGGAAGATGATGATTTGGGTGGTTGGAGGGACCATGCTTTTGGCTCATTCTGCCGTCGCTTACGACGCTTCGATGTCAACAACTTCATGTGGAGCTACAATAAGCTTCGTGGAAGAGGAATAACACAATAATATACAAGATTCCTTCCATTTTGCGAGTATATTTTCCGATTTTGGATTTTCAATTTGCCACGCACGACACGTTTCATAAAAAAAATTCAATCTTTTCAGCTAAACAAATCGCACTTCAACGGTTTTATCCGGGATTCTTCCGCGCAAGAGACTCCAAGATGCGACAAATTGTACGACAAGCGTTTCTCTAGATAAACCTCCAACGAACACCGTAGAAGGTGACCATCACACACAATTTCGAAATTCTCCAAGTCGTGGTGCGTCTGAGTTGGTTGACACGATACCTACAATACCTTTCGGAACAGTCTCTTGAATTTGGGAAAAAGAACATAAAACCAGAATCCCGTAGAATTTTATACAAAATATTCAGCAATCTGAAATCGGCACAATAACTACCTCCAACATCATGTACGAATACCAACAACCATACCCTCCGCAACAACAACAGCAACAGCAACAGCAACAGCAACAACAGCTAGTACCTCACTACGGAACAAGCTACGATCCCTTTCAAGCGAATCAGAATCAACAATACTCGCAGCAACAACAACAACAACAACAACAACAACAAGCTCCACCCGCGTACAATCCTTCCTATTACTATTCGCCCCCGTCAGCCGCACCAACCGCTCCTACGAATGATGCAGTTCCTACTCAAGTTAATGCAAGATCCAATTTTGCTTCTGATCCGTCCCTGGTGACCATGCCTAGTATGGATAACATTGGTGCTGCTGCTGCTGCTGCTGAAGTAGACAGCAACAACAGCAACAATAATGCTGTAGATAATGATGACGATGACGATGACCTCAAGGAAATTATCAAGTCGCAACAATTGGCGTGGCAGAATGCTCAGAAACGCAATGTCACACAACAGGAAAGCGCAATGACCACGTACAATCCCGAGTCCAACATCCCTGTACCTCGTTCCAGAAACCCCAATGGTTCGGACAGCGTCCATCCCAACAAGAGACAAATGAAGGAAGGTCGCAAGGTCACCACGGCCGCCGCCGCTACCAGCGGGGCTCTGGTCGGCGCCATTGTCACGGGACCGGCCTTTCCCGTCGGTGCCCTGATTGGAGGCGTCGTGGGTGGATACTCCGCCAACAAGATTCACAAACAAGGCGAACGACGGGCCCAACGCAAATGGGAACAATCCAATTTCCAATTGGGGACCAACAAGGCTCCCATCTTTTCCAACAAGGGAACTGCAACAGTTCATACCATTGTTTAAAAAAGATGAACAAAACAAACAAACAAACAAGCTGAACAGTATGCTGCTGCTGATACATATATATAATCATGAGGATGGTTTTGGTTCCTCATCATTGTGTTTCTTCAGTGCCATACTATTCAAAATACACTTTCATATTATACACATTACATAAAAATATTGGCTATTTTCTAAGAAAAAATAACACTTGCTGCACATCAAGTAGCTCCAGCACACTTCACCTTGGTGTCCAGATATATGCATCATGACCACCACCAGCACCATCATCATGATCATCATCACGCTGGCACATGAGCCCGAACAACATGCTGGATCCTAGTAATAATACATCAAGACTGCCTACTGCTACAGTATAGGGTGCTTGTTGATCAGAAACTGATACAAAGAAGAGTGCTCCGTTTGTCTCGTTTTACTTGCTTGGTTGCTTTCTTGCTTGGTTGCTTGCTGGCTTGAGAGGTGTATCAGGTATCTACATCGCGATTGAAACTACAGTAGTACTATTGATACAGTACCTGGTATAAAATATATTATGATTGGATGAGGGGAGAAAAAAGTAGAAGCGTATCGACAACACGAATGAAAATGAATATCATGTAAGAGTCTTATTGCGATCGCACCATGTACAATATCCAGGTGGCTGCAATACTGTATCGTAGTATCTGTTACTTCTGGAAGAAATTCTTTTTTAAACATTAAAAAATATGTAAAATAAATATATATATAAAATAGGATGTGGTATATTGTTCTAGGAGGATAGTAGTAGTATACATGATGATAGTACAGTTACAATGTGTGTTTGTCCTTGATCCACTCGTCAGCACCTGCCTGGTTCAACGTAGTCAGCTGTTGGGGACTGACTCGGCGTGTATGGTTCCTTGGGCGACTGATGATTGATTCGGACTCGTCGATAACTTCTTCGGGGTTGGTGCATTCTTCTTCCTCTTCTACTTATTCTGCTGGTGGTTCGTAGTCCGTGGGGACTCGGCGGGGCAATTTGGGGGAAGTAATATTTGGACTTTTCGATCGCTTCTTGTTCTTCCTGCCGTGTTTGTTGTTGTTGTTGGTGGTGGTGGTGGTGGTGGTGGAGATCTGCACTCCTGCTGCTGCTTTGCCAAGAGAGATTTGCACCATTCCTCCACAATCACTGGGGGATCGTTTGGGAGCCACCAATGGTGAATCATCACTCAGTTTCCTAGCAGGAGGAGGATTTGGTACTACATCCTCGTCGTGGTCAGGGATTTCAACTGGTTCGTGTTCACTGGGGAGTCGCTTTGGAGCTACCAGTGGTGAGACTTTCAGCCTTCTGGAAGAGGATCGTTTGACCTCACTGCCATCATCATCATCATCATCATTGGCTACTTCGCCCTCAGCAGCTTCATGATCGGTTGGTGATCGTTTCGGAGCAATCATGAGCAGAGAGTCATTTGGATTGCACGGTATCTCCTTGTTGAAGCCCATACTTGCAGCCCACATACTGGCGGCATCTACATTGCCGCTTAGGCGACGTACTGGAGCGGACAATACCGACGACGAACAAGAATCGGATCGCTTCAATCCGTCTAGATTCTGAGATGCTGTTCGCAGCACACCCGAATCATCTATTGATGTGGTAGAGGAGCCCCATCGGGAATGACTCACATTATCGTAGTGATGATCCTCGCTGCCGTGAGATGTGTCATCGACGTCCGTGGTTCTATTCTGAACAACTTGATTGAATTCCGGAGATTCAGTAGATTCGTTAATGTATGGGAAGTTTGGTGCTATTCCTCGAATCAAACTTGCTCGTCTTGCCGTAGGCATAGCATTAGTTGCGTCTCCATTGACTCCATCTGCCCAACGCTGACTTTGTAGCTGTTCACTACAGGAACCTTCGCTACAACTATCTTGGTCAACGTCCCAATAGCTGATGGTTATGGAGGACACTGGTCTGCCAGCACGATGTGACAATGAATGAACACTTACACTTTCTTCGTTGCTTTCAATGTCTTTCATGACGCCTGGTTGGATTCGATCACCTTTTGTTGGCTCGCCTATCGTTTCTGGTCTCTTTTCCTCTTCCTCTTTTCCTCCTTCACGAATAATGCTTCGATGCGCTGATCTGACCCGTTCACCAAAGACAGATCGCCGAAAAGTCCACATCTTTGTCTCCAATGGAAAGTCCTCTCGGTTCTTTAGGTACTTTGGTCTAATGTAGACCAACATGTTTGTGAATCCTTGGAGGGGCGAAAAGAAAGCATTGATGGCCATGATACGGTACATGGTTTGCATGAGTTGTGGTTCATCTTCTTCCTGGGTGATGGCTTCCACTATACCCAAACTTCCTACCCAGACATTGCAGAGGACATACGATCCCACAAATAAGAAGGCTTGGGAGCTTACAAGTCTCAATCTTTGTAGTTGATGCTTGCTCATTATCTTCGTTGCTTCTTCACTAGCCTTCTTATTATGACCAGATCCTTCGATACCGTCCGAGGAGGATAATGTATTGGCAGTCATGGTTCGTGATAGCGAAAGTGACTTGGTGGTGGTGGTCGTGGCGGCGGTGGTGGTGGGTGCACTTTGTGACCATACATAGAATCCAATGACCAAGTTGTTGATGAGGATGGAAAGCCCGGAGAATAGCAGCGGGAAACCAAGGAATATCCATCCAATGAGACCAGAGGTACAGGGTTCTTGATCTGGCTCATCTCCACACCCGTGTGGATATTCGTTGACCTTTTCAGGAGAACGAGTGGGAGAAAGGTCAGCTACGAGAGATTTCAGTGTGTTTCTAAATATACGCAATATAATATAGCGGACTTACCCAACATCCCATGCCAGTTGCTTTCTCACCGTACATTTCGTACAATGCACCCACAATCGCTGTGACCAAGGGAAATCCAATGGACATAAAGTGCATCCAGGGCTCCAACAGTCTCGCTATCCTCGAGTGTTTCATTCGAAATCGAACAGTTGCCATGAAGTAGTAGCTCAGAGCGGCGTTATACCACACATTTGCATACGAGAATTGAGTCATGGTACCAATCGCTGCACATGTGGCATCCGTTCCAATTGCCCACACTCGTCCACTTTCAGGCCGACGCAAAAAGGCAGCAAAAGCGAGCGAGACACTGGATATGATATCACAAATGCTCAGCCCGATCAAAAGCCGAGTATAGGTTGTCCACTGCCGTTGACGCCTTGTCGAAACGCCCATGTAAATAATGACAGAACTTCCAAAGATGCTAAGAATTGCGCTTGGAATGGGCAATATTGAAAGAACTTTATCTTGAGCAATGGTAATACCTTCATGTTGCGCCTGTTGCATGGTTCCTATGGCTTGATCATTCATAATTCAGAGCGAGAGTGTACCGGTATACTTTTGGATGGATGCAAAATTGTGTTTTGAGAGAGAGAGCTCTTGCTCAGAAACGCCATAATAGTTTTACGAAAGTTTTACGATTCCGATGTGACAAATAATGCCGCGTTTTAATTTCCCTCTATATTTTTATATATGGTTGTACTGGAATCTTTGTGTCAATTTGACCGAGATCAGCCACGTTATAATAGTACGATGTGTGTCTTAGATCGGTCTCTATTCTTTACTGGAAAAGTGTGCTATTTTCTGTGGTCAGAACATTTCTGGTGGTATGAACAAAATACCTGCGCTAATTCGGTTTCAAATTATCAGATTGTGATTTGGTGGTCCATGATGGTGGGTGGTCGTGCCAAATCGAAAGGGGGAATGGATTGTTTTGTGTTTTGGAAACCTTTCGATGGAACTTCTTCGAACACACCGTGGACTGACAGACTTATTAACTAACTATCTGACTATCTGACTCATTCACTCATTTCACATTACGCACCATACTGTACCAATACCGGTACCGTACATAAACCGCCATCCCAACAGGAACGACCACAACAAAACGATAAAGTTGTTCTGTTGTTGTCTATCTGCCTATCCATCAATTTTCAACTTCAGAATGAGACAGAGTACTCTAGTGATTGGGATTCCAGTTCTCGTCGCCGCTTCAGCAATTCTCGTTTCAGCTGCCATGGCATCCAATACTTGCGATTCCACCGATGAAACCATGACGGCAATATCCTATTCCGAGCATGGACCAGCCGACGAAGTTTTGACTTTGAAGAGTGATTACCCAAAGCCAGTTCCTGGAAAGAATCAAGTACTGATTCAAGTCAAGGCTTCTTCTGTCAATCCAGTGGACTTCAAACTTCGACGCAATTCCGTTCCCGACTTCTTGATTCCCAAACCAAAGATTCCGGGAGCTGATGTTGCCGGAGTGATTGTCCAATTGGGCGCCAATCTCGAAAAGGCAGCAAACTTTCAAATTGGCGATCGCGTGGCTGCCATGTTGCCAATCATTCGGTCCAAATGAGGATCTTCGGCAGAATATGTGGCTGTGGATGCCTCTTTGGTGGCCAAGATACCCAACGAGGTCGATTTCGAATCAGCGGCAGCCCTTCCCTTGGTATCCTTGACGGTCCTTCAAAGTTTGAAAAAACTCAAAAATCCGAAGGACAAGAAGATTTTGATTCACGCTGGTGCCGGAGGAGTGGGATCCTTTGCGATTCAATATGCCAAAAAGGTGTTGGGCATGCATGTGGCAACAACTGCCTCCAAGGAGAAGAAGGAAATCGTAAAGGACTTGGGAGCCGACGTGGTGATTGATTAGAAATCGCAAGATTTTACAAAAGAGATTGAAGATTATGATGCCGTTTTAGATCCCATGAGTTTTCTGTACGAAAGTCGAACCTTTGATAGCAAAGTTCTGAAAAAGGGGGGCCATTACTTGAGCATTATGAGCTCTGATTGGGCTCTAACAGAAGACGGAAAGGAAAAGGCATATGGAGCAAAGACCTATTTGAATTTTTTCAAGCACAAAATGGCAAATCTGGTAACCCCAGGAGCATTCATGCCAAAGTATGACTTTTGCATGGTGAAACCCAATGGTGCTGACTTGCAACAAGTTATGGATTTGCTTGGAGAAGGAACTGTCAAGGCAGTGATTGACAGCAAGTTTTCACTGGCTGATATGGCCAAAGCTCACAAGCACCTAGAGGGTGGTCATGTCACGGGGAAGATTGTGATTCAACACGAGTAGGCAGTCTTCCTACAGTATTCCTACCTCAGTTGAGTCCAAAGCAATGGACAACGGGACAGTGAGGATGATGATGATGATGATTCAGAAATTAGGTTCTTGTAAATTGTGTAGCATCAGGACAACACTTCTTTTATCGCACCGAATACAAGGAAGTTCTAGTGGTTATTCGTAGTGGCTGAGAGCAGCAAAAATGGTTTTAGTATTACAGTGGATTGCATAGCTATAGTAGCTAGCAGTCCGATTTCTTCAAAAAGTCAAAATGTTTTGTCCGATTCACTTGTGATTCTGATTAGTATTAGCACGTCCACATGTCTTGGACATCTTTGGCATGCTTGTGTCCCCGTCGTAGTGCGGACAATTGGTTACCCTTGGTCACGTGGAAGTAAACCTCAGCAATGAGTTCTTGGTCGACAACATTGCGAGATTCTTGGAGTTGATAGTGCTGTTCTTCCAGAACGGCAAAGAGAGCATCTTCTTTGCGAGCCTTGGTTCTTCTCTTGTTCACTTGGGAATTTAGACCGTGGGTACATGTCGTCTCAGTGTCTCTTAGGATTGCTTTGGATCGCATAGCAGAGACAACAATGCTGGCATCTCGTCGAATATCGGTCAGCTCATTGCTGGAATACCACGCTAAGTCCTTTTCAAGTGCTGGTTCGATACTTTTGATGGAAACGTCATTACAGAAGGATACGCGAGAGGATGTGGAGCCATTGCTGCTGACAGATTGGAAAGAGTCTCGTCGGTCCATTACAAAAGTTGTAAGCGGCGACGACAAGTTTTTGTGTTTTATGGCTTTGTGCGATGGAGGGAAAATTACTCGGTTCTGGAAGTATTGGGAAGTTTACAGCTTTTTCCACTTCGAATGTCGGAAGATTCTCTGGCCACAAGTGCGTTGGGCCGACAATCAATTGCTCTTACTTAACGTTATGATCATGACGTGAGCCCTTTAGACAACCTTTATTTAAGTAATAGGGATATTTGAGCTAGTTATTAATTGACGTCCGACAGTTCAGTTTCCATTCGCTATTGAAATCCCATTTGACTGTTAAATCAATAACGCGTTTCGAATGTATTGGAATGATTAGCGATGACAGAATCCACTAATTGAAAAATGACAAAGAAAAGCGAATCTGCCCAACAATTCTCCCGCGATTGATACGTCAAAAACATACAGTACGGCGGCGGAAATGATGTTTTGAAATTGATTCTCCGACGTACCGGTATCCTTCGATAGAAGAGATGGGTGGGCTGGAATGGGTTCACCCACTATACCTTTATCATGTGCCCAACTCAAACGTAATAATAGATGCATAATATGATGCTAAATAAAACATTGATGTAAATCTCATATCATACCATGTTCAAAGTATTTTCACGTCACTCTCAACACGCCCTTCTTGTCGTTACCATTCGTGTTTGCACTGCTGATTTCACCAAAGGACCCCTGTGTGATCGTCCAATTTGGTGTCTTATAGCAGGCTCCGACCATATGCTTATCACTTCTTCTTCGAGGTCTTTGCCTCTCTGAGATGCATCAGATTGATTCCGCTTTGTCTCTTCAAAATACACGTCGGCAATCAAATCATGGTCGATGGTCTTTGATTCTTGTCGTTGCATTGATTGCTCGTCCAAAACGGCAGAGAGCGCTCCAGCCTTTCGGCGTTTGACAATGTCATTGCGGACATGGTGTGAAAGACCATAGGTGCAGCCCAGTTCGGTCTCTCCACAGTTCTTACTGGAATGTCGCATGGCCTGGACAACCAAACTTGCATGTCGACGAATGTCCTTCATTTCTTGCCGTGTGTACCAAGTGTCACTCGTGTTGTTCTTGTGTAGTTCTGACAATGGGACGGAAGTGCTGATGTTTTCCGAAAACGTTATCTTCTTGGTTCTCACTAAGGAAGGTCTTTGTGGGCATGTCGTAGAGGGAGGCATGGTTGCAGGAGTGGTTTCTCGATGGATTGAAAAAAGTGAGAATTTGTATGAAGAGTTCTTGTTTCTGACATTATTTCTTGTGATCATCAAGGTTCGACATCTCCGTGGGACTTTAAAAACGTTAAAAAACAATCAGTTTGTCCGCTCCCCATTTGATAATTACCAAGAAAAATGATAATCGTAAACTTGTTAAGAACGCAGGTAATTGACAGTCTGGCTGACACATTTTCAATAATTGCTTGGAAATTGATAACTCGTTCGCCCAACGAAATGCTGCATGGGATCTATATATAACACAAATGATACCAGGCATATGCAAGAGAGGATTCGACCTTGGTGGAAAACATTCTAAGTACAGGTAAATGAAACACACATGTGCTCTTGGTTTGATGTGTACGGGAACAGGTACCGGTAAATAACACACACATGTGCTCTTGGTTTGGCGCTCCTATTCACAACGTCGAAGCGTTGGTGATCAGTTGGATCCGCTCAAGATCAAATTTTAGCAGATGTGGTCGTTTGCCTTGCAATCAATGTTTCGTTGAATCTTCCCATCGTCGATCAATTTGATGTCCGTAGCCCCTCCTACGTTGCCTAATCAGAATCAATGACTCCCAGATCAGCAGATGCAGTTTGCCCTCGCTCCTGTCAATGCTTTGTCGAAACATCTCATTGCAGTTCAATGAGGTTTTCGGAGTCGTCCACTATAATCATCAGATCTTCCCGGCGCAAAGGGGAGATGATTCCTCAATGCTGGTAAAATAGGATTAAAAAAATGGGTGTTGGCAGGTTAATTCTACAGTGTTACGACTGCTGCTGCTGCTGCGCAGGTACTGGATCTCTAGACGCGTTTGACCTTTGCTGCCTTCTTTGCTTTCGCCTCTTCTTCAGCATCCTTCTTGGCCTTGGCATCCTTCTGGTCCTTGATGGAACGAATCTCCGGAATCATGGTTCCAATAAGTCCTTGACCTCCGAGATGAGTCACATTTGGCTCTTCGGCAGGTGGAACGTACTTTTTGGAGTATGAATTGTAGAGCGGCAGATCAATGAACCGTTCACACTTGATAACAGGGACACGTTCCACAAACTCGCCAAATAGGATTTCCTTCACAGACTTTTGCTTGACTGCCTCCTCGGTCCGGATTCGTGCGACTTGAGCATTCTTTTCAGCGGACTCCTTGAGATTCTTGTAGTATTCGGTCAACTTCTTTGCTTCTTCTTCTTCGGTGGCCTCCTTCAACTTGCTGTAGTAAAAGACATCCACAAGCTTCATGTGAGGGCCAAACACAAGCCAAGCGACGAGGCGTCCAGTCCAGCGAAGGATAAAGCTCCATGGAAGGACGTAGAAAACAAGTCCAATGACAATACTTGCCGCCGTCAAAAAGGCAGCATAGTACTGTTCGTCCCAAAGATAAATGTTTCGAACAATGCGAAGGTAGTAACAGATAGTGTACAAGAGTTGTTGAATGGGATACAGAATACTCTTGAAAGGAGACGCATAATCGGCAAGACTTGATTTCTTGGTGGAGATATCAGTCTCCCCAACTTGATCCAACTCGGCTGTCTCCTTCTGATGCTCCGCCCAGAGCTTGTTGTTCTCCTCATAGCGCTTCAAGGCTGCTTCCTCTGCCTTTCGGACTCGTTCTGCCATATATTCTTCATACTCGACGGCTTCCGCCTTTTGGAAGTCCGCCGGAATGATTTCGGGTCCAGCAGCTTTGTCCAAGGCCATCATCATGAGGATGCGCGCAAACGGAGTTGTTCGGTTCCAGGCATTTGGTGCATTATTTCGCCAGTTTTGAATGGCGAGAAGCAACCAAGCATTTCCGAACCAAAAGTAAGAAAACCAAAGAGTAGGGCGTTCGACAAAAGTGATTGCGGCGTAGAATGCAATCATTGAGTGGAGGGGGATCTTGAATTTTCCAAATAGCGGCACCTGGCCCCGCCAGAGCAAAAGTGAAATAATGGCATCTGTGATGTAATAGGTGACACTCTTGTACGACGTCAGTTCCGCAATGTGCATTGTCAAAGTACCAATACCATAGGACACCATATCAGTCTTTCCTTCAACCACAAGTTGTGCCATGGCCAAATGTCTTGGATTCTGAAAGTTGATGAATTGCTCGACTGGAGGCTTAAGATTCGCCATGACAACTTGCTTGGGGCTTCCGTACTCGACTCTCACTCGCAATGTAACGGTTCCCTGCGGTAGTCGCTCGGGTGTGACGGCATCTTCATACAAGTGGTAGCTCATAACATATTCGGTATCCGGTCGAAGATGTGAAATTGGAACTGTCACTCGCCCAATCAAATCGTTATGGCCCATCTTGTCAAAATCAAATATTCCCACCCGCAAATCACTACTGGGATGTTCCATGCTGAACATGAAAGCACGTCGTGACCAGGGCATCCATTTGGGAGACAAACAATCATCAATGACGTCGGTTTTGCCAAAGGCATCTTCAAATACGACGAGCGCAAACGAATCAGTCTTGCCAATTGTATCCATATTTGGAAGTCCATCGCATCCAAGTATTTCGACGTACAAGCGGCCGGTAATCCCCGAGCCAAGGTACAGCCATTCCCGAGAAGGTTTCAGAGCTTCGTCTTCAATCTCCTTTTCGGAAAGGTATTTGGTGATGGCGGAACGCTTTGGATCTGGTTCTGGTCGAACAAGGAACTATTGTTGCAAACGAAATTGTTAGTTGGCCTTGAATAGCAATTTAGCCAGCCAACCCAACACTCAACGGCCGAAAATAATCTCTTACCTTTTCGACACCGGCATCAGGGCCAGACCTTTCCTTAATGGACAACCTTGGTGGTAATAAACTTGAGATCCCACCCTTGGTATGAAAGATGAATTCATTATTTTGACGACAACCCAAAAAGTCTCCCCTTCGTTCCTTGGCAAACTTCATGAATTTCTTGTCATAGGAAGTAGCTTCCCGACACCGAATGGTAATGTAACCATAATCATCTTCTGCTCGTTTGGACACCAATGGATTGAATTGATTAATGGCTCCCGCCCCAGCCCTGACCCCACTGACCAATGCACCACCACCAGCCTTGACTCCATTAAATACAGCGCCACCTTTCTTTTGCACAGCCGAGCTCATGGGTTTGGTGGCCGTCTTGGCAAACTTTCCCACTCCCGTGTTGCCCAATCCTTTGACTCCCTTGCCGACCAATCCCACCGCACTCCCACCAACTTGACCCACACCACCCACCATGGCACCACCGACGGATCCAAGCGCACCCGCGGCAGACCCAAAGAGTGCTCCCGGATTCAATTTGGATCGATCGGGTGGTAGCAACTTGAGAAGCATGCGTTCCCCTTTGTTTTCGAGAATATCCTTGGGTGGAACAGTGACTTGTCCCAACTCTTCTCCGCCCAAAGGATCCCAATCACGAATCTTGAAGGAAAGTCCCTTTTCTTGTTTCTCAAATTGTTCTTTACTGATATCCAACAAAAATACACCTCCATTGCCAACCGTATAAATTGGATTTTGGCTGCCGAAACAGTAACAGAAAAGTTAGTCATCTCATCATACCGATATTCGCATCGACCACACATGCCACAAATTTCAATCATTTACAAATATACAACATATAAACGTACTTGTTCGCCACCGAGTCCGTTCGATGGACTTCATGTTCACCATCAAAGACCATGACGAATGGATCCACCGACATGTCAATTCCAATTCCTGGTCGTAAATTTTTGCAACTAACCACTTCCACCAACAAGGTAGTATCGGTAGGACCCTCTCGCTTCTTCTTTTGGGCACCTAGCATGGGTGGAAGCGAAATGGGAGGTTTCTTGACCATGCTGAGCAAACCCTTTTTCAAATTGTCTCGTTCCTGTTCGGTAATTTCTTGTGTCTTCAAGGTAATGAATCCAGCATCTTCCAATTTGCCCGGCGGCGAAGTCAAATGATATTCTTTGGTTTGGCACAAATACAAATCTTCGGGTGGGATTTGGACCGTTCCCAAATTGTCATTGCCACCGACGCCCCGATCCCAATCCTTGACCTTGATGCCAATTCCGTGGAACCCAAACAGTTCGGAAATGGAACAATCAATGACAAAGGTATTGCGTTGCTTGAGTGTAAATTTGGGATTCAAGGTTTTGTGCATGATTTCCGTCCTGTGAATATAATTGGGACCGAGCTTGACTTTTACATATGGGTCCGAGGAACCATCCTTGTCGGAACCCAACAATTGACGACACGACACAATCTCGACCAAGAGTATCTTCTCGTCCATGTCGACAAAGTCCAATCCGGAGACACCCGTTTTGGATTCCTATCAGAGAAAAAGAGTGTGTGAGATGAATGCAATAATACACAGTTCCATACTATCAAAATAATAATAATAATAACAATAACAATAGTACCAATAGTACCAATAGTACCAATAATAACAAAAGTAACAACACAATAAAGCGGTACGTACCACAGCTCTGGGACTCTTGATTTTGCTGCGAACTTTTTTAATGACATTGGATCGATCCTTGATTTCATCCTTGTCGCCCAAGGTTGCCTCTCTGACTCGAATAGTAATAAATCCAGCCTTGTCGCCAGGTCGAAAGAGTTTGGAAAAGGTGGGAGGATGCAATTCAAATTCCATTTCTTGTCCCGTGGCGCCGTACAACTGATCGGCCGAGACTTTGGCCACACCAATGTCGTCATTACTAAAGGAAAAGGCGTTGTTGCCATGATTTTTGACGACCAATTCAATGCCCTTTTTGGCATAGACATCGCTGGGCATGCTCCTTAGAATGTAAGTATTCTTGTGTTTGGGCAGGAAGCAAGGATTCAAGGTTTTTTCGATGCAGGACGTCTTGTGCTTGTCAATTTTGCCCAATCGAATCTTCACATAGGGATCGGAAAAACCTGATTTGCTGCAAGGAATCAAATTGCGACAGGAAACAATTTCAATCAAGAGCTCCTTGTTGTAGCTTGGAACTCTACCCAAAGCACTACCGGTAGAAGTGCCATGCGACTTTACCGAAGTCAAAGAGGTGACCGTAATGGGGGGTCCTCTTCTTCCTCCGACGGGAGCGGAAGCGATGGAAAGATCATCCAAAGATGCTGATGCTGATGCTGATGTTGATGCAGGATGAGACTCTTGCCGAACCGCACGAGGAGGGTTATTGGGTGGCATGCTTCTTGCTACTGCCTGGATAAATGAGTGGCAATACAGTATGCGCTACCGGTACCAGGTACTGTACGATGTATTATTCAATACGGGTATGCTATGCTATGCTATGCTATGCTATTCTATGATTTGAAAACCCCCTCCCACAAAAGCGTTCGGATTCGGATACATACCGGTACTATATCTTGTTGCGCCGCGTGTGTTTCTGCGGTTTTGAGTGGGTTGCGTAGAATCCTACGAATACCGCAACCATTCGCTTCTCCTCGGAGGAATATTCAATATGTGACACTTGGAAGACCTGTGATTGGATGAGCTTCGATCTTTCAATTAGGGTCGCAAGATTGATTCAAACCTGAGGAGAATAATGTTCCCATTGCAGCACGCTACGTGATGGGATTTGATGGTGATCCTATTGTGACGCAACGCAACGCAACACTGAAACTCTCTCCTTGTTCAGATTACAACTTTACGTGTACAGTCCCCCTCTACCGGTACTAACTAGTACCGGTACTTATACCGGTATTACTCTTGAAATGGGCTAGTCCGAATACAAGATATTTGAAGATTGGCATACCGATATAGGATTTATATAAACCAAATACAAGAGCTGTATTTTCATTCATAGTACTAGGCTCCTGCCTCCTGTTGCAATCATGATCTGTCCCTCAGCACGCAACAGCATTATTGTTGTGGTGATTGATTTTTCGTGAAACAAAACCCTCGCTGCTTTGATCTGTGAAAAGATGAAAGTAGCAATCTCTTGCTTATTGGGTGGTCAGAGAAGGAGATTGTACCGGTACACTGTACGTGTACCGGCGTTATTGTTTCATTCTTCATTTGCCCCCACAATCGCAACGGATCCTTGGCGGAACGCCAGCAGCACCTCCTGCATTTCGCAAAGTTCTTGACTGTCACTACTCTCGGCGGCGTTGTGAGTTGTGAACCTCTCTCGCACGCACACGCCGATACGAACAAAAGAGGCGTTTTCACCATTCATTAGAGATGATCAGCACATCTAACGTCTATAGTCCCGCATCCAAGATTGGTGCGAAATATTTTCTGGTACTATTCACAAAGCGCGCCTTTATCCGATTGGGTATTGGTCCTAACAAATTTTGAAAAGATGGTCGCACGACATTTTGGCGAGATCTGGAGAATAGAGCGCGCGTGTACACCCGTTTTGCCGTTTGGGTGAGTGTGCGTGTCTCACGTTCTGCACAAAACTACCGTACAACGCATCCAATTGGGGCAGTTCACACCCAAAATCCAACCATGCTAACATCATCACCTTCCAGGTTGATGCTACCATCGCAATACGATGACGAGTCATCTAGGAACTCAAGACAAATTACACAGCTGGGGTTCTTGGTAATGCTCATGGTATTGCATACCTTTTCTGGAGGTGTCGATACTACGAATTTCGCCTTTCTGAAGAATTATAATTCTCAACGTGATCAACGTAGTACTCGGCCAAGATCGCTTCGGTTCATCCAAAGTCAAAGCGATATTGTGGCGAATTCATCCAATGCTACAGCAACTACGACTAGACCAGCAGCTGTAGTCACCAATCATGTCATGTATACCAACTTCTCCTCCTCCTCCTCCACCACCACCTCTTCGAATACGACGACCACCACCACCACGTCTTCCTCCTCCTCCTGTATCCTTCAACCCAACAATCCCATGACCAAGGTGACCCATCCAATTCCAGATCCACCACCAGTTGTAGAGGAAGGCATAGAAGAAGTTTTTTGCCGCATGCATGAAAATATCCAACGACATTTTCCCCATGCGATGCAGCAGCTGTATCGATGCTATTCTATGTGGAGGGACTACCCAAAAGCCAAACCTTACCTCACTGTTCCAGATTCGGATTGGCAACAATGGCTATATCGTCACCCATTCCTCAATGGACTGATGGCAGTCTTTCATAAACAAATGCACATGTCCACAATTGTCGAAGAAGATTACTCTCTTCAAATGCTTCAGGCGTATGAAAACTCCAATGTGACTATATTTCAAACCGTAGTAGGAAGTGACTACAGCATACGGCACGTGAGATTTTTGCAAGACATTGTGCAAAAGGAGCTGCAACTTGATGATGGGGGTAATGAGAAGAGTCGAGATTCGTGTAGTAGTGGTACTGGTAGCCAAAAGAAGCCTCGCATTGGAATTCTCAACCGCTCACACCGACACAATCGATCGATTATCAATGCCAATGAGATTGCGACAGCTATTCAACGATTCTCTCGGAATGATACAGTCAAAGTCAAATATTTTGAAGGGTCCTACTTTGAGGAGCAAGTTGCCTTCTTTCAGTCGGTGGACATTGTACTGTCGCCGCATGGGGCTCAATTGGCGGGGCTTGCCTTGATGAATGCTCCCTGTGGTCATGTGGTGGAACTCTTTCCAAAGGTAAGGCGAAGCATTGTATCAATTTTGAAATATGATTCATCGCAGTTTGGAATTATTGGCGTTCTGATACTCACCAATGTTGATTTTTTTACTACAACGAAACAGGGCTACAGTGTTCCGAACTTTTTTGGGTCGCTATCAGTGGAAAGCGAAAAGAACCATTCGTATATATACATGTCTGCAAATTCGTCACGTTTCGACCAAGCCAAGACTCGTAAGCAACGAGCGAAAGCCAGGGAAACTAATTTTTGTCCCTCGGTCGACATGTTGACCGATTCAATCCGCAGGGTAGCTGACGAATGGCGACAGTGCTGCGAGGAGTCGAACCGAACCTGATGGCTGGTAAGCGCGTGGGACTGACAATAAGGATAGAATGAGTGATTCAGCACTTGGATGTGATTTTTCATTGCCAGAAAGGGCAAAACTCAAGCAAAATGTGAACTGAGCTATCGAGACCGGCGATGATCCTCCCTGGATAAAAGATTGTTTTCGTTGTTAGTGTCAACGATAAATATGTAATCTTTGGCTTGCTTGCTTTGTGCAGTCAGAAGTCACCAGCACTGGCCAGCCAATGGAATCAATTGAAGGTTACTTGTACTTCATCGAATATATAAAATGCAAAATATCAACAAGGGGCAACTTACCATGTGCTTTGTCTCATATGGCTGCCATCCGCCCGGTCCGGGTATTTTTCCCATACCGGTAGAAATCCCCCTTTTCTGTTCCCTATCTGCACGTTTTTTAGTTCGCAAAGTCATTCTGGAAGCTGGAAATAGATCTACAGTACAGTACGGTCATTTTTCCGCTTTGATGTCGCACGTACAAACACTACCTACAAAATCTTAGTCTCTTTTTCGATCAGAAAAGCTACCAGATACCGTCAACCGATCAATGCAATCACGTACTTTACTGCGTAGGGATCTACCACGAGCTTCGGCGGCACTGCAAGTGCGTATCTTGGCACAAAATTCTGCTTCCTGAGGATATCACTCTTATAAATTGAAAGATTGATTGATTTACATCATGAAGTTTGTTGTATCCATTGTTGTCGCCCTCCTTTCTCTCTCCGCTGTCGACGCTCAGGGCGTTCGTGGCAGAAAGGATCACGGAGAGAAACATGCCCGTGCTGAAGTAGGCAGAGCCGATCCTCGTGCTGGTGGCGAGGAGCAGGACATCCGAGCGAATGATCGTTCCAAGGCTCGATACGGAGAAGATCAAGGAGCGAAGCATACTCGTGCCCGTGCCAAAGTAGGCCGAGCTAAGGAAACCCATTCCGATCCTCGTGCTGGTGGCGAGAAGGACCCCCGAGCAGATGATCGTCACAAGGCTCGTCACAGAGAAGATCAAGGAGAGAAGCATGCTCGTGCCAAAGTAGGCAGAGCCAAGGAAACCCATTCCGATCCCCGAGCTTATTATCCTTCAGGAGACTACTACAACTCCGCAGACTACTATAATTCCGCAGACTACGATCACGGAGCTCATTATCCTTCTGCAGACTACAACTCCGCAGACTACTACAACTCCGCAGACTACTACAATTCCGCAGACTACGATCACGGAGCTCATTATCCTTCTGCAGACTACAACTCCGCAGACTACTTCAATTCCGCAGACTACGATCACGGAGCTCATTATCCTTCTGCAGATTACAACTCCGCAGACTACTTCAATTCCGCAGACTACTACAACTCCGAAGACTACTACAACTCCGAAGACTACGACTACGGAGCTCATTATCCTTCTGCAGATTACAACTCCGCAGACTACTTCAATTCCGCAGACTACTACAACTCCGAAGACTACTACAACTCCGAAGACTACGACTACGGAGCTCATTATCCTTCTGGAGACTACCACAACTCCGCATACTTCGATTACGAAACTCCTTGAATCCAAAGATTTGGATTACTACATACATACATATTATTACTCAATGCAAGTAGTAGTTATAATATATGATGTATAATAACTACAGAGCAATCTAAAAAATAAAAATAAATAATACATGTGAAGTCTTTCAAAAGCGGCATCGATGATTCGCTTGGCGATACCACAGCTCAAGTTGATAATTGGAGACACAAATCAGCCTTATTCTGTGTATGTGTACGAGATGCTCCATATAGTTTGTTTTCTCTTTCGAATCTACCATAATGAAACGTGTGTTGACGACTGCGTCTCATATTTTCGAGCTTGTGCATCACTTGTCTGTAAAGAATCTACATTCCATTCATGCTTTCGGTGTCTCGTCACTTCTTTCGCTTGGTTCTTTGACACTTTCCCTGAATCTTTTTAGGGTTAAAAGTCGCCACTTGTTTTCTTTTGGTGTAATAGGTAGAAACAGTCATTTTCAGCATGTTCAACAAATGAATCAATCCATAATCTACGAATGCTAATGACAGCAATATTCCTGGCGCTAGTGATGGAATTCGAACTTGAACTTGCGAAATTGGACGCATATTTAGACTGAACAGAGGATGAACACATACATGGTGATTGGTGACGGGTGAAATTGGAAAAAGAAACCAGGAGGTTGAGAAGTTGATCGCGCGGGTACTTTTATAATATACCTATTGCCATGTGGGTGCTTCATTGTGTTCTTCTGCACAATAAACAACGCATCCGCAATTTGGGCACTTCACACCAATAATTCCACAATGCTAACATCATCATCTTCCAGGCGGGTTGATACTACCATCGAAATACCATGATGAATCATCAAGGAATTCAAGACAATGACTCAGCTGGGATTCTGGTGTTCTTGCATACGTTTTATGGACGTGTCGATGATACGAATTTCGCCTTTCTGAAGAATTCTCATCCCAAGACCGCTTCGGGTAATTCAAAGCGAAATCGATCTTGTGGCAGTCTTCCGATATTACTGCAACTGCACGAGCTGTAGAAAATCATGCCAACAACTTCACCAACTTCTCCTCTACCACATCCATCTCTTCATGATCCTGTATTCCTCAACCCAACAATTCCATGACCAAGGTGACCCATTCCATGCCGGATCCACCGGTCTTAGAGGCAAGCATGCGTTACTAACAGGTCTTTTGCCGCATTCATGAAAATAGCCGATGTGATTTTCCCCATGCGATGCAGCAGCTGTGTCGATGCTTTTCTCTTTGGAGGGAAAATCCAAAATCTAAACCTTACACCTCACTGTTCCAGATTCGAATTGGCAACAATGTCTCCATCGCCGCCCGATTCGCAATGGACTGGTGGTAGTCTCTTGATGAACATGTCCACAATTGTCGAAGAAGGTTACTCTCTTCAAATGCTTCTGCTTCTGGGGTATGAAAACTCCATGTGACTACAAAGGAGAGACTACAGCATACCGCACGTGAACTTTATGCAAGGCATTGTGCAAAAGAAGCTGCAACTTGATGATGATGGTAATGATAAAAGTCGAGATTCGAATAGTAGTGGTACTATTAGCCAAAAGCCTCGCATTGGAATTCTCAACCGCTTACTACACCGACAGAAATGATGCATCGTCAATGCCAATGGGATAGCGACACCTACTCAACTATTGCCTCGGAATGATACGGTCAAAGTCAAGTATTTTGAAGGATCCTAGGAAAAAGTGCTGCCTCCTATTTGAGACATTGCTCCGCAACAAGTCCGCGATCAGTTTTCAGTTTATCGAACTTGTGTGCGAGTATACGTCAAGAAATAGTTTTTTGCACAACCCACCAGAGTCACAACACCATGAAAGAATCCCGCACAGAAGAAACCAGGCGACAAGCGCCAGTTGGCTATCAAAGATAGCTACATACATATTATTATCCTAATGCAAGTAGTATTTACATCAAATACAAAGCAGTTAAAAAATTAAAAAAATGAATATGGAGTGTTTCAACAACGACATCGATGTCTCGTATTGTGATAGCACAACCCAAGTTGCTGAATGGGGATACGTGTTCCTATCTGTTAGAAATAAGCGGATTGTGCTCTGTAGTGAGTGTTTTTTAGCGAACAACAAACACTTTGCAATCGAAGTTGGTAATCGTCATTGCAACACATTACAACACTTCCACGATATCACTTCTCCTTTCTGAGGTATACTGTTGAGTGAAATGTTCCTATTGATCGCAAAAGTTGGTTGAACAAATTTCCTTTACCTACTAGAGAAATCTCTTCTTGTTCACAGAACCCAATCCGACTTCTATGAGGATTCTCTGTCAACTACAGTACATTTGGACATTCATCAATGTCATCAATGATATGCCCTTACAACATCGATATTCCACTGATATATATAGTAGGTCATTCGATTTGCGTGTGGATGTTGCATGTTGAATGATGATGTTCGACAGTCTCGCAATAATGACATACAATGTATATGACGGGTATACCAGTATACATTCAATCGTGCCTGTCAAATACCTCCCGTACTTGAATAGTTTCTACCTAAAACTCATGTTTCATCATTTCCCAACTTAGGAGTACAACACACTCCTGCCATCGTGACAATCGCCATTGGCAGCAATGGGTCATGCTCTCATCATTGCTGATTTTTTTTTCATGTTTTCATACACTTGTCTGATCGCTGATCTTTTGTTCCTTTTCGGTTATGGATTTTGGTAGTTTTTTTTTAAATTCTGCTTTGAGCACGTACACGTGTACGTGTACCGCGCTCGCGCGCAGTCTGGCGGACATAATATGACCAATCGGACTTCTGATTCGCAATGCAAAAAATATACCGCGTAGTCATCATCTCTCGTTTTCATTATCCACAGACATTTGTTGTATATTTGGGAAACCTACCGTATACATTTTATATACTACCACACAACATCAACAATGACCGAAGTGCTGGCAGCAAGAGTAGTCGACAGCGATGACGAATCAGAGGAGAATGGATCAAACAGAAAGCCGCTTATGATCTGCGTCATCTTGGTCTTGGTTCTGGGGATTGGAGGAGTCTTAGCGTGGTTCTTCCTCACACAAAACGAAAGTAGTCCCGGGAATTCAACCGAAATCATAATCCTAACATCCCCCACTGTAATGCCATCTCAGCCTCCCAGTTGGAGTCCTTCCAGTTTGTCATCCGCAAATCCAACCGGTATTCCACTCTTGTTTGACCCGCCCTCCCAAGCAGAGTGCTCTCGCATTCTAAATCGACAACCCGTGAGCAATCAAGATTCCATGATTGTCAATCCCTTTGGTCTGGATTTTGACATCACCGTCGTGGAAGACACTGATACTGCCTTGTGGATAGCCACCTTTATGGCTTCGGTGATTCGGAATTTGGTTCCTGAGCTTACTGGATGTACCAGTCGGCGCTTGCTATCGGAGGAAGAATCATCCAACTTGCGAAAATTTGACTCTCACCATCGCAATCTAAATGAGATTCGGTATGCCATTGGTAATGTCGATGTCAACGCAGAATTTCAATTGGGAAGAGCTTGTGAAGCTGATGCTCCAGCCCCATGTTTTCGATTTGTGGTCAAGATGGATTTGTATCTCAAAGATACGTTGACCAATTTCCAGCTGATTGAATTGGTGGCGAATGTTATCGACCCACCCGGAGCCACTCAATCCTTGGTCCAGAGAATGGGATTACCGACCGATGTCTTTCGGGAAGTGGAAGTAGTCTTGCTTGGATCGACTTCGGAATCACCGACGGGCCCACCAGTCGAGTCGTCTCCACCAACCACCACACCAGCCACAAATTAAGGTCAATTTTGCATTGGTGGTGCTGCCTGTGTCTGCATTGGTGAGCAGAAACTGGATTGGGATGAGGTTTTTAATGGTTCGGTGATGATATACCATCCTGTGATACTCGAACAGCCAAGGCAGGACAGATTGAGCAAATGAGGACTGATAATGGTCGTCAGGAAACCAACGAATCCATTGATCACCCCATCATATCTGCACGGAAGAATGGAATCGATTGGTTTTTATTGTTTGTAACTATTATAATATCATCTGGCTAGTAGAACTCTCCAATGAACAGATTGATTTAATGATTAGATTGATTCAATGACTTGAGAATTTTTGTTCGTATTGAATGCGCCATATCCGTCTCCTGTTGTTTTGTTGTCAACGCATCCATGTGGTTTACTTCGAACAATCTGTAGGCTATAACCCTAAATGATCCTGTAACAGATCAACTATCCGTCCCTTTCGTCCCTGTAGAGGTAGTACTGGTACCGGTACAGCCAAGATGCTGGGATGTGACAAACGGCCGAAGAGTGGTCCGATTAGTCGACCATGACCGTATCCATTGTAGCTTGCAGGAATTGGCCAATCAGAAGTGACTTGCAAAATCTCAAGCCTTTTGCGATCGAAAATAATCCCGCATCTTACATCGGTACCGGTACTATTTGCGATGATCCAGTGAAAATATACATATATAACATACACCTAAAACCGCATGTATAGACACGCTAGATGAAAAACATCGACTAACAACGCAAGAGTGGTGGAGTCATAGGAGCATACTGCTTATTGGAAAAGCTTCTACAACGGAGCCTATTGATAGTCTCGGGCTAAGAGCTTTATATTGTCGAGCAGAACCCATCAGCACCGCAACACATTAGAACGAACAATCATCTGATCTGTAATATTACATAGGGATCATTCTTGTTCAAGAACTGCTGCAAAACTTAGAAACGAAACATAAATAAAGATTGGAAAGAGGAAGAGATTGAAAGCATAGGCAACGCAGTCAGAACAGCACACAATGGCGACCCTCCCATATTCCAAAGATGAATTGAGTCTTAGCATCAAGATTCTGAACTGCCGCAATTTGTTGATTGGTGATACGGTATCGTCAGATCCATACGTCAGAATTCTACTAGGAAAGAAGGAGTTGCACAAGACAAAATACTTGATGAAAACGTAAGTCGTCTGTTCGTGCTTGTCTTTGGGGGAATGAATGAATTCTTGCGTTGTCCTTATCATGTTGTCCTCTCACATCCATTGATGTCTATGCGCAACAGTTTGAATCCAGTGTTTACTGCCAAGGACAATAATGAATTTGAAACCCAGTTCTTGTGGGGGGACTTGACCAAAAAGGCTGGTCTAACCTTCGAGGTGAAAGATTGGGATCTCGTTGGGAAAGACGATTTCATTGGCTTTGTCAAGATTTCACCTTCGGAACTTCTCAAAATGGCTTTGAAAGAAGAGGCCATTTCTATTCCGCTCGAACTCCCACCCAACATCAAAAAAAAGGGAGGGGCCGGATCGATTACTATGTCAATACGGCACACTTCTACCACCGGAGTCAAATCCAAATATTGGGCTCCTCCAAGTGCATCCATGGTGGCTAGAAGATCCACTCGAGTGGATCCCTCTGACATTCCGTCCTCCTCCTCGGACGACGAGAGTATGAATTCCAATGGCAGCCTACCTGATTACAATAAGGACCTCTTCATTGAAATCATTTCCTGTAAGAACCTCCTTGCTGGTGATGCCAATGGTCTTTCGGATCCATACGTGAAGGTCCAAATGGGCAAAAGGTTCTTGCATCGGACTGCCGTCATTAAGAATACTTTGAATCCTGCGTTCACCGCCGATCACAAGAATTCCTTTATTCTGGATTGCCCTGCCAAAGATCTTTGGGCCGCTAAGGGGATCGAATTCCTTGTCAAGGATCACGACGATGGGATTGCTGCTCTTGGATTTACGAACGATGAACTGGGATCTGCCGAGGTATCTGCTGGTAAACTCTATAAGGCCAACGGGACGAATATGAAAATCAATATTACTCCTCCCAAGGACTCGAAGGAATTTCGTCGCGGCCTTCCTGCAGGGTCCATCACCATCCGCGTTCGGCAAGCCACAGCGGAGGACAAGAATGAGATCCGAAACCGGGCCGGAATGTTCAAGAAAAAGGCCACTCCCAGAACGGTGCGTCATTGGTGGCGGTGTATTAGTTAGTGTCTTGTTGCGTTGTAGTTTCCAGGCTCTCACATGATCTGGTTTGATTTTTCAATTCGCTCTTGCAGGAAGCAAGGAAGTTCATTCCCGAAGTTGACTTAACCGGCATTGACAAGAAGATTCTGATGGTGGAAATTCTATCATGCCGCGAACTTCTGGCCGCAGACAAGAACGGACTCTCCGATCCCTACGTTTTAGTCAAGATGGGATTCAAAGACTTGCACAAGACTGGCCATATTGATAGAACATTGAATCCTACATTCTCCAGGGATCACAGGAATTCGTTTGTCATTGATTGTTCTGTTTCAGAGCTCTTTGGAGCCAATGGCGTTCTCATCAAGGTTATTGATTATGACCGAGGTATCATATCTGGAGACGACGAATTGGGTTCGGTGCAAATACCAGCCACTACCATGTACGAATGTCAGGAGGAGGAGTATCATTTGGATCCACCTCCTGGCAGGAACGAAGATCCTGGATATGTCACCATCCGAATAACTGAGATTACCAAGGAGCAGCGTGATTTGCACAAGAAGGGCAAGCTATCGGCTCCAAAGCAAGTCATGCCTGCGGGATTGAACACATCGGAAAGTGGGGTAAGTACTACGCTGAAAATAAAGTGGTGTCAAGATTTGAAGGCGGCCTTGGACTGACCACATCCCAAACTACTTTTCTATCTTCTATTTCGTAGCTCTCCGTCGTTTCATCTGTAAGTCTTCGGCAGTCATCTGGAACTGTTCTGGTGCACGACCAGGACCTCTCGATATTCTCACATATTCGTTCTCCTTGCCAATCATTCGACTATAGGGATCATATCACAGCACTTCGGTAATAAAATTCAAAGACATGCATGACAAAACACTACTGGTGGAAATTTTGTCCTGCCGTGACCTGATTGCTGCAGACAAGAATGGGTTGTCTGATCCATACGTCAGGGCCAAAATGGGAAAGAAGGAATTGCACAAAACAGGCTGCATAACAAAAACCCTGAATCCAGTGTTTAGCTCTTCTCAAAACAATTCCTTCCTTATCACGTGCTCGAAACTGGAGCTCTCCGGAGCCCAAGGTATCCTCATCCGAGTTCTGGATTGGGATCGTGGGATTGGCGGAGACGATGATTTGGGATGGACCCAAGTCCAGGCGGAATCCTTGTACGAATGTAAGGAGCAAGAATATCCATTGAACGCACCCTACGGAAGTGGAGAGGCTGGATTTGTAACTATCAGAACCACCGAACTTTCCGATGAAGAACAGGCGAAGTACAAAAAGAGTATGCTATCCCTCGTTTCCAAAGCACCACCACCGCCGCCTCCGACATCCAACTATGAAAGCAATTCGTCGCTTAACCTCACCGACATGGAAGAAAAGATTATACTGGTAGAAATTATGTCTTGCCGGGACTTGTTAGGTGCTGACAAGGATGGATTGTCGGACCCATTTGTAAGAATCAAGATGGGAAGCAAGAATATACACAAGACGGAGCGCGTCAACAAAACCTTGAATCCTGTCTATTCGGCGAAAGAAAACCACTCCTTCGTCATTGATTGTTCTATTTCGGAGCTGTTGGAAGCCAAAGGTATCCTAGTGCGTGCTGTAGACTGGGATCGTGGTTTCGGAGGAGACGACGATTTGGGATGGGTTCAGATTTCGCCCGAATCTTTGTATCAATGTAATGTACAAGAGTATCGTTTGAATCCTCCATATGGCAAGAACGAAGATGCCGGGTATGTAACCATTCGAACAACTGCAATTTCTGCAGCGGAACGGGACGAACACGCAAAGGGGATTCTGGCGTTTGCTTCGAAACCAGCAGGACCACCAGTTGCATCCGCGACGATTGAAAGCCCGAGTGCGAATGCAAAAGGCCTGCTTGAGGGCAAAGGAAACCTTACATCGGCTGAGCCCGAGGTATATGAACCTTACGACCCGGACGCAGCTTTCATTGCAAGCGAGGAGCAGAAATTTCGCATGCTCCTCGGAGCAGTTGTGGTCTCAAGCATACTCCTTGTTGCTCTTACTGCTAGTGGCGTCACAGGACGCAGTGCTCGCAGTGGAGCAGCAAAACTTGACATGGAACGGGTTGGAGAAAGAATATCCAGACCTCGCGAGTATGAACCAATAGAAACTCGTGGTGGCGTCTGCGCTGACCTTTCTGGATGGCAAGATGCGTAAGTTCTGTCGATTCTTTGTATCTGAAGGTGTCTAATATTGTACCACTCGTTGCTAATCTTGATTGTATTTGACACTTTCTTTCCCTGAAGATATGGCGTTGATTGTGAATACTACAAAGAGAAGGAAGATGCCTGTGAAAAATATGCTACTAGTATCGGCAGCTTTGGCAAGACACCCCTCGAAGCCTGCTGCGTCTGCAAGAATGACACTGATTGCTTTGATCTTGCTGGTTGGACAGACTTTTATGAAGATACTTGTGGATGGTATGAAGAAAACGAGCCGATTGGATGCCCCAACGAAGGCCACGTGAATGGTACCGATAGCGTGAATGCTTCACAAGCCTGTTGCCACTGCCATGGTTCAACTTGATGAAAGTCGTATTGAATCAATCATTAAATGACTTTCAGTGTACAATACTACGAAAAACGAAGCTTCACCGGACACTCCAATTGCCGGCACAATGTGCTTTGCCCAGGCCCTTCCAGTGGCAACAATGAGCATTGGTATTTGATGAAGCAGCAAACCTACAGCCGATCCAACAGTTGTGTCAGCTCTGGCATTTATGCCTTTGGTAGTCATCGATCGATTTTAATTATTTAGCTTTTTAGTCCTCATGGATCATTTTTGCATGCTACGATGATGTACTTTCGTTTGCTCATCATGATTGGCACACTTTCATGCATCCTTGTTTACATGTTATCCAGATTTTGCTTGACTTTCATAAATGTTTGCTTCACAAAGGCATTGTGTCCCAGAATGACAGGTACTCGTGGATGTGTCGTTGGATCATAGGACTGAGCCTTGGAGGACCAGCCTTCCAACTTTCGTAATGTATCGTCCACGTGCTTTTGCAATTCTTCTTTGGTGTACGAAAAGTATTGTTCGTGAAATTGATTCTTGGTCGCTTCGTCACCGGTAGTAACGGCTTGATAAAATTCTTGGGCCAAACTAGGATCATTCTTTAGCAAGATGCTGTACAGGACGACATCATAGGTCTCCATGGAAATTTCACCCGTATCCTTGTAGAACAAAAGGTTGGAGAAGTCGTATCCCAATTCCTTCATTTCATCCTGCATGTGCATGAGTTTGCAAAAACTGGCCGGGCAGGTTTCATCCAAGAATCCATAGGTCGCAAACAAGGGACTGGGGTTGGTGGGATCCCCCAAGGAAATGCGCAACGGGGATCCAGCCAGAGTATCCTTGGCGGCATACACCATGCAATTCATATCCTTATCATAAGTCACGTAGGCTTCCGGATTGGTCCCGTGATTGAACATGTCCGCCATGGGAGCAATCAACCGTTCGCCATTCCATTCGACAGATCGAGTGACGGCGACATTGTAGGCCCATTTCAGCAAATCTCGATCCGTGGTGGTGTCTTCGGACATCATTGGTAGGAATGTGGCCGCCTTTTGAAAATTGACGGATTGGACACGCTCTTGCATGGCCAATCCAGCGGCATAGGGTGGCAAACAATCAAAGCAGGCGTAGGTCATGGAGGCACCCGTATTGTAGAAACGGGGCAAGGAATTGAGCCAGGGGAACCATGGAGACTCTGGGCCCTTTTCATATTCAATCAATATCTTGACAAACAGTCGAAAGAGGGGCAATGTGTGATCCAATTTGGCTTCGATCAATTGCTGTTCCGCTTGTAGCAGAGCATTATCCCCCAAATCTTGCCAAGCTTGCAGGGAGGACAAAATCATTTGACTTGGAACGGCCACCACTGGACTCCCAGCCGGGACATCACTGTTCGTTCTTACTGAGTAATCGTAACCATCTTCGCTGGTCAATTCAAAGCCATCCACAACTTGAACGCCACAGCTGTAGGCCCACTCTTCCATTGTAAAGACGTCTCGCTCTGCCATTTCATCAACATTGACTCTTCCAGCTTGAGCATTTGGGAAGGAGAAGGCATTGGCGGAATAGGATAGAACTGACAAAAAGGTTGTCAGGGCTATAAGTGCTACTGGCAGTATTCGAATCAGTGGGTATTTGGAATTCATTGTGTCATATGAGGTTGTTGCTTGTTTGCTTGCAGTGTTTTCTGATTTTTATTGATGATGATGTTCTGGATTTTGGAGTGCGTGTTGAAAGCTTGCCTACGAACGTGTACTAAGAAAGGGGGATGATGGATTCATTCTGCCCCTTTTTCATGTGAGTTTTAATTCGCATCGAGCGTCTGCCAGACTGCATGCTGGCTATCAATCAATCAATCAATCAATCTAATTTCAAATTAATCAATGGCCTATTTATCCTTGGCCTTATTCAAGCTTGATATGCCGAGTTCCACCGATGATACCGGTAACAGCAAAGATGGTAGCAGTGATGCACACAGTAATACGCCATTACAAGCTTGGTAAAACATACATCATTGTCAAAATTTTATTGAAAGGTTTCGTCTATGGGCGTCTAATGTGGGGTGTTTCGTCTATGGTTGTGGTGGTTGTGATTGTGTTGTGGTCTCTATGTGTCGATTGTGAGGCAACCTGCTGGTCTATCAATGGTTGATTGATCCAATTATTCCTTCTTAGATGGCAGCCTGCATGTAGGAGGCATCATCCTCAACATCATGGGAAGATCTTCCGCCCTTGACTGCAACAGCGGCAATGACTGCCGATGCCGATGTTTGTGTCAGTAAAGTATTCTTCATTTGTTGATGATGACACGCCACAAGCTCTTGATGTTCTTGCTCCCGGTGCAAATCGGGCCAATGGACGCGCATAAAGTCGCTCCATACTTGGCTTGCGACCGTGGCATCGTCCGGATTGTATTGCTCAATGGAAGCAATGTGAACCGTCTTGTCACTGGAAGGGACCTTGGCAAAGGCCTCTAATCGGCCAAAGACGTCAGGTTCCTCAATGGTCTTTGATTGAGAATCCTTCCAGAGAACACAAGGGCGATTGGCAGAAATTAATGGGGTGTTGGTTTTGGCCTTGGATTTGGTATTCGTCTTGAATTCCTCAGCAGCATCTTTGGATGGCTGCAACAATTGCTCCAAAGTATGCAAGACCCGTCCGCAAGCAGCCCCCATACGTTGAGAGTCTGGTTGCAATGGCCACGAAACCACAAAGCCACAAACGTTGTGTTCTTCAATGATATTGGCCAAGGCCTTCTTGGATTCTTCCGTGACCTTGGTTTTGCGTGCCAATGGAATGGATTCAAGTGTATACGGTCCATTCCCGTAGCTTGGATGTGCTGCTAATGCCAATCCAATACGATCCTTGTGAATATTGAGACTCAAGACGGACCCACCATTGACTTTGCGCCAATCGAATCGAGAGGCAAGTTTGGAAGGGGAGGTCAACGCCTGAAGGAGTTTCTTGGATGTATTTGCTTGAGCCATGATTAGTTTTTCAAATTTCTTGTTGGTTTACCTGGTTTTGCGTGTGTGTCATCTAATATTATGATATTGTGAGTGTGTGTGTCTGTCTTTTTTTCGTTTCGTCGATGGATCGACAATATTTCGCTGATAATCTTTGTGTGTGTCTGCCAGAGCTTGGGTTACGCCTTCCAGCATTTCGTAAAAATGTGACCAAAAATCATTGTTGTACACTATGATGGGTTGGCGACGGTCATCCCCAGAGGACGGTTGGATCGTGCTCTACCGGCGCTTTCTACGCAAAGGTCCGGTACCAGTTTTAGGTGCTTCGGATTTTGATCACGTCCTGGTCGGAGTAGGTTTTAGGGTTCTGTTCTTCGATTTGATTGGTCATCTTTGAGGGTGAATTAATTATCCCGAACGAAATGAATCTCGAATGAATGAACATAACGGCGGGACAGAGTTGTACTCGAACTGGTCCACTTTTGCTGATCCCCTTGATTGTACCGGGTATATCCAACAATAGATGATTCCCCATCTTGACAGGTTGAACCTGACGATCGCATGTCAGACCGTCATCAGTAAGTAGGTGAGTGACGTTTGAAGTTCTACCACCACGATCGTTCGATAGAAAATAGATCATCATCGTTTGACACGCATCAAATTTCATCGTCATATCCTATCACCGCCAGCTGTAAAAGTGTTTGCAAAGATCTTCTTTGGGCTGCATTAATATCACTCACACACACCCACACAACAGACATATCCTCATAATCTTATTGCAGAAATATGAAATTCAATCTACAGCTTGCTTTGTTGACTCTCATCAGCGCTGCTTCTACTGCAGACGCCCTGTCCTTTCCGGCCACCGCAGGATTGGTCGATCTGAGTGATAATGCTCAGCGCGACGTTTCTACCATGGCTCAATGGGCCGAAGGATATGGTGCGCAAAAAGCTGATGGCTTTGAGATCACCTCTTATGATGGTCAAGATTATTTGGCCGTCACACAACAAAACTTGCCCGCTGGATCTCCTGTCTTGTACATTCCCAGCGATTTGGTATTTTCCTCCAACAAGGCTGCCGCAGAATTTGGCGGTGCATTGGGCGAAGCCGAACAGCAATTGGCAGTGGCCAATTTGCAAGACTTCATTCCACTCTTTCGTGTATTTGTCAAGGTCTTGATCGAATACGAAAAGGGTGCTGAAAGTCCTTGGTTTCCCTGGTTGAACTCTCTTCCCCGCCAGTACTACAATGGAGCTTCCATGACATCAGCCTGTTTTGATTGTCTTCCACCATATGCTGCCTGGTTGGCATTGACGGAACGTATCAATCTTACCAACTTTAAAAAGGCTTCCAAATTCTTGCCCCTTTCCAACCAAGCCATTGCCAACGACGATAGCATTCTGACATGGGCTTACAATGTCGCCGTCACTCGATCCATTGAATGGAACGGTGAACGTTTGATTGCTCCCATGGCTGACTTTTTCAACCACGGTGCCGAAACGGAAGTGGACATCAGTTATGACGCTGATGGTAACTGCATGGTATACTCGTCTCGTGATGTTCCGGCTGGATCGCCATTGCGCGTTTCGTTGGGAGACCCCACCAACCCCAGTCCACTCTTTGCTACCTATGGATTCTTGGATGAGTCATCGACCGCTACCTTTTGCAAGTTGATGCACATGATGGACGAGATGCAACAACTCGGGTACAGCTTTTCCGATTTGCTATTCTTTAAGGAAACTGGCGAAATCTCGGCCCCAGTGTACGATGTGGTCTTATACTATGTTTTGCTCCAGAACGATCCTGGCACTGCCCAAGGCTTTCTCCAAGCCGTCACTAGTGGAGATGAAGCGACCAAAAATCAATTCCATGAGCAATACTTTGCCTACACCAAGGAAGAATTGCAAAAGCATGTCGATTCCACTCTTGCGGATTTGGATCGCCTTTCGACGATCGCCCGATCCTACGATGTTCGTACGCATCCTCGAGTTCCTGTCATTTTGCAACACAATGCTTTTGTCAAGGAAACTTTCCTCAAGGTCAAGCAAACCCTAGATAACATGTAAACAAGGAGAACAAATACTTTTAAAAGATTGAAAGAATCAATGGTGAATTAATTCGTAGGCGGCTGTCATTGCATGCAAGACCAGAAGCAATTTGACAACGTGCCATCAAGATAGCTGAGACAGTGGTGTAATAGCAACGTAACTATCTACTAATGCCAGTCCAAACTAGCATTCTTATGGTGGCAGTGGTATTATGAATAGTGGTACTCTCCCCTTAAATTATCGTTTTGATTGGATTTGGAAGGATAAAGATTCCGCAGCTACTACAACTATCAAAGTTTAGCTTGTCAATCAATGGGGCCAAGTCATATACTGCTAGATCTTGTACGGCACTAAAATGGTCAATCCTAAACTTACGATACATATATAGGTACGTACAGTATTACCTCCTCACTTCTTGGTCTTTTCAGGAGTCATATGAGTCCCCTATTTCGGCAGTCCTTCCCCTTGTTTTTGGTGAAAGAAATCTCCGCACGTGCCCGGAAGTCGTTTCGAAGTCGTTTTAGCTGACCCGCTTATGGGGCCTGTCTTGCCAAAATTTGGTTTGCGCTTCCGCGTGACGGTCATACAATCGTAGGAACACGTACAATTTGTACCACAACCGAAAATACTTATGCCAATCTCTGTATTTTTGTCCACATCTGAAAAATCCAAACTTGATTCCTTAGTTTCAGCAACAGTGGATATCTTTCCCTAGAGCCTTGTTGTTGTTGTTGTTTCCTATTCTGACTTGGTAGTGAAAACAGCAAGCTGCTATACCATCCAATCGATACCATCGTAGACGACGACAATAGAAAAAAAGGCTTAATTAAATCACCATGGTAGTATCAAGACTCGCCGGTATCACGGTTAAGAAAAAGCCAGCCGAATCAGATGAGAGTAGCGGAGAGTACGAAAGTGAAAGCAGTGGTGAATATGAAACCTCTAGTGGAGAAGAGGAGGAATCTGGTGAGGAGGAGGAATCGAGTGATGAATACGAATCGGGCGAAGAAGAGTCCAGTGAAGAGGAAGATGCTCCGCCGCCTAAACGTGCAGGTGCAGGAGCAGCGAAAGCTGCAGGAGGTGCTGCAGCTGCGAAAAAGCAAGAGAAAATCCCAGACGACGAAGAGTCAAGCGGAGAGGAAGAGTCTTCTGAAGGCGAAGAAGAGTCCAGTGACGAGGAAGATAGCGGTGATGAAAAGACCAAAGAAAGTGAGTTTGGTTTTGGAAAGGGTATGGCGGAAAACGTTCCTGAGGATGAAGACGGTGGTAAAAAGAAGAAGAAAGAAAAGAAACCAAAGAAAGAGAAGACTCCTAGAGAACCAATGGATGCAGACAAGAAGAAAAAACTAATGATTGGACTTGGAGTATGCTGCTGTATCCTTGTTATTGTCGGTATCACTCTGGGTTTGGTGTTTGGACTGAAGAAAGATGATGAACCAGCAGCTACCGCAGCGACTCCAACACCCCCTCCAAGTTTGTCCGTCGCACCAAGTTTGGCGCCATCGGCATTTCCTGACTTTGCGCCCATTAATTTTCCCGCGGTTGGCGATACCTATATTGAAACCGGCCTTACAAATGCTGCTGCGGCTTCTGGTGGCGATGAGTTGTTGGTGGGTGGACCCAATAATGCTGTTGCAGTCATGCAATTCACAGTCGATACTTCTGCGATTCCAGAAAATGCTCGCGAGGTGGATGTTTACACTCTTTCCATTGGTCACATTGGAGTGATTGATGATACACAGACGACTACTATTACTATCAACGCCATTGACAACCCTGGTGATCTAAGCACTTTGGTTGCCACAACTTACAATCCTACCGGCACAACTCTCATGGGAACTGATACAGTGGACAAAACCAAGGATCGGATCTCTGTTGACGTCACTAGTTTGCTAGCTGATACTGCAACAATCCGAAAACTTCGCTCGGGAAGAAGACTCAACACAAAAACAATCTATATTGAATTGAGAGGAACCTCAACGGTAGCAGAGAAGTTTGTCAGTCTAGACTTTGAGAGTGGCAGATATTCTCCCCAGATTGTTCACACATTTGCCGCTACACCGGTACCGGGTGGGACCCCGGGTGGGACCCCCACCCTTTCTAGTGCGCCCTCGGCTAGTACCAAGCCTTCCACCCCTACAGGAACTGTCAGTATGGCTCCTTCTCTGTCGCCATCGCTCTCCAAGAAGCCTTCTGCATCCCTGCAGCCGTCGAAGGGCCCATCCAATAGTGCCCAACCTTCGCGCAGTAATGTTCCAAGTCTCGCACCAAGCCGTATGCCGTCGGTCAAGCCAAGTGCAAGTATGAATCCAAGTCAAAGTCCAAGTTCAAAAGGGACTGTCAGTGTGATGCCAAGCATCTCACCAAGCAGGATGCCAAGTATCTCGCCAAGCAATAACCCATCTGGTTCCTATAGCCCAAGTAGCAATCCATCTGGATCCAACGAGCCTTCCGCGTCCAAGGCTCCCAGTAACCAACCAAGCATCCGTCCTTCGCTATCAAAGATGCCCAGTATTGCTCCCAGTAGCAACCCATCTGCATCCAACAAGCCTTCTGCGTCGAAACAACCTTCCCAGAATCCAAGTGGGAGTGCGGCTCCATCCCGTTCGATGAATCCATCGAGTAATCCAAGTTTAAGTTCGAACCCCACCGCAAAGGCATAGAATGCATAAGTGTCGGGAGACAAGTACTACTATTCCAATACGTCCTGGTGTTCATTTTGTGTTTAAGAAACGATACTTTTAATTTCATATTCTATTGTAATAACCAATTCTATTTCCAATGTTCGACTCACTCGTAGCCTATAAGTTTCATTTTTGACACTGACATTGGTAGTTGAAAAAATGAATTATTGCTTTTATAGAAAGGTAAAACGTTCTCCTATAGCTAATTGCTATGTTGGTCATAGTAATTTTGTGTATTTCAGAGATAGTGATAGGATGGACCATCATAGACATCCTGCTGATTGGCATCACAACATGGTTCTGCTAGCCAGCATATCATTCCATTTCTGCCCGATGAACTCGCGTTCAAAGTGAGTGTACTCTTGTCAATCCAGAAACTAGTGATGATGCAATATAAGCGGCCCACGCGTAACAGTATTGAATGTCATACAATCCACGTCTAGCTCATCATCATCATCATCATCAACATCATCATCATCATGACCGTGATTTTAAAATGAGGACAATCAACACCACAGCACCAGCAATAGCAATCAAGATTTGCCAAAACCACCAACAAGACTGTCGACTTGGCCCATATTTGGAATGTCGCATCCACATGCTACGATTCCATTTGCTGACTTCATAGTTGGTTTCATTCGATGGTGCCTCCCAGTCGCCTCCAGGATGACGACTGGATGCATCAAACGAATTTTGTTGGATATGATTGGACCATGCCGTTTTGGACAAGTCCCAATCTGTGCTGGGTACGTCGGTCGCATGTCGTCGTGAGCTGGGTGCCAATTCTAAATCCACTAGATTTCCATTATTCTGAGACGACGAACTGGTATTTCGTTGAAAGGTTGGTGGAGCCAAGTGATGATAGCGAACTTCACTTGAGGATACATCAAATAATGTCTTTATCTTGGCAATGGGAAGATGCAATCCACCAGAAGAATCTCTTGATAGTTTGGACGGACTGACACCGTATTCATCGTCGAGACGATCGTCTGCTTCTTGCTCAGAGCGGCTTCGAAGATTTATCCTGTCAGGTTTCGACTTTTTACCAGCAACCAAAGCTCCAGAAGACCTTGTTCCGAGGTCATCAGAAAAGAGGGTATCTACCGAAGAAACTTGAAGACAATCGAGATTATCCGCCTTCTCCTCATCCAAGAACGAGTCGTCAGGATATTCGTCGTCGTCATCATCGCTACTGTCGGAATTGTTAGACGCGGCTGCTGATGACAGTGCCTCGGATTTTTGCTGTATCATATACATGGTGGGATTAAGATGTACAGTATGTGAATACGATTTTAGTTTGGTCCTGGATGATGTAAGTTGGTTGGCTGGCTGATATTAGGAGCGAAGATGAGTGTTTCGGAAGTGAAATGTCACCACGGTGAGATGTGAAATTCTTGATGGTTGCATATTTTCAGCCATTATTCTTCCAGTCGCGTTTATCGTCGAAGGCGAAGCCTGGCTGGCGCTTCAGGTATCTCACCTACTAAATATTGCATGTGTATCAGACGGAAACCACGCTTTAGCAAGCCCATTGACTCACGGATTCGTTCGCATTGTTGATGATGGTTCCCAAATGGATGGCAAAGGCAAAGAAAAAGATATGTGGGATTGACTTTCTAAATTCACTCTCTATTAGTTTGAATGTTGCTAGATACATTATATTTTGTGTGCTGCGATTCACAGTTTTAGAATCCCACTTCAGGCCAATTGTTAGTACATACTAGAGTTGTTCATGACAAAGATGGGATCCACCAGGAGTATTTTCCCAACCATAGTACAATGTTGGTGGCCTTGTTTTCCGCTCTTTGGAAAACAACCGCACCCGTAGATGTTGATCCATTGTCTCTCATTTGCATCATTGCTCAGTCGTACCATCTTTTCTGGGAACTGATGTGCGATGATTTATTCGACCAATGAACAAACAAGGCCTTAAGCCTTAACTTAGTACCTGGCTACAGTTCCAAACCTATACCCTTTTCGTATGCAGTCTGCAGGATGTAGAATGTAGGATGTAGAATGTACCGGTAGCATGTAGCATATGTAACAGTTTCTATGGTCTGCGGTCTGCGAAGTGGCCCATCTTCTTCTCCCACACTGGTAGAGCAGCTTTGCTTTGTTTTTCTTTGTTTGTGTGTAAGCGAAACGAGACACACATTCGAAACTGCGTCACTCAGTTTTTTGTGTGTCACATGCAGACATATTCAGTTGGATTTGGTGCTTTTATTTAGTATACACTTTTGTGTCGCAGTTGAGCACAAAAAACTTTGCATCTGACTCACTCAGTAGACTTTTCTATTTCTTCTATTTTAGCCTTTATTGAACATTGCAGTACAGTATGTCACCATTTGCAGACCATGCATATTTAGATGATCTACTGTATTGACTACAAGCAAACGTGACAGAATGGACCTCGTGGATTCACAGAGAGGTCTGGATCAGACTTTGTTGGGCAGCTGGATGCCTCGAACGCGCCCTCAACTTTGGCATTGCTGGCCAGGCGAGAGCCCCACACGCAAAGATTCTGATCAAAGGAAGTTGCTTGGTAGAACAAGACATCCATATCAGTGACCGAAGAAACATCCCAAGATGACAAGTCTTGGTTGAATGATTCTGCCCTGTAGAACATTGCCCACATTGATGTGACAAAAGAAACATCCCAGGATGACAAATCTTGATTGAAGGATGATGCACTCTCAAACATCGAAGCCATGTTTGTCACAGAAGAAACATTCCAGGATAACAATTCTTGATCAAAAGCTGTTGCTGCGTAAAACATTTCGCTCATATCTGTCACAGAAGAAACATCCCAGGATGACAAGTCTTGATTGAAGGATTCAGCACGTTTGAACATTTGCTGCATATTTGTCACGGAAGAAACATCCCAAGATGACAAGTCTTGATTGAATGATGACACACCGTCAAACATTACCTGCATGTCTGTTACGGAAGAAACATCCCAAGATGACAAGTCTTGGTTGAAGGATGATGCGCCCCAGAACATTGCCCACATATCGGTGACCGAAGAAACATTCCAGGATGATAAGTCTTGATTGAAGGATCGTGCCACTTGGAACATTTGCTGCATATTTGTCACAGAAGAAACATCCCATGACGACAAGTCTTCATTGAAAGTAGACCTAAATAGGAAGAGGGAACTCATACTGGTCACACCTTTGTCAAAACACCAGCTTCCGATAGAGCCATAGGTGTTTTCTACTGATGTCTTTTGCAATCCTGTACCAAACCAGTTGTTGACTTCTGTACTAAGTTCACTATTGCTTTGAAAGCATTGGTAGTATACTGTGGGCGTTTGCGAAGGTCTGATAGATGGGGCGACAGATGAAACCATGCTCGGTTTCGTTGATGGAATGGCAGATGCAACCATGCTTGGTTTGATTGATGGCTTCAACGAGGGATTCATGCTAGGTAGCTTTGATGGATTGGCAGATGGTGCAATGCTTGGTCCAATTGATGGATTGGCAGATGGAACTTTGCTTGCGAGAGCTGAAGGAGACAAACTAGGTACTCTGGATGGGACTTTTGAAGGCGCACTTGAGGGCAAAAGAGTCGGGCCCACGACTGGAGCCACGGTAGGTGATGAAGAGGGTAAATATGACGGACGTACACTTGGCGGATCGGATGGCACGGCGCTTGGAAGTGCCGATGGAGGTGGTGTTGGACCAGTCACAGGAGCAATGGAAGGGTTCACTGACGGAACTGGCGTGACCATTGATGGTGGAGAGCTTGGGGCTTGTGCTGGCATTTGAGTAGGATTCCAAGTTGCCCCTACCACTGGTGCCGCTGTTGCTGATTGATTATCAATGTTGATCAACTGTACCTCAGAGAACGGATTGCCCAATCCCAATGGATCTTTCAGGTTGCCATCGTGCTGTTCTTCATCCTTCAGTTTTTCAGTCACTTGTTCAGAGGTCAGAACGACAATATCTGTCAGCGGGACCGACCCTTTAAAAATTGCAGTTACTTTCACCACAATTCTGTGACATAGGTTCGAGTCTTGTGTGTTGGTACAGACCACATCGGGATCCTCTCGACCCGTGACAAATACATTGAATATCACATAACGATTCTCCCCAATGGCAAGTTGTCTTTGTCTCTTCTGTGCGACAACCACTCTGATCATAGACTGTTCGTTCGCTGTTTGAAGTCGGCGACGATTGACGGTCTGACTGGAACACCCAGCCAAAGGAGGCAAGAGCCTGGTTTGGATGGCTTCCAAAAGTGTCTGGACTTCTTGCACAGTGATATCGCCATCTGTTTCCAATGTGACATCGAACGCCATGTCAAACTCCCTTTGATCCAAGTCCACCTGCCCAGTGATTGTTTCATTCCGGGAGATGGCAAGGCAGACGTCTTCACTTGGTGGATCGTATAGCTGAGTCACGGTGGGACTATTGGAAACAGCGCTGGTAGGTGTGCTTGATATAGCAGAGGTGCCATCGTTAGCAGCAGATGATGGTGCTGTAGTCGGATCTTCAGTGTTACTATTTGCAGCCTTAGAGTCTTCGGTGGTTTCAGACTTGTTGAGAGCAAAGAACGCACCGACTCCGGCGGCAATCAGAACAACTACACAGACCATAACAACGAGGATATTCCGTTTTCTTCGTTTCGTTCTCTCCTGTTGCAGCGCTTCTTGCTGTGCGTCTTCGTTTGCTTCTCTTTCTGCTCTTTCAGCATAAAGTCGCTGGTTGAGCTGTTCAATTTCTTCTTCAAATTCGCGTCTCACCAGCTGCACTTGTTGTCCTTCTGGGTCATCATCCACGGTTGCTGCCTCCAGCATGCCTCCAGTCATGGAAACTGTTCGTGCCTGATTCGACGACCTAGAAGCTCTTTCTTCTTTTCTTCGCTCGCGATGAGTCATCCGATCCTCGGGAACAACTGCTGGATTCGAAGATCGGGTAGACCTTCGCCCCTTCTTTCGATCTGCAGGAACACTGCCATCATTCTCAGGCAGAGCTCCAGGTTTGGATGCCTTCTCGGCGCTTCGCTCCTTTCTACGATCACCCGAATTGTTGGTTGCGTTCAAATCAGGAATAGCACCAGGTTTGCTTGCCCTCGCGGCGCTTTGTTCCTTTCTACGATCGCCAGGGCTTTTCTTTGGTGATCTTTGTTTGGGTTCACTACGAAGCTCCCGAGTACTTCCAGTGCTTCTCTCGCTCTTCTCAATGTAGGACGATTCGGAAGGATCGCATTCAGTTTCTCGTGTTTTCGATCTTCTAGAAGAAGAAGACCTACGAGAGGATCTCCCAGAGTCTTTCTTGGGCGATCTTGACCCATGAGTAGATCTATGATGGGACCCAGTGCTTCTCTCGCTCTTCTCAAAGTAGGATGTGTGCGATGATTCGGAAGGCTCTTCATCGGCTTCTCGTGCTTTCGACCTTCTGCTAGAAGATCTCTTGTTGCTTCTCTCGCTCTTCTCAATGTAGGATGCATATGACGATTCGGAAGGCTCTTCATCGACCTCTCGTGCTTTCGATTGACGAGAAGACCTTTCAATGGATCGCGACGACTTGTGTCGTCCTGAGGAGTGCTCTTTCTGTTTCTTTGGCATGATAAGGATTGCGAACTTGCCAAGAATATAACCTACTGTATTTGTTTATGTTGCTTTTGAATTTTCCATTTCGAAACACGACGGCTATTATTTTCAACCCAAAGGTATAGAACGACGAATTATGGCATAGAACAGTAGAAGTTTTGTTATATGCGAATCATTTATTGGGCAATCGGCTCTTATGGTTTTAATCGTGGACAATTGTTCACACATGTTTAAGGTTTTGCTATAAAGCGGCAAGATTTATTCACAGGCTCTATCACTGTTTTTTAAAATTGTGGTTCAAATAGAAATCATATGGGAATATATTACTCCTCGATATATATTATACATAATATATAAAAGGCCACCGCGCGGTACCGCGGATGAAGAAAAAAATCTTCTTGCAACAAAGAGCAAAATATATGTGTCGCATCCATGTTTTCACCCTCTATACTACTCGTCCCGTTCCCAATATCCCGCTCATCCTTTTACATACGGTATCGTGCCATCCTCGTCGTGATTTGCGGCAGTAGAGAAGTGCGACAGTGTTAGGAAAACGGGTTAGAAGACATCATTCCCTGCCATAAAAGACCGAACCATCAAATCATACCGGTACCAAACAGCAAGTTGGATAATATGGTCCAAAGGCAAGCAATTTCATTGCATGAACAAAGGTACAACAGATCGTCACCAAAACCAACAGGTTTGTAGCTGGGTATGTCAGGATCCCCTAAATTTTCTTCTTGTCCGCGAAAGGAACTACGAACCAAAGCCATAGACTTGAAATCGTTGCTGAATCATCTGGAATGACGCCATTCCCTTCGATGGTTGGTTGGTTTGTAGAATTGGATTGTGCTTCTGTGGTAGTGGCATGACATGGCCCGGCTCCATTCAAGGATTCACCAACAGCATCATTCCACAAGCCAAGCCACCAACATCCTCCCACGAAATTCCAAGAGTCAAAAGTACGGGCTTGTTGTTGTTCACGATGCTTTGGCGCAGCTCTTCGACGGTGGCGATGGATGAATTGTTGCCATCATTGAAACGGCAAATTAGACAATCCGCAATCTTTGTATTCGTCGTTGCACCACAACATTTGTTTAGTAGCTAGAGAGTGCACCTGTCAAAAGCCGTGTCGTCAACCCTTTCGTCTTTTTTTGCTCGTGTAGGAAAACATTCAATATTGACAAGAGACTTCCAGTTGAAAAAGGGTTATTGCCTTCTTCAATGCTGAAGGGTTTGCTCAATGAGACTTCTACCGTGACCAACTCGGAACATTCGTAAAATGCTTGGGAGTCAATGCGCTTCAAGGTATTATACTAGGTAGGCGGACTGCTTGTAGCTCTGATTGGAATGAGCAAATGCTGGTCTTGGAATCTCGCACAAAGAGTGGTGAGAAGCCAAGATTCACCTCCAGTGAACTCTTACAATAAGCAAAGACCTGTACTTCCAATGCTTTCAAACTTGATGGCGCGGTGACTCTTTTAAAGCCATAGTCCAGCCGGAAATTTCTTCAAAATGCTTCTTTCCCAATGGTTTTTACTGTGCGTGGGATTGTTCCCATCGTTCAGAGTGACTTCTTGCAGTTTATAGCGATTGCATCATCCACAAGACACAGAGTACACAGGTCTTGCACATAATTGTTTGGTACGATTTAGTTTCTCTTTCGTTTCACATACAGCGGTAAATACCGCACTCGTTAAGGTCGTAATATGATATCATGTTGGGGAAGGACAACGGGGCGCAATACTTTGCTACGTGATGATGACGACTCGATTGCGTGTTGAGTGCTTCACACGGTTTTTGTTGTTGTCATTCATAAAGGGAGCATTCGCTTGTACTACCCTAACCCTTACCCCTTCTACAGCTATTTGGAGCTGGCTGAATTTGAACACGATGGAACTTCGAAAGTTCTTTCCAACTCCTCCCAAAATTGTGAAAATTGACAAGTTCTCGTTGTTCTTTCGGAAGATATCGTTCCGATCCGCTCCGATCGCTGACGTGTGTTATCTGTCGCATCGTTTTTACGCACATCTCTCTCATATCTTTTCATTCTTTTTCATTCCACTAACAAAAGGTTAACCCCAGTCCTCACACAAGCAAAGCACATATTAACATACACATTCCCCATCATGTCTCGTCACGGTGATATCTCAAGCTCGGAAGACACAGTTGGAGTCTGTGTCTTCCAATACCCCATGCCTCGTCTTCATACGAACGAAGAAGTCATGGAAAATGCCAAAAAGATTTGCGAGGTTGTCAAGGGAGTCAAAATGGGTTTGCCAGGTATGGATCTCATTGTCTTTCCGGAATATTCCACTATGGGGATCATGTACGATCGTCAAGAAATGTTCGATACAGCTTGTGCGATTCCTGGGCCTCTCACGGATATGTTCGGGAAGGCCTGTAAGGAGGCTGGCGTCTGGGGAGTCTTTTCCTTGACGGGAGAGCAACACGAGGAACATCCCAAGAAGAACCCGTACAATACCCTTGTTCTCATCAACGATCAAGGTGAGATTGTTCAAAAGTATAGAAAGCTCTTGCCATGGACACCCATCGAAGGTTGGACTCCAGGTAATCTTGGAACGATTGTCACAGAGGGCCCAAAAGGAATGAAAGTATCCATGATTATTTGTGATGATGGCAACTATCCTGAAATCTGGAGGTAAGTTCATTGATGAGCGTATATGCTGCATCTATATTGCTGGACGTCATGGCTCTGCAGTCCTCTAACAAAATTCTCTTTCTTTTTCCTCCTCCTCCTCCTCCTTCACTTTAGAAACTGCGCCGTCCATGGAGCAGAATTGATCATTCGTCCTCAAGGATACATGTACCCAGCAAAGGATCAACAAGTCCAAGTTTCCAAGACAATGGCCTGGTGCAACAACGTGTACGTTGCGGTTGCGAATGCATCCGGATTTGATGGAGTCTACACATACTTTGGCCATTCCGCTGTTATTGGATGCGATGGACGAACTCTAGGAGAATGTGGTACAGAAGACAATGGCATCCAATATGCCCAATTGTCTATTTCGGAAATCCGTGACATGCGCAAGAATGATCAATCCCAGGTATGTCTGTTTGTCGCTATTGCTGTTGCTATTGCTGTTGGTTTGTCATCTTTTGCTTGTTTGGTGGGTTCTTTCTGATTCGTATTTTCATAATTTCCGTCGAAACTTTATTTTATATAGAATCAACTTTTCAAATTGCTCCATCGGGGATACACTGGTGTCTACGCCAATGGGGATGGTTCCAAGGGAGTTGCTGAATGTCCATTTGATTTCTACAAGACATGGGTGAATGATCCATTGGAGGCTCAACGAATGGTCGAGAAGATTACCAGACCGACCATTGGCGTGTCGTGTTGCCCAGTGGCTGGTATCCCTCAACCTTCGGAAGAACATGAAGAACACGACATTGCGGAACTTGCTCACGAGCTGAACCTTCAGTGAAACGTTCGTATCGTATCCTGCTGTGGAAGAAGAACACGATAGATGCTGGTATACTATTGGATTTCTCTCTAAAGTGTATTTATTCGTTATCTATCTTCATCATCATTATTATCAATATATAAGTTCACAGTCACACTTATATTCAATAGTAATTGCAAGTGGTACAACACGGGCAATCCACATTTTCACAATCCGCTTGCAAATAGGCCAGTCTTTGTTCACAAAGTGGATAGGGTATAAATCCATCCAAATTGGGGTTGAAACTAAGATTCATTCCACGCAACAAGGTCATGTGCCACAAGCTAGAGGGGACGGTACCACTGAGTTGGTTCCGATCCAAATTAAGCAATCGGGCTTCCACCATTTTTCCCCATTCGTTTGGAATGGTCGAGCTAAATCGGTTTCGTTCCAATCCAATCGTTCGCAAGATGGTCAATTTTCCCATTTCACTGGGCAAGGGTCCTGACAGGTCATTCACACCCAGGCCCAAGAACACAAGTTGACTTAGTCTTCCCAACTGGGTGGGAAGGCTTCCTGTAAGGTCATTTCGTGTCAGCTCCAAACGTTCCAATTTCGAAAGCAAGGCAAGTTCCGTGGGTATGGTCCCATGGAATTCATTGTCGTACAAGAAGATAAAGGCCAAATGATTCGACAGCAAGGCAAGTTCAGTTGGAATGGTACCTGCTAGATTCTGTGACCTCAAGTCAATTCGTTGGTAAAGTCCTTGGTCATTGCACAAGGCGTCGTTCCCTTGTTGGGTAAAGAACCAAGTACATTCGTTCGTGTATTGAACCCACGAAGACGACAGAGCTTCCGGCAACGCCAATTGAGTTGGCTGGCCACTTCGTCCAATGGCCAAATTCGCGTTTTCCCAATCGGCATCTTTTAGGCCCAAGGCAAAGGTTGCCAAGGTCCATCGTTGCAAGAGTCTTGCGCTGTTGTACGAATCAAAGTTGGGATCCCGAATCAGCCAGTCCAAGGCTTGATATTGGGGCGTATCGGATCGTGACAACGTGGTCACGGCGGACAAGGGCGATTCGGCTTCCAACACTTGAAGAAACTTGGTGCGAGCCCGTTGGACAGAGATACTTTCGGGTGTGGGAGGAAAGGTCGGAACCACATTTGGAGTTGGTGGGGCTGTGGGAACCGGTGTGGGTGCTGGAGTGGGAACCGGTGTGGGTACTGGAGTGGGGCGTGCAGTAGGCCGTCCTGTGGGTGTAAGAGTGATTCGTGGAGTCGGCGATGGCGTTTGTTTGGTGGGTGCAGCAGTCGGTGTTAGTGTTGCTACTTTGCGTGTAGGTGTCATTGTGGGCGATGGTTCTGTAATGCCATTTCCTGGTCTAATGGTGGGTGCCATTGTAGTTGGCAGCTTGGTGGCCACAACATCGAATCGGGTAGGGATTCGCGTTGGACTGAGAGAAGGTTCCCCCCAAACCGAAGACTCTTCTTCGATCGAGGATCCATCAACACCGACTGCTAGAGTATCATTGGTCTTGAGGGCAATCAACCAAATGGCCAACCCTGTAATGATTGCCAGTAGCAGCAGTGACATGACAATCACCACGATGTACAAGTCACGATAGGAGACGGTACGATTGGAAGCACCACCACTGCTGTTGCTTAGGCTGGCAGGAGTGTTGTTATTTTTCCCTCCGTGCAGCTGCCGCATGACCTCGCCGGATTTGTTGTTTAACCTCTGTTTGTAGCTGTATTTGGGAAGACTAGGTGCTTCTTCGTCTGCAAATCGATCGGGATCAAAGGATGGCCGAAACATGGCAATGGGTGGATCATCACGTGTCATTAAGCTCTGATCTCGACCAAGAGTACTAATGGTGCGTTGATCGTCCCAGTTTTCTGCATTGATGAGATAATCCGGAGGAGGTACGGCTCTTTCAGCCCGCTGCTGTTGTTGCTGTTGTTGTTGCTGCTGCGCGACTGAGACTCGTTGTGGTAGCGGATTTGGGTTACTGGCGAGAATGGCATCAATGTCAAATTCCAACGATGGCTCGTCACGTTGATCGCTCATTGTCTAGAATGTTGCAGGCGGGATAATGTATATGTGCGATAATGGTGAAGATGATGATAATAATATTACTGTAACGCTGCTGATAAGACGTGTTTAATTTTTTTGACCCGGAAGGTGAATTATGTGATGACTTTCGAAACAATAACACGCAGTCTTCCAGTCTTGCCTTTTTCACGTACGATACACATGCATAACTGCACCTTGCGTGACTTCGAAGTGATGGTTTCGATTGGACAGTGGGATCCGGGTTTCTTTAGTAATGATCATGCGTGACCGAATCTTGTTAATTGTTCCATGTCAAGGATGTCGTTTGTGACATCGAAGCACATGCAAAATTCAAATCTTGCGAGAACCACGACAAACGGATAGGAGAAGAATATAATACCGTTGATGTTGGAAGAGAGAGAGAGAGAGAGAGACTGAATCTCCTTTTGCCTACTGCAACGATGGCCATAAATGGCTTGACAATGACGACAAAAATACACATAACTGGAAGAATGAACGAATCAAGCTATATTCTAGTCGGTTCCCGTACTATAACGTACTACTTGACCCTTGATCATGGCGCCTTGATCATGGGGTCGTTGACAATGATGCTGCCTGATAATAATCTGAGAAGAAAATGAAGGGAATCTCTCGACACCATTGAAACACGCACACAAAACCGAAAATTTCGTTCCACTCCCAGCGCGGCACCGTTTTCGAACATCCAGTTCCGAAAAATAGCCTCCCCGACAGTAATTTCACTGGATTAATATTTCAACAAACGATGGTGCTGGGATTATCTGCGATCATTTCTGAAGAAAATGACATGAATCAATCCAGCCCAGGTCTTTGTGCGGGAGCGAGTCAGTCGACATCCAAAAAGCCAAGACTGGTTCAACGGTTGTACTATGTGGCCCCATTTTCGATGGATTGTGCGATTCATTCGGATACCCACAGAATTTCCCAACCCACAGGAGGCGATACCCAGGAATATACGGAAAATGATTCAGGAAGACGACAACAACGGCAATGACAACTCAAACCAAGCAACTCGTCGTGTGAACATTAAAGTTGGTGGCACAATCTTCACTGCGAATGCCGACACGATAATGCAGTATCCTGACACCATGATGGGATCCATTTTGAATTTTGTCCAAACGTTGGAACAACAACCATGATATCTTCTTGGATCGTGATCCAGTCCGCTTCCGATACATTCTGGATTTCTATCGCAACGCAAGAATGGTGATTCCTCATACAATTTCAAAAGAGGAAATGCTTGCCGAAATGTAAAACTTTTCTCTTCCGCTGCAGAAAGAAGACATACAATACGATACGAACAGTATTGCAAATATGAGGAGTGCAATCTACTTTTTCGAAACTCAGTATCTAGAGCCAACGTGAAGAAGACTGCACGCGAAGGTTCTATTGTTGCATCATATGCGTCTATGATACATCTTTCTATCTTCACCCAAAGTAATGTCCCCCAAATCTCTTCGATACACATTAATATGAAATACAACCAGAGAAGGTGACGTGTACGTCAGCCACTTTAAAAGCCTTCCACAGCCTGTGCATGGAATTCCTCCCCGAACTCCGGAACGACAAACTTCCGGGCTTGAGCCTTTTGCAACATTGATAAACTGCTCAGCGGGGACTGTGTTCTTCTTTGTCTTGCGTACTACTTATAGTCTTTTTCAAGATAGAAAAGTGCCGTCTGAGCTATAACTCAGCCGATAAAAGGTGTCAAGATTCCACGCGCAAAAGATTCATCACGCTTATTCTCAAAAAATGCTGCTCACTTTTCCCAAAGGTGTCACAAATTTCAAGAACCAACAGCATTTCAAGAGCGAACTCAGTACAAGCTACTAAAGACAAAGCTTAACAGGATGAAACACAAACGCACCCCCATCATCATTGAAGACTATTCCGATGATGAAAATCTCTCACTAGGCCCGCTTGGAAAGAGGCAAAAGATAACTGGAATGGCTCCAGAAGCACTTACATTGGAGTTATTGATTCGTGCCGGAGAGGCCTTGAAGGAAGAAGATAAGCACTCGGAACTGAGAGAAGAGGCCTCAAGATCATTCGGGTGTGTCACTCCCACCCATGAGCACCAAGACAAGGCTGAAGATGCTCCTCTATACCACAATTTGGTCCAAACCGCTCTGAGCGATAGTTTGGCCGCTCTTGAAGAGCCAAAGTGCACAGCCGCTGGGTCTGATTCCGATTCAAGTTCCAAGGATTGGAGGCAGTACTGCCGACCATTGTCTGCTCCCCCACGCCTCCCAAATGCTCCTTTTGGTTCCATTATATCTCAGAAAAAACGGGCTGCTTCCGATTCTTACCTAAGCCGTGCTTGGCGGCTGGGCATTGCTAAGGATACGCACGCGCTATCTTACTGATACAATTTTAAGCTACAGGGGACTCAGAAGGCAAATGTTACTGCCAAGTTGAGCACGATCAAACTTGCTCATGCTATGTCAATCGAGGAACAAATGAACACATTTTGTTTTACAAACTGCTGCCGAATCTGTTCAACAACTACATGGAGTTTGAGCCTCATTTTTTGTCGTCTTGAAGGACTCCCGGGCGACTACAAGCCAAGAATGATTTTGCAGTTTCCAAGGAATCAACTCGAACACTGACTTTGAATCCACGTTCATGATAAACAACGTACTGCTATACTGTCATCCGAACCAAAATTCTAAGCGAGCATTTGTACAGAACCTACTAAATATAACACTATCAATTGTTTATTTTACTAATATCATCATCATTATCAGTGAAGCCTACAATATCGTTTGGGCTCTTTTTGACGAGCGATGTGACACGATTTGGCATTGCGTGTTCCACATCAAGCAGAAAGGCTTAGATAGTATTAGCGGCATTTTATAGTGCCGTTTGATCACATGCGGGGTATTATTTTTATATCCGTCACTTCCATTATTCTTTGACTAATAAAATATAGTACCAACCAAATGAAGCTTTCTGAGACCAATGATTCCATATTAATTCTCAACGTCAAAGTGTTCCAAGAGATAATCGAGGGTCTTGTGGGAAAAGCTGGTTGCACCTTCGAAGGAGAAATCTCAATTCATGGTTTTAGTCTTGTGCTGCTTTCCGGCAGACCGTGAGTGTACTGTTCTCTTATTTGTTTATTTGTAAATACTATTTAAGCGTCAAATACCAAGAATAAACCTTTCCCAACCTTTTCTTTTGGTTTGGATCTCCTATGCTGATAATTGATTGTTTGGTCCCCTCATTCTCACGAAACCATTTCATAATCTTCGATTTTGCCGTCTTCAATACATCGGTGCCACCTGCCCAAAATCGAAGCATCACCCCGATGCTCACCATTCGCTGCTAAATCAATAACCAAAGTCTATTACTATGCACTCTGGTCTCGTTTCCATTTGTCATACTTGTCCAATAGTTCTTGCGAGGTTGATTTGGTCGATTGGTCAAGAGCAAGTTCAAAGTCTTGATACGAGATGGGTCGAATCGTATTGGCATTTGCCAATTGAATGGCCTGCAAATTTCCCAAGGAACGCAAGGGTCCAAAGGATGCTTCCGAGGCAATGGACGAAATGTCACTCCCCGAGTAACCTTTCAATCTCTTCACTAACATTTTGATTTCATTGCGCGTCAGAGAATGTTTTCCAGCCTTTTGCAACAAGTGCTTTACCAAGGCCTTCCGGGTGTCTACATCGGGTAAATCAATCAGTATGCGTCGGGGAAAGCGTCTCAGGACTGCTGCATCCAAATCCCATGGACAATTCGTACAAGCAATGAGCAACAAATGTGCTTCGTTATTCCCATCTCCGCCGTCTCCGCCACCCGAAGAAGCAATTCCATCCACTTGAGTCATGAATTCCGTTTTGAATCGCCTCGATGCCTCGTGCTCTCCTTCGGACTTGCGTGCCGACAAGAGTGCATCCACTTCATCGACAAATAAAATCGATGGTGCGGCGGCACGAGCTACTTGGAATAGAGTTTTGAGTAACTTTTCTCCTTCGCCGTGCCACTTGCTGGTTAACGAACTGGCACTACAAACAAATAGAATGGACGAAGATTCCTTGGCCACTGCCTTGACCAGCATGGTCTTGCCTGTTCCGGGAGGTCCTATACATATGATTAACGACGGAATTGTCAGAAAATGAATCGCGATTATGCCAAGAGATCATGCATACAATATGATGCTTACCATACAAGAGTATATTCTGTGGTTTCCGCAATCCGGTAAATAAATCTGGTCGAATCAAGGGCAAGATGGCAGCTTCTTGAAGCGACTGCTTTGCCTGCGCCAATCCAGCAATATCGTTCCAACTGACATTTTGCAACTGGGAAGCATCCACGTACAAGTCATTCTTGACCATCTTCACCAATGGATCATCGTGATTGATGCGAATGCTGGTGGGGGACCGTGCCGGGGGTCTTTGGGGTGGTGAGCTGGAGGCACTCGCATGCAAGGCGTGGTTGGCAGGAGAAGAACGGGCTGAATCAGAAGAGTCATACGAAGTCTTCTGCTTGACCTTCTTCTTTTCCTGAGAATCCTGCGACTTTGACATGGATAGGCTTAACTTTTCAATTCCCAACGCCATTTTTGATTTGGAATCTTTCCGAGTTGGTTTCATTGGCTGTGATGATGGCGCTGAGGATGATGGTGGGACGTAGGATGACGTCTTTGATTTCGATTTTTTTGGTTTTTGTATTTGTGTTGGTGGTGCCGGTTTCGATTGATGTTGTGCAATTGTTGCCTTCATAGCTTCCGCATTGGACAAAGCCATTTCCACAGTTGATCGCAAAACATCCTTTGAGATTCCACTGTTCTGATATTGATTTGCTTGTCTCAGATATCCAATCAGCGTCCCTAGTGCTTCTTCACTGAGACGAAGTGCACTATCCAACTTTCCTGACGCTTGCAATCGTTCCGCTTCTTCCAATTGACCCAAGGCTAAATGGACTTTGTCTTGTAAAATTGGATTGGAACCGTTGTTGTTGTTGTTATTTGAAGTACTGTTGCCTCCTGAGGGTGGAACGTACCCAGTCTGACGGTTGTGACTGCTGGAGTTGGCATTGTGATTGCCACTCGAAGGAGGCGTGTAGCCATTGGTCCCAAAATGAGTTTGTCGCATAGCATTGGCTCGGTCAATGTCGGACTGATATCGATTAACGTTGGTCGGAGAATTTGTCGTTCCTGTTGTCTTGGCTAGAGTATTAGGATCCGTTGTGGTGGTTGTTTGAATAGCTGAATCAGCAGCAATGGATTCGGAACTCTTTTTCCTTCCAAAAATGTTCATATTATAGACTCGAGTCTTCAAATGGCGTGCTAGTCGTTTCCTTGATTGCCTTTGTCTTTTGTTGTTCTTGACTGCGGGTTCAGGTTTCTTGGTTGTTCTTGATTTATTGTTATTATTACTATTCGTCAGGTACCGAAATAAGGAGCTGAAAACGGCAATGGATATGGACACTGCTGCAGAAATATACCACGACGTCAATAATAGTTCCCTGGGAGAACGAGACGGGAAGTAGTAACTAGCAAACAGAGAGTAGAAAGCGTCCAACAACATTAAGATTGCGCTTCCTCGCTGTTGCCATGCATTTCGTTTTGTCATACGCGCAGCTTTTGAAAATCTCCGTGACACGACTCGACACAGACAAAAATGCATTAGTCAGGTGAATCGAATCTTGCCTCCCGCTCGCCAACCGCGCCAGTCCACCAAGACTTGCCTAAAACCTTCCTGCAACTCCGAAACGGGTACTACTTACAGTACTGGTAAACCTAATGTACTGTGGTATTTGAGGAATAGACCACGAGTATTACTACCGTATGCAACCACTGCAGCTGGGAGAAAGGAAAATAGAAGTATATGAATGTATATAAAAGTTTTATTATCAAATAGGGCACACTCTAAAGGAACCGGCGGATGGTCGCAATAAAAACATGCACATCAAGAATTCAGCAATCCACACCTATGGATCATCTTTTCCCCTACAATTCTGAGACCAATGAGAGCAGACTGTCTGATCAATGTTTGGAAAGCAGTTTTCTTCCGGAAAGTCACCATTGTACGAAATTCCAGCTGAATTGATTACGGACGGAGGCATAATAGATATGTTTGTTAGACGATGATGACGTGATGACATGATGATTCACATTCAAAAAATGAGCAAATCCTGAACAAATCAGTATACGTACCAACTTCGCATTTGGTCACATTCTCTGGCAAGAGTGGAAGGTCTCCCGACATCTTGTTCCCCGTTACGTAGATTTCCGTCAAATTCCAAAGGTTGATGAATTCGGCTGGGATGACTCCCGTCAAGCGGGCATTGCGGATGCTAAACTCTTGGAGGAGCGTCATTTGACCAACCTGCGTTGGGATGCTCCCCGTCAAGTACCGAGTCTTGTCAAAGCTATCCCCTAGGAACAAGGTGGTCAACTGCGTCAAACGTCCAATTTCAGTAGGAATGGTACCATTCAAAGAACAGTGGACTAGAAACAAAACAAGAAAAGAAAGCAAAAGGAATGAATGAGCGAAATGGCAAAGGAGCCCAATACAATTCAATGCTTTCACAATGACACTGTACGTACTGCACCGAAAGAAATTCAATTTAAGTTGCGAAATCTCCGAAGGGATGGTTCCGATCAAGTTGTTGGCTGTAGATGGTACAAAATTAGATCGATAGATTAGATCAATCGATCGTGAGTATGTGTGAGTCATTCAGTAGCACTTGTTGGAAGGTATATAAGTAATAAATCAACTTACGTCTCAAGAAACCCAATCGTTCCAGACTGGTCAAAGCTCCAATCGCCGATGGTAGTGTCCCATTGACTAATGCATCTTCTGTGAATTTCATAAGAGAGAAAGATATGGTGTGTGTAAGAAAAACATGCATGGGACTTTTTCAACATCTTCCAAGTGTAATATCTATACGTACCAGAGGCTTCAAAGGTAGTAACTTCTCCAGTTTCGCTACAATTCATGGCCACAGTGTCATTGGAACCTAAGTCCCATTCGCAGACGTGTTCACTGGACAACCATCCAAAGCCATCTTCCACAGTAATGGGATTCTCTTGGAGCATGCTGTAGTAAAGGCAAGATACCACATAACGTTCCATCCACAATTGGTCCCGATTGGGTGCCGAAGCTTCTGGGGCCCATGCTTCTTGTCCCCAAGTATCGACATTTAGGAACCAATCGTCGGCTTGTGGATGACAGGTTTCTCGCACAAATCCCAGCTCGAGTTTGAGGCGCTCCAATCGGTCCGATCGCCCCAGCAATTGATTGGTGCTGGTCGGGGAGAGGGTGGGTCGACGCGTGGGAACTGCCGTGGGGGTACGGGTCGGTCGTTCGGTGGGAACAAAGACGGTCGGTTCGGACGTGGTGGGGGCAAGAGTCGGTTCCGTGGTGGTAGGACTGGATGTAGGGTCTTCTGGGACAATAACCGCTGGAGGAGCTTCATCCTCGGAAGTATTGGGCATTTCAAAACCACCATCACCATCTGTTGCCGCATTGTTCGAAACAGATCTGCTATTCTTGAAGCTGTCTGAATTTCGAGTGATAATGGCACCCGCGACTCCTCCAAGGACAAGACAGATGGCTCCCACAATAAAGAATGGAAGAAGACTTCTCTTTCCATTGTTGTTGTTGTTGGGAGTACCCTTTAGAGTTTTGGTGGTAGGACGAGTATCATCAGTATCATCTGTTGGAGGAGGAGGCGGAGGAGGCATCGAATTATTGTCGTCGTCATCATCTTCGTCCTCCTCTGCTGCATACTCAGCCTCTTCTGGTGTGCATAGTGCAACCTCTACATCAAGGTCGTCTATCTTCCGATTCTTCATCACTGGAATGCTCATCACAGATCCAGTGTCATCATCGTAGTCTAGCTTTCTACTATTCCCACTCCCAGGAGTATAAGTAGATTGACTAGCAACAGACCTCTCTCCTACAATTGTACCAATTTCGTCGTCATTTCCTTCCTTAACACCCATAAACACATCTCCACTTGTAGCGCTGTGGCTGTCTGTGGTGGCAACGGTGTTCTCCGTCTCTTTCGAGTCGGGCGTTCCCTGATTGATATCATTGTTATTATTGGAGCCTGAGCTACTTTTACTACCGCCCTTGGAAGACGAGCCCTTGCTACTGAAGGATTGTCTTCGCACATTGGTCAAACCGCTCACTTGCGTGGTGGTGCCAGAGAACTCAATGGTTTTATCGCTCGTTTTAGGGCCGGAAATTCCACTGAAAAGACCTAGTTCGGACATGCTGAGTTTGAATCAATCTACTCGTTGTGTCTACTTGTTGTATATTGCTACTGTTTGAGTGATGCAACAGTTCAATGGATTGATAAGAGTTGATTGATTGACTGATTGATTCACACTTTCAGATTTGCAAGCATAGTACAACAGCTTCTTCCCATTCCAAAAGCGAGGAAGATTTCGTGAGGAATGGGATTTCCCAACGAGCTAAATATGTTTTTACATACAAGATAAAATTCACGGTCGCATGACGCATACTTAACGTTTGTGCGCCAGGCCACGCTGTTGGACCAATGATTGCGAGACTTTTTGCTCTATGTACATATTTTGGGACTCACCATCAATTTCCACAACGGAAACGCGCGTATGTGCAAATCAACTTCTATGGGATCCCTCCAAGGATCATTGTTGGATTTTCCCGCCCTCTTTTTCTATCTTGAACCATCGTATCATAGCAGCTTCATGCCAGGTCAGCATAGTGTCCATGTGTCTTGCCGCCCAAAAGTACCAGGTATCGTGCCAGCCAAAACGCGAATGTGGCGAAACTTCTTTTGCTCTAGAGTGAGTCAGTCATCATCACTACCACAATGATATATTCAATTAGCTCTAAAGATGATATATTCAATTAGCTCTAAAGAAGAATGATCATACCAATCAATACTACTACTATCACGGTAGATATACATATTACTACTACTAGTGACAAATATTATTTTTCAAATGTCAGATGCTAATACGGCAACTGCAACTGGACCAGATGCAACACTTAAATTTTTAGAAGAAGAATCGCATCGTCTGCTTCTGTAGCTGATGGTAGTTTTTCGTATCCTTGTGCTGCTGCGTCGTACTACTAGCCGAACTGGCACCCAAAGCTATTCTTGTGGCTGTTTTTTGGTAAGGTCCAATATAATATGTCAAGAAGAAGTAGAAGAAGAAGATGATGATGATGACAAGCACTAGCACAAACTGAATTACGGGTATTAGAACAAACAGCCACCACTGGAAACATATGCTGTAGCTGCTACCGTACGGTTCTTGGAGCAAACCACCACATCACGTAAATGCCGTATTGTTTTGCATCTCTGAATGACGCATGTCGCGCTCAGGTGGTTCGACTGCCACGACTAGTATGGACAGTACGAAAACAAGATACAGCATTTGAATTCTACTGCTATGTATCGTTAGTCCTTGTGTTTTTTTGTAATTTAATGGTAATACTATACTGCACGCAATGAAGGTCGTTGACCAGTGTAGAATATTACCGTACTACTGTAATCTTGACTTTTGAAGTTCGAACAAACTAACAACAGTCATCAAGTGTGGAAAATCGATTGATTCGGACATCATCATCACAGTAATAGTAACCTTGGAGCTTGTCTACGTTTTTAAAAAACGAGAAACGAAACAGGAGCGATAGGATAGTACAGTTCATGGGCAATCATGAGAGGTGCTCGTTCTGTATATGGAGTTTTGGTCGCGATCTCCGCATTGGCAAGTGCTGGTTCCGTCAGAACAGCCGGGTCCCGTAAGTGCAGGAATATGCGCAGCCACCGAAGAAACTATTGCCACTGACTGTGTCGCCACAGTAGCACTGAGATTTGTCGTGGAGGCCGGCATACTTTGGATGAACAACGAAACATCATGTAAGATGACAGAAGAATTTTGGTTTCATGGGCATCATGCCTTACCTTGAAACCATCGCGGCGGCACAGAGCAATGCATCCTTTGACCGACGCGTTCGAGCTCACTTGGTTTGTCAAATCTGGTTTAGGGCCTGTCCAAGTAATTTTCCAGTCTAGATGGCAATCGCAATACAAGTCTGAATCAAACGTATAGCTTCCTCCGGCAGGGGGAGGATCATTGCCGGCAATGTAAACACTGGTTCTATCAGTACCACCACACGACCCACTGCAATCATTATCACATTCGGCATCGCTCACTTGAGCCGTCACGTCATACGAATCGCCACAGTAGCAAGTGTGATCAGCAACGCTTGAAACACTCAAGCCGGCATACCTGTAGCCATAGCTTTCGCATTGGTCTGTGCAATTGCCAACATTCCAAGCTGCTCCTAGCAGTATATCCATCTTGGGAGTTGCAGGCGTTTCAACAAAACATCCTTGATAAGCAGTAGACGGCATCTCACTTGGAATCTGCATCAACAATGGATTATGGCAAAAGCGTAGCAGTGAGTGTCGATTAATTACTATCCGTCAACAACGGAACCATCGAGAGCATAGTCACTTACAGTACTTGGAATCATTGATGGACTTTCAGACGGAATCACAGATGGTACATCCGAGGGTGATTCGCTCTGGATACGATTTGAAAAGAGAGACAAGCCTAAGTCAGCAGAGAACAAATGTCAAAATTCACAATCCAACATCATATGCTGTCACATACCGGAATGATTGATGGTACCACAGAAGGAAGACTACTTGGATCGTCACTGGGCGAGTCACTTGGTATCGCGCTTGGGATCGAACTTGGTTGCAGACTCGGAATCACACTTGGAATTCTGCTCGGACTATCACTTGGAATCACGCTGGGCACATCACTTGGAACGGTACTGGGAGAGTCTGAAGGAACGTCAGAGGGGACATCGGATGGCACCATACTCAATGAAGGTACATCACTTGGCATACTACTAGGTACCATGCTGATCGAAGGAGCTTGACTTGGTCCTGGAAATTGGACAGAGTATCCCGTTTGTTCTCGGTAGTTCACGAGAATGGAAACATCCAACAAAACGCTTCCGCTCCCACCGCTTGGCCCTCTACCCTTGACGTACACCTTTTCTGGAACGAATATAGCAGGTAGAGCACCGAAGCGTACAAGCTCGAATATTCCTGCCACAACTTCTTCCATATGAATTTCCACAAAGTCCAAATCCAAGTTATCGCCACCAACGCTATCTTGAGTCCTCCTTCGAGAGCTACCAGCAGACCCAAATACTGCCTCTTCTTCCGAACAGCCATCGCATGTCACCCATGTCTCAAATACCAAATCCAGCACTGACACTTCATCACCTCCTGGAGGTACCGAAATTTTTTGCTCTGCTAGATAGGCACTTGTCATCTCACGCTTGTATGGATCGACGCATACACCCTCTTTGGTGTTAGAACCTTTGGTCAATGTGTTGTACGAGGATAGAACAATTGGCTCGATCAACGCAGCTTCCTCTTCTGTAAAGACTCGTTCGAAACCCTCAAAGGTCATCCGCAGATCGCCTGGGTAGAAACTGGGATCTAGTAATCCGCATGCGGATGCTTTTGGGACATTCGCCAAAATCTCCCCATTTTCATCGGTTTCAGTAATAATGGGAATGTTCAACAACGGCGCAAATGCTGCACCTTGTCCACCTTCTGAACCTCCATTTCCATTGCCATTTGATCCAACTTGCGTCGGAGGAAGGATCGATGCCTTGGTTGGAAGAAGGTTCGATGACAAAGAATCTGTATTGATCAGACCCACCATCCGAGCAATGAGGTCACGAAGAGCGATTTCCATCATTTTTGAATCATATGAAAAGTCGCCATTGCTAATTTTTGCTTCATCAGCTGTTCCAAACAGCAGAATCACATCTGAACACCCATTGCATATCAGCCATGTCTTGAAAGTCATATGGAGTGCTGTTACGGTATCATCGCCTTGGGCAGCGACAAACTGCTGGTCTATGAGTCTCGCTCGCGACATTTCTCGTCGGTAACGGTCAGCGCAGTCTGGCTGCTCGGTTCTACCGATGGCTACACCGTTGTAGGTTTCCAACATCAAGTCTTCAATGACCCCAATCTCGTCAACAAAGAGTGTTCGAGTGACGCCTTGTAATGACGTGCGCCAGATGCCTGGATAAAAGTCTGGATTGGCTGTCCCGCAAGCCGAAGGGTTTTGAAATATGACCTCGCGACCATTGTTTGATGTGGGTTCTTCATATCCGATCGGAACATTGAAAAGTACCACAGGGGTGCTATCTCTTTCATCCTCAGAATCGATGTTAGATGGCGGTTGGCCCTTGATTCCAACCTCGATGGAATGAATTAGGACTATTTGCAAACTCCCCCGAGTCGGCAAAGTCGACAATCTTTCTCACCACCTCTCTCAGCAGTTGATCGAGGAGGTCAAGATCCACTTCCAAAGTCAATAAGTCATCTTGAACGCGTTGCAATCCGCGACTAATTGATGGGCCATCAACTTCTGAAAATCGACCAATCATTGGGAGATCATCGGGACATCCATTGCAAATCACCCAAGAATCAAAGGTCAAATCAAGAGTTGAAGGATTATCATCATTCCTGGCATCGAATACTTGATTTGTCATCGTTGAATTTTGCATCTCTCTTTGATACACGTCAGCACAGCCGATAGCTTGTTCTCTGCTTGTACCTCCTTTTGTCACGAGATTGTACGAGTCTACCACTAAAGTTTCCAGTAATCGCTGCTCTCTAGTGTCAAATCCTCGTTCAAATCCTTCAAATGACAGACCAATGGTACCTTGATGAAAGACGATATGATCTGAAATGGTTTCGGTATTTTGCTTTGCTTCTACCATGATGATAATCTCGACTGCCATAAATATTTCTGTGACCACTTTGGCGTTTACGATGCCGACGGCTCTCTCTCTTCCTATTGCCACCTTCTCTATTGTGTCGATGGTGATTACTGCGATGTTCGTGATCCGAGGCAACTTTTGCATCCGTAACGGGAACAGTCATAGAGTCACCACTGCCATATTCCAAATCGGACAGCGAAGAATAAGAAGAAGAGTCTTTTGATAGGTCGGTTCCGTGTGCGCTTCCTCGACGATCCTTTTCTTCCAAGTCTTCGACGTGAATGTCTTCCTCCCATCCGCTGAAAGAATTCGAATTGAATTGAGATTGCTCTTCTGGTGGATTATTTTCACCAGAAGCAGACGAACTCTCTGCTACAATGTCACCGATTGCGTCGTCGTCGTTCCTGGTTGCTTCTGGATCAAAATGTACCGTTGCCATTTTCCTGATTTGCAGTGCAAGGATCTCTTGACGACTGTACTATATTATACTGTGTGTAACGGTTTGCATTTTGACTCATTGAGGTTGGAGAATTTTGCTCAGAAATTGTGAAGTATACGTCACACCCTTGAAGACAATTGGCATTTAATGATCCATTAAAATTTACTCGTATCATTTCGCTAATGTCGTAGGTGATTAAATAAAACGTGCCCACACCGGGTATTTTTTTTCAGTGCTTCTTTCTGTTTCTTCGTTTCTTATAAATGGTATAGAGACCTCCTCTTGCGTCATGATGACCTCGCTCCTCCTTCATGATCGATAAAATGGAGTGCATCAGGACCTTTTTTGAGACCGCGAAAGGGTGTAGTTTTCCAACTGATTGCGACATCAAGATCTGACGATGGTGGGTTATTTTTTAATCCCGGTCGCGTTCTCAACAAGTAGTATATATAAAATATATATAAGCGTAGAGGGTAGGTAGGGTCTGCAAATGGTGCGAAAACGTGCCGGTCAGTGAGTCTGTATTTCCAATGACCGATGAGTCCACGGAGACGATTCCTGATTCAACCATTCAATTTGGTTCAGATGATACCGCTATCTGTACACTACATCGTCACGACTATTAATACTACGACGACTAAAAAAAAAGCTAAAATCCCACCGGCCACACGCGCGACCAAAATAACGGTTTCTGTTCTTTCTTTGCTTTTTTTTTCTTCGTTTTGTGTGGTTTGATTTGCGACTGCCACGACTAAAAAAGAATATTCCACCAGCATGAAACCAACCATAGTGCCAAGATTGGAAAATAAACATCGTCGCGCATATCATGACATCGTCGCGCATCAAGACATCGTCGCGCATCATTGATATACTGTACAATAATATATAGATCGGGTATCATCATAGAGTATACTATATCTCACATTGAACATCTACTTCCAGCACATCATACCGTTTATTTTGAATCATTGCTTCGTTATGATCATGAACGACACTGACAAACCTATTGTATTCTATGTTCCTGGACTGTATTCCTCTACTCTGAAACCACTCGACATGGGTTGTTTCAGTGACAATCAATGGAATCCACCACGTTCCTTGATTGGAACTCTTGGGCGGGGAAACAATGGTCACAAGGGTTTGAAATTGCCAATTACCTGGAGTCAAAAACAAGGTGACAATAATGGAACATACATTCAAGACAAGGATGACGTGAAAGCCGACGATTGTCTGTATGCGATACAAGACAAGTTACTCCATTTCCTTGATACCTTGCAGGAAAATGGAATGATTGAGTTGCACAAGATTGTCTGGGATTGGAGACGGACCTTTGAAGAAGCCGAACAACACATTGCCAAAACGATGGACTCCATCATGATAAGGTCATCCGCCGCAACAACAACAACAACAACACAAAAGAAAAAGGCAGTGTTGGTAACGCACAGCACGGGAGCACTCGTGGCATGGCCGACCATTTGCAAGCATCCCGAATACTTTTCGTGTTGGGTGAATGCGGCTGGATGCCTGCTGCAAGGAAGCAACATGTTTCTAAAGAATTTTCGATACGGTTACAGCGTCTCCAACATAATACGAATGTTGTCCAAAGAAGTTTTCTTTACCTTTCCTGGTCTATATTCTTACTTTCCAACCGTGAACGAGGAATTTGTGAGTGGGAATGGTAAAAGTGATTGGGTAAACGACGATGGAACGACGTTTTATACGGATATTGATATTCACAAGGTGGAAACTTGGGAAGAATACAAGCTTGGGATCTTTGGTTGGAAGAACAAAGGAGAAACAGTGACAGAGCAAGAACGAAGTCACCTGCAACATTGTCTGGACGCTGCCAAACGATTTCGTGAAACCAATCTTGTCAAGGGAGGAATGGATCCAAATGATGCAAGTTTTCTAGACCAAGATATCAATGCCTATGACCATTTGAAGATTATTTGTTATGGGACGGACAAGTTCCAAGTGCATTCTGCCTATCAAGTCGATGTGACCAACAAAACTGTGGATGTATCGTCCTCCAAACTCACGACTAATGGAGACGGCACATTGTTTACGACCAATTGGCAAACCGTTCCTGGGAGCCTCAAACGAGAGATTGTCATGGCACAAGACGGTTCCGACCACGTGTCTCTGGTGAACGATATCAAACTTCAAAAACTCTTGTTGGATTGCTTCTTTGCAAACGATGAAATCAAGAGAGCTTCGGCTCAAGCCTTGTTGAAATTGTAATACTAATCATATTTTTAAAAATGAATGTTGTTGTAAAGTATGATGTAAATAGATTATACTGTAGATACCGGTAGGGGGGTACCGGTAGACCTACATGAGGTAGTTTTGTATCTTGGAGTGGTCGAGAAGCTTCCAGTCGAGTCCAGTCCAGTCGAGTCCAGTCGAGTCCAGTCGAGTCTTGGCAAAGCCAAAATCTCCTCATACAGGTACTGCGTATGTCGTATACCGCGGGACAGTTCGCTTCCGCTGACACGAGTCCATGGTCACTTGGTCTTCTTCGCGATTTCAGACGCATCCGTTTTGGTATTTTCAAAACTTGGCTGGAATTCATAGCGAGATAGTTCGGTATCCACTCGCTTTAACGCTTTTCCTTGTCAATCGATTCTATAGAAACACAAGCAGCAAAATCCACAGGGACAACCACACGAGTCAAAAGATCTACGGTATAGCTTATTCTGTCAATTATCATCAATAGCACTCTTCTCCGCAACAAACGAAAGCGACTATCTGATTGATTGATTGATTGATTTCTAAAGCAACAAGCAAACGTAGTCACGCAACGTACCATTCACATTCGCAGCGCAGTCACATTCACCCAAATAATAATACACGACACACAGCAACTACACCAATACATAATACTGCAACAACAACCATGTGCGTTCCTTGCTTCTTTACCATTTCCACTTCCGAAGTCGGCATTGTCGAAACATGGGGAAAATACTCTCGCAGCGTCCAACCAGGTTTGGGCTTTGTCATGTGTCCCATGGAATCCTTGGTCGGACGGTTGTCCTTTCGGGTGCAACAATTGGACGTCCGGGTGGAAACCAAGACCTTGGACAATGTCTTTTTGACCGCGGTTGTCTCGGTCCAATACCAAGTTTTGAGGGAAAACATTCTAGAGGCTTTCTATGCCTTGACCAATCCAGCACAACAAATTACGTGAGTAAAGAACGCATTGAGTGTTGTTGGTTCTTGTGATATGTTTTTCAATTCTCAAGCAGTCACTCACCGATCCTCTTATATTGTCCTATCATGTGCAGTGCTCACGTCTATGACGTTATGCGCTCCCAGCTTCCTACTTTGGAACTTGACGCTGTCTTTGAAGCCAAGGATGATCTCGCCGCTGCCGTCAAGGAAGCCTTAAGTCAAACCATGGAAAAGTATGGCTACCAAATTTTGAATGCCTTGATTACGGACCTTGATCCTGATCAACGCGTCAAGAATGCCATGAACGAAATCAACTCGTCCAAGCGACTTAAATATGCCGTTGCCGAACGTGCCGAGGGAGACAAGATTCTTCAAGTCAAATCGGCCGAGGCCGAAGCGGAAGCCAAGTATTTGTCGGGAGTCGGTGTGGCCAAGCAGCGCAAGGCCATTGTGGATGGATTGCGTTCTTCTATCGTTGATTTCCATGACAATATTGATGGTACTTCCACCAAGGAAGTCATGGATTTGTTGTTGTTGACCCAATACTTTGACATGGTCCAAGGCGTCGGTACGGCACCTCATTGCCGTACTACCTTTGTCCCTACGTCCCGCAACATGGGAGACGATATGAGAAATTCACTCTTGCAAGCCAATGCGGCCACCAAGTAAGTAAGTACAGTAAGTATTGGTATGTTGTGGCGTGATGGTGTAAATCGAAATTCACGAAACTGACATGGTGATTTATTTTACCCCTTGGTAAAATTAACAGGACTGGAAGATATGACGATCGAGTAATGAGTGCCTAGAGACGATACCGTAGGAAAGGAACGGAGACTTGCTCCGGCATGGGATCTCATCGAAAGAATGTCTAGAAGTATATATTATTATTATTAATTTTTAAATGTCAGGATGGATTGGACAAAGCATTATTACATGTTGTTGTGTGCCTTAAGCCATAAAAAAGAAGGAATATATATATAATATTTGTGTAACCTGTACGATTCATATTATTTACTACAGCGTAATCTCTATTTCTTTCGTTTCTTGCGACCCGTCTTTTTCTTGCCCTTATTTGCATTATTTCCTCCTACATCTGCTTCAGTAGATGATGAGGATGACGATTGCTGTTGTTGTTGTTGTTGTTGCTTTTTGGATTGCTTGCTAGCAACCGCAGTCCGAGGATCTTCTGGCCAAGGATGTTTGGGATACTTGCCCTTGTTTTCCGTCCGGACTTGAGGATAGACTTCCGACCAAAAGAATTCCAAGTCTTTGGTTTGAGCGAGCAATCGATTGGCAGGAGACAATAATTGCAATTGGATTGGAACTGGGAATTGAGGTGGACCAATGGTCGGAGTTTGGAGTGTCCCAAAGAATTGTTGCAATTTGGCCTTGGCCAAGACCGTTATTGGGGGATCATTGGTGCTGATATTGTTCGTTCCATCATTATCATTATCATTATTATCATCATCGCCATTATCATCATCTGTCGACACGAGTTCTTGATAGACCAAGGGAATCTGGGTTCCATCAGGGGCACCAATCTTTTCGGGATAGTAGGAATTCAAGGCATTCACGGCAGTAGCGGATAGGGAAGATTGGACGATGGTGAGCAAATCCAAATCCTTGAGGGATCGTAAACTGCCAGTCGACCACCAGGGATCTAGCAAGGAGTCCATTTCTTTGGTATCCGCCATCCAGCTGGGCCACTCGGATTCAAAATCTTGGTACCATGCGGCATCTTCTAGTTTGCTGTCAGTATCACTGCCATTTTCGGACTTGTTGGTCATTTCCAAGGCCACATAACGGGCCAGTTTCAAGCGGGTCAATAGGGCATCTAATTGTTGTAGCTTGGGCTGAGGCATGGTAGAACCCAAAGTTTTGTAGGCACCGCCACCTTCCTTGACAATTTGCTGCAGCATCTTGGCCACTTGCTCGGGCGATGGAGCGGGCAATGGTTTGGAAGACAGCTCCAAGGACCCTACAACCGTAACTTGTTTGGCCCTAATCTCGAACCCCTTGCTCGGGACGGGATAGCAAACTTCCTTTTCCACTGCCACTTCTTGCAATTGATCGTTGGGAATGGGAACGTAGGACCGAATACGAGTCTTGCCATCATCACCAGTACTAGTGTCCAAGACGACCAAGTATTGCAACGAAGCATCTTGCTTGTCTTCCAATCTTGCCGATCGGCCCAGCGATAAGAGATAGGTAGAACCTCCGTAGGACGCGTCTCCTTTTCGTTCGGCTACCAAGTCAACATATCCAGGCAACACGGCCAAACCCAAGTTGGATAAGACATCCGACAATTCTGTTTCCCCATCCATCACCGATTGAACTGCGGCACGACCAGATGAGCCGACGACGCGGGAAGCATATTTCAGCAGTTGTTTCTGAGTCTGAAAGGATGCAGATGGACGATACAAGTCTTGGATTTGTACCGCCAAGTCAGCAGTATTGAATCCTCCGCGGCTGCCAGTACTACCACTTTCATCATCCACAATAAATGCCACTGCAACTGCTCCAGCCAACAGAACTGGATCCTTCGATGCTCGGACCAGCATTGTTGCTAGACGAGGATGCGTTGGTACCTCTGAAACGGCCTTGCCAGTTTGTGTCAAGACTAGCTTGTCGTCACCAGTTGATTCATTGTCTTCCAGACAACCCAAATCGATCAACAATCGTGTCGCTTGATCCAGTGTGTCTTGTTGCGGAGGATCCACAAAATCCAAGTCATTCAAAATGTCTTGCTTGGAAGCACATCCCCATCGCACCAACAGCAAGAGGGTAGGTGACAAGTCAGTACTTGTAATCTCTGGTGCAGCATACTCTTCCATTTGACTTTGCCATTCTTGTTCGGTATAAATTCGAAGGCAAGTACCTTCTTGGACTCGTCCCGCACGGCCAGCCCGTTGAATGGCCGAGGCTCTGGAGCAGATGGTGGTGACCAACCGAGGCATTCCCGTATCCACGTCGCATCGAGGTTCTCGACGCAATCCCGAATCCACAACGCAAGTGACTCGAGGCAATGTCAAAGAGGCTTCGGCGATAGGTGAAGAGACTATGATTTTGGGGGAAGCGTTGCTGGATGAAAAAGACGATGAAATGGCCAAATCTTGTTCTTCCTTTGATAGTGCACCATACAAAGGTAAAATGTCCCAATTGGCCAAAAGAGCCGAGCTGCCACCTCCGCCTCGACTTTGTTCTGCTTTCAAGGCCCGCACGACGTTTCGAATCTCGGCCGCTCCTGGCAGAAATACCAAGATATCACCGCCTTGACTTTGTGGAATGGCTTGGAGAATGGCATGGCACATTAACTTGGTCAATTCCTTGCGATCTTGTTTGAGTCGAGCCAATGGCAATCTCATCAAGTTCGGCGACGATCCTATTGTAGTTTTCATGGACATTTCATTGCCCCAAATGATATCAATTGGGTACTGGCGCCCTTGACTCTGAACCACTTGACATTCGGAGGGTCCTCCCATGGCTGTCATGAGATTGGCGTAGGGAGAGGACGTGGTGTCATTGGTGGTGTCCTCATCAATATTGTTGCTACTACGACTGCTACTACTACTTCCCAACAATGTCGCCGACATGACCACTAACTTGAGATCTGGCCGAAACATCTTTTGGGCTTCGCGACATAGTGCCAGACAAGTATCTGACCCCACACCGCGCTCGTGAAATTCATCCAGAAGTATGGCATCAACACCCTCCAACTCGGGATCTTGTTGCAATCGATTCAGCAAGACTCCGTCAGTCATGACTGTGATTCTTGTTTTGGTGGGACTGATTTTGGCCTCTCCTCTCATGGCATATCCCACTGTCTGACCCACCGGTTCATTGAGCAATTGGCTCATGCGAGTGGCAGCGGATCGGACGGCAACTCGACGAGGTCCCACGACAATTAGGTTTGGAAGGGAGGAATCATCATCGTGATCTCTATTACCATTTTGCTGTGCCAGCAAGTCGTATAATAGTGCTAACGGTACGATTGTCGTTTTACCAGCTCCAGGAGGAGCCTCCAATAAAAGATTGGGTTTGTCCTTGAGGCATTGTAATATGTCTAATAATACGTCAAGAATTGGTAAATCCCGTGTCGATGGATGCCGTTCTTGGTCTAGCCAATCTGGAACGACCTTTTCTGGATAGGGACTTGTTGATGAGGTTGTGCTAGCCAAAGATGTAGTAGTAGTGCGTATTATTGATGCAGTTGCTTGACAAGGTAAATGCCGTATCCTTGTTGTTGCGTCTGATGTAGTGTCATGAATAAGCCTACTCTTGTTTACTCTTGCATGTGGAAGCCGTTTCTGGGAATGTAAGCATATTGGATGGTTTGAAGAAAATGAAAATGCCAGTGGTATAAAACATAGTATCGAATATATTTTCCTCCGTTGTAAACGTATCGGAGGTATGCTTCTATTCATCATTGTGCGGTTGTGTGATGCATATAGAGAGAGTCCGCATATAGTCGTTGTCACGCGCATGTATGGAACGATTTGATGCGATTTTTTCATTGGTGACGCGATATAGGACCTACTTATATATATACCGGTATCAGACACACTGCGACAAAAAATAGAAGATCTTCTTTTATTATTTTGATGGGACGGACGTCGCAGAAGACAGACAAACACTAAACTGAGGCCCAATAAAACGGAACATATCAAAAAATATAATATATAGAACAACAATAAGGTTCCTTCCCTTAGGGCCTTGAAACTACTGCACTTGACGTAAATGTCCGGGTGTGGCTGGTGTCGACGATGGCCTGGACCCTCCGCAACTCGTCCGTCCTTCGTCGTTTTAAGGGGGATTTTGCGTATTGAATTTACGGGGAGCGGATACATGATTCTTTAGGGGGAGTTGTTTAAAAGGGGGCATTAAGGTTTTCCGAAAA